AGAATTAGCGCGCCATCCAAAATTAAAAGTCCGCCGCAAAACACGTAAGTAATGCCAACAATAAACACGTTCAGCTCCGCCGCCAAAGGAAAGCTTATCCCTGCCAGACAAGGTCTCACCGGCAAATGATCTCTTGGTAAGAATATAGAGACATTGTCTACTGCGACTCGCATGAGACAGGATAGTAGACGTTATGAACACGCGATTATAGGCTCGGCAGCGCGCCGGTGGCTACAGAACGTCTGAATTGTGTGGCGGAGACCTGTGTACGCGAGGAAGGCAGATGCGCGCGCAGAAAGGACCCGCAAGCAACGTGGTAACACCTCCGAGGAAAGGGTCTGATGTCTAACGTACCTGAAACCGTAAGTACTAGTGCGTTGGAAAGGGTCCATTCAAAGCGGGGTCCGTGGTTCGCGGCGCCATGCCACGATTACAAGAAATTGAACGCTACAGCTCGCCACGAGTCACCGCCGAGCTAATGGAATTCTGGGTTCCAGACACGTACGATAGCGTGACACAGATGTGCACGTATCCCGAATCAGAAGGTTCTGTCAGTCTGTCTCAGTCGTGCCGAGCTCTGTGCTGACCTTTAGCTCCGTTCTTTACTGTTCGCAGGGATCGCGGGTGCGATAATATGGGATTGGGTGCCTGCATCATCGCAGCCAGGTTTTCAGTCCTAACTCTCTGCAGGAGGCACTGACTTGTCTGGAAGAATCGATACGGCCCGTCGCCTGTAGAAGCATGTTCTGTGGTATCTGACTACGCAGTCGTCACTCAAACGAGATGTCGCGCCGTTAGCCGTCGCCGTTCCATCACGCGTACGGCCACTGGCTGTGGCACTGAATAGAAGACTTGCCGTTCGTCCTCATGAGAAGAACGCTCGTATGGAGGTAAGAACTGTACCTCTATTTGTACCTTGACTGCTGACACACATGTCAGCAGGCAGAAAGCTCTCGGTTTCCGACTACGACCCTCTACATCGAAGAGGCGTGCAGTTGGCCGGTGGGTAGACGGCTGGGAGCAGTCATCCCGTGCCTGAACGTGGCCAATGACTCATGAACGTGCACAACATTCCACAGACAGACCAGTGCAGTGGCCTCGGGACCACACCCTGTCGGGCGGTTCTCACCAAGCTCTAGCGTTTCGCTAGCTCACGAAGGACGATGTCAGCCATGCAATAGACCCTTTCCTGACACTCGCCTAATTCCCTTCATATGCTGCATGTAAGCTTGAGATCCCTTCTGGCATGGGCTCACTAAGTTCATTCTGATTCGGCTCGTGTTGGTCCAGCGCTGCTGCTAACCAACGCTGGCACTTTGTCTGAATAACGTGAAGCCTACTCCCAGACAGGCCATGCCCTACCTTCATCTTGAACTTGGGCCTGCGGAGCTGCCTTGCAAGGTTGGATCAGATGATCGCTCGATATAGGAAGAAACATCACACTGGGGCGAACGACAGCTGAGTGTACGGTGAGAAAGCAAGCTGGATCTCTTCCCGGCAGCAGTTAAGTTTCGCCTGCCTCTCGCCTGACGCAGCGCGAGGCAGGCGTATATATGCGAGTCCGATCGGAGTGAGGTTTCAGACCCATCCTCCACACCCTCTTCTACGTGCGCAGAGCAAGCGAAACATGCCAACTGACCTATTCTCCGACCTCAAAAGCAAATACAAGCGCAATGTCCCCGCTCAGGCGCTCTTTTTCAGTAATCTTACGCCCGACGGTTCCGTGTCTCGAGCATTACGACTCGAAGTTCCTGAAATCGGTAGGGAGTTCACTGATAGTGCATACATCGGCAAAGGTACATCACCCACCAACCTTCACCCTCTCTTTTTCCCGCGCTCATGTCTGGCATGGTGGCACTCAGATCCCGAGGGCACGTTCTACTACAACGATATCAAAGATCTCAAACTAGATGTGGAGGATGTCAATTACCGCTCCGAGGACGTTGTAAACGAGTCGGACAACAAACTCTGCGCCCGAATCAAGTTCTATACCGACAAAGTCGAGAACTGCTACGCTGAGGTCTGCCTCCAACTTTTACCTATACTACACAGCACAAGTACTGATTTTTTTTCGCAACCATTAATGGCATAACTAGTTCCTTGCCTACGATCCAGTGCGTTCCTTGGTTTAATTGTCTGAACTCATCCTCAAATATGCTTTCGAATAAGTATGGAACCGTGGTCGCGTGTGGCATGCACGAATACAAATCCACCGGCGAGTGGAATAAACTTGACCAAGGCACCGCGACTGCGACAATTACCAAGGCCGCAGACTCCGACGATATCTACCTCGTTGCGAAGTCCATCCGGATTCAGTTGAAGATCCAGGACGATGAAGGGTGGCTCGATGGCGCCACCGTCAGTATGTCTCGTCTCATATTCTACGGTCACAGATGCATTGCACTGATAACGCCGTACACACACAGGCCTCCGCGGCATTCTCTACTACAAGGACATCAATAAAGTCAAGTTAGGCAAATATGCGAACTACAACAACGATCGCGTTGTGTTCTACGAGAGCAGTTTGCTTTCGACAGATTTTACAGCCTACGTACGTCGCAGGATTCTTCATTATCTGCGTGCATAGCCATTAAAATATGATTGGTCGGTAATTTCGCACATCAGTTCATCCGTAAGTGTGGTCTCCGTTTATGGCGCGGCTGTGTGCTGACTATACGTCATCGACCGCCTAGCTTATTCTGCGTCCCCGGACAACCTGGAGTTTAGCAACCTCAGCTGGTCTGACACCAACTAGATGGATGCCGTGGGTGACGATTTTGACGTGTCAGAGATCGTCTGATGCGCGATATTGTACTTGTGCGAAAGTCTGTAAAGTAACATCAGCTGCGATCCGAAATGATATCAAGAGTTACTTCAGCTTGTCGTGAACGCATGAATGTCAGAGCACCCCTCCAGGTCTTGTTCAGGGGTGGCGTTCCTCGATTTCGCCGAAGGCACCATCGCTCGATGAATTGGACTCATGTAGACATGGAAAGGGCCATGCGCATGATGTCAAGGCATTTCACAGAGCTGATGCGCGGTGCCAGCTTCAGTTTTGAAGCATGTGGGAAAGATGTACCGGCGTCATGGTACGTGCGAGCTGTCGTGTAAGCGACCTAAACGAAGGGACCTGCCTTGTTGAGCGGAGCTAATCCATCGGATATGACTCACAAGGACTCAGTGCCTACACCAGCGGTACGTCGCCTGCAGCGTTCTGCCAAGCATACCGTCGATGGCTAACTTGCATGTTGTAAGATTTCCAAGCCCTGCCGAGTTTGTAGAAGCAGCCAAAGGCAGTGATGATGGTTTCATGAACCTAGCATTCGGAGTGCTCATGGACAGCATGAACGAGCTACAGATACGAGTGCGAAGCATCACAGAGGAGTCCAGAACGCTTCTCGCCGTAAATAACGGTGACACTCTAGTGTGAGTGTTTTGCGATGGCCTTATACTCTGGAAGGAGCTTACCGTTGATTTAACAGTTTGGCCCTGCTCAAGGTCGCTGGCGATGTCGACTGGATTATAGGCTGTCCGAGGGATAGGGAGCTCGTTAGCGCAGACGCAGAAACAGCAATTTCACTCCTGGTTTCCTTTCTCCCCTCCGTCATCGACCCAAAGTCGTTCGACACGATCTGGGGCCCTGAACCTCTGGTGAACGCTTTCATAGACACGTGGGTCTCCGCCATGGCTGCCCGCGGGCTGCGCATAGAAGCCCTCCCCACGCGTTTTCGTGTGAAGCGCACTTACGCGACGCTTGCAACACTGCCGCCCTCGCCACCGCACCTGCCCTCGAAGTACATCATTGAGCTCGCGAACCCGGACGACGTGGAGCCGCTCGCCCACCTGCTCGTCGACTTCTCGCGTGCGGCGCCCATTGTGACATCCATCGAGGCGGCGAGGGCGAAGATGGACATGCACGTGCGGCTGGGGGAGACATGGGTCTGCCGCGAGGGGAGCGAGATTGCGGGGTACGTTGGCGTCGGCCGGACGACGTTCCGGACCGTGGCCATCCGCAACGTGTACGTCGCGCCGGGGCATCGACGCAAGGGCATCGCAGAGGCGATGACTGTCGCCCTGATGCGGTACTACCTCGGAGCTCGCCCGCTCGGCCTTGAGGGTGCGCCAGACGGACGTCCAGTGAAAGGCGTCAAGGAGGAGATTTGTATAGCTGTCGTGGAGGATTTCGTCGAGAGGTTGTATGAGAAGTGTGGCTTCTTGCTGGGCGAGCACGATCAAGATCCCGTCAGTGAGCAGAAAGGATGGTTCGCTTCTATTATCCGAGGTGTCAGGGTCCTCGAGGAGTGAATAAATATAATCACGTTTTGTAGATACTTAGTACTACGTCCGGCAAACCCATGGCACATTATGTTGGAGCTGAACTAATGGTTTCTCGAAAAGGCGGTAAGAGCACATTGCATGACGCAAGTTCGACAACAGCAACGATTTTACTGACGAGAAGTACAGTACATTCCAGTCACCATATGCATTGGCCATAATGATACTGAACAAAGCCAGCGAAACCCGTGTCAACAGATCCGTCCTGCAAGTCGCTTTGCGGCACAAGTTCTTCGCTGTCGTCAGACATTAGCTTCGCACCAGTCACAGACAAAAGGGCCCATGACGCCAGTGTCTAGTGCACAAGGTCACATCCATCATAGAGTGTTGTATTCACAAAGGTAAAGGGACACAGCGACTTCGCGAATCACACGAGAAAAGGAGCCTTAGATTCTAGGAGCATGAGAACCAGCATGAGAACATAATAACGACCAGGGCGTTATCTTGCAATGCAACAGCATTGTGCGTCAGAGCAGCGAGGGCGCGCGAGATTGCCGTCAACAGCGACCCGATAACGATACGAGTAAGTTAGAAAGGGGAAGGGAGAGAAGAGGATGCGTGCGTGGGGAAGGTGCACCACTCAATGGTGGCGGCGGTGCAAAGGACGGCGCTCGGACCTGCGCTGGTTGTTGCCGAAGTTAACCTGCATAGCAGGGGCACCGAGAAGTCCGTCAATAATGCTGCGGGTGGTCTGTGTCTGAGTGAAGTCGAAATCGGTGAGGCGGGTGATGGAGATTGCATCGGTCTGAACGTCGAGAACGACGGCGATTGTCGACGTACTGCCGACAGGACGAGGGAAGTAGTTGCCGTTACCGGAGCCGGTCGCACCCTTGAACGAGTAGAGCTCGGTGATGGCCTGTGGACTGTTCGTGGCGAGAGTCTCGGCGATGTCGAGCTCTCCGCAGCCACCATTGCCACCCACACCACGGCAGTTGCAGCCATACTGCGCGGCACGAACAACCTGGCCATTGAGCGCCCAGATGGCGGGCATATTCTGGGGATCATCTGGCATCTCGAAGTCGATCACAAACATCTTCGAGCCTGCCCAACCTTGATTCGCAGTACCCCAGAAGAAACCGTCGCAGCCGCCGTCCTCGCACGCTGTTGCGGTCATGATGTTCTGTTAGGGAAACGCATCAAGAGTTGACTCAACCGGCGTGAACAATTAAAGACATACCACTTCCTTTCCAGACTGCAGATTGCCTGAGTAAAGCTGCTCGTTGGGCGTGGCAACTGCGGTTGCCCAGTCGCCACCAACGTAAGCCTGGCTAGATCCACCGCAAACTGCAAGGTAAATGGTAAGCCACGGCGTGTCATACAACGAATGCGACGGGGCGCGTACTAGACCAGTTTCCAGAGGCACCACCACCCAGGTTGGCCATGAAGACCATGTTGTTAGGCTGCTGGTTAGCGGCCCAGGAGCTGACTTGCGTCCAGGTCGCGCTAGAGGCGTTGGCGGGTTGATACACGGCAATGTTGTTAACCGTCATGGGTCCACGCATGACGAAGGTCATGTCCTCATCGAAAGGCGCCAGGTTTCCGGACACGGACTTGGGGGATTGGATGCAGGAGGGGTTGGGAGTGCAGGTGGGGAATGTACCGGGAAGCATGTTGGTGACCTGATTGTACGAACCGCTTCCTCCAACGCTAGTATACTTGAGAGCGCTGAGAGCACCAGAAAGCGATGGCGTAACGAGGTTATCTAGCGTGACGGCGCCGCGTGCGCCCGCAAAGAGGGAGGCGAGGGAGATGGCAATGGGAGCGAACATCTTCACAGGTGTTTCGGATGCTACAAGCCAACGAGGGTGGTGAAAGCGAGGGTGGTTATAAACGAAAGACTGAGCCCTGAGGAGAGTCCCCGAGAGCTTCTATGAGCAAGCTGAAGAGGAGGAAGGGAGAGGAAGGGAAGATGGAGACGGAGATGAGAGCCAGGAACGGTTGGCTCGAGTTTATGAGAGTCACCCACGCTTGCCGAGAAATATTGGTGATCCGCGCTGCCATATTGAGCATCTGGTGCCTTTGAGGCGCTTTCGCCAATTTTCCCGACGCGCCCTCGGCTTACTGCCATGACAACCTTCATTTACCGGCTTCACAGGTCCTGCAATATCTCGACAAATTCTGCCCGACACTAGAGTCGGAAGAGCTGTGATGACACAGTTCTTCTGACTCTAGTCTCGGGCTGTTCCAAATTCAGTTCACTATCGTTCGTGACGGGCTTGCCGCCAGCGCCATACATGTTTTATAGTTTGCACAGATCGAGCGGTGAATGCCGCCAGCTGCTGCTGGGATCATCGTGTCGTCCCGATTCGCATCCGCACCGCCACCGCGATTGTCAGGATACAGCCTCCAACACTCACATCGAGTGTCAGCTTCATCAGAACCACATAGATACTGAGGTATTTATGTTCCTACTACACATGCCTGAGATGTTCAACTATCCCCTGCAAAGTGATAAATGGACCCCACACGAATCAGAAGATGGCCCAGCGAGTACACCATCGGAATCCTTCTTCTAGTCACGGTCGTTTGCCTGTGGACAATCGGGAGCTTCGTCGCACAGGTGCGGTTTTCCGTTCCATTCCATGCCTTGTGTGTTCAACCTTAAACTCCATTTAGGAAGCATTTGACACTGGATTTCGCAAACCATTCTGGTGAGTACAACACGAGGTCAAGTACGTGCTATGCAGAATTCAAGGGTCTCGTGATTCGCAGGATAACTTATCTGAACTCGTCCACATTCATACTCTATCTAATACCGTGTGCAATCAAGCATGTCATGAAGAAGTATGGCATCCGCGCGTGGGGTAGCAAGCCGGAGTACGTCCGAAATCTCGATGTCGCTCCGTCAGTTCTCATGTCGTAACAGCTCTCATGGACACTATCAATCGCTTCCTATGGATGGCAAAGATGAATTCGTGGTGAGGATGAATGGATCATTGCGTTCTAGAGCGTACTAAGCCCGTCTAGTCACCAGACACTCAGCCCTTCACCACGAAGGAGACGTTCAGACTCGCGCTTAGTTTCGCCTTTCCGTATTTCGCGCTGAACTGGGCCATAGTCGTCTCGCTGAGTCTCACCAGCGTTACCAGCTCTACAATCCTCGGTAGTACTGTCGGTAGGTGTACCCCAGGTGCCTAGCTCGCTTGTGCTGATTAAGCTTGTCACACGCAGGCATTTTTACGCTACTGCTTGCGCGACTGTTCCGCATAGAAGCTTTGACTCCAACCAAGTTCCTCGCTGTCGCCACAAGGTACGTGGGCCACTTTCATCCAACCACTAAATTCGCTGAAATGCACCAGCTTCATTGGTGTCATCCTGGTGTCCATTTCCGACAGCTCGCCCGGCAGCACCGAAGTTGGTGCGTCCTCCAGCACAGACGCACACACAGACCCCGCACCCATCCTGGGCGACCTCCTCGCGCTGGTTGGCGCGGCGATTGGTGCGCTGTACCTCGTGCTCTTCAAGCGGCGCGTGCGCGACGAGTCGCGCGTCAACACGCGGCTCATGTTCGGCTTCATTGGTGCTCTCATCAGCGTGAGCATGCTCCCTGTCGGGCTCCTGCTGCATCTCCTTCACGTCGAGCGGTTCGCGCTCCCCAGCGGAGGGTCAGTGGTCTTCGCACTCCTCACTTCGGTACGCGCATTTTCATTACAGGTCGGGTTCCAGGCTGACTGGGGTGGGCACAGATGTTGGTCACTGTTATTGGCGACATGCTCTACTTCATGGCAATGATGAAGACCACGCCGGTTGTGGCGAGTGTTGGGCAGTCGCTCATCATGCCGTTTGCCATCGCTGGCGATTTCTTCCTGCATGGGTCGGCAAGCATTCTGGCCATCTTGGGCTGCGTCGTTGTGTTGGCCAGCTTCGGCGTACTCGGTCTGGACTCACGCAAGGAGGTACAACGAGAGAAAGGTTCGGAATCCATAGAACCCATCGAAGACGGGGCCATGGAAACGGGCTGCCGCACTACGAATTGATCACAACATGCAAATCGTGCACCGTCATATGTCATTTTCTCTACAGTATTATACATTGGTGGGACGGACGCTAGGCTTAACTAGACAGGATGCATCGGAGCTTCTAACACCGCACTATAACTTAATCTTATTCAGTTCGCGTTACGTTTCTTGTCTAGAGACCAGCCCAAAGCCGCGACAACAGCTGCACCCGCGAAACACGTGCCTGCATAGATAATCACAGCGTCGTACCGCCCACTGTCGACTGCGAAGCCCGTCTTCGGGGTGCTGCCCGACTGGGCAATCGCAAGTTTCGCGTGCTGTAGAGCAGTCGAGATTGGCGTGGACAAAATGTTGCCGACCCCGCGGCTGAGCAGCAGGAAGCTGAACATCGTCGTCGCAAGAGACGGGTCGTCCTCTAACGCACGTACTGAGTCAGAAAAAATGAATACGACCGAGATGAATGAAGACGACGTACTGGCCACGGGCCGCACGAACCCGTTCCACATGCTCGACCAGCAACCCGCGGTGCTGCCATACGCGACGCCATATGCGAGGAGCACGAAGGTCGCGAACGAGGTGAGCAGCAGCGACAAGATCGCGAGCACCCGGACGTTGTACCGGTCGCTGAGCCAGCCCATCCCGAACCCGGCGAAGATGGATGCGGCGTTCACGAGTGTCAGCGTCAGCGAGGCCTGGCCGGTCGTGAGGCCGAGCGCGGTCGCGAATGCTGGGGCCTGTGCGTCAGTGTGCGGTGAGGCGACGGAAGCGGAACAACGCACTCGGTAGCCAGGTCAGGGGCACGAAGTGCGCGAAGCCCTGGAGCGTGTTGATCGTGATGAAGAACCAGAACCTGCTTTCCCGCACCCACGAACGTGTGTTCGAGCGCGGCGCTGGACCGTGCACACGCGACTCAGGCAGGCGCGCCTTCATGAATGGGAGCGCGGGCAGCAAACACACCGCGAGCGCGATGGCGTAGATGCGCGTGGTCACCATGATGCCGAATCGCGAAATAAGAGCGGGTATGATGATGGGGAAGAGCACACCTCCAGTGTTGTCACCTATGTGTGTGGTCAGCACAGCTCAGAATCTGCCGTATGGCGATTGGATTAGTTTACCTGCAACAAGAATTCCGTTCGCCAAGCCTCGACGCTGCACAAACCATTCGGACATGTACGAGATGACCGGGGGATATACGAGAGCTGCTCCGTGTCAGACAGAGTTGTTTGATTCTTGGTCATTGAGATGACGTACAGCCACCAACCGCGAAGCTCACCCCTTGCAAAATAATCAGCGACGTCACCTGGACGCTGCGCCTCGGTAAGTGTACCTGCTGCAACTGAAAGTGTACACACATTTCTGGTGAAGCTGGCTCCAAGTAGACTGAGGAAACAGATGGTGGTTCCAGACCAGGTATACACCCTGCGAAGGCGAGGGTAATAGTGCATTGAAGGGTAGATGACAAGACCTGCAATGTGCGATCAGCCAACTTCGGAAGAATGAAGGAAGATGGCAATACCTAAGCAGTACATAATGCCCGTGCAGAGCGTGCCAACCAACGGCAGGATGGACGTTGCATGTTTCTGCGAGCTGTATACCGGGTCCTTGAGGTATGCGGCAAGGAGTACACCAGAAGAGTTCGGGAATCCCCAGACAAACAGTTCCACTATACAAGACGCAACCAGCTACACTATCATCAATCAAGGTCGCCAGGGTCCGCACAGAGTTTGGCTCACCATTGCCCATGCAGAAAATCCGCGGTCTACTGGAGCGAGATGGGCCTCATTTACGAGCGCGTTGGGACTTGTGGAATGCAATTCGGGTGATTCTCTTGCCGTGCGCAGGCTATCCGACGGTACCTCAGCCTGAATTTCTTCCTGGTGGTGTCTCGTCAAATCCGCTAACGTAGCCTTGCCTGGATCGTAGGAATCATAGACTTCAGCATATGTATTGAGTTCGAGATGCTCCATAGCTGGGTAAAGACAGGGCGCAAGGAGCAGCGGTGGGGAAGGGGGATCTCTGAGGCGTATAAGAGTACTTGCGTTCGGCCAGAACCTTGCAAGTCCGCGGTGGACTGCTAGTTATTACATATTCCTTTAACGTGACAGTCAACGGAGCTTGCGAGCTGTGTATGATCAACCGATGCGGATTGGTTGAATCACTTTAGAGCTACAGAGACCGATGACCTCGACTCTGACCTGACGCTACGCCCGGCAAGCGAGCCAGGCTAGGTCAGGTAGAGGGATCTCAAGGAGCTCCGTCGAATGGTCTCGGTCTGTCCGAAACGGAGATTGCAATGGGACTTCTCCTGAGGATGCGAGACCCTTGAAATGGTATCAGGCAGGTCGAATGGGACATGCAGTACATAATTAACCTACCGCCTAGTCATGGCTCATGGGATGGGCGTTGCCCTCGGGGGCAGCAGGCTGACGAGTGCGAAGTACTTATTCGCGTCAGGCGGGCAGAGGTAAGTGGCCTGCAAAGAAGATGGCGAAGTTTGCAATACCACTGGCCAAGCCTCAGCGTTATAAGGCCATCGTACAACAGAACATACTGATTTCCTCACTCACATGAACATCCCGCGCCACGCCCAACGCACCGAACGGTGTTCTCAGCGGCAGGGCTGATGTAGATGGTAGTCCTGATGCAAGTTGGACATAACGCTACATGTGTTTGAAAACTCTACCCTATTCCAGACTTTGTGAGTGTATTGAAGAAGGAGAAACTTGCGTAAGTCCCTCTACCTACGAACGCCCTCGCCCGGCCGGGATTGTGATTGCCGTCAGGGAATTTTGTCCTCAAAGATGTAATCCGGGATGCTCCAGGCCGATGTGCGGGCACTCTCAGAGGGTTTATCGTCTTGCATTATCCGCGGCAGGCCTACTTGGTGAGATTCGAGGACAAGACCGTCGCTGCACGATTCGTTCTGAAATAATTTCAGTTTATCAGCTTAGGTAGTTATCAGAGGTATTCAAACGGAGCTATCCGAAGTCGAACGTTCTCTCCGAGACCAAACCTCCACCCTCCCGCCTCACAGCCTTTGCCCGGGACCCAAAATGAATCCAGCACTCTTTGTGCGCTCAGCCGCGCGAAGAAGTTTGGTCAATCGCTCGCTGCGATCGTTCGCTACGAGACCGCCAACACCATCCCAGGCATCTCAACTCAAAGACTCACTTTCGCCCCCGCCTCAAGGCAATGGGGCGGCGGCCGGGGAGCCAGAAACCGTCTCGGAGCGGGTCATAGTGGAAGAGCCTGCCGTTTCCTCTCTGCCTAGCCTAGATTTTGCTCCCGGAGAGGAACCACACCGAGAACGGACAGGCGCAAAGTCTTCTAAGGACTCACTGTCTAGTATTGAGCGCAAGCGTCGCTTTTGGAGTCGAGTGTCGGTAGGCATCGTGATTTTCGGGACGGCAGCGGCCGCATGGCACGCTGGCAGGGAGTGGGAAGAATATGAGCTGAAGGAGATGCGTATGGTGTGTGGCATACAGGTGTACTCTTCGACAGTTGCTGATGCAGACCCATGCCGTAGAAGCGCGAGGACGCGCCAGATACACGATGGGGAAGGACGCAGATGCGCTTTAAAAGCTTGTTTGGTGTAAGTTTGCTTGCTTTCAGTTGTAGACAGCTCGGTGTTTGCACTCGGACGTGGTTGCTCATCGCGTGATTGTAGACATTTACCGAACCACTCTGGAATGAGCTCCTGCCACCGCCCCTTCCTCCTCCTCATCAGAAGCCCTACACTCTCCTCGTCTCTGTGGATGACCTCTTAGTGACGTCAACATGGGATGTAAGTTCAAACATAACTTACTTGAAATTCGCCACCAACACCGTTTCAGCGTCAACACGGTTGGCGAACAGCTAAGCGTCCCGGTGTTGACTACTTTTTGGCGTACCTCTCGCAATTTTACGAGATTGTCATTTTTACGACTCAATTCCACTACGTGAGTTCAAATCTAATTAGCCTGTCGTGCTAAAGCTGACTGTGCTCGCTCTTTAGACTGCTTTGCCGATCATCGAGAAGCTCGACCCGTACCAGTTCTTTATTGGCTACAAGCTCTTCCGTGATGCGACGAGGTCGATAAATGGCACGCCCGTCAAGGCATGTTTTTGCTGCAATGCAAGGTCAGCTTCACTGATAAACTATCGAATTGCAGGACTTGTCCTACCTGAACCGAGACTTGTCAAAAGTCATCATGCTTGATACTCATCCGGAACATGTGTCTGCTCAACCTGAAAACGCCATAATTCTGCCGAAATGGACAGGCCAATCGGGTGACAAAGGTCTCATCGCCATGATTCCGTTCCTAGAATGTATGCCCGCTCGTTTTATTCCAGAAAGTCGGCCTCAACTATCTAACGCAACCAGCTATTGCCATCTACAAGCCTCAAGATGTTCGACCTATCCTACAAACTTACCATGGGAAAGACATACCGATCGAGTATGCAAAGAACGAAGCTGAGGCGAAGCAGAAGCATATCGAGGAGTGGCAGAGCGGCCGCAAGAGCCTATCGTCGAGCGGTTTTACCTTCAGCGGGCTCTTCGGCGGCACCCGAGTACGTAACTGCTATTTCTTCAACTTCGACTGGAGCTCATTCAACCTGCCGTCTGCAATGAGCAGAAAGATGACTCGCCTGTTCCTCCAACTTACCTTGAACAGAAGCGGCGCGAGGCCCAGCAGAACCATCGAGATGAGCAGGCATACATCGCCGCCAACAAGGCCAACTTTGACAAGCTGCTTAAGGAAGAGCAGGAAGCGTATGAGAAGCAGATGCCGAGCACTTTCTGGGGCGCGATTAGCGCCTTCACCGGCCAGCCACCACAGCAGGGACAGCCTAGTGCGCTGCCCGCCGATCAGAGCCAAAGCCAGCCTCCGGCGAAGAGCATTTAGAAGTCTCGTCGCACGTAACATCAGTGCGTCGCTCAGATCCACCACTCACACGATTCTCAACTCCCAGTCTTGCTCGGCGGTTTGGCTATGTCCCACGTCGCTGCAAGTGGTGGAGTCCACACGCATATCTACTGTATTACGCCCTAATGCTACCAGCAAATACAGCCACATTTGCTCTTTACCAGACAGTTTTAGACAGCACCTGAGCAATATCCTGCGCCCAGATCTCCTGTGCGGCACTGGAGGAGTGGTAGTTGTTACCCCAGAAGTCGCCCGGGTTGCCGTACGAGGTGTTATCGACAAAGCCGTACGCCGTCGGATCGCTCAGTACGGTCGAGAACGCGGCATTTGAGTCCCAGAGCCATGTCTGTACCTGTGATTGAGCAGAGAGTGAGCTGAGGCAGTACAGGCTGAAGAGATGGACATACGCCGGTGTTGTTTCCTTCCAACCATTGTGCGCGCTGGGCGAGCTTAGTGTTGAAGCCAGCGATGACGGATGCCTCGAGGTCCTGCGCGGACGCGCCTTGCGCTACCATCTGCACCAAAGTGAGTGGCTGGTCGAATAGGGGACCATGGATAACTCGCCAAGGGAGAGTTGTTAATCGCCGGCACGTTGATGAACAGGAAGTTCCGCGCTCCGACATTGCTAGATGATCAGTGAGTATGACACATCGGCTGAAGGCTCGAGAGCCACACACAGCTAGAAATAATAACAAAGCGAGAGAGCTAAGTGATGACGGTGCAGGCAGGGGAGAAGGCAACTCACGACATCTTCAACCAGAGCGAAATATGCGTCCAACAATGTGTCGGAGAACCTGAAATACGATCTGTTCAGTGCGTACGTTTGGAAGACCAGACGTTTCACTCACGCATCACGCGACCCGCTCTCGTAGTAGGAGTTTCCGATATCATTGATACCGATCCAGAACGAGAACATCGAGTTTGCACTCGCCCACGGAGTAGTAGCTGGCTTGTTCGCGACAGTACCTAGGAACTCGTTCACCTGATCCGTCATGGACAGCACGGTCGGCTCATATGGCGTCACGAGTGAGGCATCGATCGTTGCGCCACCGTACGCGTAATTGTAGGTGAGGATGAGCGAATTGTTGTATTTGACCGTCACCTCGTCGATCCAGTTCGTGCCACCGACGGCGGTGTAACCCTGTAAGGACGTGAGGGGTCTTACAGACTCTGAGGACATGGAAACTTACCGGGAACGGTGGATTGCCGAGGGGGTTTCCGGGAGCAGGGAGCGTGCCATTGTCCACAAAGCCCGTCTGGGTGTAGGAATCGCCGCTGCAGAAAATTCAGCTGTTTGCGAACTCAAGCTGTCGCTACACATACAAACTAAACCAGTAATTTGCGTTGAGGGCAGATGGGGACGTGGGTTGCGCAGGTGAGACCGACGAAATCGAAGTCGCTGACGTTACCGGGGCCGAAGTGGCGATGCCAGGAAGACACTGGAAGTAATCTAGTGGACACGCGGCAGTCAGTGCAGGATAGGCGGCCTATATGCTATAATACTTACAGTCATTCTGTTCTGTACAGACGGTGCTACAGTAAGGACCCATTGAGCAGTGATTACAGGCTGGTGGAAAGAGATTATCGCTCACCCGGCAACGCAGGTGATGGCACCAGTCCAACCAATGCCGCCACCTGCGAGAAAAGTGAGTTCAAAGCCTTTATGCGTAAGGGTATCTGAGAAATTTCTCACATTGCTGCCACTCGCCCTGCTGGGCAGCAGCATAAGCCAGAAGCGCAGACACGATGAACCCGAGTGTAAGCTTCATTTAGAACTGTTAGCTTTGAGCGTGCAGAGGTGCGTAGCACTTACGCATCGCTTTATACCGCTACGGTTGATTCTTCGGAAGGACATGTCCTGGTGTGGCACGGAAGTCATTCAAGCGGCCAATACTCGGTCGGCTGGAGGGTCGTCGCTGTTCATATTGCCGCATGGATCTGGAGCTTGCAAGCTAGTTCGAAGTGCGATGGGCAGCTATTGGGCAAGTTTTGCATTTTCGATGAAGCCGCGGTGGCTCGTGAGCTAGCTGGAAGCTCGTATGGACTATACCGAGCCCACCACAAGCTCAAGAGCGTCGGCCCGCTTGTGAATGATGCGACGGCACGGAGGTCATGGACGTCGGAGAAGGCTTCCAACCAAGCGGTGAAGAGGCGGTACCGGCAATAGCTCGGGCTTCATCCAGTATTGGTGTGTGCGCATGACCAGGCTCTCGTAGACCGTTCAACAAGATCTTAGGACTTTCTGCGGAAGTTAGAAATGCAGTCAATATCTTCATCATGTGCCTCTCTAACAACGAGAAACTTGCACGGGATGGTCGTTTCAAAGCCACAGAGGACTGCTGCTTTACACCAGCTGGCAGAAGCGAAGAGAGCACGTCTTCGCCACTACGATCGGTGTTGCTGGCGTCAGTGCTATATATGTGCCAGCATGTGAAGGTCTTGCGTACCCATACCGTGAACCGTTACACGGCTATCCGAACGTACGATACCATGAGTACAATCACGCAAATATAAGTCCGAGTTTCGCCCAAAAAGCCTTGCGTATGGTACAAATGTCAATAAAAACGAGCCAAAAAAACCAGAGAGCGTCCACTAAGATGGGGGAAACACGTCATACAATGACTTCAGCGTTGCAGCGCTGACATAGCCGTCAGCGCATTCTCTCTGCGCCAGTTAAGTGGGAGTTGGTACCCGACAGTCCCCTTCCGCGCTTCTCCCTGGCTTCCAGAATTGTACTGCGGCATACCGCTCGATACCTCGAGCGAGCGTACACCAAGGACGTTGGAATACCTCGAATAGACAGTGCTTCGGTTGCTTGGCGAAAAGTCTGATAATGGCGATGCGGTGCCTGATGGGTTAGCCCACAGCGTGGAGAACCACTGCGCGTTTGGCGAACTGGGGTCATTCACGACAGGAAGCGGGAACGCATGGGAGTCTTCAAGTGGCAGGGGCGAGCTTATCTCTGAGCCCATCTCTGAGCCACGCGATGCCTCTGCCGATGTGGCCGTGGTTTCGGGTGGCACGCCCTGCTGCCAGACTCCAGCGCCAAGGGGTCGCTGCTGATATTGGGTGGGGAGCGGTGGCACGGGCGGTACGTGTTCGCCGATGAATGCAGAGGGGAGGTCGGCAAATGAATGGTAGGCCGCGGGTGCCGCCGACATCTGCGAGTAGACTGAAGATGGGCTGTCTGCGTCATCTACAGACCGAGATCGCTTCTTAGAGCGAGTGGAAGTGAGCCGCTTAAGCGTGTCATGCGCCCCTTGGAGCCCCCGCGAGCCTGGGCGCGGGGCACGGCGCGGCTTTGCGAGGTATGACGGTCGCGAAACTAAAGCGGTAAGCTGGTGTTCTGCGGTTGTCAGCGAAGGAGGAGGCGGTGGCTCCTTAGAGATAGGTATTGGTGGCTCGGGCCCGTCTGATCGGAATTTCGCATCGTACGATTGCGTTGGAACAAAATATATCTCCGAGTCGCTCGAAGTCGTGGATGGCAAACGAAGGGTGCGCTTGTTATGCATGGGCTCGATGAGAGGCGTATCTGAGCTATCGCTCAGCGTGCGGATGTGCCTAGGTTTCATGGACCCGATTTCAAGGTCATTGGTGTCGAAGTCCAGGTCGAACTCTCGATGGATGATCTGTGTACGCTGCTTCTCTTTCCGTTGTCGATACAGTCTACGCGAGAGGAAGTAGCCTCCGACCAAGATGGCGAGCGTGAGCAGTATCGCAACGACAATAGCTGCAGGAGCCTGAAATGTCCGTTAAGATCTTCCATGTCACGCGACTGGGGGAAAATACGTACCATATGGGCAATAAATCTAGGTTCGGCAGAAAATGAAGGCGCCGTTGGGAAGTGAGGGCGATGGTCGAGGAAAAGAGCTCTGGTCGATGTCGAACTCATATCTATCCCCTGAGCACAATCTAGTCAGCAGAGATTTACAGCCTCCATCGTTTCATCACCGATCAGGCATGTTTCAAGAGGTTTCAGAGAGGGCTAAAAGCTTCCGACAGCGCTGCATGAGACTGGATGTGCACGTCGGAGTTTGCGGAGGCGTGGTCGCTGAATATTATTATTTGCGTAACCGACGATCGTGTGAGGCAATACATGTTGCAATGAAAGTAGTCTCGTTCCCTCTCTTCTGTTAGGTGTTCGCAGAAACCGCACCGCGTGCGGTCGGTAAGTAATCGTTGAGTAGTCGTAGTAAGCGAAGGAATGAATACCTGTCAACGAGTTATTATCGATTTGAGATTCAAACTCCGTTTGTTATATGGTTACATTGAAAGATGCACCAGGATCCAACGTGTCAGCCTGGCGTTCTAAGACAACATCACTGCCGGCGAAGTAGCGATCAATCTCGCGCACAGGCAAGTTGCGCGCGAAGGACGGAGCAGAAACGGCAACAGAGCAGCACCTGAATAAGCTTGCGCAACGAACGCAACGCCGCATCGTCAGGTCAAAACGAGCTCTCCTAGGCGGTGAAGCTTTGAAGGCCGAAAACCCGTTTAAAGCTATCGCGACGAAGAACAAGTTGTCGTGAGACAGTGCGGAGTCAAACTGGACTTCACGCGTAAGAGATCATCGGGCGCAAGCGGATTCGGAAGTCAGCGTGTGACCAGGTGAGACTTGCGTACACCGAGGGGTAGAAAGACTCAAGTAACTCAAGCTGATGCCGCGCTAACTTTTGTGCAAATGGATCGACTCTACAAGTCGTGTGGTGACATACTAACTGAAATCCCCCCGTCAAATACATAGGTGATCGCCTTCAATACATGCAACTACGCCATGAACATATGATTCTTGCCGGCAAATACATATCTGCGCCATCAACGCCTCGGTGCCAAGATCATCTGTGTACAGGGGATCGTGTCCCGCGCGCCGTCAGTCGGCTCAAACCGCATCAATGCATCATGCATCAGCAGGTACAGTGCCAATCTTCGTATGCATCTGGTATCACTGCGACAGTGTTGTTTGACCCCTGCCACGGGGCATATCGTGTCTCTGGCGACACGGCCGTTTCCCGTCAGACACCGGCATTCTCTGTATGAAGCGCCGCCGTTCCACGGTCCTACTGCCACAGAAACCGCGAGCTTGAACTGCATTGGCCAGATTAGAGCGCACAGCCGCAACATATCACAGACTCCATGTACTTGCGATGCAATCTGGTCAATCATCTCCAGTGCAACTAGACTTTCGCATACTCATTTGTATAGTATATGTATGCTATCTGTGTAGGGCCCTTCATGGCATCAACGGCAATGTATATTGGATACTAGCCCTCAAATGACAGGTTGGTGTGAGAAGTACATGGTGAGAGTGGGTATGTTTGCCGCCAAACACCAGCGAGAGTGAATGTGTCTGCTGCCCAAGAGTGCGTATGCCGGCGAGTAATGTGTTCATGACGGAGTTGAATGTATTTGAAGGCGGTAGCTTATATATATGACGGTGGGATCTCAATTTGTATATCGCGCTAACTTTTGTGCAAGCTGCCCAGATGGGAGTTTTAGGGCGGAGCTTGATCGCATTCCGTCACCCCTCCGACCGCAACACCACCAGCCCGCCGCAGGAGAACGCAGAAAATCCTTATGCCTCCGAAGGCGAGTACAGTGAAGTGGCTGCACGGCTGATTGGCTTACCGACGCGTAGGGTTCGAAGGAGCCTGCTTGCCAAACTCAAGGTGAGACGGTCTCACTTGAAGCAAGCTGTTGCAATTGTGATGTCTCTGATACTACTATACTTTTCAGCATGCGCTTTGCAATCTTGCTTGAACAAACATACGTATACCCCAGAGAAGTGCAGTACACACATGCGCGACCTATACCAGTGCTGTGCCGAATTTTATGAGTCTACCGGCGACAAAGGCGAGTCAACGGCATGCCCCATGCCAAACGTTACCCGTCGGTGGCTTAAGTCCCATCCTCCAGATGCCGTAAAGTAAATGTGAGGCATTCGCCTCTTGAACTCGGACATCTTGCTCATCAGCCCATAGGGATCGACGTAGCTAAGTTCAAATATAACCATGTAGCGATTCAAGCGTGCAGGAACATATGGCCACATCGGGTCTGAGCGAGGCTCGTTACGGGTGACAACTTGCCAGGACGGTGTGAATCGTTCCGTCCCAAGACACGTACTTTACGATGTCCTGCGAGTGTGCTGACCAAGTCGGAGATAGTATGTGACCAAAACATGGTCAACTGAGACGCGGCGCTCATGTCTCCTTGTACGCACGAGACAAATCAAGATGTCTTTTCGGCTAAAAGAGGCGTGAATAACAATATTTTCCAAGAATAGCCCGACCTTTTCGGTGGAAAAGATGCGAGAAACTATCAGCGGAAATAGTACCAAAAGAAGGAGTACTATTTTGGAAATGTTCCTTAGTGAAAAGGCCATATATATGTGATGCAAAGAGTAATGAAAATTATCTACACTGCTCACAGATGAACCTAGGGCATTTATTTTTCACCGAAATAGGCACAAAATTTTCTCTTTACATCACAAATACACGACATTTTTACCAAGAGGTGTTTCAAATCAGTACTCTTTCTCTTAGTACTATTTCCGTTGAAGATTTTTGCATCTTTTTCTACCGAAAGGGTAAGGCTATTTTCGGAAAACGTTATTAAGTTCTTTTCACGCCTCTTTTAGCCGAAAAGATATCTTAATTTGTCTCGTGACGGTTGTACCTTGGTCTGACTCGCTACTTACTAATATGCCCTCGCTGCATACAGTCGCATTTTTCATGATGTACGCGTCATTGAGTTTACCGGAGGCCGAGGGGGGCCGAGGGCTTCCTAGCCGTGCTCCGGGGATGGTACCCGAAGCTGACTCATCGATGCCCGAGCCTCCTGCAGGGCCCTCGTCAAAAGTTCAAGACTTTGTATGTTAACAAGCTAAGTACTAGCCGAAGCAAGATCCAACCTCGGGCGGCATCTCTGCACGTATAAGGGAGGCCCTATTCAACTCTCAGGCCATTACAACATCTTTCGCCATCTCTCCTCTCGAAGTCGTCGCACGCCATGTCGCACGGAAAGCACTTTACTCTGTTTTCGCATCAAATCGGCCCCAATGGATGGCGAGTAGTTGACGCTGAAGTGACAGTATGCTTTGCTCACTGGTGTTTATTTCTAATAGGAAGGTTGAGATGGTTCTGCGCGAACTAGGACTCGATTTCGAAACCATCCACCTGAACTTTAGCGAAGGAGAGCACAAGGCTTCCGAATACACGAAGTATAACCCGAATGGCCGCATACCCGCACTTGTCGACCATCAGTATAACGACTTCGTCGTGTGGTAAGTTTTTCACTGAGGCCGCATCAACTCTGAGCTCATTAATCAGGGAATCGTGTGCCATAATCCTCTATCTGGCCGAGAAATATGATCGAGAGCATAAGATCTCCGCCGCCACCTTCGACGAGAAAATTTTGCAGACACAGTGGGTTATGTACCAGACGTCTGGCCAGGGGTGCGTTCGCAATTTATCCTTCTTGAATCTCATCTGAGTGCTCGGTCAGGCCTTACTTCGGCCAGGCCGGATGGTTTCTAGCTGTGGCTCCTCCTGAAGAGCGCAATCCCACGATTGCGGAGCGCTATCAAAAGGAGATTTTGCGTGTCTTTAGCGTTTTCGAGAGCGTTTTGTCCCAGCGCGAATGGCTTGTTGCCGGAAAGTGCACAGTTGCAGACATCGCCTTCGTTATGTAAGTCTCCACATGGACTTGAGTGATAAAGTACTAACCGGGGGCGCTTCAGTTGGAACGTCGTTGCCGTTGGGCTGCTCGTGAAGGACTACAAGGGCTTTAACTTCGAGAAGGATTTCCCCTCAACCCACAGGTGAGCAAAGGTGCCGCCGAAAAGCACATCATCTCTGAGTTGAATTATCTTAGATGGCATACTGCGCTGATCAACAGACCGGCGATCGCGGAAACTCTGAGGATTAGGGCTGAGGCCACGGAACAATTTAAGCGTCAGTGAATGGGAAGAGGTAGGCGGACGCGGAGTGTAGCACACGCGAATTCTCTATATATATACGCAGCGCAATTGTCAAACTTCGAACGAATTGTGCGGAGCCGCTCCGCTACGTTAATCTGAGACGCGTCGTGTGAGTGTCCGTCAGTACTCTGGCTTCAAACTTTGAATGAAAAGCGATTTGATGAGTAACGATGATATCTCTCGTATCTTAAATGCCGCGAGAGTAAGCAAGCCCCTTCGTACTCTTTCTTACTTCATCTTGTCTTCTGCTTCCAACCTTGCGCTTTATATACTTGTACGCTTGCTTCCGCTTGATCGCAGACAAATCATTTTGCTCCCGCCCATCCGTCTGAGTACGCAGGCTTTGGTCGGGGCGGTCGCTGCCGTTCCGATTCTCTTCGGCCGTGATCCCGGCGCAGGTCCCCGCAGGTGACGGCGGCGAGGCCCTTATCATGGGTTGGCAACAGTCGCTGACGAGCTTCGGGAAAAGCATGGTGCTCCCACGACCTCATGTCTGAGTCGGAAAATGGAAAAAAATGGAAATGTTCCCGCAGTGCCGTGTATGCATGCATGAGTGGAACATCAGCCTCGAAAACACGGACCACACCACGAGAACAGTTGCCAGCGTGTGCATCCTGTCCTCCAGCAGCCCCGATGCGAAATATGCGTACTGGTACATCGGATCGGCCGGCTGTCGCGTCGTCACCAGCACCTTCTTGCCGCTGACCACCATGAACGGCGAGTCACGACGTGCTCGGTGGGCCGGTCGGCACACCACAAGGACATTAATCGCGTAGCGGCCCCGGTTTTCGTGACCGAGAATGACGTATCCAAAAACCAGGCACGCTACTAGCACTCTGCAGCTGACCATTACTTTTAGCAGAGTCTTCGTCTACGAACACATCCGACAGGTCTGCTACTACTCTAAAGGCATTGACTTCTCCTACTGCAAACTAGCTGGGAACGGCGGAAATCTGGGCAGCAGGATCGACATGAGTAATAGCTAGATGCTCAAGATACTTGCCTACAAATGTCAGACCACAAGATACATTAGATTTGAGTGAACTCATAGCTGTTGGCGACTAGCAGAGTCGAGAAAGGCGGACTCCGCGGACGACTCGGACCTGAGACCGTCTCCTCATGGGCAGGCGCCCATGAGGAGACAAATCTTGCAAATCTCGAAGAGCCCCTGTGTCAGGAACTGGCTGACTGGATGATTGACTATGGATGATTGACTATCGACAGCCTGCTGACTATAGGCTTGAGACGATCGATTATCGACAGCCTGACTAACTGCACTGCGTCGAGTGTCAGCCCGCCCGCGCCCGAAAGCATGCTCGGGAGACGACCGAAACCACACGGGCTCGGGGTCGGGCATCATCCAAAGCGCAGTACATATATACGAGGACGAACGACTCAGGAGAGCAAGCTACTATTCCGCCGCACTCATTGTGATACGCACAGAAAGATTTCATCATGGCCGCCAGCACGCGTCGTCCGGTTATCATCATCGCCGGTGTGGGGAATGGCACGGGGACGGGAGGATGGACCGCGTGAGTCTTGTGGAGCATAGCGTGGAACAGCACTCAGGACAGGTTCTGCAGTCGCGAGTTCATCAAGCATGGATACAAGGTTGGCCTGATCGCACGGGACGAGGGAAATCTGCGCAGCCTTGCTGACGAGCTCAAGAGCCTCGGCGGAGAGGTCGGTCTGTCCACTACTATAAGCATGACACGAGCTGACCGGCGTGCTTTCTCGGCAGGCCGAGCATTTTGCGGTGTCGGCGTACGACTACGACCAGATACGCGTCGCGGTCGAATACTTCAAGCAACAGTTTGCGCAGGACGAGATCCGCGCCGCGCTTTGGAATGTCACTCAGGGGACACGGAAGCCGTTCCTCGAGATGACTCGGTCAGACATCCAGGCCGTGACCGAGGCAGACATCATTGCAGGATTTGCATTCGCGCAGGAAATAATCAAGATCTTCAAGACTCTCGAGTAAGACTTGTACCTGGCTCTGTTCTCAGTGAGCACGCCTGATTTTTCTGGCGTTTCTAGACCGAACGAGTACGGCAAGCGCGGCTTCTTGGCATTCACGAGCGCAACTGGTGCGAGACGGGGCGCGCCAAACTGCACCGTGACTGCCACTGGGAAATTTGCCGTTCGCGGGCTGTCGCAGAGTCTCGCGAAGGAGTTCAAGTTCGATGATATCCACGTACGTCTTCTCTCGCTCCCGCAGCTTGTGCCAGAGACTGAGTGGGGGGCCAGGTTTCCCATGCGATTGTCGACGCGATGATCTTGACCGAGATGTGGCGTAAACACTACGGTGACGAGTGGTACGCCGAGAAAACCAAGGACGAGACGAGCCGTGTGCATCCTGCGAGCATTGCTAGGGTAAGCATGACTGTCATTGTTGTAACAATCGCATCGGCTGAAAGACTGGCTGTAAATTAGGCATACGTCTATCTTGCTCAGCAGGATCGCTCTGCTTGGACTTGGGAATTGGACCGTAAGTTTTTCGTGCACTCTCCGAGAAAGCAAACTGACAGAATTCCTCAGTCCGTCCCTCTCACGAGAGTTGGACGTGGTAGATACGTGCAGATACACATTTGTTCTGTATTAATATCATGTTGCAATCTTTGGCCAAGGAGAGCATGGCGTCTGCTAATCGGCGCAACACCGTAACTTTAGGCTCGCAAGTCAAATCTGCTTCACTTTCCGCGCAACGATGACAATCAAGCTGAGCAGTTTATGTATTGACCACACTCTGGTTCTAGGAAAGAACGTATCTAGATCTAGCCGAGGTGTATGCATGTCCAGCTTAAAGATGTATTGACAGTGTCCAGAATCAAACTATTGCTGCACCACAGCTTCCTTCAGATACCGAAAGACGGGTCCCCCACCGGAACTCCCCTACCAGATGCGCGTCTCCAGTAAAAGGTCACTGTTGCTCTCGAGGCCGATGCACGCCTTGAGGAACGCCTCGAGCGCGTTGCGCTGGCGGTTGAGGCTGTTGACGACGTCGGTACCAGGCTTGACAAGCGGGGCCTTGAGCATGTACGAAAGGAGCGAAAGCACCGAGTACAGCGGCGCGAACTCGCCCGAGGCAGACGCGTCGCGGTACTTGACGCGCGTGAGCAGCTCGGTGAGGATCGTCAAGTCGAGGATAAGCGGAGTAGCAAGCAGGGAGTCCTGTGGCCAAGTTCAGCACCGGAGCTGATAGATGACACGAAGAAGTACATACCTCGCACTCGTTGAAGATGTTGATCGTCGAGCGACCACCGCAGAAGATCTCAGAGTAGTATTCGTCGATAGCGCGCTTGCTATCGCCGACGGCGGGAACATACTTGATAACGACAATGTGGTCAGGGTGCTCGCCCTTGGCCTCCTTGGAGCCCTTGGGAACGCCGGGTGCGGGCGGCTTGTACAGAAGCGGGTTGGCCGCGACCATGTCGTCAACGACGCTGCTCTTGCTGATCTCCTTGCTCTTGAACTGACGCTCTGCGGACAGGTTGTGCCCATCGTTGTTGCCGAGATGGTTGTATGACGCGATCGAGAGCGGCTTAATGCCGGCGTTGACGAGAAACTCGGCGAAGACAGACTTGAGCTTGGTCTGGCCGGATTTGAGATCGTCGCCACCGATGAACGACTTGTGGCGCTCCGCGAGCTCGATGACACCGGGAACAAAGGTGTTCTGGGGAGCGCCGTTCACGAAAGGCTCGCCCTCGAGAATCGCGGCGACGGCAAAAACGGTCGACGGGGACACCTCGGAGTGGGAGGTCTCAATAGCCTTGAGGATGTTGTCTGCGGTGTCATTGATGCCGGGGATTACGTCCGCGTAACGCTCTGTGTTGGCAGTCCAGAAGACGACGACGCGGTCCAGGCCATTCTCCTGCTTGAAGCGACGAATGTCGGCGCGGATGTGCTCGAGGTGCACCTGTTTGTCAGTGCCCAGGATTACGTTGTCCGCGCGGGCTTCCTGGTTGGCGGCGATGAAATCGGGATAGTAAATCGATGGAAGAGGCCTGCCGAGCTGGGCCATACGCGGAGCAACCTGGCGCTGAAGGTCCCAGTCGAGGACCTCGGCACGCTTCATCGCTTCGTCCATCGGTACGCCGGAAATGTCCCAACCGCCGAGGACGAGGTCATTGGGATGGGCCATGGGCAAGACATCGCAGACGGGGACGTGGACGTCCTTCCCGGTGGACGGGTCCATACCGAGACTGACGGTAGACGCGCGAAGCATCGAGCCGATGTAGTTCGGCTGCTGGATGCCGGACTTGGTGTGCCAAGAGATGTTGTGACGGTTAGCGAGAACGGTGGCGCAAAGCGTAGTGCCGTTGTTGCCTCCTATGCCAATCATCATGAGGCTACGAAAACGAATTAGCCTGGTGTAGGAGACGCGAAACACGAGAAAACGTACCCGGTCTTTGCAACCTTACGAGCGGTTTGAAACTCGTAGGCTTTGGAAGTAGGGGCAACGACGAACTGTCCATCGCGAACAGTCACAGCCGCACCACGGTTAACAAACTTGGAGGTAATGAACTCGTCTGAGTAGGACGTGTTCTCCGACTGCACGACGATGGGATACGGACGGCGCGTAGCAGTCGGATGAACGGGCACGAGTGACTCAAGCTCTGATTCGGGGGTGTTCAATCCGGAAGAGTAGGCGGGAGCCATTTCGGTTGAGGGTTAAGGATGAAGAGTTTGACGAAGAAACGTAGAGGGGAATCAGAACGAGAATCTTAACGCGTCCGAGCAAGTGTGTTTGGAGCCGCGGTGGGGGTTGTGAGGGCTCCCAAGCTGGTTGGAGAACATGCACGAGTTGGGGGTATGAGGTGTCGACGAAAAGTTGCGCTCCGAGATCACTGGGTGACAAAGGAGACGACGACTAAAAGCGACTGCACAAGACGAGACGAGGCTGAGAGAGGCTGGCTATTTGCTGTGGTATGGCTCTGCGAGATGCGACGTGGCAAGAGAATGCGGAACTCTCGCCAATCTGGCGACTTTATATGCGCGAGATTCGGGCGCATAAATATGAGTCATGTGACCGCTATCAGCGATGTTTCAGGGGTGGGCCATCTGTGCAGCCGGAATCGAGGGTCGCAATCAACGTCGTATGTCCGTTTCGCTCGCGTCTGACACGCCGCACGTCGGGCTCTCTAGGGCTCTCTCGACAGAGGGCTGCCCGGTGGTGCTGAGTTCTCGCAGACTGCGGCCCGTTCTTCGATGGGGGGTCAGAAGCCTCGCTGCCCTGCATCACTTCCTATCCGAGCCTATCATGGCGCATGCAGGCCATATTCTAGTGTCGTTGAATACTCAGTACCATCGTGAGCCCGCGTGTTCGCTGTGGGGAGGGTATTCTATCGCTGGTTGACCTTAGTAGTATGTGCTTGTTGGTTCTCAGGTTATCGACGCGCAATACGGCGAGCCGCAGCGTAGCCCGCGGTGCCGTGTCCCGTCGGACGTAAGCCGATGCCCCTGCACACGTTCCCAGCAAGGCAAGGGAGAAGCTGGTTGCTGTTTAAACGATTTGGGGTCTGATTGCGCGGTTGAATTGTTTGGTACAGGCGGCCAGGGACGTAAAGGTCACCGTCGTCGAGGCACTTTGCGAACGCGTACCACTGGTTGCTCATGCAAGCTAACGCAGGTCGCATCGTCCCCGGTCATCGTCAGGACACAACTTTTCCTGGTTTACTCACTGAGTGCGCTAGTGTCACCATCGGTCCGAGACGATATGCCTTCGCAGCAGCCCTGCAGATACCGCCCGCGGGCGCCGCACTTTCAATCTTGCACAGCGTCCCAAGCCCGCTTTACTTTCATTCGTTTTGTATCGCACTGCTCTTTCTGGAATGTTCGCCTGCTGTGCAGGTATTTCATAGCTGTGCGACCCTACCCACTCCACCTCTTCACAAACGGCCCTGGCCTTGCTAGACGTGTAATAGCACGCGCCTCTTCTTGCCCTCCCTGAATATGAGAAGCGAACCCGTCCGGCTTGGTCTGTACCGGCCTTCGATCTTCAGGGTCTTCACACGATATTTGACCTTGTACAACAATGTTCAGACGCATAGGTGGCAGGGAAAGTACAGAGAATTGAGCAGATATCTCCCGCAGGCTTGCGTCCTTGATAAGGCGCTTATTATGGCAGGTGGGCGTGTATCCCGCGCTACACCTCGACAGCGCCACATCCGCATCTTCCAACTTTCCCTGACTTCCGGTATCGTTTTCTGGCTTCAAAAAAGCAGTATATATGTTGTACAGTCCCAGAAATTAAAAATTAACTGCCACAGTGAGGCTCGAACTCATGACCTGGGATTATCAATTCAGTTCAAGTCTCAGAGGGGCATTTCCCATGGCCTTTTTTTGGTTCAAGTGCTCGAATGAGCAGGAGCATTTTCTTGAGGACGTCGGGGCATAAATACTAAGCCCCCACCCTTGAGCAACCGATTTTCCACTTTACCACCTGCTCACCCAACACATTTCTCATTTCAGAAATCTCCGTGATGTTCATCATGAGCTTTGAATCAAGAGAGTAGGTATAAGTACATGGTCAAAGAAAAGAAGACAGCAAGAAGAGAAAACTAAGACAAGAGGGCAAAGAGAGTAGGTATCAATAACCTCCGGCCCCCGCCCGGTATGTTCGAGTGGAGCCGAGTAGGTGGGACTCTCACTGGGCCTCAGGCCCTCAGCAATCATCTCAGGAATCAAAAAGCAGCTGCCCCAGTGAGGCTCGAACTCACGACCTTCCGATTATTTAAGCGTGTCGTATGACTGGCATTTAACAGTCGGACGCTGTAACCAACTCAGCCATGGGGCATTGAAAGTCTGTCTCTCATGTTTAGCTAAGATAGACATAGGCTTGGACTGCAAACCTTTTCTTCATGAGTACAGTCGGCAGAAAGGTTTTCGAGTTGTCAAATAATCCATAACAGCGATTGCAAAAAACTGACGCACTGCGTTTGCTTCTCTGATAAAAGCAAGGGAGCGAAGTGAGTTTTTTCATTAGTTGGCTGATTTAATTTGGCCCACCACCAAATCTCTACTTCTTGAGAGGGCGCTTGATAGCGACGTCTAGAGGCCAGTCACAATACCGATCCTTCTTGTCAGGACAAATGAGGGTATGCACTATTACAATGAGATAGCTGACATGGAGCGAGGCTCAGAGACACAGGTATTATTTAGGTGCACCAACTATCGTCCGCCCTTTATCATTCCGACGCCTGTGACACGATCCTTGCTCAGATCGGCCTCAAGGTCCATAGGACCATTAGATGGCGTCTTCGCGGTGGATACAGGTTCATCGCCACATCCACAGTCATAAGTTGCATCAAGATTCGCGCAGTCGAATTCAGGCTTTCCGAGCCGTTCGTTCACTTTGTTATGTACGGCGCATAGCCATGTAGCAGCAGATCTACGCGAGGAGGTCTAGATTCAAGCGGGCATGTGCCATGAGTTCCTGCAAAGATCACGGAGAGCACGTTGACATGCCTGTGGCGGATATTTCTGGAGCAGCTGCTGAAACTCTGCGGCGCACTCGCCACATGGGTACAATCTCGAGAGCAGGTGAAAGTAGCTGTTCAGTGCTGCTCGCTCGTCGTCTGTCGGTTCCTAGGCACACATGTCCTTGTAAGCCGAGAACACGAAGTAAGACATGCAAACGCACCTCTGGATATCGGAGAGTCATGGTGTGTCTACGAGGCATAAGCAGATGTCTCAGTTCATAGCCTTGGGAACGTACAGCAACTTCCAAGTCGCACGACCAAGTTCAGCTCTATGAACATTATGGCGCGGTTGAGCGTCAATTGTACCCATGAACTCGCGAGCAAGTACTTACTTCGCTGTCGCATTCCCAAGCTTGGGCATGATTACATTACCGTGCATACCTTCCGCCGCACTGGCGGGAAATGTGTGCAAATCCTTCTCAACACCACCCTCGCCAAAGAGGTCTCCCGTCCATGGGTCTAGATATGTTCTCGATGGCGGATGTAACAGCATGAGTGAACCGAGGAGGAACTGGTGCGCGCATGAACCACGTAGGAACCTGGAGGCTCAGTACCAGATGTGAAAGCGACCACAGCAACGGTCACGCACTAGTGCGAACGTAATCACAAGAAATGCCCTGCTAAACCGTGATATCATCTTAACTGTCCGGCGTAAATAGTGCTTTGAGGAGCGCTTCGCGAGGGTGAAGGTTGTGGGAGACGGAGACAGAGACGGGGGCGGGGACATGTACTGTAGACGCCCATAAAACGCGAGCTTTTATGAGCCCGCGCTTGGCTTGCCGTCTGCCTTCATCTTTTCCGCCCTCTCTGATATCTGTCTCAGCCTGTGCTGGGCACGTCTAGGCTGCTCGAGGACAGTCCATTAATTAGTAGTGGTAGCCCGACTCTGCGTGAGTGCCATATACAGCGGCTTGTCTGCGTTATTCAGGTTTGCAAACTGACGCTTTGCTTGGGAAATGTATATGTAGACAGAGACAGAATCGCTACGAAGGCAGACACGGGCGTATATGAAATGTCATGCCTACATCCAGTCCACCCGCGGATGACGATTCAGCTGCCGATATAGAGGTCGACGAAGACGATCAAGTCTTGCCGCCAGACCCCACTACAGTCTCGCACTACCTTGCACATCTCTATGCCCATAACAATGACGTCCGCTCACATCTCATGGGAAGCCCACAAACTATAGACGACTATGTCTGTGCCTCGTACTTTGCACCAAGCGCATATTGGACCACCCAGGAGAAGGATCAGTTCTTCCATGCGCTGTCCGTCCACTCGCGCCTTAGGCCTGACCTTATAGCCGAGGAGATTGGCACCAAGACTCTTGCGGACATCTGTACATACATTGACATGATAGAAGACGGTTTGAAGCGTAGCGGATACTCTGGGGACAGGACGACAGAGCAGATAATTCCCGAATACCTCGACTGCGAGTCCGTGCCTCGAGGAGACTTTCCGATCGCGTACGAGGTCTGTGACGAGTGGGTCGACTTCGAGGAGACGCTTGCAGAGGCGGTCATAGCTCAAGAGCCGGATATGGTCGCGGATGAGCTCAAGAAGGCGCGAGAAGAGGAAGCCCGCCAGCTCCAGCTCCAGATTCGCGCGCGCAAGGGTAGTGCTAAGCTGGCAGGCAACACCCGCGATAGGGAAGGCGAGAAGGTGCGCAAGAAGCGGTTCAAGGAGTGGCTAGAGGAGAAGGAGAAGGCTTGGAAAGAGGAGGATGCGCTGAACAGCATGGACGTCGCTTTGATGAAGACGATCGACATGCTTTTACGCGAGCGCGATGAAGCCAGAGCTTTAGTGCCGCGAGAGGGACCAGCTGGAGGCCAGGGCAACGCAGCTATGCCTGAGGCTCATCTTGTAGAGGCTAGCGACGGTTCGGTTAACCCGCCTGTCCTGCTGCCAAAGGCCTTCGACGACTTGGACGAGGAACTCATAGACCCTTCGCCTCGTGCCTCATCGTCTGCCCCGACAGTAGTACAGACATCGCAGCCTGAAGGCCTAAACCGATCGCGTTCGCCGGAGCCTTCTGCGCTCAATCCACACGATAACCTCAAGCCTCGGACGCCACCCTTCCCGCATCTCCGGCCTACTGAGAGTTCTAGTACGCTCATCGACCCAGAGCATGACATCCTTTCTGCCTCTTCTGCCGCTGCCTCCTCTGACGTCGCGCCATCTGAAGCCGAAGCGTTGCTGTCACCTGCTTCTCGCCGCCGCCTCATGAAGCGCATGTACATGCGGCGCAAGCGCGCTGAGAAGACCGGCGAGGTGGTCGATCGGAGGATCGCACGACTGAAGCCTGGTCGAAAACCGATGAAACTTCCAGGCGAGGCGGAGAACGAGAATGAGCCGACTCGCCACCCACGTCCGTCAGGCAAGCCGTTGCAGGCGAAGAAGAAGGAAGAACTCAACACCGCGGGTATCACCGCGGAGTGGCTCGAGCAGGGAAGCTTGGATCTCTTCCATTTCGGCGCGCTCTACAAGCTCATGAGGTAAGTTTGCGCGTTGTGCAGTTCTGCGGTCGGATACTGACATCTTCCGTAGGACATATCAGAGCTTACACGACGTTCCGGATGCAATCGCTTCCGAAATATCTATTCATGCCCTTCGGCTGCTTCGTGATGAGCTGGTACAATTCATCTCCCGTATTGTCCAACATGTTATCGTCTCGCGTGAACAAGAGATGAAAGCCAAGATGCACACCAAGGTGTGGCGACTGGCCGGGAATCAGGTATGCAATCTCGATACCACCCACAGTACCGCTCCGCTTATCCTGCTGTAGGTTGTAACAGCTGCCAGTGTCTCCCATGCCGTGTCGCTTCTCGGTCTCAAGCGCCACGACAAGAAAGCTCATTTTCAGAGTCTTCTACCTCGTCTGGATTTAACTGAAGAGGACTTTGTCGACAGCGAAGATGACGGCCCTAACGTGGAGCCCGTCCAACGGACGAAGAACAAGCAGAAGGCTAAAGCAGGCCCCTCGCGCGACGACATCGAGTCTGAAGGCGAAGCTACCTCTGCAACGCTTCCGCCTCTGCTGCAGGACGCACCAATACATCGCATCGTCTTCCCGCCTTTCGTGCGCCTGCCGGGCACCTCCACACAGCTGTCGGACTCGATGCTGCCATACATCCCTTGGGCGCACGGCCTGAACGCAGACGAGCCTGAAGACGTCCCGGATGTCGACGAGGAGGCCGAAGACGCGGCAGAGGCACACGAGCTGCTCCAAGAGGAGGAACTCGACAAGCGTGATCGTGCTGCGGCGAAGCTTTACGAGGACAGGCTGTTCGAGGAGCTCGGCGTGCACCAGGAAAAGAGGACCTTCACGGACGCGTTTGGAACGTGGGACGTGTCGCGCGTGGAGAAGACAGCGAGGCGTCTGTTGACTCCTGACGTGCCGGGGCCGAAGGTGGGGAGGAAGAGGAGGCGCACGAAGACGGCTGACGGGTCTGGTGCAGACAGGAAAAGGCAGAGAGTGAAGACGACGGAGTTCGTGCAGGATAGCGATGATGAAGGAGAGGATCTCGACAAAGAGGATGGAGGGACGGATGAGGATGAGAATGCAGGGAGTGGTACAAAGGATGAGGGGGAGGAGGGGGAGGGGGATGAAAATGCAGGGGCTAGTGAAGGAGCAGAGGAAGGAGAAGAGGGTGAGGGGAGCGAACAGGATGACGAGTAAGGTGGTCTCATCGCGTCACTTGCAAGCGTCGACGTACGATACTATGATTTAGTCCAGCTGCTTTCTTGGTGTACTGTACCCGTCCGTATTAATCTTTTTGTCTTTTGCATGTGGGAGCAGTTGAAGCCGCGGTACCCCTAGTCGCCACCTCAACGGTGAACGCGGTGACCATTCTCCCCTAGTCTCAACGCGTGTCGTTGCCACGCCATTCATGACGGAGACATCTGATTTGCTGGCGGCTCTCCTTGCAGATATTATGACGTCCTACGCTCCAGCATAACACGCCACTGTATAAATAGCGCGTTCACACTTTACTGCGTAGGTGAGAATTGGGCGGGAAGCGGTCGTTGCGGCCGCAGCGTTCGGCCGGCAATATGAGATCATGCCGCGACGGCGAGCAGTTCCATTTGCGTGTTGGAAGAATAAACTTAGCATTTCATCTCGAACATCATGTTCCTTGTCGATGCACGTGGTACGCGCAAGCTTAAGGTCACCAGCACGAGATAGAAGCATTGATATTGGACGACAGAAATGCGCCAATGATTAGGGAAAATACTAGCATTGAGCTAGAGAGGTCTAGCTAGACGCTACTCTGTAGATCCAGCACAAAATACGGAGTGGCGCGTCGCGCGAGAGGGGTGTAGTAACGTGGGAATTATTAGACTAGATATGGCTAGTGTCATCAAAGTGATAGGAACATAGAATTTATTATGCCCATCACGCTCATGTGGCTCGAACCACGCTGTTGACGGCAGTGACCGCGCTGGCCTTGTCCCTCTTCGTCGCGTACGACGAGCTCGACATCGGCCCCCACCTCTCCGTTGGCAGCGCTCGCAGTGCCCTTCCAGTCGACTCCGACGTCAGGGACGCACCACGGACGAAACAATCCGTCAGCAGCGAGCATACAGTGAAGCGACAAACGCTGCGGCGGTGATACTCTGGGATTCTTAGCTCGGCCACCCTCGAGCCGAGGTCACAAGCTTGGGAGTTTGTTTTCTGAGCCTTCTTCCAAGCACGGGAACCCTTAGTTCCATTCCAAGACTCAGCGCTCAGTCTTCGAGGCTTTCCGTTCCTCAACGACCAGCCCAACACGGCCAGGACACTCTTTTCCTCCTAGAGCTGCCGCTCTGCTCAGTTCTACCCCTCAAGGACACCAACAGATTTTTTTTTGTCGTTACCTGTCTTGCGGTTCTTGAATCATCGTGCAGACTTAGCGCCGATACGATGTCGAACCACCAGTATGCGGAGGTGCCTTCGGGCTCCAGACCAGTGACCACGACGGATAGCGACTTCGACGCCTATGGGACACCCACCGCCGGTACGCCTATCGTCGCCCCGATGCCTCTTGGTCACGATGGTATGCCAGCACCAGTGCCCTCGGCCTTCTCCCTGTCCTCGACGACTACCCCCCGGGATTCCACTTATAATCCCTATGGTGAGCCTATGGGCACGCCGAATAACAATTCTGCACCCTTGCTGCAGCATTCACCAGCTGATGCGATGTATGGCTCGGGCGGAAAGGAGGCCACATATCTAAGCGCAGGGCGCAAGCGACCATTCTACAAGCGACCTTGGTTCTACTTGCTGCTAGTCGTGGCAGTGGTCGTCATCGCTTTGGCTGTTGCACTGCCTGTGACGTTAATTCACAAGCACGATGGCTCCAGCGCATCTGGCGGATCATCGAGTGGCGGAGGCGGCAGCGGGGGTGGTGGTGGTGGTGGTGGTGGTGGTAAAGGTTCTACGGCTCTCGCGACATCTGGCGGCAATGGGAGCACTATTACGACGGATGACGGATCCACGTTCGTTTACAACAACCCGTATGGCGGATTCTGTGAGTGCTAACTGTGATGTGCGTCATACGATTGGAGCCCTAAAGTGCGCAATCCACCAGGGGTGTCCGATCCTTCAAACCCGTTCAACAACAGCGCCAGGCCTAACAGCTGGACTCCGCCCATTAGCGGGGCATGGACTTGGGGTCAAGATCACATCTTCGGGTACGCAGCGCATCACCTCGAGAATACAGAATGAATAACATACCTTTCAATAGCGTCAATCTCGGTGGTCTTTTCGTCCTGGAGCCATTCATTGTTCCATCCCTGTTCCAATCGTACCCGAGTGCCGTCGACGAATGGACGCTGTCAGAAGCGATCGTAGCTGCGTAAGTCCTTGCCCCTTCACGCGGGCACTCTACTGACAAACTACTTGTTACGCCATTCAGAGGGCAGAATCTCACTCAAGTTTTGGAGGACCACTACAGCACTTTCATTCAGGAGGAGGATATTGCGCAAATTGCTGGTGCTGGCCTCAACTGGATCCGCTTGCCTATCCCCTTCTGGGCAATTGAGGCATGGCAAGATGTCGGTGTTGACCCTGGGTCGACCACTCCCGTTGCCGAACCGTTCCTGGCTAAGGTCTGCTGGCAGTAAGAGTCTTTCGAGTAAATGGTGCGCATAACGCTGAGTATATGCGGCCAACTAGGTATATATTGCGCGTCCTAGCTTGGTGCCGCAAGTATGGTCTTCGTGTCAACCTTGACCTGCACACCATTCCTGGTTCTCAAAATGGTTTGTTTGCTATTGCGCTATCGCTGGCGTTTTGTCTGATGTTCTGTCTTCCAGGTTACAACCACTCCGGCAGACTTGGCCAAGTCAACTTCATGGCGGGCATTATGGGCTACGCTAACGCGCAGCGTGCTCTCGACTATATTCGTACGATCACGGAGTTCGTCAGCCAGCCCGAGTACATCGACCTCATCCCAGTTTTCAGCATCGTCAACGAGGCTCTTGTCTCCACCATTGGCATAGACCAAATAACGAGCTTCTACCTGCAGGCACATGACATGATTCGCGGTATCACCGGTCTTGGCGAGGGCAATGGCCCCTTCATAGTCATCCATGACGGCTTCTTGGGCATCAACACTTGGTCAGACTTTCTCCAGGGCTCAGACCGCATTATGATAGACACGCACCCGTACTTCGCCTTCGATGGCCAACCCAACAATGCTCCCATCGACCAGCCACTCCAGGGTAGCTCAGTCCAAGGCCAGTTCGGCGGACCCTGGCCCATGCAGGCGTGCAATGCGTGGGCTGCGAGCATGAACCAGAGGTACGTCGAATTCTCCATCCCCTCGCTCTCGTGCTCACTGTGCATTTACAGTCGTGAAAATTTCGGTGTCACAATTGCAGGCGAGTTCAGTAACGGGATCAACGACTGCGGTTTGTGGGTGCGCGGCGTCAATATTACCCCGTCGTACGCTGGCAACTGCACTGAGTTCAGTAACGCCGATCTCTGGACCGACGAGATTAAGAACGGCTTCCTGAACTTCCAGCTTGCGAGCATGGACGCTCTCCGGGACTGGTTCTTCTGGACTTGGAAGGTTCGCAGCTTCCTTCCTCGGTCGCTGTTCGTTGTCTGACTGCAGCCCGTAGATTGGCAATGACTCGACCGGCTCGGTGCAATCACCTCTCTGGTCCTACCAGCTCGGACTGCAGGGCGGCTGGATCCCGCCTGACCCTCGTGTGGCTCTCGGTACCTGCCAAGCTCTTGGTGTCGACACGCCCCAGTTCAACGGCAGCTTCCAGCCGTGGCAGACGGGCGGCCCCGGCGCAGGCACCATCGTCCCGTCTTCAACCTCGCAATTTGGCCTGTTCCCACCCACGAGCATCGCTGGCGTGCCCGCAGGCCAGGTCAACCTCATCCCGACGTACACCTCGAGCCGCGGGCCGCTGACGCTCCCGCCGCCGACATTTACCGCGACGGTCACGGTTAGCACCGGCGACGGCTGGTTCGACACTGCGGATACGGCACAGTACGTCACAGCGGTGGCGAACTGTGAGTACCCCGACGCGTGGAGCGCGCAGAACAGTCCGGTCCCTGCGACTGCGTGTGGCGCGATGTCGGCGCTCGGCGGCGCAGCCCCTGTTACCACCACCCCCGTGGCCACCCCCGCAGTCCCTCCCGCTGCCACCACTGCTCCCCAGCCGACTGCACCCGGTGCCGTTCTAACGTCGATCTCGAGTACAGCCCCCGCCGTCTCCAGGACTACTTCGGGCGCAGGAGCTGTGACGACTAGCACGAGCGTGCCTGTCGTCCCTCCTGCTGCTACCGTGCGAAGGTAATCTTGGTGGCTTCATATCTTTATCAAAACGAACTGTGCTCTTTGGACCGTCCTTTTTTTGTTTATGGACCCTCTGAGACCTGAACTGATACCAGACTATTTGATTCCACACTGAAAGACTCAACTGTCTTTTTACCTTCGCCGCCTAGCAGTGTCTCGAACTTGTCTATACACGTCCTTGTTTTTCCAGTGGACTATCTCGCCCTTGCGGCGCTAAAGATCCTGTGCGGTCTCCCTATGTATATCTACCACACTATACTGTACACCCATGCACTATATATAATCGTGCAACTAGTTCAACGTAGATGAACAACCGCACATCAACGAGATCGCTGTGACCCAGGCCGCGTGTGTTTACTGCCTCTTCCTACCCTTGCGCCGCTCTGGACCAGCAGACCCGCCATTTGCAAATTTTGGCGCACACTCTGGACAGTACCACTGATCAGGCAGTGGCGGTTTGAGGTTGACGCAATTAAGATGGAACTAAACGACTAAAATCAGCACCCTTGCGACGGAAAGGACATCACAGAGACAACGCACCCATTGATACCGACAGTCCTCGTTGTCGCAGCCGACCATCTCGCCGTAGGATAACTTCTGGCAGAAGCAGTAAACCTGCTCGTCCTCCTGGTCGCCGTTCTCTTCCATCGCCTCGTCTTCGACATCGTCCTCGCCTTCCGCGTCCTCGTCCGCCTCTGGCCCGACAGACGCCGTCGCGCGTCGCCCGCGCCCTGTCATGACCTGCTGGCCAAGGCGCGAGCGTTGCCCTGCGGCACCAGTTCCTGTCGCGGGGGGCACCGTTGCGGGGGCGGGGCTCGGAAGCTTGATGGACCCTGCAGAGGCAGTCCCGCCCAGCCGACGCTCTGCAGGCGACAATTGATTCAACCGTATAACGCGTGAAGCGCCTAACTTACTCTTCTGCGGAGGCCCTGCCTGCACAGTGCTGCTGACAGGCGTCGAAGGGGTCTCCGGTATCGCGATCGCACTCCGGAGGCTCTCGTTGAGCTGCGCGACGGGGTTCCGCGACGCGCCGTAGTAGTAGTACGCTGGCGTCGGATCAACGGGCGGCTCGCCCTGGAGCGCGAGCATTTTGCCGAGGTCACGATCGAGCCGGGCTTGCGCGCGTGCGACGAGCTGCACGACGCGCTGCGCGAGCTGCTCCTTCTCGAAGCTCAGCTGGTCAATCTCGGCGTATTGCGCGGACACAATGGACGGGATCGACACGTCCTTTGCAGTCAGCTGCTGGCCCGGGGGTGCACGCAGAGAGTGTCGGACGTATTTTGCGCCCTCTTTCTGAATCTCGCTGTGTAGCTCTAAGAGGCATGAATCAGCATGGAGAAGCACAGCAATCAAGGCGCCGCATACCTTGTGCTCGCGTGTCCTTAACTTTCATTTCGGACAAAAGAAACTGTACCTCAGCAGGCAAGTTCTCAAGACCTAAAAAAGAATGAGATGAAATGACGTGATAATAACATATTCGTCGCAGGACTTACTGTAGATATATTCGGCAGCAACGGTGGCGGCCTCTTCAAGATTTGTAGAGCTCATGCTGGGTCGGACAGACCAGCAGATAAATCCAAAATGGTATCTATCGCGATCCTAAGAGTTGTTGTTGGAGCTTAATGTAAGAATTAGCTTGATTTGTGAGCTGTGAACGGGTTCCGCTTACCGAGACCGTGGTGGTTTGAGGCAACTTAGTAAGCGCCATGAACCGCGGCGGAGCGCATCATTTGATGCGCCTGAGATGCCAAATTTGGAAAAGTCGGTAACAGTTTTCAATAGCCTCATGCTGAGCACACAAGTTAGATAGATGAATAATATTAATGCTCCTTGTACGGGCGAAAATCCATCGACAATGGTAGCTACGGATATCTGGAGAATACATCCTCGAACTTTTCAAACGTCTCTCGTCCCAAGACCGCGAATACGATGCGGTCAAACGACTTTCGGAACCTTGAGCTCTCTTCTAACAGTAACTCTGCCCAGATGCTAGCCACTGTCTCAACATTGTTACGGAATACACCAGTCCCAAAGCTACCGAGGACGATATGCCGCACTCCTTGGCTTTCGAAGAGGTAGAGGATCCTACCCATGCGCTCCTTCATCGCCTTCGCGATCTTCTCTTCCTCCGCAGGCCCTGCATCACTCCCCTTGAATGACCGCACCACACCCGCATTGACGGCTGCGCTTGTGAGGACATCAATGGCGAGCGGTTCGAGCCAGCCGCCCTGATCATCACGGAAGACGAGCACGCCAGGCGAGTAAATCATGGCATGCGAATAGTAGCCCTTCTTTTGGTCACGGTTGTGCAATGTGTAGAACTCTTGTGCGACGCGTGTCATGAGTGTCGGGTAGAGCGTTGATGAGCGTGCGATGGACTCTTCTTGTGCCTTTGAGCCCTTGAGGAAGCCACCACCGGGCCTCTTGGCAGAGGCAAAGTTGAGAACACCGATCTTTGGACGTGGGGTCACGCCAGTGTGGTCGTTTGCGAGAAGGCGTGCGCCCTCCAGTGTGGATATCTCGAGGAGAGATATCCGTGCTGGATCTTGTTCAGGTTGCGAGCCAGAAGCCCATGTAGAGAGCAGCGACTCTGGGGCATAGTAGCGTGTGTTCTGCTTCGAGGCGGCGAGAGGGCTCTTCAAGTCGTACCGAAGATACGAGCCGTGCTCTATCGCATCTATCGTAGCGGCAGCAATGTCCATGAGAGCCTTCTTCATTGGATCCCTCGAGCTGTCTTCCATCGATGCTTCACGGCTGGGCGACATTCTCCTGATACCCAGACTACGGATATATCTGCATACCCTCTTTTTCAGCTTCATCCTAAGCGTATACATGCAGGTACAAACCAAGATTGGTGAGGAAGCCTGTGAGCATGATGATCGTGTGCAACCTTCATATATGCGCGCGCCTGTGCGCACTGGGCACGGGACTGACTCCGTCGGTCGGTGCCGTCGACGTTCACAACCATGAGCACCTTCCACCGGCTCCGTCTCGCGTTTGCCCGCCGTCAGGAGCTGCTGAGCAGCCAGGGCATTTCGCTGCTGCACAATGTAACCCCGGTGTTCGAAGCCAAGCGGCGGTGGACGAACCGCTGGACGTTCACGCTCGCGTTCGCGCAGGTCGCCGTGACGTGAGTGTCTCTCTCCCGGCGATCTCACATACGATTTCACGCTGCCTACAGGGTAGCTGGCGCGGACCTCATTCTGAACCACTGGACCGAGCGCGTTGAATCCTCAGAGGACAGCAGCAAGCCGGACGCGTCCGCAGACACACACGCTGAACCCGAATACCGCCTCCGCCCTCTGTACCAACGGCTACCGCTTGCAACCGCGCAGTACGGCATTGGCATATTCATCTGCTTCCTCATATTCAACATGCGTTCGCGCGTTGTGCGTCGGCTGTACGTCCTGCCTGGCAGCGCCGTGGACCGCTCTGCACCTTTCGCACCAAAGCTACGGGGGGCACCGCACGACCGTGCGCTCGTCGTGCAGAACGTTTGGCATTGGCGCGGGCAGGGCAGAGTCTTTCCATTCTCCGCTGCACATCTTGAGGCCGGCCAACACGACTCCGATACTGTGCTGAGAATCGACAAACAATCTGGCGCGTACTCCCTCACGTTACCCCGCGCGAAAGTCAACGGGGACGAAGAATCATCATTATGGGACCTCAAGAAGAAGCTGTATACGACATGGTACGGAGAGAAGAAGGGCCTACAGGAGCTGGCGAAGCAAGGCTGGGAGAAGCAGGGCGAGGCCTGAATTCGCCCAAAAAATATTGTAGAATCTCTGCGATCTTCGACTTGACGTGGCGAAGAGCATAATAATGCACATGCAGATCTAAAAGTACAACGACTACACTAGACAATACAACAAAACAATGGTATATACTCATTCAATGGACGCGACCCAAGAATACGAAAAGGAAGGCTCATGCTAGATATAATTCTGCTGGCGCATTCGACGTCTTCACGTCTACGTTCCCCATATACTCGCCATCCCACACGGCCAACCCGTGTGCATACGCCCACTTATTGTTGTAAAGAGCTATTGATCTCGAACGGTTCTTTCCCGATGGGTCTGTAATCGGCCTGTTATCGACGAAGGCAACCTGGTTTGAAGTACGCAGGCTAAATCTTCCCTCGTACGTGGGATGAAGCCGGACGTGGGCTTTCGCGTTGGAAGTACGAGCGAGGAGGTTGAGCTTGGAGTCAACGGGCGCGGTTGGAAAGTCCAGCGACAGACGAACATTTGACGTGTTGGCTTCGACAGTGAAATCACCACCCTGGCCGTGGTACATTGGTGGCAGAGTGGAGACGAGGTTGACGAAGGAGTCAATTTTACTATGCATATAGTGAGCATTTGTATCAGGAGCATGGGCGAAAAGACTCACGCATTAGAAGTCTTCATCTTCAGCACAGGACCTTGCATGTCTTCTGGGTTGCTGTGAACCAGGGTTGCAGTGACGTTGATGGCTCCGTTAGTAGTTCTTAGTCCCAGGCTTTCTGAGGCTTGGAACTGGCCAACGATGTGGCTGTTCGACGTGATGACCTGTGCGACTAAGGCGTTCAAAGACTATCCAATGGTAAGGGCTTTTGTTTATCAACAATGGCAAATAGACCTGCCTGAGAGGAAATGTGAGAATTCGAGCTTTTCAGCTCTAAGTCGCGGAAGAGGACAGTCTCATTTAGATCGCCAATGTGTTGAGTGAAGTTCGGCACATTCGTTTCCAGGCGGGCAACTTGAAGCACTTCATCGGGAAGCCTTGGAAGTCGGATGGTGACCTCGAACTCAAGCCCGGGGATCTTAGATGATCTCCACTGCGTCGGAGACTGCGTTGACCGTCAGGCTAGAACTTTGACAGTAGATGTCGTTATCACGTACGAAGATACCTATGCCTCTTTCGTTCGGGCCGCGCATAAGCGAACATACACTGACGGCGGACAGCCAGTCTGGGGTGTTGTGCAGCGGTGTGACATCGACGTGTACCGAGTCGAGGTCCTCGATACGCTCGTCCTGAGTAATCACGACATTGCCACTAAGGTACTTCCCTCGCGTGAAGACGTACAGCACGTCCGACATCCTGTCGAGCTTGAAGGTCGTCATCATCGGCTCTTGCCCGGCGGGCCATGCGTCCGGGCCCTTAATGCAACGCAGGGCTACGCCATCTTTCGCTGTCGGTCGTGCAGTATCCAGGTCCTCGATCAACTGTTCGAGCGTCGTGAACATCGTACGGGAGAGGAATAGAGTTGGGGCGCACCTCACGGTTCCAGCCATGACGACTCCTCCCAAGTCCAGCGATGCTGCTCGTGACCGCAGCCAACAGGAAATAGATAAGCAGAGCAACGAAGAAGGCCTTGCAAAATCGTTGCCCCGCAGGCTCTCCTCGCCTGACCTGCACAGGCACATACACGATCGGCTGCGTCTCATTCGGTCCCGCTTGCACACGGGAACCAGACGCGCCGTGTCCAGGGTACGCAGGGGGTGGGTGTTCCGCGTCCGTCGCTGGCGCGGATACTGGCGGGTCCTGCTTTGAGGGAGACTCAGGCCTGTCTTCGGGCAAAATCATGGCGGTTGCTGGCCAAGACAAAGGACGAGGACATTCAGGAGGTTCGAAGCGGCTTTTATCAAAGCATTGCACGTGGAACCGCGGCGGGAGCGTCTGCCCTTGACTGCGGGGCAGCTGCGCTGAGCCCAAAGCAGCCGCACGCCTCGGTCCTTGTGACTCGAGCGAAGTCGTCACCCCAGTGCTCTATTGAACAACTTGATACTGCGTAGCATGGCCCTGAGAATCGAGGTTGAATGGCAAAATCTACCAGTGAGCAACAAAGAAGTGGCGGTCGTTTGCGAGGTGGAAAGGCGCGCGTGCAGCGTGTAGGGCGTGCCAAACCTGCTCTTGAACATCACCACCTTTGGCCCAACATATATCCAAAAATCGCCTATATTGCGCGTATAAATCACCATGGTACGTCTCGGAAATATAATACACACGCTCATTGTGTTGAGAGAACGCAACCAGCTCCCGCTTTCACTACTAAACGCGGCCCAGAACAAGCCAATGGTGAGGTCCTTCCTTATTATGGTCCCAGCAGGTTTATAGCTCAATTCAGGAATGACTCTCTAGTTGGTCGAGCTGAAGAATGGCGAAACCTTCAACGGTCACCTGGTTAATTGCGACAACTTCATGAACATTACCCTCCGCGAGGTATATCAGACGAGCGCAGAAGGAGACAAGTTCTGGAAGCTCAAAGAGTGTTATATTCGCGGCAGCACAGTGCGTTGCTGCTCTTGGCTCAAAGTGCGGAATACTCACGGTGTGACAAACAGATAAAATACCTGCGTGTCCCTGACCAACTACTCGATGTTGTGAAAGAAGAACAGAACCGAGCACGCGAGGCAGGACGCAGCTCAAGGGGTGGAAGTGGTGGTTCTAGAGGTGGTATGTGTACACTCCGGTCTACCTGGATATGCTCTGATATACTACGCCTTAGCACGTGGTGTGTCACAACGGGGAGGTAAGGACTCCATCTAACATACATTATGGCAGCTGAATACTATTATTTTAGGACGTGGTGCTGTCCGTGGAGGTCCTATGCGGGGAGCTAGGGGACGGGGTAGAGGTGCTTAATTGCTCACATAGGTGAGTGTGCTCATTGTACCTGTACGCTAAACCTCATCGAGTTGCTCTTGTAGGTTGCCGCTCTTCTTTCTGTATCACACGCCATACGCACATAACATGTCACTGGTGATGTTGTCTGTGTTTGCTGACTACAAGCTGTTTTGCTATCCTTCGTACATCCTTGCGCTTATGTGTGCATAACTTGCTCCTCAACTAGGCCCCAGGTGTGTTGGTCCCCTGGTCCGTGCAGCACCAGACCTGTAACTATGGCCCGCCCAAGAACAGACTTGCTCCGTGCACGCTGGGCCGGTTTGTCTCAGCCGTGACGTGAGCCTCTTCACTTTCTCTCTCTGAACGATGGCATCGCGCAATTCTGGTGATTCCTGATTGATATTGAGCTTTGAACTGACGGTTGCCCCACGCGTCCGCCAGATTACCTGCATTCGTCGGTTTGAGCTATCGGAACAGTCAACAGACTCACGCACTGGCACAGCTTTTTGTGATCCCCGTAGATGGATCCCACGCGCCGTTCCTGCAAGCGCCGCCCCAGGGTGCGCATATAAAGCGTGCTATCACGACACTGGGATTGTGGCGTCCGGGGCCATGCCCACACGAGGAACGATATCTGCCTACTTATTTCGTATTTCTACGAGCTTTACCCAGGACCTCTTTGCACAGAATGTCTTCTTCAGTGCATACTCTGCCTGTTGAGCTCGTGAGGCCTGTGCTAGAGCACGTTCTGGACAGAGCTGATATACGTAGCTGTGCGCTCGCCAACCATGTTTTCCACGCGGAATCTGTTGCCGTGCTGTACAGAAACATCGAAGTGGGGAGCATCATTGTCGTAAGTACCACGCCCTCCGCTATATCCACTCGGCGCAGAGACTGAGGCAAGTTTATGAACCAGAGATACAGCAAAGACGGGCATGCCGAGCTTGTACATCCATGTACCACCATCCTCCAGAAACCCTGGTATGGCAAATTCGTCCGCCACTTTAGCGAGTCGTGTAAGCTCCCACAATCTCAGCTTGGATGTCGCTGGAGTACCAAACTGACATTTCCGCAGCGGATGTGGCAACCATAGACCCGATGCTTCTCATCGACTTCCTCGCCGCGTTGCGTCTCTGCACGCATCTGCGCTCCTTCACATGGACGTTCCCATCCGATGCCCCGCCCTCCCGAACGGAGCGCGTGCTCATCGAATACCTGTCCGTGCTTAGACGCCTGCGCGTGCCGAAGCTCGACGTACATGGCACGCCCGGGCTCAGCGGGCAGGTCCTCACACGGCTCCTATACATGGAAGACCTGACAAGCGTTGGTGTGCAGACGCGCGGGTCCGATGTCGTGCGCGCGGAGAGCATGGCCGCGGCCCTGCGCGAGCGGCTCACGCACCTCGAATTCGCCGGACCTGACGACAGGAGCCGGTCGTGCGTCCCATGTAAGACGCTCCCCGCGCTCCCTTTCGCCTTGTGCGCTGATCGGCCGTTCTGCAGTGTTCTCCCGCTTGCGTGGACTCACGAGTCTCACGCTGAGAAACGCGACGACGCGGGACGTGCTCGAAATCCTCGCCGTGCTCCCCGCTCTGACTGTCCTCGATACGCACTTCCTCCCGTGCACGGAGCCCGAACCCAGGTCTGCGCCGCCCGAGTGCCGTCTTCAACACCTGACAGTTTACGTCGCCGGGCAGTACTCCCTGCGCAGACTGTGGAAGTGGCTCCCGCAGCTCGTGCCGCGTCCTGGGCTGGAGAGCCTGACCGTGCGCAACCGCTGCGCGGCCGAATCCCAGGTAGTGTCTGCACCGAGCCAGTGGGCAATTGCCCCGACGTTCTTGAGGCGGATTGCGCGCACACATGGGGCGACTCTGAAGGATCTCGTATTCGACGCCATGTGCATGACCCCGCACGACTTCGCGTTTGTGTGCGAGTCATTCGTGGTGCTCGAGAGTTTGTCGTGCCAATTAACGGAGCAGAATATGGTGCGCCTACCGCCCGGTTGGCACCTGCAAGCTAACTCATGCTCGGCTACAGGACGCTGTCGGCGAGGCGATCTGCGGCGCACACGAGTTGCGCCGCTTGTCGGTAGGCTGCAAGTCCCTATTACCACAAGACTACACCGCCCACTGTGCCGAACAGTGGCTACGTCGGGAAGGCTCAAAGCTGGTGTCGATGACCCTACGGAACGACGTATTCCGAGTGCGTGAATCTCCCAAATAACACTCATATCCATACTCAGTGAACAAATCTAGGGCGGTTGGGTGTACAGGGAACCATCCGAGGGACGACCTGGAAGCGCTTGCTACGAGATTGCGTATAGTGAGACGGAGTATAATCTGGACAGACAAGTGACGTGTCATAGTATGTAGCCAGACTCAGCATTGTGTATATGATTTGTGCCGAGGCAAGCAGCAATGGAGATGTATTGGTAGCAGAGTGTAATATTACAACCACCTACTTCGCACCTCGACATCTCGGTAAATCCCGAAAACCGGCCGGCGCTGCTGTTCCGAGTACTTCCACCTGCCCTATCATACGGTCAGTATTTTTTAAAACACGATTTCAGCACACCGACCCTAACCTTGAAAATCTCAGACCCAAAGGTGATGCAGGTCAAGACCGATCCCCTACCGCGGTCCATCCAGCGCTCCGCGAGGTTCGCCAAGCTCCGCAGGTCATTTGACGGGGTGTCGCGGGAATATTGGATCATGAGCGTCCTCAGGTTGCATGCGGAATGCACGACGTCCGATATGGCTCGCTATGAAGGGCGTCCGATGGTCAGCCTGCGGGCGGCTGCTACAAGATTCTGGCCGACGTACCAGGTTGGGCACAAGTGGGATGAACGATAGCGCGTCGAGCCTGCCGAACGCGGTGAAGAGCACGCGTACTCCGTCGCTTCCGAGAGCGAGGTTGTACAAGAAGAGTTGGCGGAGGGAGTGGCCGTGCAGCTGGGCCAGCCGCTGCATGAAATTCGGGGGAACCGTGGCATTGCCCTGCGGTGCACGGTTGTGGATCGTCAGACTGTGCAGGGAGTTATGATGTGGCGCCAGAGCGAGGATCCAGTCTCCCAGGCCGACGCCGCCATCCTGAATAACATGGATTGTGAGGTGCTGCAGGCGCGCGAGAGGCTGCGTCAAAGGCATTGTCGTTTGTCCCAAGGTGCGGTATCGGACGTCGAGAGTGGTAAGGTGTGGCAGGTAACACAGGATGTCCGGTATGCTGCTCGTGGGTGCATCTAAACGGAGACTTCGGAGGTGAATCATGTGGCGTAGAACTACCGGAACTAGTCAGTGATGTGAAAAACATAGAGAGGTGGAGGACTTGCACTGTGGGTAACGTGCGGCTTCAGAAGATATGCTGAAGTCCAGCATCGTGAGGGCTGAACCCACACGCGCGCTCCATGCATCGAGGTCGCTTGCTGGTAGTTGAGATGAGGTGACACCAAGACTTGAGATGCCATGGAAGCGCATCAATCTGGTCCACATGCAGCTGCTGATACCAGAAGAAACCTTGACGTGCAGCTCGTTGATGCCGATATCCTGCAAGATGTCGAGGTAGACGCAGAACACAGTGTCTGTATCGCCTAGGGAACAGTTGTCCGTCCAAGAGAAAGAGCGGAGGTTGTGGCAAAGTCGCAGCGCCTCCAACCTTTCGGTCGAGAAGTGCCTAGCTATATCTGCGATCAGCTCAAGAACGAAAGTCGAGAGAGCGACGCACCGCATTGCAGAATCTTTCTCACATACTTACCGTACGATGGTTTCTGTAGAATAGTGTCGAATGGGTGAAGCACTTGTATTCTGCTCTCGCTGCGTTTCTGAGGGAGCCACCGGCATAAATAACATTTAGAGTGGTTGGGTGTAGCTTACCACGATTGGGATACGGATGTCCAGTGTTCTGTACAGAACCGGGATTGACACGTCGCAGAAGATGTGGTTAACTAATGTACAGCTGTAAAGGTCCTTTCGACATAGTAAGAACTGCACGACGCATCGTACAACGTCTGCTGGGATAGTCGATGGGCTAGGTGGCATCGGGATTTCGAGGGAAGAGGTTTAGTTCACAGCTGCAACTATGGCAGGCGACTTTCAATGGCCAGGTCTGCGGTGCCATACGATGCACAGATCGATCTAGAGTTGATCCATAACTCGATGAACGAGGAGGCCTCCGTGAAAGCGCATTCCCTCGCCTGGCGCGCACAAGAACGATCCTTTTAAGAATCATCCGCAGTGTGGTACCGTCATTGAGATGTGAACCTGCTGCCTGTGAGTGGCGTTACCTCCAAATGGACCCTTGATATTTCGTATTCCCGCAGCGTTCTCGGGTGCCTTTTGGAAGCTTGGTCGCTTTGGGGGCCATTTCAGGGCGCGCAGAAATTCGTGCCATTTCAGGGCAGGGGGGTGATCATCCTCTCGGTGTTCTCGGTGAGCTCGGGCACGGACTGGACCCAAGGCACGCAGTTAAGGACCGTTGGCAGGAAGGTACCGATGAGGATGCCCTCTTGAATGCTACGATGTCGGATTGCGTCTTCCATGCCGCAAGGCTCCTGCAGAGTGACCGACCGTCCCTCCACGCTACGAACTTCTCAATAAAATCACCCTACAAATCGACGAATGCATAGACTAAAAAAATCTTACAACTCTGAAGACTCCGTCTAGCGTGGAATAATCTTAGTCCGGCCAAATATTGGCTGAGGAGAGCATGGTATTAGTGAGTAATTCAAGTACTTGACAGCGTCAGAGCCAGTGTGCATATCATGCTGTAAGTACTACGTCAGCACGTACGAAAGAAAGCGTAAAGATTGAATCTTAACTCCGGCGAATCTTATCTTATCTCCATGGTAAAGATGGGCGCTTGTAATTATCTCCAGTTTGCCTTCAGCTTCAAAGCAGGGTCTTTCCGCATTTTGGACATGTTCTACATTATCGGGCTCGGCCTTTGCGATGAAAAGGACATAACAGTGAAAGGACTTGAGGTTCGTTATTTGGATGCTCACTACCTTGTGAGAGAATTGATAGGTTTTGCTCAGGCTGTCAAAGGGTGCTCAAGGGTCTACTTGGAGGCCTACACGAGCATCCTGATGATACAAAAGGACAGGCTGGTGAGCCTTCTTTTTTTTGCAGATGAATGCAGCTAATAGTGCAGCAAGGAAGAATTCTATGGGAAGGAGCTGATCCTTGCTGATCGCGACATGGTTGAAACTGAGAGCGATGAGATTCTGAAGGACGCGGACAAGGAGGATGTGGCCATGCTTGTGGTCGGAGACCCCTTTGGGTGAGTAACACCATGCATGGAAGTAGCTGCTCAAAGTTAACAATATGAAGTGCGACCACGCACACGGATATCGTCCTGCGCGCACGTTCCGCCAAGATCCCCGTGAGGATAATCCACAATGCGTCCATCATGAATGCAATCGGTGCTTGCGGCCTCCAGCTGTACAACTTCGGACAGACCGTCTCGCTCGTGTTTTTCACAGAGAATTGGAAGCCAGACAGCTTCTACGATCGTATTAAGGAAAATGTCGATCTCGGTATGCACACACTTGTGCTATTGGACATAAAGGTGAAGGAGCAGAGCGAGGAGAACCTTGCACGGTAAGCTTTTTGTCATTCAATTCTCTCGGCCATATTCATTGCCCGCTTCTCAGAGGGAGGAAGATCTACGAGCCTCCACGCTACATGTCAGTCAAGCAGGCAGTTTCGCAGCTTGCGGAAATCGAAGAGTCAAGACACGGTGGCATCCTCACTCCCGAGAAGACTCTGGCTATTGGCATGTCTCGCGTCGGAGGTGGCGAGGGACGGGAGCGCATCGTCTCGGGTACTCTTGCTGAGCTTTTGGCGCAACCACCAGAGGTTTTTGGCGAGCCCCTTCACAGCCTGGTCATCGTAGGAAGGCGGCTGCATCACCTCGAGGTCGAGTATGCGGAGACGTTCGCTGTCAACCCCGAATCGTGGAGGAACGTTGCCCGGACTACTTATGGCTGCGCTTTGGACTAATGCTGGAGGATGCATAAATTGTCCATAGTCACTGTAGCAATAGCTTTACACCACTATCTCGTCTATCGAGTCAGTCCCGTCGAGTCAGACCCAAGCCCTGTCCATCGGACATGGTATCTGCGCTCATCGCCGGGTCGCCGGGTCTCCCTCCACCTTCATCTGTGTAAATGACTTTTCTCTGGCGCGGCAACATCGCCACGCATGGATGGCTTAGCTATCTAGAATGGAATCGGAGGATCTGAGCATCAATCCCCGATATCCGTCCGTTGAGCTTGAAACGAAGTCGAGTGACCACAACTTATCTCTGACTCCTACCACCACTATAAATAGTCGCGTGTCGGTCGAAGTGTGCATACATTCGCGAGTCACAACCATGTCGACCATCCACGTTGACGAGAGCATCGGATCCGACGAAACTGGCAAGGGCACGCCCGAGCAGCCGTATCAGTCGCTCGCATTCGCGCTGTACACACATGCAGAAGCCAAGCTGCTCGTCCGCAAAGATGCAGCGGGCACATACGAAGAGCCGACACAGTCTGCGCTGAAGAAGGCGAAGAAGGGCGCAGACGGCCTCGAGAAGAAACGCAAGAAGGCGGAGGAGCTTGCCGAGCGCGAGGCGAAGGAGAAGGAAGGGGAGCGCGAGCGGCGGGAAAAGCTCATTGAGGAGAGCAAGAGGATCGTCCTCACCGAAGACGAGAGCCTCGCTAAGGCGAAGAAGGTGCACGGCGGCCGTTCTGTTTTTCCCCTCACGTTCTCACTGTTTTTCTCAGGCGAAAATTGGCCACCTCGGGTCGCTTCGTGGCCAACGTGTGTCGGTCTCTGGATGGGTGCACCGTCTGCGTAACCAGAAGGATATCATCTTCATCGTTCTCCGTGATGGTACAGGCTACCTTCAAAGCGTGCTTTCTGGCAAAGTGGTCAGTGATGTCCCTGAGTTACCGTACCGGGACCCGTATCAATGCTCTCAGCATGACAGGCGCAAACTTATGCAGCGTTGACTCTGACCCTTGAGTCCACCGTCCAACTGCACGGCACACTACAAGCCGTCCCCGAAGGCAAGACTGCGCCGGGCGGGCATGAGCTTGTTGTTGACTACTGGAAGGTGTTGGGTGGTGCTCCCGGTGGTGACGAGGCGTTCACCAATCGATTGAACGAAGTGCGTCCCTTCATCTTTATCCTGTGCTTCATCTTCTGACTCCTCACAGAAATCGGACCCATCGATCCTCGCTGACCTGCGCCACCTTGTCCTCCGTGGCGAGATCGCTTCCGCTGTCCTCAAGCTTCGCGCCGCCCTCCTCTCTTCCTTCCGTGACACGCTCGTCTCGCATGACCTCCTGGAGGTTACCCCACCCTGTCTCGTACAGACGCAGGTCGAGGGCGGTGCGACACTGTTTAAGCTCGACTACTATGGTCAGCCTGCGTACTTGACGCAGAGCTCGCAGCTCTACCTTGAGACGTGCTTGCCATCTCTCGGGGACGTGTTCTGCGTCCAAGAGAGTTTCCGCGCCGAGAACTCGTAAGTGGTCGCCCGTAACATAATTTCCATGTGTCTCAATGTCGGTGCTAGACATACTCGTCGTCACTTGAGCGAGTACACTCACCTCGAGGCTGAACTGGCCTTCATCACCTTCGATGACCTCTTGACTCACATAGAGGCAATTGTGCGTATCTGACTGTATGCGCGTGATATTCTGCCGCTGAGAAGGTTCCCCAGATTTGTGAGACCGTCGACCGGCTGCTCGCTAACCCCACGACTGCCGCTCTGATCAAGCAACTCAACCCCAACTTCACCGCGCCCGCTCGCCCGTTCCTGCGCATGTCCTACGTCGACGCAATCAAGTGGTTGAACGAGCACGGGATCCAGCACGAAGCAGAGGACGCCGATGGGAATGTGATTCTTGACGAACAGGGCAAGCCGAAGATGGTTGACCATGCTGTGGGCGACGACATCGCAGAGGCCGCGGAGCGACGCATGACTGACATCCTCGGCGTGCCGATGTTCCTGTACGGTTTCCCTGCCGAGCTCAAGTCGTTCTACATGAAAAGGATGCCATACGGGGACGGTGACGTGCACCTGTTCACCGAGAGCTGCGATTTGCTCATGCCCGGTGTCGGCGAGATCGTCGGCGGCTCGATGCGTATGACGGACCAGGACGAGCTCTCTGCGGCGTACAAGAAGGAAGGTATCGATCCAACGCCGTATTACTGGTTCACGGATCAGCGCAAGTACGGTACATGCGAGCATGGTGGGTACGGCTTGGGTGTTGAGGTAAGAGACTCCGGATCATGTGTGCTTGAAAGCTCGCTGAAAGCCTCGTAGCGTTTCCTTGCTTGGCTCGCCAACCGCTACACTGTCAGGGAATGCTCGCTTTACCCAAGGTCTGCTCTCTTTCTGAATTCCTGCCTGGCAGAGACTAACAAAGTTGTTCGTCTAGATGGCCTAGCCGTGCGACCCCCTAGACCAGCTGTCCTTAGCACAAGTGTAATAAGCATGGGATCGCGTTACAGTCGTGCGCTGTTGTAATAGCTCAGAGAACTCAATTACAAATAGATGTAGTCTTATCCTCACTGCGCTCAAGCTGCTGAAGCGGATAGGCAACGACAGAAGCTGTACGCGTGAGCCCGATGCTCTGTCCCGACCTTCGTAAGACAATGCAGTGGCACTGCATCACTTGCTAGGACTACAGCTCAAAGGTAGCACAAATATACGCATTTGCACACCTCAAGTGTATCGCGAGTTGAATGATGACTCGTAAGCTGTGAAACCCGGTATCTTGCCTCAACTTGAACGTTCTATCGCCTTGAACAGGACTTCGATCCGACCTGTGGGCGTCAAACAGCCAGCAGCGGCTTTGGGTTCAAGACTGCGGCGATTGCAGCCTACGTTTGTGCAAGTGAGCGCAACTGCTGTGCGATGAGTGGCCTCACTACTACCGCCCCAGGTCGCGTGCTACGATTCTAGGGTTGCCTCACCTTGCGCAGGACCGGACAGATAAGGGTGTGCACTGTCGTTGTGCCGTCGTATTTACAAAAGTAGTCTGCCTCGGTCGGGCCCTGCGCCTGAACGTTGGATGCACATCATAGGACGATTGCGTACGAGCACAACAGCTGAGGCGACTGTGAACCTTCGCGCTTGCCAAAGGGGTGTAAATCTCGACAGAATATCTGGCAAGATTCGAGCTCAGTTGATGCTCACTTCCATTTAAGGTATAATCCATGCTGTCTTACTGTCGGAGTCTGTATTCTAGGGCCAGAATGCTGCCGGCAAGAAGCCGATAAGGTTAGCCGCGAACAGCCTCTGGAGTAAACAACACCAAATACCCCGCTGGGTTATCAGGCGCAGAACTGCGGAGGACGCGCTTTCCCCACAACGTCGTTCAGCCCCCCGAACGACGACGACGATGCCTACTATGTACCTCACATTACTTGCCGTCGCACTTGGTGCAGCGGCCTCCCCGCTTTCCACCAACCTGCACGACACCTCGAGTGTACGGTCGACGTTCAAGATCGCTCCGCTCCTCGTCGAGGAGCACCCTCACGGGACCGTTAATAACTCGTATATCGTCATGCTCAAGCCGCAGACTGGTTCTGAAGTGCTACAGAACCACATGAACTTCGTGCAGCTCGCGCACCAGGAAGCTCCGCTCGTTGGTGACGAGCTTGCCGAGGGTCTCCGTCATGTCTACGACGGACACGTCAAGGGCTATGCCGGAATGTTTAATGAGGCTGTCGTCGACCGGATACGACAACTTCCGGAGGTGGATTACGTGGAGAGGGACCAGATTGTTCGTACTCTCGAGGTTGAGTCTGTGTTGGACTCTAGTATGAAGACTCAGAACAACGCTCCTTGGGTATGTGACCCCTAGCGCTTTTGTACTTACGCATTATTGATGTCGGATTTCAGGGCCTAGCTCGCGTGAGTTATCGCAAGAGGCTATCGCTCGGCACTTTCACCAAGTATGTCCACGATCCTGCGGGTGGCGAAGGCGTCGATGTATACGTCATCGACACCGGCATCAACATCAAGCACGAGGATCTTGAAGGCCGCGCTTCTTGGGGCAAGACCCTTCCTCAAAACGATGTTGACGAGGACAAGAACGGCCATGGTACGCACTGCGCCGGCACTATCGCCTCTAAGACCTACGGTATCGCGAAGGCCGCCCGTGTCATTGCTGTCAAAGTTCTTGGCTCCAATGGCAGCGGCACTATGTCCGATGTCGTTGCGGGTGTCATGTTCGCTTCGGAATCAGCTACGGCCAAGGCGAAGCAGGCCAAGGCAGAGTTTGCCGCTACCGGAAAGACCTCGCACAAAGGTTCCGTCGCCAACATGTCTCTCGGTGGAGGTCAATCCCGCGCTCTCAACGACGCTGTCAACAGCGCTGTTGATGAGGGTCTCAACTTCGCTGTCGCTGCTGGTAAGCTCATCTGGTAGATGCATCACCACTGCGTTTGTATTAAAATCACTTCAGGCAACGACGACCGCGATGCCTGCAACTACTCTCCGGCTGCCGCTGAGAGCGCTGTTACTGTCGGTGCTTCCACTATCACTGATGAGCGCGCCTACTTTTCCAACCACGGCAAATGCGTCGACGTGTTCGCTCCTGGTATGTCCGCGTGCGATTTAATGTTTGATGCAGTCTTTTAAACTTGCTGCAGGTCTTTCAATCAAGTCCACCTATATTGGCAGCACCACCGCGACCACCACTATGTCTGGTACCTCCATGGCGTCGCCTCACACCGCTGGTTTGATGGCGTACCTGCTCTCTATCTATCCATCGAAGGGGTTCAATCCCGAGGTTAGCCCCGACCTCGTTCCTCCGGCTCTGTCGCTCTTCGCACCATCATCGTTCACGAACGTGTATGCGATGGCTCATGCCGCGCTCCCGAGCTGGATGGTGACCTTCCTGCCGCCGCCCAGCCTTATTGAGGAGGTTGCACCGGTTCCCAAGGAGCCCCCGACCCTCACCCCCAAGCAACTCAAGAAGGCTCTCCTCAACCTTGCTACCCCCAACGTGTTCGCCGTCCTCCCCAAGGACACTGTCAACCTGTTGATTTTCAACAACGCGACATCGTAATGAATGGGCGGAGCATTTTTGGCGTTATATTCTGCCATCGTCGGCGTCCGCTTCGGTTGCGCTCTTTTGCTTGAGATGTTATCGTTGCTTCGTATACATCTTCATGTACTCCTAATATCCGTTGGATATCGTCTGCTATCCCGCACTGCAATCTTTACAACCATTTTACTAGTGATGCTATTGCGTGACGATTGAAGCTATTGCAGTTCAGGGTCGGCTGAGCATTTCATCTTTCTGCGATATGGACATAGTAGGCGCTTATTGCATCCAAGGCGCAACGGAACCTCCGTAAGACTTGCTTTCGCACCTGCATCAGCCTCTTCCGCCACTACTGTTCAAGCTCTGGTCGCTACCCTCCATGTCGGTCTTTCAACGGTTGCGTCAGGTACCTATCGGCGATATCCTACATCGCGGACTGCTGTACACCCTCGTAGGTATCACCGGCTGGGGTGTCTACATGATCGGCGCCGTGCATATGGATACGATGCGGAGAGGACGAGGTGCGTGCCTGTGCCGCCAATCTTGCGTCTCTGTCTTCTCGCTGAACATCTGCCCTCAGAGGTGAGTCAGCTCAAGCATGTGACGGAAGGTTGCGGAGCCTGAGTTTGTGCGGGTGACGTAGGCTCTTGCGCTGAAGGAGGCGAATGAGGCGAACGAGGCGAACAGGGCTCGTGGACGCGAGGTGCGTGTTGCGGCTGTATTGCGGCGAAAGGTGGTTGAACAGGAGAGGCAATTACAGGAGGCCGCGAAGGAACTTGCGCTTGCTCAGGCCGCAGCGCAGCAAGCTGCGTCAAGGCGGACATGAGAGGCTCACTTCCCGAACGGATGGAGTGGCGTGTGTACACATGTTTCGGGGCATCTCTTTCTTGACTGAAGTCTGGGGCAATGTCGCTAGGTCGTGGATATGGGCCCCCACTGGTGCACATGCCGCTCATCCCATTCGTGAAGTGGCCGATGGAACATCCCGGGCGAGTGTCAAGGCAGATACAAACCATTCCCGTCGCAAGTACAAGAGATACAAAATGGCGCGTGCGTAATGCGTAGACCGTAGCATCGGAGGATGCGCGTCACATACGGAATTCCGAAAGTACTTCTGGATAATGTAATTCACTGCTATTAGATAGATTCTTTGCACGACTCTTTAGTCAGCGAGTCTCGGGCAAGATCCAGTCAGACTCTGTATAGGGTATAAGCCCTGTCTGTTCAGCGATTTCTACATCCTCGTTGTATAGGACCTTGATCTACGCTGGTGATTTTCTATACTAGATGAATCCTATGCTATCAACGCGAAGCATGCAAGCGGGTATATATTTCTGCAGCTACAAGGCACTAGTCACTCAGCAAATTCTGCGCGAGTATTAACCATCGAGTTTGTTCTTGCAAGTGAGCACACTCGCGAACCGATACCTGTAGAAGTCCAGCTGATATTGACATCCTTCGTGTAGCGCGCGCTGCCAGATAACACCCTCCTCACTCTGGTAATGACAACCTCAGTCTAAGCGTCGTCTATTCCTGCTCGCAACGGTGATCGTAATTTAGACAATGATCGACCGACTTGCGGATGCTCCTAATGTCGGGCATTGTGTAATAACTCAGCTTGGTGTTGACTCTTGTACATTCATCCATCATGTCACCTACGCCGTTGCCACCAAGCCTCGAGACAAGCATCGGCATCTCTGTCGACAACAATCTGCGGAGTGCCTACAGTCTAGTCCTGGACGCTGAGTATGCTGCTGCCTCCGCCCAGAATGAGGAGGCAGTGATGCATGCGAGGATCGTCGGCTTCCTCATGATTGCTTTCCACGAATTCAGAGCGACGCTGGGAGACCAACCCATCAGCCGTGTCTCAACGGAAGTCCGCTCATCTTCACACGACCTTGGTACTGTGATCTACGACCTCGGTCTCCGGTATCGAGAAAATCTATTGCGCGCATGTGAATGTCGTTTTCTGCTCTTCCGGGTGCCTCTCATCAAATGTCCATGTAGTTCGGCAAGCCAAGGGACCTCCGCTTCCCCCGTCCTCCGAATGCCCCTCGCGGTCTCCGGTCATGACTCTAGAAGACATGCTGAGAGACGCTCTGGATGGCTCTGGCAAGGATTACAGGTCGGCCAAAAAACGCGTGTGTTCCCTGTTGGTTCTATAATGTGTTGCATATCCTCACAAGTCTCGTGCAGGCACTAGCTCGCGACGGCTTTCGCTGCATGCTCACTGGCGAGTACGACATCAGTTCTATAGACCGCAGTCCCGCGATTTGTTCAATGCAAGCTCTGGACGCTTCAGGGGCAGGAAACACCAATTGTTGCCATGTCTTGTCCGAGTCTACGTTACAGGATGCCGATCCCGGGAACCCGGATCATGATAGAAAGGTGTGTTCTCTTGCAGCAGTGTGTTACGGGTCTGGCGGCTCACCTCGCGGTAGAGAAATTATGCGGCATCTGTTCTCTCGGTCCTCCACTCGTTCGGACTGGGTACATTCGTGGACGAGATTGTGAAGAGGAGCGGTATACACCATCTATCCGACATCCTCACAATGGTCAACTATCTCCATGTCCACTTCGATAATCTGAAACTTTGGCTTGAGGGCACAAACACACCGAATGAGGTGATCTACCTTCTCCTCTGCGAACTGCCTTTTTGCTGACGCTTATAAGTACAAGATATGCGTAACCAAGGAGTATTTGATCGCGCGGAAAGGCCTGGAGCGAACCATCAGCTTCCAAGCCCAGGTTCCGGGTCGAGATGATCTTCCTCTACCCGACCCTCGACTACTTGCTATTCACGCGGCGTGCGCACGCACGCTTCACATGTCGGGAGCCGCTGAATACATAGATAAGTGTGACTGGGATGCCGAGGATATACAGGTCCTTGCAGAGGACGGTTCCTCACATGCGATTCTTCTTGAGAAAATAAATAGAATTGCTGTTTCGTCATCCTAGGTGTACATATCATATCACGCAATACATGTTCCAAAATTGTTCTGGGTCGTATCAATGCTTCCAGATGTACATGTATAGTATGCTGCTTTTCTTGTGTGCAAAAATCATCTGACACAACTCTCGCTGCGGCGGTTATTGTTCATCACATGCACTGATGCATCTAATCATCCCTCGTTGAAATGCCCCCTGCCCATGATTTAACATGTTGAAAGAGAGTAACCAGTCGCGCAATGGAGCCAAATTCCCGCGAGCTTCCCCTAGCGGCGGGGGCCTCATGAGTGGGGCGGCGGATTTCACCATGCCAACAGGTCGCAACTAATGATTTCTCTCAGATGGTGAATTTCGAGTACTGGATGCAGCGGAGTAAACAGTCAGCCATGTAGACGACCCCATTGTAAACTGTCCTTGTTGGAACCCTTTGTTTGTGCAAAAGATATATAACATGTTGCTATTCGAATTAAACGATTACTATACACTTGAACCAAGCTCTGTGGCCCGTGCTGAGCTAGTACGCCATCCATCTAGGAGCGCAAGTCTGAGGAGAGGTCAGCGGAGTCTGGTCCTGGTTGAACTTGAAGCGGGTACCATCAAGATAATCGACTCAGATAATAACCTAAGGTTGGTGGCAGCTGTAGCGGTGATGAGATGCGGCGCATGTTATGTATGGCATTTTCCCGAGAAAGATGATCTAGATGGTTCCCATTAACATTCTTGACAACTTGCGAATTGCGGCAAAAGTCCGCACAATTCGAAGTTCGGCCAACATTTGCGCACGACGAGGGAGGAGAAAAAAAGTTGCAAAGACCTTGTTCATGAGCAAAGAGGTATCAAGTCCAGGTAGTAGCAAAGCAGCCCAGAGAGAGACGAGGCAAAGAGCGAGGAGCACGTCCGGGTGTGCAAGTGCGCGAATTGAGGAAAGGACTGCTTGGTGCTGTCGCTATTGTCGATGACAGATGAGAACTGAGAGCTTAACAATTCGCTAGCATACGACCAGCTTGAAGCTGGCGCGCGGGCCCGGGCTGACTTGCTCAGTTCTCACGGGCCTTCCGAAGTTCGCTCCGGAGCGAAGGTTGCAAAGCGCCGCAGGGAGTACACGGTTTGCGATGGCCCTGCTGCCAGGGTGGCAGACCGCGTGGCGAGACGAGAAAGAGGGCCGGTGGAACTGCCTCCAGGCACATGCGTGCAACGCACTGCCCAGGGAACATTTGCAGATGTACCATCGACTTTGACTGTGCCACACGCAAGAACCTCGACGATACTTATATGGAGTGCATTACAACGAGCCTCAGTGTATCGCTGTCTGGCACGGTGTGTGCCTGAGCCGTGAGAGATTGAGTCTGACTAACTCGAGGCACTGCAGATGAGTTCAAGGGTAGGAGAGTGGATGGCGCTATGTCGGTTGCAAAAGACCTGACGGGCGGCAACACGGCTGGGCGTGTGCGGTGTTAGTAGTGCTGCGTAGCGGCCTGCTTTGAGCCTCCCTAATTCAAAAGAAGAGACTCTTGTTCTGGCTTTCGACGCTGCCGCCGGTGTTGAATGCTGGGCTGACAGATTTGAGCTGAACTTGGTGTCATGCGACAGAGTGGGACTAGCAGACCAGCCCGAACGCCAACTGGCTTCTCGCGCGGACACAGGTTTCCGGGGTCCACCACGGAGGACTCAAAAGCAAAGTTTGCAAAGTGCCGCAGAGAGAACAAAGTTTGCGATGGCAAGACAGCAAATCGTGTGGCGAGACGACATATTGTAAAGGGACACTCACAGGGCATCCATGGGTGCATGACGTCTGACCCGCCTGAATGGGAACCAGTGGGACCGCCTCCACGCACACGCGTGCAGTACATTGCCCAGGGAACATCTGTAGATGTATCATCGACTTCGCTGAACCGCACGCATGAACCTTGATGATATCCGCCGGGAGTATATGATGGAGTACATCGTAGCAAGATAGATTATCTTCGCGTACGCAGCCGCATGCATCAGCCCTGGATACGCCGCCACACCTGTTAGCACCTGCGCGTCTAGGCCCCTACTCACTTGGTCGGCAACTAGTGTAGGGGTGCCTATAGAGACGCCACTCGAGCGCTGTCCGAAATGTTCGCCCCGGCGACGGAGTGGGATCCCCGTCTGCATTCGGACCACTAATGTGGGTTTTCTGTCGTTTTCTCCTTTGTTGATGTGCTACTTGAAGGGCCGACAGAGTTGTCTAGCGAACTAGTCTATTCTTCCCCGAACCGTCCTCCTAGCGATGCTCTGCTGGCTAGTTAAAAGTCATGTGGCGGGAGGGGAAGCTGCGAGATTGCAGTCATGTCGAACTGGATGGATTGATAAGCGGTCGTTAGTCACAGGCGCCTGGAGGCGCGCAGGCTCCGCTGCAGCACCAACCTATTGTACGCAAGCCCACGACGTTCTGGTGCAAGTGCCAGCAAATGCTGTGTTGTGTAGTCAGAGACAAAGTCGCTGGCAACGGCGGAGGTACCTAAAACGGCAGGAGAAGCGTCGGGGCGCCCGGGCGGGCGGAGATAGCATCATAAAGTGCTGACCGTGGGAGCTTACATCAGCAATGGCCCGCATGACCCCGCATCGGACAGGGAACACAAAGTGCGAGTATTTCGCAGCGAACGGACTCAACAGGGCTAGGATGGCCCACATACGTATCCCTCCGGCGCCGAAGATGGGTTGGAGATCTACTAGGCGCGATCACCAGAGCCTGCGAGAGCCGCGTCTTATATAAACTCTCCACTCCGAGAGGAGCCAGAAGGAGCGCCAGCGACTTTCCCTGCCTGCACCCAAAATGCACCCGCCATCCTCCTCTTCCCAGACGCAGGTCGACAAGCGGACGATGGACGACGAAAAACGAGCGGCGCAGCCCGACCAGCCGTTCTCGCACCACATATTCGAGAACGACCCCAAGTCGAGGATAGCGATCCGCATGTACTTCAAGATCCTGTTTATGATCACGGTGCTTATAACCCTTACGATCTGGTCCGTCCTGAGCATCTACTGGGGTGAGCACATCCGTTCACGGCCACCTGAAGCCCCGTCTGACGCGCTGTGCAGGTGCCAACTGGAGGTCCGTAGCGCCGCCGCCACCACAGCGCCCGTACCAAAACTGACCCGTTCCCGTTGCCAGATTCGAAACGGGCATACACAATATGAACGGATGGATCGTCGTGCGTGTTGCGCCTTCCTTTGTCAGTGGAGAGAGACGCCTCTGACATGTCGCACCAACCAACCAGGACTTTGACGGAGGCTCCGTCGGCGCGACGGTCACGCAGGCGTTCATGAACAACACGGGCCAGAAAGACCAGATCGACTGGTACACGGTCCCGGCGAGCATGTTCCCGAACGGGGAGAGTGACGTCGCGGAGGCGATCGTCAACGAAAGGGCCTGGGCGGCCGTCACCAGTGCGTGCTTTTTCTTTTGACCCGTTGGTCACAGGGGCCACAGCTGACGGGCGGTGTCACCCAGTACATGCCGGCGCGTCAAGCAACCTGTCCGCCGCCATTTCTGCACGGGACGGCAGCAGCTACAACAACCAGGTCGCCAGTGCCTACGCCGTAGAGGCGCGGAACGAAAACTCATAGTGAGCGCCGCCTTGGTCTCTTGCCACGCTGTCTTCGAGAATCTGACCATTGCAGTGTATTCTTCGTCGCTCCGCAGGTCAGTTTTCCTCAGCTGAAACTCGGGAAAACGTGGCCCAAAATGCTGACGCAAACGTCCAGATCCAAGCTCCCCTGGAGCAAGCAGTCGTCGCGTACCCGCAGATACAAGCGCAACAGCTAGGGTCGCAGGTGAACGACCTGCTGACGAGCGCGCCGAACCTCGTGTTCGCGCCCGTCAACTACACCGTCGTCAACCTGCGGCCGTTCGACATCCAAGTGTGAGCAGCGTTTTTGTTTTCTTGGGCTGTACTCGTGTTGGACCGCATATGCTGACACTGTGCGCGCAGGGGCACGGCGATCGACTTCGTCGGCCTGATCTACATGCTCATCCTCTCGTTCATCGCCGCCGTAAGCCTCATCTGCGCGTCTGCACGCCCGTTCCCCGCACGCTGACGAGCCCTCCCCCACCCTGCATACAGCTCGGCAACTTCAACGCTCGCGTGCTCGCGTCCGGTCTCGAGAGGCGACTGACGCTTCCTCGGCTGATCCTCCTCCGTCTGGTTATCCCGGTAGTCATGTACTTCGTAAGTTCTCGCTCGTTTGGTGCCCGGCCATGCTCGCCGCGCTAACGCAGCCGTTTCCCAGTGGCTTTCTCGTGAGTTTTGTACGGGTGGGTCCTGCTTCCGATGGCGCTGACGTGGCCGACAGTGGCGTACGCTTTGCTTAGCATTTACTTCCACGTCCCCTTCAATCGCCGGTAAGTGCTCCTGCTTGCCTGCAACACTCGTTTCTGAAGCGCTGGCAGATTCGGCGATGCAGGATTCGTGATCTTCTGGATGTTGTCCTGGTGTGCGAGTAAGTCAACATCCTGTCTCATGTTGTAACGAGATTTCTGAAATTGGCTCTCATAGTGATGGCACTGTGAGCTCATCGCCTTCGCGAACCCTGGCCATGTAGCTGACCATCTAACAGAGGCCTGGCCATCGAAGCCATGATCACGATTCTGACACTGCGCTTCATCCCGTTCTTCCTCGTGCCATGGATCATTAGTAAGCCCCGCACTGAGCAACACTCGCCGTGTTCCCTCGTCTTATGTGTTTTCCCTCGCAGCGAACGTCTCCGTCGTGTTCTTCCCGATCGAGATCCTGCCTACGATCTTCCGGTACGGCTACGCGATGCCGTTCTACAACGTCTCGCGCGCGGTGCGGACGATCCTGTTCAGGACGCGCGACCAAGGTCCGTTCTCTCTCTCTCCTTTCTATGCACGACACCACGTCTTGCTGACTGGGCCCGCCTCGTGTGCAGTCGGCCTCAACTTTGGCGTCCTCATCGCGTGGATCGCGGTCTCACTCGTCACGATCCCGCTGTTCCAGACGTACGTGCGCAGAAAACAGGTGCGCGAGTGGCGGCGGTCGATGCACCAGCGGGCCGACGCGCACGTCGAGGACCCGGAGGCGTCGATCACGACCACGCAGGGCTGAGGTGGTCCCCTTCCACTTCGTTCTGTTTTCTGCTGCACAGCGATCGTAAGGACATGGGCTTTGGGTCTCGGGCTGCAAGGTGACAAGCTGTGATATGTGTCAAGCGTTTTGCACGAACTGTTATGTTATTAATGCCACTAGACGATCTGTGTGTGCTCGGTCGCATAATTGTATAATACCCCACGTTCATACCAGGCCCCCGGTATCTATGTTATGACCTGTAACGCCTCGCTGTCCGCCGCCAAGGACTCCGGATCCAAAGCATGGTGATAGGTGCCTTCCCAGTGCTCTTTCCATGCATCGCGCGTATAGCCTCGAGCGAAGTTCCCCAGGCTTCGAGTGCCCGATTGTCCTGAAAGCTTTGTCCCTGAAGGGGTGGCGACGGACAAGGGCTGTGTCCACCCGGTGTGTCCACTCAGGCTCCAGTGGCTCTCGCTGTTTGTACGATTGGAGGTGATAAGGAGAAAGAAGGGAGCTCTTTTAAGTTCGCGTAGTATACTATACATAACCGTGCGAGTCGCACGTGTTTGCACAGCCGCCGAATTGACACGCTGCATGTTCGCGGCTGCGTTCGAAGAGGTTTAGTTCCTGGCCAACTTGCTACATATACCGTACGTGGTATGTTTCAGTCTCTGCTTACATTGTCCATGCTCAGGCTAAAACGACCTCGCGATGCCAGTAACACCCTACACTATGCCCCTCGACTCCGTCCACACAATGTTCGCTCCTAAGATCTCCCAGCTGTTCTATCCGCAGGCAGCAAGCCTCATCGCACTCGCTCCATCCGAGACCATCCTCAAACGCACTGCCCTCACGGGCGGTGCATCCTGGCTCGACATCTTCCTCCTCGCGCCGGGCATCCTCTCCCAGCAGGACGCGCCCAAGGTGAACGACAGCGAGTACCCCGCCACGGCCGCCATGACGACTGGCTACGTCTTCCGCGTCGAGAACCAGGCCACCGTCGGCTACCTCCAGCGCATCGGCAAGACCGGCCACCTCACGACGCTGCACGTCGAGGAGCGCCCCGACTCGCTGCACATCGACCCGCTCGCGTCCTTCGCCTACCTCGCCGGCGTCGCCTCGACCGCGTGCGTCGCCGCGGCCCTCGCCAAGCTCGGCGACCACGCCGCCCTCGGCTTCCTCGGCTCCCTCATCGCCGCCCGCGCGCTCAACGTCGCCGTCCTCAAGCGGCGCGCGCGCAAAGGCTGGAAGGGCATGCCCGAGCCCGGCACGTACGGCGACCTCATGGTCCTCGTCAGCCAGGACAAGTGGGTCCGCATCCGCGGCCTCGTCGACGACCTCAAGACGGTCACCGCCGGGCAGTGGCTCCAGGACATGTCCGCGCTCGACAGCCTCCTCGCGAGCGCCGCGTCGCTGCTCGTCTACGGCTCCGTCGCCTTCGCCTGGCAGGCGACGCCCCTCGGCAGCGCCCTCACCGCCGGCCTCCTCGCCCTCTCCGCGACCCTCCTCGGCCTCACCAACTCGCTCACGACCAAGCTCAGGATGTTCGGCTGCGTCGTCGGCGTCACGGACGTGAAGAAGTACGAGAGGCGGCTGTTCATGGCCCAAGACATCGTCCGGGAACGCAGAGCGGCAGGCGACTCGAACGTCGACTGGGCGCTAAGGTTGGGGTTGGTCAAGGATGCGAAGGACCTGGGTGAGGTCATACTGTAGGGAGGCCTTACTCTTGTCACGAGAGCGCTATGATCGCTGTAACGACCTATTATGCCCTGGGGTACCCCTTTGCGACTTCAGAAGCCTTTCGACTCCATTATGAAACGCCGCTTTTCGTTATCTTTGTCGTAATGTACTAACGCCGCGAGTGTTTGGACATAGAGATCCGCTATAATTTCGCTAAATATTCGGCTTGCGTGTAGGTATTTATCTTAGGGAGTTGGCATTCTTTTCAGTTGCCTTGTGTCTAGCATGTCTTGTAGATCCCAATAATACTCGGCCAGGCAGCGGCCTCAGTGTTCAGCTCCGCGGGATTATGCTCCGCAATTCTCCCCGGGCAGTAGCACACCGCAACGTTCGAGTCAACTAGGAATCAAACGTCAACGGAGTCGTTCTCGTTCCCTCGGGTTGTTGGCCTATCGTCAGCAAGAGCCTCGAAAGGAAAGACGCGACCCGCGCCGGATCTCACATTGAAGATTGTGCAAAATCAAGAATGAGAAAAAATTAAGCTCCTGGTCAGGGCTATGCACCCGATGTCGTAGCAAGTGGCTGAGACACTGGACCATGTGCCAGGGTATCCGGGCTTCGTGGCGCTCGGCGCTCACCGAAACTGCACTAGCAGGCGGCGACACGTTTATAACCAAGTTGCATCTCCAAACCAGCCAATCTCTTCTACTCTTACAGCCGTCTGCTTACTACATCCAACACATGCGCCCAACAAACACAGATCGATCAGACGGGGCCCCTCCCAACTTCCGGGCCCAGCAGTCAAGCTCAAGCGGCCGGAGCGTCACCGCTCGCCGGGTACTCCTCCTCCATCATCCGGAAGAGCGTGTCGAGCTCTGCCCTGTCCGTGCTCCTCTTCTCTTCGCGGGCCTTGATGACCGCGGCGTTGAGCTCCTCGAACCAGTGCGGCCCGCGGCGCTGCGCGGCCGCGAGGAACTGCTCGTTCGTCCAGCGCGAGAAGAGGCTGTGTTCCGGCGAGCCCGCCTCGGGCATGCGCACGCTCGTGCCCGGGACCGTTGTGTACGGTGTGGTCCCTTGCGACCCAAAAGTCAACGCGCGGGAAGGGGAAGGAAAAGAAAAAAGAGAGGCACGCACCGTATGCGTCGAGGTCCATCACCTTCCGGCTCTGCATGATCGCCCGGCGCTTGCGTGTCTTGGCGGTCAGGATCAGGTAGGTGAGCGCCCCGCCGACCTCGGCGGCCATGTTCTTCACGACGCTCGGGGTGAACTCGCGGTTACTGCCGCTGCCACTAAGGTGCGCACACGCGAGCGTGCGCTGCACGAACTCGGTCGTGTACAGCTGGCCAAAGTGCCGTGCGGTCATACCCGGGGGGCACAGTCGGCCGACGTCGACGACGAGCGCGAGCGGCGCGCCGGTGTCGGGCGGTGGCGCGACCTTCGTGCCGTCCTTCGCGGCCCGCTCCGCGCGCAACTTGTGCGCGTTCGCGACGCGCGCGCGTTGGCGCTTCGTGAACGCCTGCGTGAGCCAGGCGGCGGTCTGCGCGTGGTCCCACGTCCGCGGGTCGGCGGCGTCGTACGGTGCGGGGCCGCGGGGCCTGGGCGGGGAGGTCTTGAAGGGCGCGGCGTACGAGAGCGTGTTCACGCTGTGGACCGTGTCTTGGATGTGCGGCGAGACGTGGGCGATGATCAGCGTCTTTGAGGGTTGGCGGGACTCGATGTCGAAGATAGGCTGCAGATGCGTGTCAGCAGTCGGCGAGAGAGAGAGAGAGGGCTGGTAGAACAGACCTTCAGGAGCATAGTGAGTTTGTTGCTGCGCCAGGGGATGTGCACAAAGCCTTCCTCAGTAGCCATTTTCGCCTTGGCTCGGACACACTCCTTCAGGCTCATCAAACTGTTGTTATTCTCCCTGGACTCAAGCATGCGTTGCTTGTCATGAGCCTTGGAATCTTCATACCTCTCGCTTCCGGCAAGACTTTGTAGTGCAGTCAACCAGAGAGCTCGATCGTCCCCGGTGAATGAACTTACTCGACTAGCAAAAGCTGTCCAGGCTCAGCAAACGGCATGAGCTTATTGACCACCCTAATGGTGAGCACGGCATGGCTGCGACTCGACGTTGCATTGCGAAGTGTGACGGATGTACGCCTGCGTGCACTGCATTAGCACCATATCTGGATATATACCGCTCGTTGACTCCACCTGTGTGCCAAAGCAGTCGTAATGAGCTCGTCCAGCTGCTCCGCAGAGTCAACCACACGCGAGATCAAGCGCGGCCGCACGTCCCCGTTCTTGTCCTCGTGGATCGGCACCTCCTTGCGCGTCGCATTCCCCTGCGCATCCACCGGAAGGCCCTCGGCAGGCTCGAGCAGGTCCACCGCGCGCTTGCCAAGGAGCTCGAGGAAGGTGACGCTGAACTCGAAGACGCCCTCGGGCTTGAGCTCTTCGGACGGGTCGGCATGCTCGGACGCCGCCTTGGCCTGCTCCTCGGTGTGCAGAAGACGCGCGCCGACGTGCCTCGCAGCTACGAAGATGTCTCGCGCGATGCAGTGTTCGAGGGCTTCCATGGTGTAAGTCTTGCCCGAGCCGGTCTGGCCATAAGCGAGGATGCAAGCGATACCTGAGGACAAGGCGAGCGGAACCATCTGTGTAATGCACGCTGAATACCATCCGATGCACACAGCACAGCGGAGAACGTACATCATTCGCGATGACCGTGCGCTGATAAACCTCGTCATTATCCGTAGTGGATCCAAAGGCGAGGTCTGCCTCGTACGATTTGTGCGTAAGCGTAGGTCCGGACCACTGTGCATGTGCGTCAGCTTGTAATATGCGAACAGACGTGGTATGCGCACCTTGAATCCCGGCACATGCGCGACGAAAGTCCCCGGTTCCGCACTGGTTGCTGTGACCCCAGAGCAGAACTCCACCTTCGTGACTGCCTCAGCAACGACCTCGCCCTTCTCCTCGCCCCCCTCCGTGCCTTGGCCTTCAACTGGTGCGCTCTCCTTGCTCTCGGACGCGTGGAACTTCTCCTCTGCCTCGTTGGGAAGCGGCGGACGGGTCCTGAACGCGACAATGATGTCCTTGCCATGCAGCTCGCCAGCCTTCTCATCAGACAGTCGGTTCGCCATGTCTTGCGTGGGAGACGCGAACGGGTTCGCGGGGGGTTGCTTCGCGCTCCATTCGTCTAGCAGAGCCCGCAGTGTGGGCAGGTGCGTCGTCGTGAGTGCTGCAGAGGACGCCATAGCCGTGCAAACTGTACGAAAGCTGTGGAACGCGTTCGACGACAGCGGGTTGGACCTGCTGCTGGCAATGAAACTAAAGCTAGGACTTTATAGCATACGTGATGGTATCAGCGTGCAGCGATGGCTGCATGTTGGGTAGTGTGGTCATTGTCGGTGTGTGAGCCCTGAGCACGCCAGATCGGCCGCGTGGGCTCGATCAGGCGTCCAGCGGTACCGTCTCGACCTTATCGCCGTCGTCACTTTGACTCTGAGCGACTCATACTGACTAGAGACAGCGAGAACAGCGTGGAGACGAAGGAGTAATAAAGGACTGGAAAGACACTGAACTCAGTAGAACGTCGACACTGCAAGTGAAGCAAAGTCGATTGACGAGAGAACACGGATGGGCTGTTGCGCTTCGCCATCATCAAAGTCTCTTTGCGGCAGCGATGATATCCTCCATGCTATCAGAGAACGGGAGCGGAAGTCGCACCATGACCCAAGAGCAAAGTCCCAAGCGCGAGTTCGAGGAAGTTATGAGGACCCCGACTCGAGCTGGGGCGTCGCCGCGGCAAGACCTCGGATACTTTCGATCGCACCGAACCGCCGAAGGATGCGGGAGTTGTGTGACATGGTCAGACCAAAACCAATGCTCAATGATCAGATTCCCAATGACAGATATCGCGCCCGCGTGATTTTCAATATCCCTCAAATACTGTCACCATGCAGCTGTGTAGCGATACGACCTGGATACGACCAACAGCTCAGGCCCTGTGACCCGTAACACTTGAAACCTGGTCAGTTCGGAGTTCAGTGACCCTTCGTGACCGTGACCTTGATTCTGTGACCGAACCGTGACTAGGCGAGCGCAGGCCACATCAGGCAAGGCCGTCGTCGGGATTGGGCTGAACTCCGGGCTGAGCTTAAGAAGGGTTCTCACGCCCCTCACCCGCGGACGAAGCGGAAATTCGAGTAAAAATACCGAGTATATTGAGAAGCGCCCGAGTCACGGATTCGCAGCAAGTTCATCGTGACCGTGACCTGAACTTTTGGTCATATTGCTACTAGAGTAGGGCCTCCGACAATCTATGCGAAACGATGCGAACACCATTATATGAAACATGTGATCATCTTCCCTGAAGGTGCTGGAAGTATTTTGCGGGTGCCACAGCACAGACACAGGGGATTGTTCATAATACCTTGCAAAGACATACCACGAGGAGTGTGTTTTGTCTCATATCTTCCATGTTTCTGTGCTCAGTATTGTGCTTCATACAATTAGAACCAACAATATATGCTGCCAGCGTGGCCCAACAGATGGCGCAGAATGATCAGTGGTTCAAGGCTCTAAGTGCAACATGAGGATCCAGTCCTTGGCCTCTCCACCTGACCAGTGCCTCTGATGCCCCCATCTAACATTATGTCAAAACCACATAAGGCCCGCTATCTGCAGTCTCGCATTCATACATATGTCCAGTAAGTGTAGCACAGGATCATCGCCCTTAATGGGCCATTTAAAGTGATGTTTGGCAAAGTTCAGCTTCAAGATTAAACCCCACCTACCCTGTCTACACAGCTCTATTTTGCATTCATGTCTTCAGAACCTACCAGCTCACAACTAACACAAAGGTAGTAGGCCAACTCTTTCCAATTCCTTTGATTCACATTTTCATTCCATTCCATCTCAGTTTCCAGTCAGAAAATTACACCACTGTGTCATGCTTTGGTGGGTAAACTCTTCTAGCAAATTAATAAATTAGCCTCTAACGATGGCTCTGGACTTGTATAGCACTGGCTTTGTACGAGCTGGCCATCATGTTAGCAGATGAGACCAAGATCATATGGCAGGGCAAAACAACTGTTGCGACAGTTCTTTGCATCACAAACAGATGGCTGCTCCTACTTTCTGTAGTGAATAACTTTGCCGGAGCAGTGTACACTGGAGCTCTCTCTATACAAGTATGCCCAAGCCTTCTGCCACAATCAAAATCCAGGATATTAACATACGAAAATCACTCCGGAAGTCTGTCTCTGTTCAGGTTGGAGCCCTTGGCATGTTCACATCTGCCATCGCAGATGCAAAGCTATGACTATTCTTGAACAGATTTGCACTCTACTAGCATGGCTGGAGATTTCCCATGAGTGTATTGTTGCAACGAAGTGCCACTCACCCATGTGCTCTCGGCAGTCTTCTCAGCTCTGAGGGTATCTGCTATCTGGAATTTCAATAAAAAGGCATTTCTTGTAGTCTTATATCCAGGGATCATGCCAGTGATCACAAACATAGTGAGTGGATAATGTAGTGGCTACTCTCTTGGTGCTTGTCTGGCTCTATATAACACAGTATGGTGCCTCCAGAGTGAAATAGTTTGATACTCCCCTTTGATACTCCCCTTTCTGCTGGACTTTATACAGTTAATCTGTGCATCCTCACCTATTACTGGCAGGTCTCTCCACAACTAGACTTTGCGTAAGTAGTAATAGATGGACAAAGCTAAATGCTGACTAAAACCTGCAGAATTATGTAGGAACTGGTCTCTGTATTATGCTTGAGTTGCTGAGGTTTCATCTTTGCCAGTGCTCCTGATCACTCGTGTTTTTGCCATCCTGGCCGATCTGCTGGCCTTTGCGTTCACATTGTTGAAAACACTCCAGCAGGTCCACGAGGCACAAAGACTACACCTTACTATGTCTCTGTCTGGCTGCATTGCACGAGATGGTGGGTTGACCCATTCATTGATACTTTAAATATTTGTGACACTCCTTACTAGGAACAATATACTTCCTGTGCACTGTTTGGCTTTGGGCTATGTGGTCATGCTGACAGATTGTATTCTGGTGGCTCAGCACCCTTCTAACACTCAACATAGCTCAGCTTGTTGTGTCTAACGGAGCGGTAAGTCTGTTTGTCACACAAGCTAATTAACCTCAAGTTCAATCACCTTGCAGTCAGCAACTAATCTATCACCTGTGGACCTATTTTTACAGACACTAGTACTACTATCACCACTCTGCTGCGCGTCTGCTACAACTCAACAAAAATCCTATCTCTTGCAGCCACAGATTCTTATTGGTTGCTTTATGATCAACTTACAGCAGACCTCTAATGCTGCTACCAAGGGGCTTGACTCATAAAACTCGGCTGTGCGTTTCAAAATTGCGACAAGCATGTTAGGGAATATTGCGGAGCTGCTGGCGCATGGTCAGGAGGACAGCCAGAACAGAGAGGAGGCTGAGCTCCACATGACGGATGTGCAATAGTGTCTGAGGCCAGAGCCACTAGACAGGTAGTACAAAGCTCTTCTAAAGCACATATTCAGCTCAGCATCTGCGAAGTAGCCATTCATAAGATTATACCAAGACTGCATACAACAAGAGGCTTAGAGCATGCACCCCAGAGACAAATCCATATTTTTCACTTCGCTTAACGTAGCTTTGAAGATTTGAAGGTGAACAAGAGGACCACACAAGCAATGGCGCACGTGTGCAATATCTTTTGATGGGCCAAACTTAAACAGGATCAGCAGCAATTTCGCTGCAAGGCGTAGACAAAGCGCAAATTTCAAGTTCAAACAGTTTAATTGCTTGACAGTCATGAAGCTATGACAGTACGATAAAAGATTTCTGCTTATCTTCCTGACTGGGCCTTGAACTCCTCCACAGGACAAGTTGAGTGGTTAGTTGACAGGTAGGATCAGTACAATAAAAGAGAAACATAATGAAGGCGTTCATGGACCAATATACTAGTAGAGGCTGAACTCACAGTAGGCACACTGAATGGCTGCCACCCCATATACAATGGAGAGCTATGTACACTAGCATATAGAAGAAAACAACACACCAACTCTGGTCAACCGCCAGTGCAGTCACTTGCAACTGGCTATGGCAAACAGTGATATGTGCGGAGCGAGAACGATAAAGTCACAGTGTGGACAACGTGATCCCATCCTACAGTAACGTTGATAAGAAAGAAGAAAGAAGGATATAATGGCATCCCATAGTGCCTAGCAGGCTTCCGCTGCAGGACAAAGCAGGATTTGAGCTCAAAGCCTGATGTGAACCGGAGCACATAACCTGGGACACTTCTGGCGTGCATCTGTGGTGAAGCGCTTGGTACATGGCAGAATGCCAGCCAGACACAGGCTGGCTGGGCGGGACATGCAGCCGCGTACCTCCATGTACTGACTACACCAGAGAAATTTGGAGCTTTTTTGGTGCAAAAAAATGCAAAAACAGCTTGTAAAAATAAGTAAGAATATGTCATATTTTTTCTCGGTATCCGGCAGCCCGGTAACTCGGCAATCCGGCAGCCGAGCCGACTGTCCGCCAGGCCGTCTATCAAAGTGCCCTGGGGACGGCGGCACCCGGCGGATAATCGGCTCGAATGCCGGATTGCCGAGTTGCCGGGCTGCCGGATACCGAGCAAAAAAATACAGCCTTTTCTTACTTTTTTTTCAAGCTTTTTTTGCATATTTTTTGCGACAAAAAAGTCCCAAATTTCTCTCGTGCTAGTGACTAGCAGCGCTGCGCAGTCGATGGTAATAATGAAGCGGTGCCGCGGGAGGAGAGCCCCTGGACTGCGCCGTTTACCAGGACATATGGTTCACGGGGTAAACTCCACAATCGAGGACGCAAATGCGGGGCCTGCGCAGCAGACAGCAGCTGAACCCCGGAGAAATATATCGCATATCCTGTACGGCAGAGACGTGCAGGGTGCTATGACAGTGAGCGCATCCCCTTCCATTTTTACTGCGAGGGTGTGGGATAATGCGTCCAATTTTCATGAGCTACTCTAATGAAGACGTAAGGCGTGATGCTTCCACAAAAGGGGAACGTCGGGTGGTGAGATCGGCGGCGGTGGGGCGTAGACGCCCTAGCCTGGACTTGGCCGTGAACTCGTCATGCATGCCGCTACTCACATAAGAGGAGTTGGCTCTCCTCCCGCTGTTGTTTTATCACCCTGTATGCGACCACTAGCCTTACGTGCACACACCTCGACATGACAGTCCTCGTCGTCCGGGATGCTGAACCTGAGGTTGCCGACTTTACCGCGAGAGCGAGCAATGGTTCCGAGTCTGACGGGAACGTAGGAAACTGGTCCGCGATATTGGTGCTGATTATGTTCATCTTATCGAGTAAGCCTTCGTATTCGCGCTCATGTGTGAAGTCTGACGGTTACTTGTAGATGTTGTTGTCATCTTCCCTCTGCGCATCCCTATTCCTATGCTACTGACGAATCATGCTGTAAATCTCCTGGTGAACCGCAAGGTCGTCCCTCCTAGAACACGTGGCCCGAAGAGATACCACATCTACCTCAACTTCATCACTGTCCCTCTGTTCTGCGTGCTCATCTTGCTTGCCTGCAAGGCCATCGATGGGATCGTCCTGAAACGTGGCATAATCGGCGCAGACGGTGTCAAGCCTATCAATATCATGGCTCTCTTCATCTCTCTCGTAAGCTCCAGCGTAAACGCGAACTAGAGTCCTGTTCACCACCTTGAATATGGTAGGCTTATATGGCGATCTCACTAGATTTTACCGGTCTCTTGCGATTCTCAGCCTTTTGGGTGGCCCGCAAAGGGGGCTCTTCCGGAAAGCGATTATACTTATATTTCTACCTATTCTTCCTAGTCTGCGGTGTCATCGTTGGTAACGTAAGCACATCGGCTCGTCTGCCATATAGTTGAATGCTAAAGCATACACAGGACCCGGTGATTTTGTCCGGAACGGCGTTCCTGGCTTACTTCACTAGAGTCACAGGGTAGGAAATGGCATGCATGTATGCACGAAGCTTTACTGATTTCAGCTTGTAGCATCGCCCCACCTACGGCGTGGATCTTTTCGCAATTTGCAGCTGCGAATATGGGTATGCATACTGGCGTATAATCACAAGCTATGGCTGATCAGCTGCCTTCCAGCATCCGTCGTGCTCGTTTCCTCGAACCCGACCAACCTTGTGCTGTCCGGAGCCTTTGGCCTTTCCTTCGTGAAGTACACTGCGCACGTAATTCTTCCCTTCCTCGCCGCCGCATTCCTTGTCTACCCTATCCTGCTCTTTGCCCTGTTCCGAAAGCGGGGCCTCATACCCAACACGCTCGGCCTTGAGCTCGATGATCACGATTCCAGCAGCGCCGCGTCCGGCACACTCGTGGACAAGCACGGCGCCATCTTCGGCACCATCCTCCTCGGCACGACACTCGCCGTCCTTGTCGGCACCAGCACGATCGGCGTCTCGGTCTGGCAAGTCACTGTCCCCCCTGCGCTCGTCATGCTCTTGCGTGACGGCGTGCACGACTGGATGGCAAAGCATAAGGAAGCTCCTGCCCCGTCGCGCCCTCAGCCGGCCGAGTCCCTCGCCAGCCGGCGCGCGCGCTCCGCAGGCGAATTCCCCATGACCGAGTTCTCCCAACAAAACGGGAGCGCCCAAACGGCAGTCGAAGATGAAGACATCACCGAGATCCAGGAGGTCCCCCGCACGCCGCCTGAAGCGCCTCCGACTCCCGAGAGTAGCACTGCCGCATCCACACGCTCATCGAGCCCAACGCCGCCCGCGACGCTCTATGATAAAGCTGCTGAGAAGATACAGACGGCCTGCGAGGCCTTTCCGACGGTGACAACAATTGCGTCACGCCTGCCGATTCCGCTCATCCCGTTCGCATTCCTGATGTTCATCCTCGTCCAGGCACTCTCGAGCAAGGGTTGGGTCGAGGTCTTTGCGCGCTGGTGGGCGACGTGGGTCGCGAAGACAGGGACCATCGGCGCCATCGGCGGCATGGGCTTCCTCGCATGCATTTTCTGCAACGTGCGTCCTCTCTTTATCATCCCTTTATCCTCACATACTCACCATCATTGACATAGGTCTGCGGCACGAACATCGGCGCGACGATTCTTCTTGCGCGCGTCCTCCAGGACTGGCTTGCGTCGTCCTCGGCTGACTCGCTCGACCCGCGCACGCGCGACGGCGCAATTTTTGCACTCGCGATCGGGAGCAACTACGGCGCGTTCACGTTCACGTTCTCCGCGTCGCTTGCGGGCCTGCTCTGGCGCCAGATCCTGCGCGATAAGGGCATACACGTACGCCCACTACAGTTCCTGCTCCTGAATATGCCAATTGCGTCTGTCGCGATGCTCGCGAGCTCGGCGGTGCTTGTTGGACAGGTGTACGTCACACATCGGAATGATAAAACCGCGTAGCTTGGTCATGATCGCGTTGGCGACGAAACTTTTACTCACCACTCTTGAGAGCTCAGGTACTTACACTGACACCCTTGTCTTACTCGCATATCAAAAGCATAATGAACGGTGGTCATCTGCATTGCATGTACAGAAACAAGAAAAGTCTATAGCCATGTTCAAATATCATGTAATATAGCGGCATAAGTATCATAGCACTGTGAGAAGCATGGGGTCGATTGACAAGAAAGAGCATATACATCATGGTGTTACAACACAGAGAGATACGAACCTAGATCCGCCATTCGCTGAAGAACTCCGTATCCCACTGCACGAACGAGAGCATGTAATCCACAGTCGTGCCACCCTCTTCCTCATCCTCGTCCTCCGCGACTTCAGCATCCGGGATGTCCTGAGCGCGGTCTTCATCCGCGTCTGGCTCTTGCTCAACGGTTTCGATGCGCACGGTTTTAGGTCCTCCCGGAGCATCCGCACCGAAATCCGCCTCATCCGCACCAGTAAGCTCGACCTGCTCCCTCGTCGCTATCTCGCATGCGACCCTGTCCTCTGAGTCCTCAAACTCGCCGAGCGCCTTCTCCAGCGCACTGACACTGAGTCCGCTGACGCCGCCTCCAACGGTACCAACGCCAAGGCCCCCGCCGCCACCAGCGCCGTCGTCACCAAAGAGCGTGCGCCAGTCGAACTCGCCCTTCTGGATGACGATGTCGTCGAGCGAGCGCTTCTGGTTCGCCTTACGCAACAGCGCCTCCTCGACGGTGTGCCGTGCGATGAGACGATAGATGTGTACGTCGCGGATCTGTCCGATGCGATGTGCGCGGTCTTCGCACTGCCGATCCATTTGCGGGTTGAAGTCGCTATCGTAGAATATGACTGTGTCTGCGCCCGTCAGGCTATGTAACGCAAGTCAGACGTCGTCTGTAGCGAGAATGTAATGACTTACTTAATACCAACGCCTCCAGATCTCGACGAGGAGATAAAGCAAAATATGCGGGGGTCGGTGTTGAACCTCTCAGTTATATACTGACGGTCTTCAATCTTAGTCGCTCCGTCCAGCCGCAGGTAGAGATATCCGTGCAAGTTGAGGAAGATCTCCAGGATGTCGAGCACGCGCGTCATCTGCGTGAAAATGAGGATGCGGTGTCCACCAGCTTTGCGCTCGCGGAGGAGACGGTCGAGCTCCTGCAATTTCCCGCAGTCGTACTGCAATAGCGAAGGATCTGGGAACGCAATCTGGAGCTTGACGGTACTTCGATGCAAGAGTGCATCGAAATTGGTATTCAAGGCGTACTGCGAGATCGGCGCTTCGTAGCCAGAAAGAGCAATGGTTGGTAGGTCGCGGGCCACGACTGAAGGTGTGACGAATGCAAAGCAGTTTACAACGTCCGCCATCTCATCCGCGCGTTCAGCATACGACTTGACCGCGAAGTTCACCTGGTTGCAGTTGGCCCAAACTCCGAACCTTCTGTCCAAGGCGGAATATGGCAGAAGGGGCTGGTAGAAGTGTTTGGCAATGCCTAACGTCTCCTCCGAGAAGATAGGCTCGCTCTGGTTACATCGCATCCAGTTGATGTAGCAAATCTGTGCCCATCGAGCAGCCGTGCTGGCTTTCTCGAGATACTCCTTGTACCTCTTGTATCCAGCGATAGTTCGGGTATCCGTTGGAGGTCGCTCAGGTAACTCCGTGATCAGTGGAAGATGGTAGGTACCGTCCAATTGACGTCGCTCCCGAACGGCAACCTTGGAGGTGTTCTGACGGTTGACGAAGTGAAAGCCAAGGAAGTCGAGGTTGACTCGCTGAGCGTCGTCCTCCTGCAGTAGTTGTCGTCGGATGAGTAGCTCCTTAATCTCGTAGTCTGCGATGGCTGATCTCGACATGACGAACGACGTCCGGATTGGTCGCACCTCGAAGAGGTCCGGGTGGTTGACGACCTTGCGCAACTGCATCAAGATGTTCGCAATTTTGTGATACACGCCAGACTGCAGGTCATAGCGTGTTTCGGCGCGAGACATGAACTCGTCGTAGAGGAATCGTTGTCGCTTCGAGAGTGGACACATCACGAGGTGTTCGAACTTGCTCGGCAGCTCCTTCTCGACATCGCGCTTGAGTCGGCGAAGAAGGTACGGCCTTAGGACGCTGTGCAGCTTGGAGACCCGCTCCTGTATCTCGTCATCGTGAACTGTCCCCATCTCAATCGCTTTCTCCAGGGGGTTTGCGAACCAGTCCGCGAACTCTTTGAGATTGGCGAAATTCGTTCCAGACATGAGAAATTGCAACAGGGCCCAAAGTTCGGTCAAGTTATTCTGAAGTGGCGTGCCAGTTAGGAGCAGACGTCGAAAGGACCGGAACATGAGCAGGATATTCCATCGTTGAGACTTGAAGTTCTTGATCATGTGCGCCTCATCGAGGATCATGTAGTACCACGCCTTGCGCTTGAAGACGTGGGAATCACGACTCGCGAGCGTGTAGGACGTTACACAGACGTTGAAGTGGTATTTATTATTCCAGCCCTGTCGTAGCTCCTTGCGGCGCTTCGTGTTGCCATGATAGCTCAGGACCTTGAATCCGGGTAGAAACTTCTTGAATTCCATCTCCCAGTTCAGGAGCACGCTTGTAGGCACAATGATTAGATGCGGTCCCCAGATACCACGATCGCAGGCCAAGTGAGCCAGGAGCGCAATGGTCTGAATAGTTTTCCTGCAGTAACAGTGAGCGTCCTTCCTAAACAGTCTATATGTGCGGTAGTACACACCCAAGGCCCATCTCGTCTGCAAGAATACCATTGACGTTGTTGGTGTGAAGACTGGCTAGCCATTCTAGGCCCGCCTGCTGGTATGGTCGCAAATTTCCTCGAAGCAGGAGCGGTGGCTTGATCTTTTGTTGAGGATCGCAATCTACAGGCGCAACAGCATAGGGGCGGAGATAGGTGGGTATCAAAGACTGTGTCTCGATCTCATCTGCGAGGTCCTGTTCATCGTCGTCCGCAGGCATTGCCGTAGTTACCTCTTCAGCAGTAGCTTCTCTTGGTATGGCTCTATCCTTCGAGTCGGGCGGCTGACTTTCCACCGCTGAGTGGCCTAGAAGAACCGAGCGCAAGCGAGCATCGACAGCGAATCTCTCGAGTCCCGTCTCGGAGTATGGTGTGACGTCCTCTATTTGCGGGGGAGGCCGGGGATTCCGATCCTGCGAGAGGAATGGAGAAGATCGTCCCGAAGATGACAGGCCTGAATCCTGATCAAGTAAAAGAGACTTGACAGACATACGCCCGTTCGACTCGGAGAGCGGTTTGACATGTTGCCTCACGGGAGTCTTTTCGCCATAGACCAGTCCACCTTTACCAGGCGAATAGACAGCTCCAGTTCCAGCCAGAACATCGAGAGAAGACACCAGGGCGTCAAACTCGGGACTGTGTGGACGTGTGGCGTTCGGCTCAGAGGGTATCGAGTGAAAGCCTTCGTCTCCATCTTCCTCGTGGAATGCCGGAGGCGGGGACGAGGGAGGGTCTGTACCGTTTTCACCAATTTCGCCTCCTTCGCTGGCTGATTTAGAGTCTGCAACTAAATCACCAGTATCCAGCTCCTCCGCAGTTTCGCTTCCGGAGCCCGAACCTTCCCCAAGATCGTCACCCCCATAATTCGTATGATCATCCGGGTCTGGCTCCCTGTCGGGTGACGGCGACGTAGATGCCCATTGCGACAGTATATCCGCATGGCTGTTCGACCTGCTTTGGGAACGAGACAAGTCGCCTTTCGTTAGGTCCACCTGTTGCGCCTCGAGCAGTTGTCCGGACTGGTCCAGAATGGCATCGAGGTGCTCGTGACCTCTGAGCCGCTCCTCCGCTTCTCGTTCGAGGCGCCCCTGCTCTCGTATATGCTTGAATCGACGATTAGCGGCCATCAATACAATGAAATGATGTCGACTTACGAAGACCACCTTCTTCCATTCCGCTGCCACCATCCGAATCGTTGCCTTCGCTAAAACCTTGAGGCGTCTCTCCTCCTGGGTCCTGACTTTGTCGTCCCGGGCAGCTCTTATGTTCCAGTAGGCTTTTACTTGACTCGACACCTGTGCCGCCACATCTGGACCGTGAGGTAGTGGTGTCTCGGCTCGAGCTTGAACGGCGTCGATGATAACGTCCCATATATCCGGCTGTCGGTGTGTCTCTGGCCATCGTTCATCAGATCCGTCGTCGTCTGGAGGCCGATATAACATTCGCCCTTGCCGACGAAGAACGTCGATCGTTCGCCACACCTCGAGATCGTCTCGATACAGCGCTCGCAGCCCGTTTTTGTCGAGATTCACGCCGTTCGGGGCAGAATACGACATAAGAAATTCGGTGACTGATCCATGCTTTGGCGTAGGCAGCCGTTGTACAGGATTCGTGATGATTGGTACAGGGTTTCGAACAACAAGCTTGATACGTTTGACGGTTTGCGATGTCGGTTCGGGAGAAAGGTCCGCGATGGTTTCGGCGAGGGACTTCTCGCTTCGCAAGGACGCTCGCGAGCTGCGCAAGCGGTTTGTATGTGGATTCGGCGCATGATCAACTGTAAGACCCTGCAAGCCAATTTCTGTCGACTCTGAGGAGCGCTGCAATTTCCTCTTCTTGTGCGGAAGTGGCGGGTGAGGTGGCGGGGCCATGGCAGATCGCCGACCAGAATGCGCATTAGCTGGAGTGCGCGCGACCGCAGCCAGTGAGATAGACGCCGGCTCTCTCTCAGGCAGTGGCGCAACTGCCTTTGCCTTGCCCTTGCGGCTATAGGTGGGCGTGGCGCTGATGCTTTCTGAAACGTCGTCATTAGCGGCTCTTCCTTTACCCTTGGATTTCGATTTGACTTGGTCAAGTAGCTTCCAAACAACCTTGTCTTCAGTGACAGGTCTGGTCGACGGGCCTGGTGGCGCAGAAACACCTGTTGTCTGCAGCGCTTGCATGCGCTCATTGCGTGCTCGGCGTGTTTTCCGCGAAGGTCCAGCGGCATCATTGTTGTTCAGGAGGTCATACTTCATTTTGAACTGTTAAAGATGGCATTAGGACATTCTCTTTAGCAGGATGTCACAACCATACCTGCAGAAAGACATCCGAATTGTCGGCTTTGGCTTCCTACGGTCGCGCGTTCGCGTCAGATATTGGTCATGGTACGGTTTGGGGAAAAGAGCCGTAATCAACACCGCTAAGCGAATTCCAGACGCGTTCTCCAATGCGTCGGAAGATATCTTGTGCTGCAGCTCACCCAAGGCACTGGCATGAGCCTAGCAGCACGGGCGACCCCGGTCGCGTTTCAACTTCGCAAGCGTACACCTTGGATGGAAAGAGGGCGCGATGTACCCCCATAGAAATAGAAACTAGAAGCGCAAGCATACCTTGGGGTCATATGAAGTCAAGAGACCGAATCTCTGGAGGTGAAAACTTTCCCGTAGCTGCCAATGCTAGTGAGTACGCAACAATACCAATAGTGACATCAACTCACCAGATCGTCATGTCTATCCAAGGCGCGTGCAGCCTCGTTCTGCCTCTCTTCCACCAACCTCTGACGTTCCTCCTGCAATTCCTCGTCTATCCACTCGGTGATTTCCACGTGATGTGCGGCCTCATAACCAGCTGTAGAGATCTCTTCCTGCCCATACCGGCTCCGCGATGCATGTCTGCGCGTTGCAGAAGTCATACTGCTACGCCAAGTTCATAGGTATACCCGTGAGAGGAGGTGACCGACTACCTCGAGTGATCTCCTCTGATCCTGAACGGTACAGCGAGATTTTTGGACGAGCAGGTGGTCGACAATACAGAGACGTAAATTGTTGCCAGAAAGGCGACTTTGCAGGCCTCCGTCGTTCGGCGTCGAGGACAAGTTGTCGTAGCTTGTACATTTCGAGACACACGGAGGAAGAGTGTTTGGCCCGCGCAAACAAGTTGTAGGCTAAGCTTTGACGCTCGCCGGCTCCGTTTCGTGAAACTTATCCTCGCTCTTTCGCTTCCTCAGACACCTCACAAACATGAATCTTGTCCGTGATTTATCTTGCTTGAAGGAATACACGTACGGCACATTAATTTTGCAATAATCTCTGAATTTATGCGCGGTGCAACAAGGTATGCGACTGGCCAATCATGATGTTACCACTGGGCCACGCAATTTCTTGCGAGCCACCTCCACGACTGCTTAGCGCTTAGGCGCGCTGCACCACACTGCAGAGATCCTATATCTCAAATAGAGACCAGATAATGGCTCTGAAATCTATTGAATTCTCCGTCAGTGGTCTAGTTCAGGGTGTAGGATATAGATACTTCGTGAAGGGAGTCGCTCGCGCGGAGGGACTTGTTGGATGGGTGAAGAACGACCCGGTGAGCATGGACCTTCCTTACTTCTCCTGTGCATGATTAACCGATACCTGGCTCACAGGCTGGACACGTAATAGGCATGGCCCAAGGAGATGGGACTGCCGTGGAGACGCTGTGAGCGATGGCGCTGCCACCAGTAGTCCACCTATACTCACACGCCCGATGCTAGAAAGAGAGAGTTGTCCATTGGCCCTCAGCATGCGAAAGTAACGAAAGTTGAGGTTAAGTCGGAGACCTCTATCGATCGACTTCAATTCTCATCTTTCAACATCACATATTGATTGTGAGTCGCGTAGCAAACGATCTTTCATCGTATGTATAAACCGCTAGGCCAGAGAAGCTGCATGTAGCTAACCGCGTCATGGATTCCGACTATCGTCAGACAGCGTGGAACATGGCGCCTTCGGTCGATCCTGGCTGGAGTTTATGCTGATTAGTCGATGTCATCTCGGCGATGCACTCGATCACCACGCAACCAGCTATAGGCTTGCGGATGAAACCCTTCTCGTGCGCATTAGACGTTCCATCGACATGTACCATCAACCTCCTAACATGATGGTATACCGCACACCAATGAAACAAATACGCTACGTCAATTGTGATTCATCTCTGGCTATTGACCCTTCTCCTGCGGCATTAATTGTCTCGAATGAGACCCCATTAGACTATTCATCATTCCCGTGATACCTTGTGCCTGCGAATACCTGTATGACGATAGGGTCTGCATACATGGGGCGACACTCATCTCGCCCATGCTGAACGCACTGAATGGCCATCTGTTATGTGCTTTCCTGTTCCTCTCGCTTCCGCTCACGGCCCATGCATCGCGGCTGTCGTGGCTGTCTCCCAGTCGCTCCATGCCTACCTCCGAACAGTATGTTCATATACACTGATTAAATGCCCAATCGCTAACAATTTCGTGATGCAGTGATTCACCTCAACCTGACTGTATCTACGGAGCGTATCCATCGTCCTAGAGGCCAAGTGCTCTATATAGCTGAGAAAGCCTTATGCAGGACGTCAAATAATCATATCCATTGACCCGCTCACGGAAGGAAAATTATGACGATGGTCTCGCGATGTTTTATAATTTTTGATTCCTAGAAATATGCGCTTCGTTTTTCCTTTCCTGGCGGCTATCGTCCATTCCTCAACTTTGGACCTGCGGGCCGTCGTTAGCTGTTTGAATCTCAGCTGGTCATTACTCCGGCAGATGCGTCTCTCTCTCGTTCGATCCACCTCCGAGGTGAGTTTCGTAAGCTGAGAAGTGGCGTGACTCCCAGCAAATTTCCCAACAGCGTGTAGGACTCGATATCGGGCTCTGATCTGTGCCTACGCACACACCGAGGCTTCTGCTCAGTTTTACGCTTTCATCAGGACGTCGCGAGTGTAAGGTCATCGATAACCATAGAAGTGAGTCAGCAATTCTTCGTTTGGATGAAACTGCTCTTAAGCCTTTTCCCGAGATACCAGCAGCTGACGGTCATCGACTGTAAACAGTGGCCTGAGGCGACGACACCTGTTATCTATAAGGCTGTGTCATCAGTTCTCTGTCTCAGGAGGATATATCAACGTCAGAGCATACGGACCACCCTGACGGCACGCGTCCACTTTTCTCTGGGATGGCGCCGCGCAGGCATGCTCTGTACTGTCCGGAACGGTGCTTCTCCGTGTCAGCGCTCGGCAGTGGGTCCTATCCATGTGTTGTTGGGAAGCCTGATTTACAAGGCTGCCAGTTTCGCAGTCTGACAAAGAGATGTGTTGAAATCTCCTCCCGCATATGTCACGGTGAACTGATCGCCTCTATCGGTGTATCTCAGCTCCAGCTACCACTGAATTCGTTTTATACCATGCATTTTGCTGCCGTCATCATCTTAATCCTGAGACTCCTGGCTCTTGGTGCTGTCAGTGTTATAGCCAAGCTTCGGCTGCCAACCCCGTTGCCGCACCATGATTTCAGCCTACAGACGCGTGGACCAGCTTCTGACGGCCTGATCTCACAATGAACCTCCGCGATGTCAAGGACGCAGGCCACTTTCACAAATGGTATTTTCATCATTTTGATCTAAAACTTTTCGGCACAATATCTTCGACCCGGGCTTGACAGCCGCTTAGCCTTACAGTCTGTGAAACACGGGCTGAGACCGTCCCGAAGAGAAAGTTATCGTTGATTGGTTTGAGAGCTGTCTGTGGTCCTAGATGTGTGTTGCATCGGGTTGCTAACGTGAGGGTCGATGCCAGATGATAGTTGCCCAAATATCCTTGCTCCATCGGATGGCTGATGAACGTGAACTTACAACTTATCTTTACTACATGGTTTCTTGATATTGATTTACGGCAGCGAGAGTTGGTAACAGGCCCAAGATTATATTTTACTCACTAACCACTCCACTCGGGCTTTCAGATGAATAATCATTCAAGATAGTCATGGCAGAGACAAAGGGGTCGGCGCGGCCAAGTCTACGCAATGAATGTAGGTTTAACACCCTGCCGAACATCATGCTCGAACCCCCGACGGAGCCGGCCCGTCAGATACTGTAATTTCCATTCTGGGGGTCGCACCGAATAATTCAAAATCAAATTGATGCGCTGCCTGCTAGTCAATTTTTCTGCTTTCCTCGTTGCCTCCACACGTCGACTTCTACAGCGAATTGAACCGAAACGCTGCACTCAGATCTCAAGCTCATGGTACTGCCCTAGCCAGCCCTCGGCGCTGGGACCGTTTTGAATCGTGTATTTGCTTTCTCTTATAAAGCTCGGCCCCGCCGCGGCGTCGCAACATCGGAGTTTGACGAACATCTTCACTGCCTTCCCGTCGGTTAGTGCCATCAACTTCCTAGTGTCACCGGACTGTTTCTTTTACAAGATGACGGGCAGGTAAACCCGCCGTGTAAATATGACCAAGTAACCCTGTTAAAGCCATTGCAACTTTTAGCCCTGGTCTGCGCTTTACTGCGTATGCTCCGCGTCGCACGGGTCAGCTTTCGCTTTAAAGTAGCGGCGACGCAGCGATTGACGGAGCATCCAAGAGGAGTTATAATTAGGCGCAGAACCGCTCTGAATAATAATTCCATAGTGGCCAAATGTTCTGGTAAGTCAACTTCCGGACTTCCACCACGAGCCTTGTTGGTCTCAAAGGTCCCGGCGAGGAGTTATCTGTGCGTCAGCTTTCTTACCAGATTGATTGATCAAGCGACCAATCATGATGCCTCTTCAACGGAAGTAGATGCGTGGGTGTCCGTTTCATTGTCAAGCGCGGGCAGGCCGCACCGCTCCAGATATGGGTGGTATTATATTACCGATTCAGATACACCGTCGAGCCCTGCGCTTTGCACAGGTGCGGGCAGAAGTGCGTATCCGGGGACGTGCTTCCGGCCTTAGTAGCCGCCGAACCGTGTGGCGGTGTGTCTATATCACCATCATTCATTGACGTGCGTTACACACACTTATAAGGAGTTCATCCGAATTCTGCCTACCGTTCATCTTTTCCTTCCTACTTCGAACTCCTTCTCGAGCACTTCCCTTTCTCAGAGCTAGGCCCACCGCAGTTGTCAACGATCTTCCTTCTCGCGGGCCAACATGTCATCCTCTGGTCACGCCGACACTGACACTTTGGCAGAGACTATCGTCGATCATGGAGACAAGGACTATCAAGAATTGGCAGACGACAACGAGACGCTCGTTTCCCACGACAACAAATCGCTCAAGTTCAAGAACGATTCGGACGCGGATTCGCTAGCCCTTGTGAAAGCGGATGCTCTCGCTCGCTATGCAGCATTCTCCGGGGAGTCGTCTAGAACGCCACGACCTATTCTCTTTCGTGTTATAGGAGGCCTTGGCTCATTGCCATCACGCGCAATGAGATCCGTCAACTCGCTTGCGCAGCGTATGCTTGCGCTCTGTAATGCCGAGATGCAAGTGCGGGGCGTTGTCCTTGCTAATGCTGCTGTGATCCAACGACGAGTATCGCAAAAGGGAAAGCTTGCCAGGTACGTCGATCTAAAATCTTGCTTTGCTATTCTAGGCTGAGATGCGGTATAACTAGCACTTCACGCAACTTTCTCTCCGATGTCGGACCCAAACAGTCACTCGTACGAGACAAGATTCGGAGCATACAAAACACCCTCCAAGCCGCGAAGTCGCATAACAAAGCTGCACCCGTTGACACGTACAAGGATCTGCTTCTTCTACTGTGGTCAGTTCATCCGTCAGCATCGTGATTTCGTGGCCTGACGCTGTCTTTCCGTCACATGGTCGCTTGTCCTGATTCACAGCACTGTTCTCCGGGCGCCCGCGAACACTTACAACGAGACGCTCGGCTGGCGTGTGTGGGATACACTCACAGACGAGCTACTTGGACGGCACGTTCACCTCGTCGCTGAAGCGATGTCTGCGCCAGAATGCATGGATGAAGACATTGGGACGCTACTGCGACATCTCGCTCTAGCTCGCCTCAGTGGGTGGTACGTCTGTTTATCACCGTGATACCGCACAGCATCTGAGTTCGTTGCCTCGTTAGGAAGAAGCACAGGGCGCTGAATACCTTGGATCCCGCATCCATTTTCAGTCTCGCTCGCTCCGCGTCTTTCTCTTCTGAGACCTACGATGACTACCTCGCGCTGAACGAGGGCTTCTTCACACTTCTCCTCGAAGTCACGAGTAGGAGACCAGTCGCCGTCCGCGAAGCATTTGACCACTACATCCATCTCGTTTGGTTCAAGTACGCTATTACACCGCCGCTGATGTCGAGGACCCCGCCGACGACAACGTGTTCCGCTCCCCAGATCAAGTTCAGCTATGTGCTCGACAACATCGCGTACATGCTGTGCCAGTTCGAGAAGCGTCTTGATCCTTCTCTACCTAGGGAAGCAAGGAGCTTCGTCCATCTCCTGACATGCGGCACAGCTCCCGCCATCAGCCTTGAGGGGGCCCCAGCTCAGGAATACGTTAAATGCGCAACAGCACATGTCCGGAAGACTCTGGCTTGTATCGCGGATGCGTCCAAACCCCTGCCGACGTCCGATCAAGACGGCGACTTCGATCCTGCTCCTACCTGCTTCCACATGGAAGGCATGTACGAACTATTCCAAGAACATCCTGGATTTGCCCTGGGCAGTCTTGTACATCCGACACTCCCCATATTGCTCTTCGTAGCGGAGCTGGTCGAAAATTCTCCGCGAGCTTCTGCTTCACTTCTTGATAACTCGAACGTCGAAGGAACCCGACCCTTCCTGGAAAGTCTCCGCATCCTATGGATGCGCTCCTTCCTCTTGCCATGGGACTACCCGTGGGGTATCTGGCATGGCACAGGCCCTGGTCCAGGGCGATGGGTGCAAAAGGAGAAGCGATCTTACGCGTTACGGTTGGCGACATGTCTCGTCCTTGCTAACTTGGCGAAGGCCGCACATCGGGCACTGAGAGAAGGCGACCCAGAGCCGATGAAGATGCTCGCGGAGAGTGTGACCGCCAGGCGCAAAGTAGAGGCGTGGTTCTGGGATGCCGCAGCCGCAACACTGTACTTCCACATCCATTTTACGGAGCTACACTTGAAGAATCTTCGCGCGGTGGTACCATTGTCCAAGGAGAAACAAGCGGAGACGGATATTTATGGCCTCTATGCGCTCTCTCTCCAGCATATTAGACCTCTAATCGCATACCTTACATGCGATATGGATAGGAAGCCTCCAACGCTGAAAGCGAATGTACTCGAGATGGATCCGGAGAGCCTGGTGTGGGTCTTCGAGGATGTGTACGTGCTTCATTGCCCTTGCTGGTCTCGGTGTTCAGCTGACGGCACTGCCCTCGTAGCCCCGCCGAGCTCGGATGCAAGGCGCTCTCTTCCATTCTCACATGCTCCACAGCGTCCACCGAGTGGTCGATCGCACTCGAGATTCTCGGTGCGTGCGACTCCTACAATCAAGACAACTTCCGAAAAGCCATCGGCGAGTTCATGCTCAGCCTGCTCTCCAGCCGCGTCAAAGCGCCACGGCGCGTGTCCCGGGTTCTCATGCCGACAATGCGGTCGCATAACATGGCGTCCGACCCCCCGCCGCTGTTCATGCCGCACCCCGCTGACCGTTTCCTCATGCTGCTCGCCGGCGCCATCCGTCGCAACGGACACATCGGCATTGCACTGCAGAGGGACGACAACACGAAGGAGCTTCTAAAGCGGCTGTTGTGCGACATCGAGGGAGGTCGTTTCGATTCGGATATCAGCGCCGAGGGCCGGAGTCCCTCGCCGCTCGACACGGAACAAAGGGAGTGGAGGACGCGAACATGTCAGGCGCTGTGGTGTGTCCTGGGCTGAGCGCCAGGCACCTTCGACGGACTACTGGGTTCATATGTAATTTATAACTTGCACGGACAATAGCTCAGCTTGTACTATGGACTGCGCACGGCGCGAGTGTAGCAATTAATTTGCCACTAGGGCTGGGTGTCGCATAATGTATTGGATAAATCTAGATGGACTTCCTATTTTCACTATTTTGGATAGCGAAGCACTCAGACACTCTACCGCGTACCTGTAACTTCAGACTTCCCACTGCTCCTTTCGCCTAGGCCATCTGGCTACCTATGTTTCAACGGCTCTGCAACATTCTCCAGCGGTAGCATTGGACACGGCGTAAGTTTATCATAAGGCGGCTGGCAGGGACCTGTGGCTGCAAGAGATAATTAATTAGTATAGCGAGGTCGCCTAGAGTTATATATAACGACGATTACCGCCTTGTTAGGGTTCCGAACGGTAGACATCCACAAAATTGAGAAAGCAGTCAGTGTACATCGTGTGAGCGGCGAGCATTATCTACGGAATGTCATGCTACTTACTGACGATCCCCGGCGGTGGCAAAAAGTGTAAAACTCGTAAGAGAATCGCGACGAACGGTAGGGGCATAGCTCTAGCACAACATCACAGTTATGGCGTCTTTTGCAATATTAACTACGACACACCTGCCTACATTGCGCATTCAGTTAGACGAATGAAGCACGAAGCAGCCACTTGCGAAACCATTCGCATGTACACAGCATAGCTGGGACCGACTTGCTGACGAGAACGTTGGCGAGACGCACGATAAGCACGTTCAGGATGCGGATGAGAGCATAGAGACTAGTAGTTGAATGTGAAGGCGAGGGGTCAAGACACTGTTAAAGCATCCGCGGAGGCTGTGTTCTACTTGGATTTCGCGATAAACCATGGCGCCATAGACGAAACAGAGTCGTCAATGAGCCGATTTGCTAGCTTTCAGAGAACTAAGTGCGATGCGAGAACGGGACGAGTATGATAGCTGGACTTTTCCAATGTCGAAGAAGATGCAGGAAAACGTCTAGTTGACGGGTATACAGTCGATGTCCTTTAGACGTAGATGATTTATCTTCGATCTAGTCCCACGGATACTCCTTACCATAGCAAGATAATTCGCAAGTCAGCAGAGTAGAGTGTGAGACACAGCTGAGAACTCACCACCTCGGTCATCCTCCACAGAATGTACGAACCAAACCCCGCCCCCCAGGCCATGCTTGAGATGCTCCCTAGGGCTCCTGCCAGAGCGCTCAACTGACGAAAAATGGAGAATGTTTTCGAGGTCTGACGCGACGTTGATGGTGAAGCGTTACGTGGATATCCTTGGCTGCACACGCAACGAAACGCAAACCCGATACGCGAGAACGTCGTGCGGAGTCGCCTTGCCTCGTGGAGTGCCCTTATCCATGTTAGGACCAAGAGAAAGTCGACTGCGACGACTCGCAATAACGAGCTGTCGGGATCGGTATGGCAGAAGACTGGGACGCTCACTAGTATATAGATATCGGAATTCCAGTTCTGGAGCATCAGGAGAGGTTGAAGTAATTCGAGCTGTTTAGAACGTTGAGAACGCCCTTCTCTGTCAGAAACATAGCCAAAATTCCTGGGTATCAGATAGCAACGTATATCAACGTTTAACGTTCACCGTCCGGAGACAAGTCCCAGTGTGTGCTGTCGAGAACGCTGATGGAGACACGGCGATTCGTCGTCGAGGACATGCCGCCATGATATCATATGATGGTTGAATTCGAGGTTGATAAATAAAATCGGACATGGAAGCGAGCCGAGGGATGCTCCAGCAGGCTCCGGCGAACATAGCGAGCGCATATATACAGGCGGGACCCCGTCAGGCAGAGGTAAATGCGTCTATGATGTGGTCCGGTCATGCGACGGAGTCAGGTGTGTCATGGACGCCTTTCGAGCAGGCTAGAAGGTGCACTTGTGTGTACGCGAGCTCGAGCGTAATACAGACGCAATAGTTGTTGCACTCAACGTTCGTTGCAGAAGGACAAATGACTGTCTAGCCCCGGGTGATGGTCGCCGACGAAGCTGAACGAAGGCTTCAGACTCGGAGGGAGTGAGCGCGTTGAGCACAGCGATTCGCCATCAGGCGCCTGCGAGCTTGCCTCGGACTTCCATGTCCCACCCCCGCCCTGGCGCTGTAAAGCCGACAAAACCCGTGTTTCAGACGCGCTCAGGGGCATATATGCGCTCTGGACCTGCTATAAAACCGACTGCAGCCATCACAAGCTTGGGCTGACCTCCCTGCATGCTTGTGCTCATGCAGCATCACAGACAACAGCCCTCCAGGCGGAACCAGAGCGGATGCAGCGGAGCCTGGTCCAGGACGCGGAACCATCGGCTACGCGGGGTGGCGCCCACGGCCGAAGCGTTCTCGCATTGCAAGCCACCCGGGGGCCCCTCTCCAGTGCGGGGTAGTCGCTTGTATTCACATGCCTAAGTCCGCAACTGCCTCCTTGGCTTCGTCCTTAGGACCGATCGTCATGCATCATGACTCGCTACCAGGCTCAAAAGGCACACAGGCATGCATATCTGTTCTTCTTTCGACCTCGCACATACCCCCACGCCTGCGACGATACCTGTGCCGCTGTTCCCCTATCAGATTTCACCTCTGGATCCTACTAGCCTACAATCATAGCACCGAGCCATGTCTCGTAATGCTCGAAATGGCAAGAAGCCCGTCGGTTTCGCGACACAGCTGACAGCGGGAGGCATCGCGGGAGCTATGGAAGCGGTAGGTCTCTCGACATCTCGGCAGTAGTCACACAGGCTCACGTCTCTCAGCTCTGCTGCCAGCCGCTGGATACTATCAAAGTTCGAATGCAGCTCTCGCGGTCAGGTCGAGCTCCTGGAGTATGCTAGTCTTTGGACCCCTTGCGCAGATATCTGAAGACTAAACCCACCCCTGTAGACAAAACCACGCGGTTTTATCGCCACCGGTGTCATGATCGCACGGCGCGAGACCCCGCTTGCGCTTTACAAGGGTCTTGGTGCCGTGCTCTCTGGAATCGTGCCAAAAATGGCCGTCCGTTTTGCATCATTCGAAACGTACAAGGGATGGCTTGCGGATAAGGAAACAGGCAAGACCAGCGTCGGTAACGTCTTCATAGGTGCGTCGGCCCGATGATGTCTCGTGAGCTGCCATACTGAAATTGCGTGCATACAGCGGGTCTCGGTGCCGGCACGAGTGAGGCGGTCGTCGTCGTCACCCCAATGGAAGTCGTCAAAATACGTCTGCAAGCACAGCAGCACTCTCTTGCCGACCCGCTCGAGACGCCGCGCTACCGGAACGCTGGCCACGCCGTGTACACGATCGTTCGCGAAGAAGGCGTTGCAACGCTCTACCGTGGCGTGTCGCTCACCGCGCTCCGGCAGGCGACGAACCAGGGTGCAAACTTCACCGCGTACCAGGAGCTCAAGAAGGTTGCGCACAACTGGCAGCCGGAGCTGCAAGAGTTGCCGAGCTACCAGCACATGATCATTGGCCTCATCTCGGGCGCCATGGGTCCCTTCTCGAACGCGCCAATAGACACCATAAAAACACGCACGTTTCTCTTCCTTCTCTCCCGCGATCATTTCGAAGGCTGACCCGCGATGCAGGTTTGCAAAAGGCCACCGCGGAGCCGGGCAAATCGGCCTTCCAGCGCATCCTGGCCATCGCGCAAGACATGTGGCGGCAAGAGGGTGTCAAATCGTTCTACAAGGGCATCACGCCCCGCGTGCTCCGTGTCGCACCCGGGCAGGCCATCGTCTTCGCTGTGTATGAGCGCGTGCGCAAGGTTATCGAGACTTTGCATGGGTCGGACCAGGACGACCTGTACAGCGAGTAATGTAGATTGTATTATATTCGTCCTGTATAGTGTTATTTGCATTAATGGACTTCGTACTGTGGAATTTGGAGTACTTGTGCGAAATAGACGTGCAACGATGTTGATCACTCTGGCCATAGGTCAACGCTAACAAGCTAACGAGCGCTGTCGCGCACGACCTCAGACAGAGCAGTGTACGTCTTGCCGTTGATTGAAGCGCGGCGAAAAGGATGAGGGCTCAGCGCTCAGTATCAATATCGATGCCGCTGGAGTCCTGGAGCGGGGTTACAGCGGAACGATTTGTGGAACTTTTTGCGCTGACCACGGAGAGCGCACATGAGCAGGTGCGGCCCATGCGCCCATGTGTCACGGACACGAACGTGTAAAAGGCCTGGCATTCAGCGTCCCGCAACGTATCGGCGTTGACAGCTTCAGGGCACTCGTCCTAGGCAAGCCGACAATTGGTGCGCCACACCGAGAGTTCAATGAGGCCACAAGGATCGAAGAAGCTTGCGCATGCACTCTATGATAGAGAATATTTGACTCCAACCATCTGTAGATGTTTTTCCAACACAGAATAAGTACACAGGTAACAGCACAAACACTATAACAACAGGCAGGCGTACAACAAATAGTGATGGCAAGTACAAAACAATGACATGAACAATGTCGTGGGCTTCTTCACAAGACCGGGAAAATCCAATGCATCCAGATAGATAGAGTTGGGGATGATTGAGCGTCCATGGAGGGGGTCATGATGTGCATGGCATGTTGGGACGTGAGAGGTATCTATCAATGGCTGGTATATTCGAATTCGGGGAACATCACTCCATACTCGTCCTTGACTGGCTGGCCGTAAGTTGCCGCAACGTTGTCTTCGGGATACCTTTCGAACCTGTGCAACATCAGTTATCTGCCCACGAGACCATGGGAAACGACCCACGCAGACGCGTCACCCGCGCTCGCAATCTTGGGGAGATACGGCGCAGTGATCTCCCTGTTCTTTAATTTTTCCCAGTCGACCTCACGGAACCATGGGTGTGCGAAGACGTCGCCAGCGCCGTGCTTGAGGTTGCCGTAGCGCTTCGTCGGATCGTGCTCGAGGAACTTCAAGATAAGGTCGGTCGCGTTCCTATCGAACGGCGGCCAGCGGATCGCAAGGGGGCCCTGGCAGATCCTCTCATAGAGCACGACATGGCTCGCGTCAGGCTCGTGGAAGGGTGGCAGCCCTGAGAGCATCTCAAAGATGAGGACGCCCAGGGCATACCAGTCGACAGACTTGTTATATCGCTCGTTACGAATGATCTACGGAAGGGATGAGTGTGCGGACGGTGCCATAATTGAAACCTACCGTACCTCCGGTGCGAGATAGTCTGGGGTGCCGCAAAGCGTCCATGCATTCATGCTACAGTGCTTCGCGAAGCCGAAGTCCGCAATTTTAATGTGCCCATCGAAGTTTAGCAGGATGTTCTCAGGCTTGAGGTCACGATAGATGATATCGAGCCCGTGCATGTAGTTCAACGCAAGCGCGACCTCAGCAGCGTAGAACTTCGCAACGGGGTCCGGGAAGCGCTGGGATGGGGGTTAGCAGGTGGGAGACGTGTCTGAGAGTGCGACACACGTTCGACCGTCTGAGAAGCGTAAACAGCTCTCCGCCTGGCACGAAATCCATGACCATGTACAAGTTTGCAGAGTCCTGGAATGAGCCCCAGAGATTGATAATGAACGGGTGTTGGACAGCCATGAGCATGCGTTGCTCGTTTTGAGTGTGAGAGACCTGCTTCATACGAACGATCTTTTCCTTGCTGAGGATCTTGATAGCATAGAAGCGGAGGTTATGCTTGCTTCGCACTATAAGGGATGATATGAGGTCTTGGCGACGCAGTATAGCTCGGTAGACATACCAAGGTGCACACGCCCAAAGCTACCGGTGCCCAAGGTACGTTGGATGATGAAATCAGAGAGCCGATACGTCCCCGTCGGTCGTCGTACTTGCAATGGTACGGCGGATTCTGGCTGCGCATCCACATCCATCTGGTCGGTCTTCGCTTCCTTCTGGCCGTTACCCTTCCATTCGCTGAGAGAAGTGCGCTCTGTCGATGCCGATGGCCTTCGTCCTGTCGAGGACAACGCTGCCGACTGTGCGGACGAAAGCGATGCTGACGGCGAATGGAGAGGTTGGCTCTGCACTTGTGGCAGCATATGCACGGGGTGGGGGGCGGAAGGGGAAGAGGGGGAGTTCGCACCGGCAGACGCAGGTCTCGGGCTAGTGATGTGACCCAGCTTGTCGGCCATTTTGCGCATCATGTTTGCTCTTCTTTCTGGGAGATGGCCGGCTGATGCGTCGGCTCGAGGGACAATGGCTGTGGCCTCTGCGTCGTCGAACCGAGGTCGTTGGTGGTCGTGGAAAGCGGAATCATCCTAACTTCCCAGTACAAGGTCGTTATGCACTGATCACTAGAAAGGCGCTCCGCGATATCGAGGCGTGCGAATCTGCACTGAGCCTGAGACACACCTTCCTCTTCCGTCCCCGCTCTCGAAACCTCTCGACAAGCACTGCAGGATCAAGCTGGACTCCGAATATACAGTATCATGCCTCTGAACACTTTGTTCGTCCACCACAACTACGAGTATCACTTCCACAGCGTCAGATAGCCTGGACAACCCCCTGCTTCACCAACAATGAGCTCGACAGGAACCGCGGATGCAGCTCAGCAACCGAAAACTCACGAGCCCCTCTCGCTGCCGCCTCCGCCAGCAGGCGAGGAGCCCACCCCCAAGCTTGAAGTCGGATCACAGATGAAGTTTGACGCGTTAGGACCGTTGGTTGTCAACAGCGACGGGGTGAGCACGCGTGCTTACGCCTGGCTTTCACTTGAATCCGTGTGTGCTGAAGTGAGCCTCGACCGCAGACGCTGTCCCGCATCGCGAACTGGCCCAATATGACCTCTCTCGAGAGGGAGCGGACCATTCGCGTGCTGACTGCTCGTAATCAGTGAGTGTAAAGTTGTTGCCGATGCTATGCATGCGCCTGTATTGACGCGATACGCGCACAGGATTCGCCTCGCAGACCAGAAAGCAAAGCTTGCTGCCCAGGAAGGGCAAGACTGAGACTGGGAGAGGCAAGACGCGAACTCGAATCAGTGAAGGTGGTCGAAGCCGAATATCAAGACTTGCTGTCATTGGTGTATCATAGCCGAACGTCTTGTATCATAGGCAATCTCTGCATCGCCGGTCAAGCCAACTGGTGGAGAGCTCAAGAAACGCCATCATGCATCCGAGTGCTAGATTTCGCAAGCCTATCGAGGTGATGACCTAGATTACACCTATAACTCCGTCAAGCAGCGGGAGTCTCCGGCACGTTTTGTGCTGCTGCTACTGCTGCTGGCATCCAGTAGGTTGGGTATCTCGTCCGGGTCGCGCTTTGCGCACTCTGCGTCGATTCCTTGTTGCGTTATCCTGGCGATCCTCCACATATTGCTAATCCCGACGTCTCAATTGTTGATATAGAGCTGATAGTTATGGGCAGCCGACTCTAAATCGATATAAGCAGCTCATTCGTGTCGCTTGCGAGACAATCACCTGTGATGTCGCAGTCTGCACCATATGAACGGATTCTGTTGGTTCATTTACTTGCTATTCGCGGACTAACACAAGTGAAGAACTATAGGAGTTTCACACTGATAGTGCTTGAAACGCGCTATTCACTAACGCGTCGGTGCCACCCTCAGCGTTCCTCGCATATGAGCTTCTCTTCACAATATAGAAGGATACTGAGGTGTACTGGACGCAGAGGCCCACTATGCCCTCGCTCGTGTTCTTGATGCCTCGTTTACATGGTGGTGAGGCCTGATAACGCGGAACTTGCCGAACACGCTCTCGCCTGCCTCCCGAAACCTCAAGCCTCAAGGCCTCAAGCTCAAGCCTCAGTGCTTGACACTTGGACGGCAACAATGACGACCGCGGCTGCATCAACCACACTTCAGCAAAGGCTGAATGCCAGCAAGAATCTGCTACGTATCGGCAGGCGATGCGATCGCGCAAGGCGGACTTCGCGCTGACAAGACGGGTTCAGGCCCTCTTTCGAGAGACCAGCACCCTTGGAGAGGATCTTCGGGCGATTTTTCGTAAGTTTTGAAGATCAGCCATCCTTACTGCTCGTCGTGATCAGGGTCACCCCACCTTCGTATAGGGCCGTAGCTTAGTGCGACGGGAATACCATCCGCAGCTCCGATCTTCGAACCGTCGAGTGGTGTCATGCACGGAGAAACACACCGCCAGTTGCTGTCTCATCTGCGACAGTGCATCGTTTGTTTTCACCATCCGACATTCTAAGCCCGTTCGTAGAGGCACTGGTATGTCATTCTACACAATATGCACCACATCCAGTCTCGAGGCGCAAACTCTCAGGCGGAACGATGTCTTTCACCTCAGGCATCCTTATGCGGAAGGTGCCTTTTAGTCTTTGCCTTAGACGTCGGGCGTAGCTCTCAGATTCGCCCCAAGAAGCAGGGCTGATCCGAGTCCGAGCTCAAGTCAGGCTACAGGGATTATGCAGGGCACTCCGGCCCTGTATCGTCCGTAAGAGCGTATCGGCCGACTTCTGTGTATATCTTTCCCATTCGACTTTTGACCATTCCAGCGGTTCTGCGCACGTCCAGCCGTATCAAGCAAGACGTCCCGTGGCGCGTACAATTTGTAATAGGAGCGGTTTTGATAGTTTGTTTGTGTATCGTCTCCTGCAGTTTATTGTCTGCAGCCCCGCCCGGGACGACTCGCTGCTGGCTGACATTTTGTTTTGGTCGTCGAACAGCATTGTCTGGATGGCGGTGCGCAGGAGCAAGCGACTAAAGACGTAAGATCATCGACGAGGCGCTCGGCGGCGGACGCTTTTCCAACAGACAACAATGGCCAACGTGTCCGACAGCGTGTACTGAGCGGTACTATCTCAGACGGCCGAGACTGTCCCATTGTGGATGCCTTTTGCTCACGGACAACGAGGATCACACGTGTAGATTTTTCACAACCCGAAGAAGTTCAAGCGCGGCGCTATATTATCTGCTTGTTCGAGCTGATCTGTTCTCCCACCCCCATCTCTCCCTCCAAAAGCCGTCCCAACCATGGCGTATAGCTACGGCTCACAATACAACGGCGGCTCGCAGTTCAACTCCTTCAGCCTAGGAGGTCCCGAGGCTATGGCCGTTGTGTCTCCAGCGGCAGAGAAGGTGCGGAGGCATCCAAAGTATTACCTGAATGGGGGTGATGTCCATTTCCTGGTAAGTTCATCAGCCATCGCTTGCGATCCACACGATACTGATCACGACGGCCTGCTCACCCTCCAGGTTGAGAACTACATCTTCCGGGTTCATCGATATTTCTTCGAACGAGAGTCCCTGTGGTTCCGCGAAAAGCTCGGTGCGCCACCACCACCCGGTCAGGCACCGAAGGGCTCGTCAGATGTCAACCCGTTCGCCCTCGATGATATCCTTGAAGAAGACTTTTCGAGGTTCCTATGGGTGTTCTACAACCCGTACGTTGGTATAGCAGCTACCCAGTGACGCGTGTTGTGTTAATGCTCGAGCAGGCTATACTCGGTCTACGAGGCGAACGCGAACGAGTGGATATCGATCCTGAAGCTCTCGCACCAATGGAGCTTCTCTGAGATCAAGCAGATGTCCTGTCGCTATCTTGAGAGGTATGAGCTTGACCCCATCCGAAAGATCGAGCTCTACCAAGCGTATGACGTCGACAAGCGGCTGCTCATCCCGGCATACACCGCACTCGTCAACCGTGCGGAGCCGCTCACGCTCGATGACGGTCGCCGGCTCACACTCGAGACCGCGCTGCTCATCGCAACAGCGCGTGAGTGCGCGCGAGGGAAGTTGGAGGCAGGTAGGCATACGCCAGTCAGCGCGACGGTCAAACCGGATGCGATGGTGGATATTATCAAGGAGGTATTTAGCCTTCCAGATCGTACACCTGCCTCGCCTTCACTCGGCCCTCTTGCGGAAGGCCGAGGACCTTCTGCCTTTACAGCGACGCCAATGAGTCCGTCAAGGATTATCACGGCGCCGCCGCTGCGGGACGGCGCGAAGTCTCCTACACCCACGATCAACACGAATATTCAGCCGCTTGTACTTACGCCTGCAGAGCAACCCCGAGTCCCGGTTCCGCCTACACCATCAACAACAGTCCCTCTGAGCACCTCCGCGACAACAAACCCAAAGCCCTCAGACTCTAAGCTGGCTCCGAATCTCCCTCCCTATCTCAAAACTTCGTTCTCGCAAGGCCCATTTGCGACAGGTGCACCTAATACTCCGCTCAAGTCTGCTGTCTCGTCCGATTCGGCAAACGCGGCAGACCCATTCGGTGCTCCTCCTACGAGCACCAACGGTTCTGCGAAACTGGAGATCGAGAAGCCAAAAACAGGTCAGTCCCTGGTGGTGAGACCATACACTACCTCTCACTACATGGTTGCTGACAAGGGCCATTGTCTCAGAAAACGGAACGGACCTCAACTCCGGCGCCGCAGGCAAAGACGACCAAGACGGAAAGGACGGGAAGCAAGAAGTCAAAGGACCAGCAGGAGCCGACAAGTCCAAAGACGCAGGCGACACCAACGGCAAAAGCAACTCGCGGCCAAGCACCCCCGCCTCCGGTGGCGCAGCCGGCGCCGGTGCAAGGCTCCAAGGCCTCTTCGGCGGCTCAGAAGCTGGCGGAAACAAGGCCAACGGCGGCAGCAAAGGAGGCAAAGGGAGAAAATGAGGATGAGGGCGAGATAGGCAGGACGGGTACCTCTGGGTCGTCCGGATATTATACCGATGTCACGAACTCCGCCGACGACGCTGGCGTAGTTGGCAATGAAATCCACGATGTTGTTACGAGTACGAACACGTCTGGCCCGGAGAAGCAGGAGAGTAAGAGTCAGAACAAGAACAAGAGCGGCAAGGGTGAGCACAGCTTTAGTTCGACGCCCGTTGCACGCCCCGCCAACACAGCAGTCTCTCTAGCGCAAGGATCGGCTGCAGCTGCCGCCGGCGACAAAGCTCCGGGCAAAGCGGGGAAGAACAAGGCGAAAGCCTCTGCCGCCCAGTCGACAGCACGTCCAGAGATGGCCATTTCGATTCCCCCGGCCCCCTCAGCTTCCGACGCGGCTGCCGCAGCGGTCGAAAGCGTCCTTCCCCAGCTTCTTGCGAATAACCCCGCCGCCAGCGTCCCTACAGCTAAGACGCAGGTTCCTCCCGCGACTGTTATCAATCAAAGCGCGAAGACCGAGGGCGTGCCCGAGTCGGCGGCGGAGAAAGCGGCGGGTGTTGACCCGTCGGCTACGTCAGGCATCGGTGGGGCGAAGAAGCCGGTGGAGTCAAAGAAGACCGAGGACGCGTCTGCAAGCTCGGTGGACACCGAGAAGTCGAAGGAGCAATCAACAGAGCCTACCCCTCCTAAACCGACAACCTCTGCAGACCCAGAAGCTGAAAAGAAAACGGTCGAGGAGACGGAGAAGCCGGCTGAGCCCAAAGCCACTGCCGGTGTCGGAGACGGAGACCTAGCGAAGCACCCAGCGCAAACGGAAGGCGAACCGAATGCGGAGGGCACACTTACCCCCACGACGTCACAGATCACCGAAAACCTGCCACCCCCTGCAGAGCCCGCTGCTTCTGTGGAGCATGCTCCTTCCGCTACCGACCTTGGAAGTGACTCTGCGGCCTCAGGCGGAAACTCTCCTGTTGACGAATCCTGGGGCTTGAACGACGGTTACGAGACCGCGGCGAACGAAGGTTACGAGACTGCGGCGGAGCAAGAACTCTCCAGCGAGCCTGTCATCGTCAAGCATGAAGACGCCGTCAACACTGCAGCAGAGCATGGAGACGCCGCTACGACTACGGCAGAGCGAGACGTCTCCGCAGAACCTGTCATTGTCAAGCACGAGGACGCCGTTAACACTGCAGCAGAGCATGGAGACGCCGCTAAGACCACGGCAGAGCGAGACGTCTCCGCAGAACCTGTCATTGTCGAGCACGAGGACGCCGCGGGCGCGGACGCACCCCCTGCGGCTGCAGACCCTGTGGCTGCGGACGCCGTCATCGTGCAGCGAGAGGATGTCATGCCAGCTCCCACCGCGCCTGAGACTGGCGCAGAGGTCCCGGATGCCTCTGCAGCTGAGAACGTGAAGGTTTCTGAGCCGCCCGCCGAGCAGAAGGACGAGGCGAACCTAGTCGACCCTGCAGCGACGACCAGTGGCGCTGCTTCTGGTCCCGCCGTCGGTGCGGAGGCTACTGATACGAATGGCGCTTCCAAGGTCGAGCCAGCTCCGACAGCGGCCGAAGCGTCGAAGGAGCCGAAGGAACCGGAGAGCCAGCAGGTTCCCGCTCTGACAGGAGACGAGGCGAAGGAGAAGGAGAAGTCGGCAGAGTCCAAGGCCGACGAGCCCCCGGCGACGACAACTACTTCCACTCCTCCGGTCGACGAGAAGGCGAAGACCACTGAGCAACCGGCTACCCCGCAGGCCGAGAGTGCAAAGTCCGACGCTCAAACCGAGAGCGCAGAAACAGGAGCAGGTGTAGAGGCACAACAAGGCGCGGCGTCCACACTTGTCACCACCAGTCCAAAGCCAAACGACGCGCAGAAGGCGAAGCCGGATCCCGCGAATGCGTCCGCGAGCGGACCTCCTCCGACACCGTCTAAGACTATGGATCCCAAAGCGTCAACGTGGGCACCCCCGGCGGGCGCTACGGGCCAGCAGACAAGGCGGATACAGCCTGCTACGCCGCGTGCTTCGAGTCGGCCCGCAAGCGTGCATTCAGTCGAATCCAAGCCCGCCTGGGGACAGAAGACGCCAACGGTCACCAGCCCTCCCGTAGAACAGCCTCCGACTCCCAAGACTCCTTGGTCTGCTGCTGCACTCGGCAACCGGATGCGTGGGTTTATCAATAAGGTTAAGGACACCGTTTCTGAGGACGAGCACGCCGAATCCAGGAGTTCAGCTCCCGCGAGCCCGCGTCAGCAACCCGCCCCGGCGTTCGAAGTTACCAGATCGCCATCACAGAGGTCCCAGGACCAGACAGCTGCGAAGCCCGAAGCCCCCAAGTCGACTTCGACGCATGCGCCAACGACGCCTCCCGCACCAGTAGTATCTGCTACGCCTGTGGACCAGAAGGTCGACACAGAGAAGAACGGACCTCAGGAGAAGGCGCAGCAGGAGAAGAAGGAGCAAGACGAAGAAAAGCCTTCAGGACGCGAGACGCCGTCGAGACCCTCGCTGCGCGTGAACACAGGTGGCGGCGCGGATTCTGACGCAGGAGCGCCGCCTGACGATGACGATGTGCCGCTGGCCAAGATCGCGAGCAGTGTACCGAAGCGCATGCAGCAGGACGCTGAAGAGACTGAGGCAACGACCGAGAGCGAACCTCCCAGCAGCAGACCGGAGAGCCCTGAAGTCGACAAGACCCTCAGTAAAAGTCAGAAGAAGAAGCTTAGAGTTCAAGCTAAGAAAGCAGGTAAAAATGCTGGCCATTAGTCGATTCCGAGCCTCGCGTGAGTCTCTCCGTCACTCCAATTTCGATATCCTCGGACCGTCCTCTGTCGGCTGGCGGCACTCAAAACATTCTTGCGATCGTCCAGGTCAGAGCTCGACCTGCGTCCCTCTTGTGTCTTTACGTATTCTGCCGCTTTTGTTTCACGTCGTCCCGGCGCTCGTCGCCTTCAAGTTGCTGCTTCCGTGCAGTTTTGTACTACTTGCCTCCATTCCGTATCCCCAGCTGTCGCGCAGACGCACTTTCCGTGGTAGATTTCGCACCACTATACCGTATATACCCGGGTGCCATACCATCGCTCTTGCGATTTTCTGCTGCGTTCACCCCTGTTTCTTAGTTGTACACGCACCGATGCTACTCTTGTACACGCTCCCCCGTACTTCGCTTGGCAAGATTATTGTGCCTTCATTCTGACACCGGTGTGCGATCATGCAGACCCCCTCCGCGTGTGATGATGCCGTCGCACTGCGACAAAACATGTCTCATTGGGCGGGATTTGAAGCTGAGAGCGCCAGCACGGTGGCTATTGCGCAGGCAGAGCAGTATTGGCAGCCGCGCACCCGACGCTGTGGTGACGTTCAATTGATGGGCTGTGGAGACGCGCCGGCCCTCGAGGGCTCGAGGCGGCCTGACGCGGCTTTGGCGACTGCGCGCGTACATGGGCCGATCAAAATTTCGGGGGTGGCCAGCGGGGCGGGAACAAGGTGCGAGGCCTCGAGGAGCCGCTAGGACAGAACGAGAGCGGTGGATGCGCATCGTACGACGCCCTCCGAGGTACGGCCGAGTGCATCCCTGAGCAGGACAGCGACAATTAGCTCGCGCGCCCGCATGACCCTTCGTCAGGCGAGCCTGGACGTCTGCGTGAGAGCTGCGGGGCTAAGCAGGGAAACTTGGCGCAGTGCGCTGAGCACCGGTGGGAGCTCAGGGGAACGCGGTACAATTAATCACAACGCATCTGTTAGATGCGGTTGGGTTATCGCCTTGCTTGGATGTCCAGTTAGAGACTCGGGGCCGGTTCAGCTGCCACGAGGATGCATGCGCGCACTGCGGGGGAAATGCCGACACGATGAATAGCGTCCCAGGCACACATACGGTGACCTAATGGACCCGGAAGATGCCTTGCGATGACGAGCTTCTGTGAGGTATTCCAGCGAACTGGCCGGAGCCTTACATGAGCAGAGTCGTGTGCGCGTCCACGCCCAACGAAGTACTTCCTTTGACACAGAATAAGAACGCAGAGAGGCGCCGCAAGGAAGCATGCTGAAAAAATCCGTCGGATATGGCGAGGCTCGAAGCATGACCTGCTATCCGTTTCTCTCGGCCCCGGAAAACGGGATGCTGAGTGCGGGTCGCAGCTGAACGCTGCACACTTAAGTCAGGAAAGTTCCGTGAGCAAGACGTGGTAACAAATGTAGCACGTATAGATGTGAACAAATGCTGATGATGATCAACAACGCAGAATCAGCACAGCCCAACGATGGAAGGCATACGAAGAAGGCACCAATGGATGATGGCTATGACCGCTCCACTTCCTTCTTCACTGGAATGAGAGCCGCTCCGTTAGAACTGGGCGCGGAGAGAAAGCGAGGATTTTCTACCGACCTTCCTCCCAGTCTTGCATGTCGAGTTGTTCTGATCGGCTACCAGCACCGCCTTTACGACCAAGCAAGGCCTCTTTCCAGCCGAGATGGTCTGTGGGCTCGATGCCTCTGGCAGCGCCACGGTCAGATCCGGGTTCCCTTGCCATCTTTCGTATCAGGTCGAAATCGTCCTCCGGGACAGGCTGGCCGGCGCGCAGGCGTTGTGCGGTATCCTCAAGGAGCTTGAGACGCGTGGTGAAGTACGCACGCTGCTCCTGGGACTCCTTGCGGAGCCATAGCATGTGAGTGCTCAGAGAGGTGAGCGCTATAGTGTAGATGATCTCTGGCAGGAATCGTGTGGTCATGGTGGTCGCAGCGAACCTGCGATTGGCTCCGAGCGAGCAGCCAAAGCTAGCCAATGGCGGCGAGCGGTTTTTTGGGACGCGTTGGCGATCTTGAACGACACCTGTTCTCGCCTCTCGATCGTGTGTCGCGGCAAGACACCCTAAGACACCGCTCGGTGCTGATTTGCGGGGGATGTTGGATCAGAGACAAAAAGCCAAAAATAATAAAGGTTTCGCGTACGGCTGAAGGACTAAGGCTTGTATTTACGCGAAGGTCTCCCGCTGGCGAGGCTGGCGCACGATTGGCTGCGATCGTGGGCGTAGCGGACCAACGATCAGAAATGGCTCCCGCCGCCGTACCTGGGGTCTAGGCGCACCTGCCTTATGCAGCGACGGAGCGCGTGGACGCCCGCTCCCCCGGAACCGCGCAGCCAAAACAGGATAGAGCCCGCCGCCTTCCGGGGTCTTTCAGATCAGGCGCTCAATTCTGGTGCTCCTTCCCACTCGGTTTTCCAGAATCTGAATCCCAACAAGGTCAACCTTATATGAAGCCCTCCATGCTCTCTTCTCTCTCCCTATCTTCTCACCGGCCCTGTCGACGTCGCCCAACATTTCCTCGACAACATCCTTGAACAGTTCGAGCTCACCCTCGACGCTCTCCCGCTCTACACTTTCCTCGAATTCATCTGCTACATCCATCACCACGATGGCTACCACGTTCTCAGACACAACAAGAACTGACATGTTCGAACAAGTATGTTCCGCCTCCTTCTGGTCTACAATAGTCATCTGATATCTTGATAAAGCTCTTCCAACGCTTGGAAGAGGAAAGTGAACGCCGCGCTTTGCAGGAAGAGGAGCGGGATGTGCTCGAGGAAAAGGCGGAGCCCTCGCCGGTAGCCACTGTTCGCGACCGCCGTCGTGGCAGCATCTCTATCTCCCGAGTCGGTGGCCAGTCCTCGAGCGACACACGAGAACCATCAGCCCGAGGCTCCCGTCCATCATCCATCATCGTCACACGTAGCAGCTTCTACCAGCTCGACTCGGGCCGTGCAGACAGCACAGACTCGTTCGCAAGTGAAACGACAACAGACCGGTCCGTCGACGAGGTCGAGGACATTCATCACGTCGCTCAGACGCACTTCATCCCCGCCCAAAGCATCTCTAAAGCCATCTCCCGCCGCCTCTCCCGCGCGAAGGAGCTGATACCGCTCGCGAGCCCGACCTCCGCGAGCACAGTCATCATCGATGTCGCTGTCGAGGCGAAGATTGTCGAGCACCACCCAGGCGACGGCGAGTATCGCGGCACCCAGACTACGACAACAATTGCGGCTGTCAGCAGTGGCACGCTCCGTCCGCGGCGCTCAACGCCCATGCTCAACGACAAGGTCACCTTCCTTGCGAAAGCGAAAGACATCACTTCCAAGCTGCGTCGGAGAAGCGTCGCTGCCTTCTCGCCCGCATCACGATAGATCCCCCATCCCGCGCACGTCGCTGTCACGGCGACAGTCCCCCCACCCCTGCTATCGCTTTTTTATTCCACGGACTTCGCTATCAGTTTATTTTCGGGTATTCATTGGGGATTCTGCTTTTTGGTTCAGTGCTCCGTCCATCGTCGCTCGCTTGCTCGCATCTCTCGTCGTCTGCTCGCATTTATCAGTCGCATATGGTTCACTTGCATGTTTGTACAATACCCGCGCCCAGCGCTCAGCCTGTATCGTGTATGCATCTCTAGATATGAACGGAAATACCATCATGTTGTCACATGCACGTCAACGATTGCGCTTGCAAGATGCGGATATGTGATGCCTAGGTTCGTCTCCCCGTCTCTGAATTCTTAGTCGTCCCCACTTTCCGTGGTTCGCCTGCACCTGGTGACCATGTACTACAAGGCCAATTTGTCTGACCGCAGGGCTCGAAGTTCCCAGCACTTTCCCAGCACGTTCCCAGCGCGCACGACTCTGCACAATTGGCCTTGTGCGAGCACAGTCAAAACGATAAGGTGCGGACTTTGTCTTCTACGTTATTTCCGATCATGAATTCACCTCGCACTAGTAGATACAGGTGGGGTGGCGCCGCAGATGACCTTTCCGGAGTGCACGAGCGACCCCAAAGTTTCGCACAGCGCCGTTCTCTTCGCATTCTTATCGAAGCTTCCCAGCCAATTATTACCGTAACCTACATGTCCTCTTGTCCTCTAACGACAAGCCACGATGCTGTCCGCCGCCGGAAGCCAGCTCTGTTATCTCCGGTGCGCCCCAGAACACGATAGCACCGTGGAAATGGAAGCGGAACACGGGGGCTCGAGAGTGCCGGGAGCATATATTAATGCGCGGTCTCGTCGAGGGCGCCGGGACATCACTTGCGTACACGCTCAGGGCGGCAGGCTGGCAGCGGTGGCCCCAGGTATTCCCCCTCCCCCGGAGCGCGGAAAGTGATCTTCTCGCCAGTGCTCGGGGCGCCGACGCGACGGAAAGGCGCCGCGCCGCCGCACGGACATGTGCGAAGAGAATATTCTTCGTCGAAGACCTCACGTTACGGTAAGTGTCGATCTCAGACAGAAGACGCAGGGAGGGCTGGGTGATGGTAGTAAATGGCTGGGCATTTCTAAGTGGGGGCTGGACGCGATCGAGGGCTGGAGCGTTGGTGAGGCCAAGTCCACTCCTCGGGGACATGCCGCCCTGCGAGGGCAGCGCAATGTCGACTGGTGAAGTGTGACTTCAGGAGGGCTTTGAGCCCAGTCAGTGGGCGGCGTCACCGACATGGCCCTCGAGCTCGAACAGCTGTTCGAATCCGTCACCGCGCGGACGGCATCACTAGTGCTGCGGAGTATCCTGCGAAAGCACACTGGATAATGACGACACGTCGCGTCGATCACTGATCTACGGAATATGAAGGTGAGCATCTTCCGGAATCCCTGAGACAGAAGCGTCCAAGCAGACGGTATCTTTTAATCAGACTCCTCTGTAAGATAAGGCCAAGATTGACTGACACTTCGAATTGTTGGAGCGCGTATCAAAATTGGCATAGCGACTTCGCAGAAAGCAGAAGGTGCGACGATTTTTCGTTTGACAGTCCACCAGAGAAGACACGATGGCGGGCGGATGGAGCTGGTTGAAGGGACGAAGGCGCGTGGAACGCGTAAGTGAAACACCTTCCTTCGGGGTTATTGCAGTGGACCTCGAGAACCGCTTCTCTGCCGGAGATTGACCCTCTCCGACTCGCAATTCCCGAGCATTGAGCATGAAATTGGCACTCGCGGAGAATACACGAGGCACGACGGCAGTGCTCGCACACTCGCCAAAAATAACCGCTAACGACGAGGGTGGACAGGCCTCTTGGGCAGTGCATATAGTGGGCGGTGCTGTTATTGGCTTCTTTAGATACATGATGCGAGAGAGCGGCAGGCCGAAGAGAACATGCATATGGCTATCTTACAGCCAAGGGTAAGCTTGGAGCGACAAGAGCTGAGAATCGTCGGTACGCACATTTCTATTTCATCCTTCAGGTCACGGGTCAGCGCTTCAGCTCTCACCCTCTACTGCTGCCCAGGAGACGTCTCGACGTGCTCGTCCTCCAACTCCACCATTTGTCCTTGATCAAGTGTCTCACCAATGTTCCCAAGCCTGCTGTACGGGACGGCGAATTGCAGGGAAGAGAAGTGACCGTCCTCCGGGCTCGCGCGGGAATCGACAATGCGCCGGAGGTTTATCATGAAGCGACCTATAAGGACCAAGGGCTACATGTACAGAGTCAATAGTCTCCAGCACAATAGGAAGTGGGAAGCATACGATATTATTCATGAAAGGGTCTATCACGCTTGGGACCTGACGAGATGTGTCAGTGAGGACTCTGAAGCGATGGTAGTAATTTACTAATGCTCACCTGAAGAAAATTCACAAAAATTCGTGAAATATTCATTGTGAGCAGAGCTCTAGTGAGAACACACAGAGCTAAGGTTTCGTGAGTGGCCGGAAACATATAAAATACATACGCGAAGTATAAAAGACCTGTGTCAGGTTGGTCAAAGCTGAACGTGCCCAAGAGTGAATGCTTTACCATCTCGAATCAGGCACTCGGCAAGCGAAGTACCTCTAGTGAGTCGTTTGGCGAGTGAAACATCTGTTCTGTGGATGCGGCGTGCCTCCGCCACTCCTCGGTAGGTCTTGAGAGCGGTCACCAGCAGCACCAGCGCATCTGCTGCCACTACGGGGATGCGGCATAGAAGGAGCACTGTGGCCAGGTTATACAGGACATAGAGAGTGTAACTTGGGTGTCAACGCACTACTGGACTTAGCAATCAGCTTTGGTGAACTCGGAACCCATCGCAATACGCAATACGTACATCAAACTCAGCTGTGGAGAGACCATAATCAATGGAACGCATTCGACTCGGAGGGCGGTGTTGACTGTGTAGTATGCGGTCCGAGTCTCGCCAAACTGTACTCTGATCAGACTAGAGAAGGATTGTCTGCATTCACCGTACTATATTGGTGGCGATGGGTGTGATCCCAAGCAAAAAGACAGCGGCGGCGAGTGTCAAGTTGCGATCGGAGATGGCAAAGATGCGTAAGGCAGAGAAAACTGGAATGCATTGCATATCCACGATCTCAAACAGAGACAGACGGAAGGAAAGAAAATAGCACCTACCAGCAGCCAGAAAGAATTCCCATAAACTCAAAAACGAACCGATCCTGCACATAGGTTCGCAGCTGAATATATGATTTGTGAAACGCACATCGGGATATCGCACTCTCTGACCTCTAAAAGTGGAGTATATGAACGCAGGGCATTTCAAAAGAATATCATACTGACGGTTTGAGTCACCGGGAGAAGCATCGAGGGCAACAGGTCGAACGCAGCTTGAAGGACCATTGTCAGACGAAACAAGAAGAAGACGGCTGACGTAGCGTTGAGTCGCCGCCGCCACAATATATCCAGCTCGTCTTCGAGGGTAATCAAGATTTCGTAACATAAGAGAACTGCAAGATTGTGAGCTAGATAGAGGCGGGCTCGGAGCTACCATACCATCGCATGCCAGACTCGCTAGAGCGCTTTGCCCCATGCTGAAGCGTTCAAGCGGCAATGAGCATTGGATACAAGGAGGTCAACTAGGGGACTTACCGAATGGACGTATCTAATGTATCCGCGCTTTGAGACATAGTGGGGGAACCTTGTAATTCAGGTAGCAGCAGCGATGATTTATATGTTGTGATAAAGGCGGTGTTGACGAAAGCGCCAAGTGAGCGCATGCTTGATGAAGTGCTGCCAGGTTCCACTTCGTGAAGTAATAAAATCTTACAGTCCTTGTATTGTGTACACGGCCTTCGTGTTAGAACAGATGGTTATTCGTGTGAGAAAGACTGACCGCAGGTCTTGGCTGTACAAATCAGATGAATGATAATAGGGTGCCGGCCTGCCAGTGGTAGTGCCTCGTTATCTGCATAGCTAGCCGCCGACTCTTTCAGCACACTCGCAGCGCGAGTTTTCCCACATCTACAGGTGAGACAACGACGATTAGGCTTCGCAAACTGCGGAATTTCCTGCAATATCGCATTTTTGTTGGTGCAAGTCACTGGCATCAACGTTCCTCCGGGTTTGTTGCGGTTGACTCGAGAGCCGCTCCCTTGCACTCGCGAACAGTCCGCGAGGCATGAGAGGATGTGCCTCTTGAGCAGGTGGTACTGTCATTGGCTTCTTTAGATGCATGCTGTTGGTGCGAGACGACGACGGACTGGAAACTACGTATACGGCTACCTGACCACCAAGAGTGAACTTGAAGCGATTGGGGCTGAGATTTATCTGTACGTACATCTCTATCCCATCTTCCAGGTCGGGGCCTGCGCTCGCCTTCGACTGCAAGACATCTCGGCATGCTCGCCTTCCAACTTTCCCACACGGTGTCGCAGTGATCAAGTGCAAGCGTTTCGCCAATGTTTCCAAGCCTGCTGTACGGGATGGCGAATCGCACGGATGAGAAGCGACTACCCCCAGGCCTGCGCGCGCGGGAGTTAACAATGTGCCGGAGGTCGATGATGAAGCAAGCCGCGATGATGTCACGCGTCAAGCCCAGTGAGAACCTCGTCCGTCCGGCGCTACCTGAGTCGACCTGAGTCGACCTGGATGGTGGAGTGTTGTAGTGAGAGACCTAAAGTCTATCCAATCCATCAGAATGTGTCCGCACAAACGTGGGCTGACCGTGGGTGGATCTAGACAGTACCGGGCAGGTTTGAGCAATTCCATGAGCCGCACCCTCAATTCTTTGCGTTTAATTCGAGTAAAATTGATACTATATTTTGTGCTACCCATACATGTACAAATGTGCTCGGGTACAATCCAGGTCCATCGTACTCTACACCCACTGATCCTCCCATGTTCCGGGGTCCCTCCTCGGCCTACCATGGATTGTTATGTGGTCGGTCGAGCGTCAGAAGCAAGGCATCCGCGACCGCCCCGCCGTCCATCGCGCGGTACCAGGGTCCAGCATGTCCTGAGCGCATATACATGATGAACAGAAACGGACTTGTCTGTTGATTGCTGTCGTGAGCACGACACAGCTATCAAAAGAGCGAGCGTAGAGCACCTTGAGCCCGCCCCGAACATTTGCGGCAGCATGTCGACTGGCTCGACTGCCCCTGCGATATCGAGTACAACACAGTGTCGAGAGGCATGAGTTGATGTCAACAAAGTCTTTCAGTGTTGGTATATGCGCATATACTCACCTGCTTGTCAGATTGGATAGCGGGACGGGGACCACAGGGATGCGGAGCACGACAGGTGGCATGGTGGGGGCAGCAGAAAGAGAGCGGCGCTGCGCCATCGTCCGACGTGGGCCCATATATAAGTGAGATGGGGCACTTCCGCTTCGATTTGGCGGCATCGGTCGGCGGTGTCGGGACATTGAAGCCATTGGTTTAAAGCCCTCGAGCGCATTCAGACTCGGATTTGGATTTGGAAAAGAGTCGGTGGCGTTTGGACACATTGGAGAGGCATTAACGGACGCATGAAAGACCACGGTAACATTGATGGACCACTGAGACGCAACCGATGGGCGCGGACGTCGGGGCTTCTCCGGCGTCTGCTAAATTCTCTGTCTTCGATAGACTCGGACAGTCCTCGGCGGTCGCTTCGGGTGGGCGGGGTTTTCACTGGGCGTCAAGTCTTGCCATTCCAGCGTACGGAGAGCCACAATCAGGGTACAAAGCGGCCTATCTGCCAAGGGCAAAAATCTACTTGATGAAAACTAAGATGCACCCATGTTCTGTCTCTTCACCGGCCGACTGTTGCCGTTCTGGCGCGTCCTCTGACGATAATCTGGAACGTTGGCGGTGCATATAGCCTGTCATACTTGGCAGCAAATCGTACGGAAGAAGAGCGACTGACTTTTAGGCCTGCACAAAAGATTTCCTTGCACACGTACTCGGCGCGTAGCAGCGACGAGTTGTGTGTAGTAAAGGCATCGCTGATGGACCGGCGCCGTGTGAGCGGATGCTTGATAAGTTACCGCTTCTATATCGCTTTGCTGCGTTCGGAAAGCGATCATATCCTACAGTCTATTGTGTTGTGCACACAGCCCTTGAGTAGGACAGATGGCGGCGTCCCGACGGCCCATAGTAGGCCAGGTGGTCCCATAATTATCGACTCTTCTGGCCAAGCGAACCAAGATACTACTTACCGTAAGTTTGCGCGGGAGGTTATTAGTGTTGATGACTGTGTCAGGAAGAGTCGGCAGTGTACATCGCGCGGTGGAGAGTCCGCCGCATACTCGAGCGATCGTGCCACTTCGGCCTGGTGTTCGGGTAGGACGATAATGTAGCAGCCCTCGGCCCTCCAGCAGTCGCTGCCCTCCCTCTCCTACTGCCTGTACTCTTCTTCTGACATCAGCCCGCCCAGTGGCGACGAGCAGTGAATGTACTGCGACAGGCCGTAGTGAGCTGCCCCTGGTGTTCACTAGTGATAATATGCAGACTTACCGCCAACCCTAGTCCATGACATGAAGCACGCCTTTGTTGTCACACATCTTGCACACCAGCCTTTCCGGCGGAGCGTTCATATCAGCTGCGGTGGCCTGCTGGTGATTGAGCGTAAGCAGCTCGACGACCGTCCTGATCGCGTTCACCTCGCTTGAAGACGTTCGGGTCATGAAAGATACACGAGGCACGATTGTGGTGTTTGTATACTGACCACCAATGATGAGAGCGGACAGGCCTCTTGGACGAATATATGGTGGATAGCACTCTACTAATTCTTTGAAGTTTGGATACACTGTGCTACAAGATAGTGGCAGGCTGAAGACTATGAGAGAATATAAATATGACCGCCTTACCACCAAGGGCAAGCTTAGAGCAACAAGGGCTGAGAGTCATCGATATGTACATTTCTATTCTATCCTTCAGGTCACGGGTCAACACTCGCCCTCTACTGCTGCCCACGGGACGTCTCGGCATGCCTCCAACTCCACCGTTTGGTCATGATCGAGTGTCTCGCCAATGTTTCCAAGTCTGCTGTGTGGGACAGCGAATCGCATCGAAGAGAGATAGGTGCCTTCCGAGCCCGCGTGGGGATTAGCAATGCGTCTGAGGTTGATGATGAAGCGGCCTATGAGGATCAAAGGCTATGCACGGAGTCAACAGTCTCTGACATGATAAGAAGCGGAAGTCATACAATATTCGCTATGATGGGGTTCATGATCTCATTCTGGTGGGATGTGTAAGTGGTCATTTTAAAGCGATGGTGGTAATGTACTGGGGCCCACCTCAGGAAAGTCCACCAAAATTCGTGTAACGTTCACTGTGAGCAGAGCTCTGGTGGGAACACAACCGTGCAAGGCAAAAGTCAGTAGGTATCATCTACAGCCAGAAGTATCGAACTATACATACACAAAATATAGAAGACCTGTAGTATCAGATAGGTTAAAGTTGGAAATGCTAGTAGCTTCCACGAGTGAATGCTTTACCATCTTGAACGAGGTACTCAGCAAGCGAAGCACGTCCAACGAGGAGCCCAGCGAGTGAGCTAGCACCTGGGCCATGGAAACGGCGTGCCTCCACCACCCCTCGAAGAGTCCTGAGGGCGGTCACCAGCAGCACCAGCGCATCTGCTATCACTGCGGGGATGCGGCTTAGAAGGAGCACTATACCACCAGGGTCATATGAGGAGTATGTGACAGATTTGGTGTTGACGTACAGCTGAGCCAGGCGATAAGCTTTGACAAACTAGGAGCTCATTGCAGCATGCAACACGTACATAAAATTTAGCTGCGTAGGGATTGTACTCATTGAAATGCACCGGAGAAGCGGGTTGTGAATTGTGTATACGGCTCGAGTCAAGCTGAACTGTGCTCTGATCAGATGAAGGAAGAATAGCCCCCAGTCAACGTACTATATTGATAGCAGCCGGTGAGACTCCAAGTAAAAATACCGTGGTAGCGAGTGCCAAATTCCGATTGGAGATGGCGAAGGTACGCAGGGCAGAGAAGACTGGATTACACCGTGCAGCCCCGACCTCAGTCAGAGACGGAAGGAAGAGAAGTTAATAATACTTACCAGCCGTCAAGAAGAAGTCCCATAAATAAAAAATTGAGACAACTATGGTCATGGGCTCGCAGCTGAATACATTATTTGTGACATGCGTTCAATTGAATCACACAGTCTGACCTCTGATGGTGGAGCCTATAAGCACAAGAAATTCACCCAAAAATATTACACTGACTGTTTGAGTGATTGGGACAAGCATCCCGGGCAATAGATCATATGCAACTCGAAGGACCATTGTCAGACGAACGATGAAGAAGACGGCCGACGTAGCATTGATTCGCTGTCGCCACAATATGGCCAGTTCGTCTTCCAGCGTAATCAATATCTCGTAACATAAGAGGGCTGCAAGCCTATGAGCTAAACGAAGGCAGACTGGAAGGTAGCATACCATCGCATGCCAGACTTGCCAATGAGCCCTCTTGCTCGAGGCTGGAGCGGTCGGCGGCTCTGAGCATTAATGCAAAGAGGACATTTGGTGGACGTACATAATAAGCGTCTCTAGAGTGCCTGTGTACTGGGACATGGCAGGGGACGAGGGGATCCTCGTGCCTCAACCAGCGACGGCGACAAGTTATATGACACCGTGGTAAAGGACTCGTCGTTGATAGAAGCGCCGGCGTGTGAGTATCAGCAGATGCTTGATAAATTACCACTTCTGTCACTTTGCGAAGCGATCGTCGTGTATCCGGCGGGGCAGCGAGTTCGATGGTGGCCTGTGACACAGAGCGAGCATCCGGTGGTCAAACGGTGGCGGTGGGACCGGTGGCGGTTCGAGTGTGACTGCACCATGGCCTACAGAATAATAACATGAATAATCTATTGTTGTCAATATTTATGGTACGCGGCGCAAACAGCTCATTGACCGTTCGTCGAACGAAAGTCGCTCACCAACACAACAGACCCACGGTACTGGCCGTCCACACGATTTGCTTTGGCGTGGTCCCGCGCGCTCAGCTCCGCCGGCATGATTACACGCGTCTGGGCATCCAAACTTCTCCACGCTGCTCTGCACAAATCTGGACTTCTTGTGCGGATCTGACATACATGGCAGGGGTCGCTGTGTATCACTTTAATACCGACACGAAGACATACAAGTTGGCTACCCCCCACCAAAGACCATGGTAGCGGTGGTGGACCGCGTGATAGGTCGATCGTACCTGACCTGTTCCCGGGAGAGGTCGAGTTGTTGAAGTGTTGCTCTCACACAGTGTAGCCGACGGATTTCCGTCAAATAGATGCATTCGTAAGAGGGGAAGGCAGCACCGTGAAGGACAGAAATTAATGTTTGCCACCGTTCGAGCACTACATGGATATCCTGGCATAGGCGTGGAGTGCTATCTCCGTAGCGTCGCATGAGACAAGGAAGCGATGGCACATTCTCGTCAAGAACTCACATATGCCTTCATAGCCGGTATGGCAGGCCTTGCACCGACCATCGTCGTCGTCGCTATGGCCGTGGCACAAGCTGTTTCGATGTTGCGACAGTCGGGGGAGATCTCGGCGTTCTCCCCCACCGCCATCACCGCCATCACGAAGTATGACGAGCGGAAGCTTACCCTGAAACGGCAAGTCCTGTGGGTGGTCTCGAATTTGTCGAAGCGCCCGTGTTTGTTTCGTCCCTTCGTTTGTACTTTGACGCTTTCTAGCGACCTCCCCAACACGCACACGCGAACCCCCGCTCTGCCTGCATACATGCTTCTTAGCTTTATCCACCATGCGCTGTCTGACGAGGGCTGCAATGCTCGTCTGTGAGCGCGGGCTCTCATTCTACTCGCGACGGTTAGTCGAGTCTCCGATATCGCCAAACGTTTCGAGTTCACGCGGATGATGGCCGTGCACAGCACAACTGCAGAGGACCGGCACACATGTCTACCCCGCTACACCATAGCCCGCTGCATATGCAACTCCGAGATGGACGATAGCTGAAGCAATCACACCTGGGCGCACCAGCTTCCCGACTCCACGCGACATTCCTGTGCAGCGTCCTCTGAAGTTGGTGATCACAATCCGATGATACTCCCCACCGTATCCAAGCAAATTACAGGATCACTGGCGAGTCATCAGCGTTTTCTTCCCAACGAGCCCTGTAGGTATGAATGCTGCCCACAGGAAGGATGTAACTGACCCTTAAGGTCATCCCGCAAGTGCACGTTGACTGTGCCATCCGTGGCGTTATGCAAAACAGAAGTCCCATGCTAAACGAGCGGTAGATCCTTCCTTCAAAGGCGCTGAAACTCCCAGACTCGCCCTGTCGCGAACTGAAATGCTGCCTCATGTGTCTATATGTCTTCAGCGCGACATGAGCATAAACACACACGCAAGCCTGGAATACGGCCAGGTTACGTTGCTACGTGACCCTGCAGCTGCCCGATAGACCCGGAGTGGAATTCATTTAGACGGCACGTACACGCGTACACGCTTCTTCGCGCAATTTATATCCAGGGATACAGCCTCCCAAACACATGTGCTCATCGCGAGACATAATAGGGCGGTGCTCAGTAGGCTGGTCTCTCGCTGTGAGTTGCTGATGCCATCAATGACGCTTCTAGTGCGTCTCCAAATTTCTGTTCTCCGCATTCGACACAGATGCAATTATCGACGCTAGGTTCACCGGTCATCATCCCCTTGTGCAACATTCGTAGCGTGGTTTCGATCTGACCTTCGACTTCCAGCGGAAAGGACATGGTGTAGAGGCGGTTATATGAGCGCCCGCGCGTCGGGCAGGTGACCGTGATCCCGAAGACCAGCTCACAATTAGCAGCGCACACGTTACCGGGACACCACAATAGGCGTCACCACACCATTCCTTAGATATGTCGCTCGCGCTAGTTCTATACGTGCTTCTGCCTCCCACCTTCCACCACCACCACTACCACCACCACCTCCCTCGGAGAGTCTGCTGCGACCAAGACATTTCAAGCGGAGATCTCCCCCGAAGCTGTGATCAAGGTGAGGAATCGATCCCACAAATTCGCTTCGGTTTTACGACAGTGCGATCCGTCTCGGCTTGCCTCTGGCGCATCCACATCTATACGCGGCTGGCGGTGATTCCATCCGCCTCGCGCTAGTGTACGCTGCACTGCCAACCCGGGAAGCCGGGCCAGCGCTGATGGAGAATGTGACTGACAGCCCGCATGTTAGGGTTCGTTTCGGGTTCGTCTTGGCCTCTACCAAAACTTCAACGTCGATCCTCGACGTCGTCTCATCCCCCTCTTGCTCGCTGCCTCCGCCTTCCAGGAGCTGCAAGATGGCCTCCTCATCGAGATTGTCCTATCCTGGCTTTCCGCATGACGTATGTATCTTTGCTACATGTCGGTGCCTCAATGCTCACTTTCTGCGTCGCTCATTTGCTCTGATATGTCAACTGATGCTTGCACCGCGTTCCCCCTATGATGCTTTGCTACATGATACCGGTTCAACTCTGAGACAGCGAGTCCCGAGCTGGCTCGCCGAGGACTTCGACGACGTGCTCAAGCCTCCGTCTTATCTCATAGCGTCTCTGCAACAGGCATTCGACGACTATGCTTTTCATCATGATCCCCCAACATACGAGCATTCCGTCGGGACCGCGACGGCAAGCACGAGCGCCGGGACGAGTTCACCATCGATGCGGCGAGTTTCACTCATGGGGGAAAGCATTTGGGAAGAGGACGACGACGAGGACGATATTGACGAGAGTTCGGCTGATGCCGATGATGAAGATGATGGCACAGAGTATGGCAACGGCAGCAGCGCGGGCAGTGAGGAGAGACATTCAGGGCGGGGGACAGCCAAGGCGAACTCAGACAGCCAGTCCACATTGTATCGCATGCCATTGCAGGACTTCCCCCCGATTCCCTCTACCTCCACGTCGATACCGACGCCACCGCAAGACGATGACAACCGGAGTTATCGGTTACGGCCCCTGCCGCCCGTCCCGCACATTCCCCCACCCGCATATCACCTCCTGCACCTGCAGCACCTAATGAGCAAGGCCAATGCCGATCCATACCGGGAGCTTGCGCAAATCCTGTCTGCACTCGACCCGGAACTGCTCCTGAAACCGTTTGCGGCGTTCGCGGAGGTATGCTACGAAGACGCCGTGCGAGGCGACGACGCGCCTCCCGTCTCACGCCCCTTCTCACCGCCGCCTGTACCATCAATGTCTCGCTCTTTGTCTCTGACTGACGAGAGTGAAGACGACGACGAATACCTGTTGCAGTCTCCGACACAGCTATCGGCAAACCCTCTGAGTCTTGCCGACACCACAAGCCCGCCACTCGTTTATGAGCCGAGAATAGAGGATCGTGTGCGGAGTACAGCCGAGTTTCAGCCGCTTCGCATTCCACGGAGCATGTCATCACCAGCACTATCGCGAGAGGAGCTGGTGTCGTCCGCTGGGCGGGGAGGGAAGCAGTATGTCCGTGTGAGCGACGCTCTGTGCAGTGTCTCAAAGCGAACCTGACAAGGCTTGTCGACAGGCGGCTCCAGATCCTATGGCCGAAGTCGCCTCGCTCTTCTTGCTCACACCAAACCCCGCCAAAGCGCTAAACTCCGTGAACGGCTTCCCCACACGGCCACGTCCGCCGCCGCAGCGCGCAGGCATGAACTTTGGGAACATGCGCGGCATGCTCCTGCGCTCGCTCAACATCAGCTGAAGCCTTATCACTGTAGTAATGTTTCGCATATACTCTCCCTCCTTGCATTTACGATTGTGTATCTCTTCATTGCCTCATTTTGTCATTCTAGGCAAACGCATTCCCTGTCGTGTGTACACCGCCCATCTCATCCATTCGTATATCTTTAATCTCATGGCCCATGCTACGTTCTCCCCGCACACGCCTTTCGCCCGCCTGTGGCGGAGCCTCTTAATGTGTTTTGAAGGGATACGCTAGATCTTTCTCGCTGACAAACCGCCTACTATTTGGATGCTCATAACGGTATTGCTACTCCTCTTGGCGTACATTTACTTCCGCCTTACAGCTTCTCAACATAATAGCAGCTTCGATAGGTATACGGATATCTATTAATAAATTTAAACATCTGCCCACATGTTCGCCGGTCTCGAACTCGAGTCTCGCACAGTCTCGCATATCATCAGAAAATGGCCAATAAACGAACAGGATATTTTGCAGTAGACGCCCATTAAGACCCATGGCGTCAACATGATTCAGCCAATGAAAAGACGAGGAATTGTGGCGGCAATCAAAACGGCTCGAGTTATTATCGGTGTTCATGGCTCTGGGTCCTGCGCAGGCTCAGACTCCTGCTGGCACTCCCCATGCTCACTCTGCCCTCTGCATAGTCGTTAGAGCGGCATTTGAGTTTGTGAGTAGCTGTTCGAACGGTGTACAGAGCGTAGCTTATCCATCTACGATGCGTTCAGAACGATTAACGACCACCACGAAAGCTCACAATCGCACGACTGAGGGCATACCACCTTACAAACGATACCCTAGGACAATACACACGCGCGATACGACTAGACGTCTTTGCTAGAACAGACAATACGCAAGAATGGACCCAGACAACGGCATCGACCCTACCTTGCGCGCACACCGCACATACCAGGCCGTGGCTAACCAGCCGTCCGCGACGTCCTCGCTGCGCCGTGTGTTCGTGGAGCAACAGGGCACAGGCACGAGGACCCCCGGCACGCTAGATGAGAGAACGTCACTTTTAGGCGCAGGCGCGAGTACGCCGGAGGACTTAGAGAGAGGGACTGCGCCGAAGGGAGCTAGTCCTGGTAAGTAAATGAGCGACTTTCTCGCGTTCCACGGACTCAGCGATGTGCTCATCGGCCCCTTGCATGTAAGGTGAACGAGCCCCACCTCGAAGACAACCTTCGCAGTGGCAGAAAGTCAAGTACTACATTCCTTCCACCGCGTGGATACCCGAATACTCCTTACCGCTGTACGTCCCGCATACACCCAGCATACAAGCTATTCTTCTCACTGTCATTATGCAACGTAGGCTTGGGGGAGATATCCTTGGAGGACTGACCGTCGCGTCCATGCTCATACCTCAGTCCGTGTCTTACGCCTCATCATTAGCAAAGCTCAGCCCTGTGACCGGTCTCGTGAGTTCATTACCGCTCCTTGCCGTAGTTCATCTGCTGATACCAGTATGAAGTTTTCGGCGGCTGTGCCGGGCATAGTGTATGCCTTTCTCGGCACTTCACGTCAGCTGAACGTTGCTCCGGAGGCTGCGCTGTCCCTGCTTGTCGGGCAAGCTGTCAGCGATGTGCTGCACTCAGACCCTCATTCTCATCCGGTAGACCCAGATGCTGTTGGTCTGGCTGTGGCCACCATCATTACCTTCCAGGTCAGTTGTCCGAGTGGTACTAGCTGCTGTCCGTTCATCTCACGCATGATATCCTCCAGGTCGGGCTTATTAGTTTCTTGCTTGGAATCTTCCGGCTAGGATTCCTCGACGTTGTACTCGGTCGTGCGCTGCTACGCGGTTTCGTGACCGCTGTCGCTGTGGTCATCATGATGTATGCGCTCAGCCCTTCTCTGACGTCGCTTCCTGGCTGAAGTGGATCCTAGCGAGCAGCTGATACCCATGTTTGGGTTAGTCTCACTGCAACACGCTCTGAACCCACATTCGACACTGGACAAGCTCATTTTTCTCATTGACAACGCTTTCACGCATGCCCATCACCTGACGACGGTCGTGAGCTTCGGCGCGCTCGCGATCCTCGTACTTCTTAGGAAGATCAAGCAGTGTTTCCCCAGGTATTGGTTCATCTACCGGCTTCCCGAGGTCTTTTTGGTCGTTGTGGTCTCCACTAGTACGCACTTGGCAGCTATTACTGGCTCTACGCTAACCGTCCGGCAGTTCTGAGCGACAAGTTCGACTGGGACCGAGACGGTATCGAGATCCTGGGAGATGTCCCTGTCCAAACTGGCGACTCGTTCATCCATTTCCCTGTGCGTCACGCCACCCTCCGTTACCTCCGCAAGACAACCTCTACAGCAGTGTCCGTCCTTCCGTCTTTCCAGCGTTTTGGATAGTTGGCTGATGCACTTTTAGTCTGATATCGGTTGTCGGGTTCCTGGACAGCATCGTGTCAGCCAAGCAAAATGCCGCAAAGTACGGATACAGTATCAGTCCCAATAGGGAGCTGGTCGCCCTGGGAGCGGGAAATATTGTGGCTTCGTTCATCCCTGGAACCTTGCCAGCGTATGGGTCTATCACGAGGCATGACTACTCTCAAGAACACAGTGGACTTGTTGCTGACTTAGGCATCCAGATCTAGAGTTAATGGTGATGTCGGTGCCCGCACGCAGATGGCTTCGCTAGTCTGTTCGACCATGGTCCTACTCGCCATCTTCTTTCTGTTGCCTTGGCTGTACTTCTTGCCAAAATGCGTGCTAGCCTCTATGTGCGTATCCCAACGGAATCTCGACAGCTACCTACTAAACCTCTTGTAGTATCTGTCTAATAGTGTTTAGCCTCCTCGCAGAAGCTCCGCATGACATCAAGTTCTTTTGGAAGTAAGTGAGATACTCCCCTCTGGCATATATGCAGTGCTGAGTGGTCTTTTTTTTCACGTAGGATGCGTGCATGGGTGGACTTGTCGCTTATGGCCTTGACGTTCTTCTTCACGATCATCTGGGACGTCGAGGTCGGGATCGCGGTCAGCTTGGTCATCTCTCTGCTGCTTGTGGTCCATCGTTCGTCTAAGACGCGCATGACCGTTCTCGTAAGTTACAGTGCGTGCTTGAGTAGCCTTGATGTTAATAAGCCGTACAGGGGAGGGTTCCGGGGACCGATGTATGGAAGCCCATTGGCGAGGAGTCCACAGCGGAAGAGGATGTTCCCGGAGTACTCATCATCAGGATCAGGGAGAATCTGGACTTCGGTGCGTCGGCCTACTTATTCATCGCTTGCCCGTGCTTAAAGCACACTTTCTAGCCAATACTGCGCAGTTGAAAGGTAACCTTACCCGCTTGCCGACGTTAGACCGTTGCTGATGTTCGTAATAGAGCGTCTGAGGAGAATAGAGCTGTACGGCCAAGAACGGCATCATCCCTCGGAGGAGCCTCAGCGTCAGCATGCGCACACACTCGTCTTCCACCTTGCAGACATGGACAGCATCGATGCGTCGTAGGTGCACGTTTACACGCCACCAAACTTGCGCCTTATCTTTTCTCTAGGGCGATCCAGATCCTGCACGAGCTGGTTGAGACCTACCACGCGCGGGGCGTCGCGATCTACATTACCCATCTGAAGAGAGGCCCGCGGAAGAAGTTCGAGCAAGCTGGATTCGTGGAGCTTCTTGGCGAAGAAGCGTTCTGCAAGGATGTATCGTCTGCGATGGCGCGCATCGAGGGTGGTTCGGCACGGCGATAAGCATTCCCACATTTATTTCCAAGAGTTCCGGTAGTTGGGTAAGACACAGTTAATCTGTATGCAACTGCGATGTTGATGTCGTCCCTGCTGAGTTTTTGGTGTATTCCTGTAGGTTTTTTAGGACCGCAGATTTGTATTCGTTATGACACACATGTGAGTAGTTACATCCCGGTCGTAAGATTGTAATCCCGTGCATGTCTGCACCCTCAACACCCTTCGACTATTCCCCGTGAATATCATGCGTGCACTACGGGTCAGAAGGGCAGTGCCCTAGTCCTGAAGGAAATCAGTAAGAGATCTCTCGCAGACGCAGTGATAAGAGACGCACGCGGTTCGCGGAACTTAAAGACCCTCGCCACTGCACTATTCTTGACCCCGCCTCTTTGTGCAATGCATCCCGAGTGGCAGCTGAGACCCTACACCAATAACCTGTGCCCGAGCAGCGAGGACCGGTAGGTTGCCCTAAGTCGGCCACGGAGATAACTAAAGACACACTTGTTTCGATTCCTCCTGCGATGTAAGCCCCAAAAGCTGCGACTTGCACTCAATTAAACATCAACCACAATGACATCAGCCTCGAGAACAATCACCACGAAACCAGCTGCCAAGAGAACATCCATCGCGTAGCGGAGCGAAGCCACCTCTTGTAACTAAGTGGCACACAGTGATCACAGTTCGGCGGCTGCTATACGAAGCTAGCTGTTGCCATACCAACGGATCGTCCGCGCCCGGTCGAGAATATAGTGCAAGCAACTACGGGGCACTTTGGCAACATCGGGGACAGGCAGACCGGCGGTCTTGAATTTTGAAGGAGAGCATGGCCTTACGCGCGTGTCCGACGGCCCACCCGCGCGCCTTGCCGCTTCCCTGGAGATGCGCAAGGTTGCTTGTACGCGAGGCATTCGTTGTGCAGTGCGTCCACGCCGTGACCTGGAAAGCCGGGGTCGAGCTCCCATCCCCCCGGGTTCTGCTCGTAGCATCTGCGCAACATGCTCGGCCGCCTCTTTCGGGTCGAAATGCAGCTGTCCGCCGCGCGCCGTGCGGGCGGTCTCGGCTCCGGCGGAGGACCACCACGGGCGGTCAGGGCGGCGCGTGTAGCCCGCGGGGGTCGAAAATCTTGACGATGTACGGCGTGTCTGGGCACAGCGGGGCAGCCTGGCTGGACATCTACGGGCTGTACCTAAGACGATCTGACGTGTTGAGCGTGTGCTGGCACAAAAGCCGGGAGAGTTGTGGCGCGCATTTCGCTGTGCTGGGAGTGCTGCAGAGAGATTGCCGAGCCGTGGGTCAGATACTGGGGAAGTGGACGAGGCGGGTAGAGCCTGGCATGGTGTGTGAGCGCGGATGTTTGAGGTAATCGGTGGTGGCAGGCAAAAGTACTGTCGGCTTAGGGGCTCAGCTATCAGGATCAGAGGGTCGGCCAGCTGGACTAGCCAGAAAGTACGGTCAGTTGTGTGAGGTGTATGACCTCTTGGGTATGTTGCGCAGAGAAGGGCGTACGGACCCAGTTGGCGCCAGGGTGTCTACGCTGCACCTCTCCTGCGGCAGGATACGTCTACACGAAGGCTCGTTCAACTGTCCTGCACCGTGCTGACAGGTCAAGCAGAATGTTGCGGGGAGCCCTGTGGAGCTTATGCAATCCGCTGAGTAATACAATCTTCTTGTCCATACCCGCCATTTGCCCTGCCACCCGTGAGCAGTCTGATCGGATGGCACGCGCCGTGAACTGCAAAGTAAAAAGTCTCGAGCAGCTAGGTTTACTGGTTTGACGCAGTTTTCCCGGGGCCAAGTCTACTAAAGAGCAGCTCGTCGAGTGCTCATGCCCGGGGGCGCCAAACCAGGCAAGCCACAACACAAAGAGCCTCGGGGAAGACGACTCCGAAGACGATGAAGGCCTTGAGCGTAATATCTTTTGCCGACAAGGCGCCCGCTCGACGCCTCGCCACAAAGAAGGCAAAGACAGCGACCACGGCGTGAGCACAGTCTACCGTGAATAACAGTGCACGCAGTGAACAAACTTGGACTGGAAGGGCCGCAGGACGTCATATTATTTGTGGTGGTTCTCCCCGTTGCCTCGGAGGTACATGCGCAAGTGGTCCTGTACAAGCTTATCCACAGTCCGCATGTTTGCCGCCTGTACGCGGATGACAGATCTCTATTATAGGGTAAGGCTGGATGCATGTCCTTTTAGAAAGGCTGGGCCTGGACGCACCAGTGCAAAACAGACTCCGCGGTACGTAGTCTGGTACAGTTCAGTAAAGTCGGCATGTGGTTTCGTGATACCATACTTCGACAGAGCTGCGATCGTCGCCTGTTTGATGACCTGCAATGGAGCGTCAACGACGTGCTCAAAGGACGCGTTGCAAACCGGGACTCACCGTCTTGTTCGCCTTCTCGAGCTCGCCCGACCCGGGCTGCTCAGCGGCCTCCCTGCCCTTGCCCTTCGCCCCAGCATCCGCGGCCGCAGCAGAATCGTCCCGCGAAGGCCCAAAGGACAGGCTGTCCATGGACCCGGCCCTCGCAGGAAGCTGCGGCACCTTGAAGCCGTCCGCCGCCCTGCCCGACCTGGACCTCTTGAGCCCCGCTCCGACGCCTGCGGCCCTCGGGCCGTGCAGCATCACCTCGCGTGCCCTCCGCACCTGCTCGTCCTCTTCCACGGCAGACTTGGACTTGGCGCGCTTCCCCAGGGCGGCGGGCAGGGCGGCGTCGGGGTCTATGCCTTTGCGTTTCGTCGCGCTCCCGGAGAGCGCAGGCGGTCTGCGGGGCGTGGGGTCGTCCGGGCGCGGCGCACGGACGGCGGGCTGTGGAGGGTGGGCGAGGATGCGCGCGGCGAGGATGTGTAGAGTTTCGGGGGGCGCGTCGGAGGTAGAGGGCAGCGGCTTGTCTTGGTCGGCGGTTGGCATGAGTTGGCCGTAGATGAGGAAGTCGGTCGTGGCCGGGTCACCTGCGAGACGGTCAGAATGGCGGGGCCACACGAGCACAGAGGGCGCTCACTCCCGTCGCCCAGCCCACAGCGTATCCCGACATTCGTACGTTTCTGAGAGGATGTGATAGGTTCCAGGCAGAGTACATTCTCGAAATACACTTGGCTTAGTGTCGAAAGGGGGTGTAGGTATCTTGTAAGACGCGTGCATATTAGCTGATGAACGCGATCACTAGGAGAAGACGCGTCACGCACACGTTAACCTCGCCCGTCGCGTCCAACCAAACATCCTTCAAGTCTTCCGTTCCGAGGAAGTGAAGACTTGGCCGACCGCGCATGGACTCTAGCGCAAGCGCAAGTGGATTTTCAAGGAGGTTTTCCGAGGTTGAAGTGGTGCCTGCGACGAAACTGAGTCCGTCGAGGAGCAGGTGCGAGTCGGGCAGGGCGAGCGCGCCGCGGTAGAGCAGACGGTGGCTGGGGGCAGCTCCACCGACACTCGATTTGCTAGACGAGGCGACAAGAGCGCTGTCGGTGGAGGTCATGGTTGCCATAGTGCAGGGAGCATGGGGAGGTGTATCATGGAAGAGGGTTCGAATGCGAAGGCGTCTATTTGTTCGCAAACGGGAAGCGTCCACGTGACAGCCGGCTGTTTTCACGTCTTCGATATTGTATGCTCCGTGCACATTGTGGCAAAAACAAGCCCGGTTATCTTTCAAAGTCCTCGCAGCAGACCCCGCCGGCAGAGTCGAAGTGTAGCTAGGATATTGTCCCACGTGGGTGCCACAAAGGCGTCGGCGATCAAGACGTTGAAAGTCCGCCCGTACCACGTCACCGGGCGGACTGACACCTCACGACCTCAGCCTACCCGTCGCTGGACGGCCTCACCGACAAAATGAGAGCACTGAGCTCGTTACTGCTGCTCGCAGCGGCGCCTCTTGCTCTCGCAGTAAAGCTCGAAGACTTCAAAACATGCGACAAGGCCGCCTTCTGTCGACGTGGAAAGGCGATCGCTCAACGCGCCGGCGAGAACCCAGACTGGAAGTCGCCGTATTCAGTCGACCCCAGCTCTCTCGCCATCTCCTCCGACCAGACCTCATTCACCGCTGCCGTCAAATCCTCGCTCTACCCTGAAATCAACTTTGGACTGGATGTTCGCGTGCACAAGGATGGTGTGGTGCGCGTTCGCATGGACGAGGTCAACGGCAAGGGCAAGCGTTACGACGAGGCTGCGTCCTGGGCACTGGTAGCGGAACCAGAGATCAGCAAAGATATTCGGTGGACCGTCGGCAAGAAGGAGGTCAGGGCGACATATGGCCCCAAGGGCAACAAGGTCGACGTCGAGATAGCCTTCAACCCGCTCGTCGTCACACTTTCACGCAACGGACGCACCGAGGTCGCTCTCAACAGCCTCGGACTCATGCACATGGAGCACTTCCGCACCAAGGAGGAACCTCAGCCTACTCCCGAAGCTGTAGAGGGCGAAGAGAGCGCACAAACGGTGATGGAAGTGCCGAACCCTCGTTCGTGGTTTGAGGGCGAGGAAGAAGATGGCTATTGGGAAGAGACTTGGAAGTCCTGGACTGACTCGAAGCCCAAAGGTGCGTGGTGGTGGTTATACAGTGTTAGGCTATCCTGACATGTTTGCGGAAAGGCCCTCAGATGCTCTCTATGGACATCAGCTTCCCCAACCATGAACACGTCTACGGTATTCCTCAGCATGCCACGCGCCTCTCGCTCCCAACAACTTCCGGCGAGGACTCCTACTACAACGAGCCTTACCGTCTCTGGAATTCCGACGTTTTCGAGTACATGGCCGACTCGACCATGTCTCTGTACGGTTCCATTCCTGTCATGTACGCGCACTCGAAGGAGTCCACCGTCGGCATCTTCAACGCCATCGCCTCCGACACCTTCATAGACGTCGCACACCCCAGCGCTCACTCTTCTTATACCCACTGGATCTCCGAGTCCGGCATCCTAGACATCTTTCTCCTCCCCGGACCCAAGCCCGCAGACGTGTTCAAGCAGTACACCGGCCTCACGGGCACGCAAGAGCTCCCACCGCACTGGTCCATCGCTTATCACCAGTGCCGCTGGAATTACGTAAGCTCGGACGACGTGCGGACTGTGCAGCGACGCTTCGACGAGGAGAACATCCCCGTCGACGTCTTCTGGCTCGACATCGAGTACGCCGAGGAGCACAAGTACTTCATCTGGGACAAGAAGAACTTTCCCGACCCCGTCGATATGGCCAACGACGTCTCCGCTGTCGCTCGCAAGGTGGGCACAGTGAAAGCATACTGCGCCCACACTTCTTACCTCGTGTTCTCTTGCAGATGGTCGTCATCGTCGACCCGCACCTCAAGCGCGTCCAGTCGTACCCTGTCTACAAAGAGGCACAGGAGCTCGACGTCCTCGCCAAGACCAAAGACGGCCAGAGTGAGTACGAGGGCTGGTGCTGGAGCGGCAGCAGCGCCTGGGTGGACTTCTTCAACCCTGCGAGCTGGGAGTGGTGGAAGGGCCTCTTCAAAACCTCCCAGGGCTCGTCCGACAAGTGTGCCTGGATCGAGAGCACGACCGACGTCCACATATGGAATGACATGAACGAGGTCAGTCGCTGAGGTGTCGATGCAGAGCAGGTGCTGACGCCCTGCTTCAGCCGGCTATCTTCAACGGGCCTGAGATCAGCATGCCGAGGGACAACATCCACTATGGCGGCTGGGAGCACCGCGACCTGCACAACCTGAACGGCATGCTCTTCGTGAGTACATGAGCTCCAGACTGGCTTGCGTACACTGATGCCGCCACAGAGCAACCAAACCTCGCAGGCTGTCCGTGCCCGCACGGACCCGCCCATGCGCCCCTTCGTCCTCACGCGCTCGTTCTTCGCCGGTTCGCAACGCTTCGGCGCGATGTGGACTGGCGACAACCTCGGCACCTGGGAGCACATGGCCGTCGGCATCAAGATGGTGCTTTCGCTCAACCTGGCCGGGTTCTCTTTCTCCGGATGTAAGCCTTCGGTCCCCTCCCTCACCGCCAGCTGTGTACTGACTGCGCACTACCCCAGCCGACGTCGGCGGCTTCTTCGGGAACCCCGAGCCCGAGATGCTCGTGCGGTGGTACCACGTCGGCGCGTTCACGCCCTTCTTCCGCGCGCACGCGCACATCGACACCAAGCGCCGCGAGCCGTACCTCCTCGACGAGCCCTACAAGAGCATCGTCCGCGACATCCTGCGCCTCCGGTACAGCATGCTGCCGATCTGGTACACCGCGTTCCACGAGTCGAGCGTGAACGGCATGCCCGTCGTCAGGTGAGCAGCCTCTCCCTCTCCGGTTGCCTCCTCCCGCCACACCCATCGGGGGAGTGTTTTTTTGGGACTTGCACCAGACGCTGACGGGAACATCCACCCCACGCCGCCAGGCCCCACTTTGTCGTCTTCCCCGAGGACGAGGCCGGGTTCGCCATCGACGACCAGTACTTTGTCGGAAGCTCCGGGCTGCTCGTCAAGCCTGTCACCGAAAAGGGTGCCACGGAGGCTCAGGTGTACTTGGCGGATGATCAGGTACGGCGGGTCTCCAGATCTTTTCCCCACTCCTCGTGTCCGTGCTCACTTGTTTTTTTGCAAGGTCTACTACGACTACTTCACGAGCCACGCCTACCGCGGCGCCGCGAAAGGCAGGAACGTCACCGTGCCAGCGCCGCTCGACAGGGTGCCGCTGCTCGTCCGCGGCGGCGCGGTCCTCCCGACGCGCGAGCGCCCGCGCCGCTCGTCGCCGCTCATGCGCCGCGACCCGTTCACGCTCACCGTCGCCCTCGACACGGCCGGCGCCGCGCGCGGCACGCTGTACCTCGACGACGGCGAGAGCTACGGGCACGCGGCGGGCGCGCTCGTCTGGCGCGAGTTCACCGCGGCGCGGCGTGGGCGCGCGACGCACGTCGCCAGCGCGGACCTCGCCGCCGCCGCCGCGGCACACGGGCAGGCGCCCACAGCGAACGCAGGCGCAGGCGCAGATGTGGGGGTGGGCACGGGCGCGGTGGTGTACGACCCGCAGAACGCGTTCGCGGACGAGGTGCGCGCGGTGCGCGTCGAGAAGCTCGTCGTGCTCGGCCTCGAGCGGCGTCCTGGCACGGTGACGCTCGGCGGCGCGGAGCTCGAGTGGGAGTTCGTGCCCGGCGTCGCGAGCGGCGCGGGCAAGGAGGGCGCGGCGGCGCGGCTGGTCGTCAAGAACCCGGTGGCGAGCATCGTTGGGGACTGGGAGATTGTCATTCAGTAGGACGGCGGCGGCCGCTGCTGCCGCCCCGAGAGCTTGCTTGCGCTCTACTCTCTTTCTGCTGCTGTTGCTGCTGCTGCGCCATGCTGCGTCCCGCTTCTAGTGTAAGGAGTATTATATAGCGGGGCTTCTCTTTTTGATGATAAGAGGCTGCACGCCAAGTACAACTGGAGAAGCAGGCTTGTATATAGAGAAGCTATCGACAGGATTCAAACCTTGTGCTCGTACGTCCGTCCGCGTCCCTCGATGGCCCCTGCTGTACGTTGGGCTGCTGCATTTGAGACTGCGGTTCTCGATCACAAGCCGGGGCTCGTTTCGTCCGTTTCGTCCGCTGGACACAGGGGCGCCATCGTCTTGAGAGGTGGGGTGTGTGAACCCTTGGAATGGAGGTGACGACACCAAATGCTTCCGGCGGTGTGATCACACGCGGGCAGCAGCGAGCCCTCGGAGAGCAGGAGGTCCTCGAGGACAGAAATGGCCCCGGCGGGCCGAGGCCCCTAGGCAGGCAAGCAGGCAGCTGACGAGGCTGATCAGGCATCACCAGATAGGCTCAGACGTGACCGAATCGTCAGAACCTTGCAAGAAGAAACGTCGCCAGGAGGCGATATAAGCTGTGGGAGGCATGCCCGGGCGTGCGTTGCAGCCAGCCCGCCCACACGCGCCGCACGGCCCAGAGCCAAGCCAAGCCCAGCGCACGCACACACACACCCAACAGCGCACGCACGCACGCACCGCGCCGCACAATGGCGCCGCAGCCGAAAGACATCATCGACCTCAGCCAGCCGCTCGCGACGGACAGGGTGTACGCCTGCGAGGGGCACCCGCGCTTCAACGCGTGCTGCATCTCGCACGTCTCCGACGGCGCGTTCGCGACCGTGCACAGCCTCGCGCTCGCGACGCACACCGGCACGCACGTCGACGCGCCGTACCACTTCTTCGCGGACGGCGCGCGCGTCGGCGCGCTCGACCTCGCGCTCCTCACCGCCGCGCCCGCCGTCGTCGCGGACCTCCGCGCCAAGGGGCCCCGCGAGAAGATCACGTGGGACGACCTCCGCCCGTACGCGGCACGCATGCAGCGCGGCGTCGCGCTCGTGCTCTGCACCGGCTGGTCGCAGCAGTGGGGCACGCCGGCCTATGCCACGCACCCGTACCTCGACCCCGCGGTCGCACCAAAGATCCTCGAGGCTGGTGTGCGCGTCGTCGCATGTGACATGATGAGCCCCGACCTCGTCACCGACGAAGAGGGCGACTGTGGGCTCTTCCACCGCGCGTGGCTTGGCGAGGGCGCGATCATCGTCGAGAACTTGAACGCCGTGGATAGGCTGCTCGCCGTTGACCAGGAGAGGCTGAGGGTCAGCTTTACACCTCTGAACCTTGTCGATTGCGATGGGAGCCCGATTCGTGCTGTTGCTTGGGAGGAGAAGTAGGAGAGCGAAGGAAAGGAGAAACATCAACTTGTATTTCTACGGACTCTCGAGGACTTCATGCTGTGGTAACTGTATACCCGTAGGATGTCCTAGGGAACTCTAAAACTACATTGTATGATTATGAGCAACCACTGCACTAATAGAAGCTTCCTGCAATGCAACACACCTTAGTCTACAGCCCTCCATGCCATCGCCCGCACAGGCGACCCATCACATCCACAGATTTTAAGCGGCACCAGGCTTACAATCCACTGTCCACCCTGAATCGCCTCCAAACTTGTCAGATTCTCTGCGATAACGACGTCCGTACCGAGGACGACCTTGTGAAAGGCATAGCTGTGCTGCGCCGCCTCTGCTTCGTCTAGGATGGTCTCATCAGGACTCAGAGTGTCGATGCCGACCAAGCGTACGCCAGTCTCGACGATGCGACGTGCAGCCTCGGCAGAAACGTATGGATGGTCAAAATATCTCGGCGTGCCCCAATACTTGGACCACCCCGTTCGCAACAGCAGTATTGCCCCCTTCTGAGCCCTCACCGCATCCTCATACTTCGCCAGGTCTGCCCACTGGATCTCTTCCCTGTCGCGCAGCTCCCGCCCGAGACTCTGCACAGTGAGATCGGCCACTACTGCTGGGCCGACGAACGTCGAGAGCGGTATCTCGTCAATTTTCCTACCATCCTCGAAGAAATGGTAGGGCGCGTCGACGTGTGTTCCAGAATGAGAGCCGAGGTTGATGCGCTGGACGTTCACGCCATGTGCGGACAGTGTCAGGTGTGAGCAACAGCTGAACTCAGGGTCGCCAGGGTAGATTGTGATGTTCGAGTCAAGTGTGTGTGAAAGGTCAACAGTATCTGGCATTTTGTCGCGTCGTGGTTGTTTCAGACAGGGAGCAAGGTCCGGCTAGCGGAAGCAATTGCCGGCTGGTAATGTCAGTAAATAGCGATCGTTAGGCTGTAAGTAAATGGTGTAAGCCCTGTTACTTACATAGGCGTCTTACATATAAGTTGAAGTAACTTACATTTATAACAGTTACTTCTTTGTGGACAGTAAGTTACTAGCTCGCGGCCCGCTTTGGTCAGACTCTACACTGCACCCCGCCTTAAACGACTTAAATACAGCGCTACGATGTATAACTCGATTCTATGAGCGAGGATAAGTAGTTGCTTTGGAAAGTATGATGATATGAGGCCTACCGTTGTTTCACCATCATCGTCACACCTTGGCTAACGAAGCCCTTCAAAAGCTGAGCCTCCAGACCTTGGTATAATCCGGACGGTCCCTCCTTATCAAGTGCGTCCTCCCATATTGTCAACATCGACGTATTACTCCCCTTCTTATCTTGTTCCGGGCCCTGATTTGCCTCCTGGACGTGTTTCCTGTGAATCTGGAGCCGAGTCTTGGCCAACATAAGCGGATATAACAGCCACGTCGCAACGGCATTTGAGAAGGCTGCGCCAACAAAAGACGACGACGCGCTGGGGGTGCCTAACGCGGATGTCTTGCTTCCGCGCACCACGAGCTTGCGATATAGCTGGAAGAGGAACAGTGTGATGGCAGGGTTCAAAGATAATGGTATTGTGGTCGAAAAGCCTGATGATGCGTTCTTGAGCTATGCTGGCGCAGCCCAGTGTAGTGCGAAAGCCTACCTCCCCAGAAGCCCTTCAGGCCCTGTTCGGCATAGATTTTCTGCACCGTTGTAAGTACGCCCTTAGGCTCTCCCCTTCGAGACGCGTCCTCAGGGTCGCCTTTCTCTGGGTCGAGTTCCCCGCGATCGTCCCGACCTTCGGTTTCTGTTTGGAGCCGAACGGTAACCACGCTCAGAGGAGTAGAGATCGCTCGGCTGGATACGCCCGCGAGAAAACCAATACCGAGCTCCTCCGCGACGCCCAAAAGCACCGGCGTTGCCTTCGATTTGCTCTTGGGCGGCGGAGAGATGCGCGTTTTGCGCCGGACAAGAATGGTCCGAAGGAAAGCATAGAAGTAAAAATAAAGAAAACTGGCTGTCGCTCAGACCCATTTGTAAAGCATACGGAGGGCAAATCAACGCACTTAGAGATTATAGTAGCTGCTGTGTCTGTCGGTAAGCCGTCATACAGCCCGCTCCATCCTTCAGTCTCGAGGACATGACGCAGTGCACGCAGCACGCCAGCAAAGCCTACACTCCGGTGAGCATCGGGGAGCTTGTTAGTACAGAGGACTCACCTCTGAGTCGTTTTAAGGATGTTGTTTGCAGCCTGGTAGCCACGAGGTCTAAAGGGTATACAACCATGTTAGCAGCCGCACTGCCAACTGCCCCAGAAAATGCTTGGACGAGTGGGGGTAGAGTAGATGTCATTATCAAAGCAATATATCTTTCGTCTATACCTGGGGTATCCCAGACGTGTACAAACTTGTTGGACGTGTGGTCGTAGTGAGAGCTAAATCTGACCGAAATTCGCTTGAATATTACGGCCTTACGTCACTCCTAACCCCAAAGCGTTTTCCCAGCCGCGTGACCTTCCGAGGGCCGAGACGGCCGACGCGTCTCGCCCAGGGAACGCCATTATTTCGCCCAGATATTCGCGCATTTACAACCTCCTTTCCGCCGTCACCCTAATCTCCTCAGACCACCCGGCAAGCAGAACAGCATGACCATCTACGGACATGGCATTCGCACGCTCGGCGTGTTGGGCTCAGGCCAGATGGGTGCGTAAAGCGTAACGGTGAACGATAAGGGGTGAGGCTAACGGGACTCGGGGGGTAGGACTCGGCATTGCCTACGTGGCAGCGCTGCGAGCAAAGGTCCCTGTGCTCCTGCACGACCGTTCGTCGGCCCAAATTCAGAAGGGGCTCGCCCTCATGGACAGGCTCCTCGAGAAAGACGTGGCAAAGGCATGTCGATGTCGTTCTCCAAGAACCACGAAGGGGCTCAAATATACCTCGAAATGCAGGGAAAGATCAAGGCTGAGGAGGCTAAGGAAGCAAGGGATCGGGTTTCTGTCGTCCCGCCTGAGAAAGGGATGTCAGGACTCCAGGACGTGGACATGGTCATTGAGGTGCGCGTTTCGTTTGCACCTCTAAGCCCAGGTGACCGAGATCAGCGACATAGGCTGTGTCGGAGTCATTGCCTCTCAAACAGGCTATCTTTGGGAGTCTGGCAGCTGACCTGCCTCCCTCAACCATTCTTGCGAGCAACACTTCGTCCATCAGTATCACGAAGATCGCGGCTTCGACAATCCCAGAGGGGCATTCGGCATCGAGCAAGGAAGGACTGCAGAGCCCAAGCCGAGTAGTCGGTACGTCGCTCCTCCCATTAGCACCTTCTACGGCCAGTTTGCGCTGTCGAACGCTGCGGCTTCATACCCTCGGCCCAGAGCAGCCCGGAGCATTGCACTTCCAATACGTCTGCTGGGTATGTCACTCACTGTTTCTACCTTTAGGCCTCCATTTCTTCAATCCCGTACCTGTCATGGTGAGTGGATTTCACGATCGACTTACAAGCATATATGTGTGCAGAAATGGGGCATTTCCCATGGAATAGGGCGGGAAGCCTGCCGGTCTGATCATGTACCGCGGCTTCGGCTCGATCGCAGCCCGGTCTTGGGCTGCTTTACGCCCCATTCGTTCCCGACTCTCTGAGCGGGATGTAGGCGTTATTCTAATTTCTAGGAGGACGTCCACTGCATGTAAGGCGTCTTCATGGGTGAAACTAAACCCAATAAAGAGCATTTGTCTCTCGCTTGACATCTGCATCCGTGTTCAGTAGAGTCGAACCTCGAGGGCGAAACTGCGAGCAGCTCTTCAGCATGCCGTGGTCTGGTATCGGGCCTTGACCTATTCACTTCGGAGCGCAGAATGCGTTCTCTATTGGAAAGAGGTCCATCTCTATTCGCTCTCCACTCTCGCTTTTTCTGTTTCCATGTATAATTGAATCGACGCCGATGTCGTGCACAACAAATTGCTGACCAAGGCTACCGTGAGTCTAGAAGCTGGTGGAGCTCATATCTGGACTCCAAACATCCCAAGAGACGATGGAGAGGGCGAAGGCGTTTGCTATGGCTTGCGGTAAAGGTGTGTCAGTCTTCGCGTCACATGCCCTGCGTCACCACGAGATAGACTCGTTGCATCTCTGGTACTTCTATCAACGCCTCATTCCCATCTATGTTCCTCGTGATAGGCTGGGAGGATTTGTGTCTGTTTGGCCATCTCGACGAGAGTAAATGGCGATGGCTCACAGATGCAGATCTAGCAATCCAAGGGCCGTCCCCCTCCCTGAATTCGCGTTCCCGCCGGACAGCATTGCCGCTTTTCCGGTCCATCTCCCTATATCCCCTTCCGAGTTCTCATTCTAGTGAGCTGACTCAAGCATAATTCTTACAGAGGTCACCTCGTCACAAGATGTGCCAGGTTTCGTGAGCAATGCCCTCCTGATGCCTTTCATTAACGAGGTGCGCACAACTTGACATCGCTCATCTCCAATGAGTCCATCTCCTTTCGACTGACGTGCAATTTCCGCTATCGCTTAACACCAGGCCATCATGTGCTTAGAGAAGGTCGGTGTCTCCGTCGCTGCTCCTCCTGTTTTACAATGCTCACTGCCCTGCGCAGGGAATTGCCACGCGGGATGACATTGACAAGACGCTCAAGCTGGGTATGAACCATCCAATGGGCCCGTTGCAACTAGGTCCGTCCGAGTTCACTTCCGCTGCTGCACCCTAGTTGAAAAGTGATCTCGACGAACGTTCAACAGCCGATTTGTAAGCTGTTCCACCGTTCTCTGGCCGGACGGAGATAATGAACGGCTTCATCTAGCATCGGACTCGACACTTGCCTTGCGATCCAGCAGACGCTCTATCAGGGCACGGGCGACTCCAAGTACCGCCCGAGCATACTCCTCGAGCGCATGGTTGACGCACAATGGCTAGGCAAGAAGAGCGGCAAAGGGTTCTACGACTACTCCGACGCCTGAGCGTGAGAGCCGAGGCGGGGATCACTTCCGACTTCCAAGGGCTCGGTCAGTAGGCCCTCGGAGGCGCGGAACCCGCACGTGCCTCTGCCGCACACTTCTCGCGTGCCCTCAGTACCCTGCATCGTCTCCGTGACACGGACCGGACGCAAATGTACGTAAGGCTCTTATATCTGGTGCGCAGTCCTGTTGCATCGCTGCATTATCCAATGAAATGGATTTGGATTCCTTGCGCCCCGTCGCGATGCGATCTGTATACAGAAGGTATGCTTTCCTTCTTGACACTCGGCAACTCCGTTGCGGGCTGCAGTATCTGGTCCGCCGTTGCACCGATTTGTCGCTCACAAGGCCTGGTAGGCCATGTGTACGTGACGGACATTGTGCAGATCATTGTACTGTAACACACAAGACACCGTTCGTCTGAGGCACTGTGACCTTGGTCGCTGGTCTGCCGAAACCTTCCTCCCAGCGATAGCTGCATCTAACACATTCTATCGCTACGAACAGACTCAGCGTTCCGCTGATTGTATCTGACCTCGTGTCTCGTGCACTGTTTCGCCGGTGTTGGGGCCGGGATGATTGTATCACAGGTTCACAGATGTACGGCGGCCTTCTTCCAAACCTTTCCAGTTCATCAAAAATTTTCGACCTCTCGATCGTGCTGGAGCGTACCTAGGGAGCGCAGCGGCCGAATATTACACGCTCAAGCCGTTCCGATGCTCCTGCGCAAGGGCCCGCGCTGCCCCGGCGTCCATGGCCCTAACGCCTCGGTTGATATCACATCCAAAGTATGATGCACACCAACAGCCTCTGAACGCATTGCAGACTCGTGCCGCTTCTGATCTGGCTGTTTCACCACGGTATGCACCCCAGTATAAAGGGGCTCCGGCTTGGGGCTGAAAGGGAACATCAACTAACCCGAGTCCGCCCACCCCGCCTGCAACCTACTTGTGCCGGTAGCTCCTAACTCAAACGCCACCAAGCCGACCCCTTCCTTATCTGTCCACTCGAGCCACTATGTGTGAAATGGAATGGTGCGTCCTCTGACGCCTGTTAGCTGGGGCCGTGTCTGATTTGGTGGCCGCGACAGCTTTGGCAACTACCACCGCAAGTGCCAACACTACGTGAAGCTGTACGATTCGGGCGTCGTCAAAGACTGCAACAGCCCGCACTGTGGCCTCAGTCAGGCCCACTGTCACACAGCTGGCACGTACACTGCGCGCAAGTGCTCATGCCCAAGGGTACGCTCTCCGCTTCCTTTTTGTGAGCTCGACTAACCTCTTCTGTCGCAATGGTGTTGTAGACGTTCACGGAGAACCGAAGGGTTGTGAACCTCATCCAAGACTGGTGCGACGCGTGTAGAGATGCGGCTTGGGCCAGCCTCGACCCCGACAACGAGCGGCGATGGTAGCCTGACCAACGCAGATTTCCTGTTTATACGCGCTTTTCGTCACATTTGTACCATTATCACTCTGCAGTATTTATTTTCGTTATCGTCATTGATACTACTGAGCTGCCCGCTTCTCCCGGTAGAACCGGCCCATCTCCTTGACTGCTTCCCCAAACGTCTCCGCAATGGTGACATTCTTCCCGATCCACTTGGGGAGCTTGTTGCGTATGCGCGGTGATGCATACCGGCTGTCGAGCAGGATGAGCGACGCCCAGTCTCCGCGGTGCCTTATGGCGCGTCCTATGGATCCATCTGAGCCTTTTCGCGCACTTTATGGGCTTCAGATGCTTACCAATACTCTGGTTCACAGCGTTCATGCACATGTTCTCATATAACTCTGTTCCCGCATCCTTTGCGCCAGCCGGCTTCACGTCACGCCCTTGTTGTTGGCGGTTTACGTACGCCATGCGCTCGCGGAGCTCGGGAGAAGCGAGATTGGCGAAGGGTAGGCCAACGATGACAACTGCGCGGGCGAGGTTGTCGGAGAAGTTCAGGCCTTCCGAGAGCTTCGCGCCGACAACGGCGAAGAGCAAGGCGCCTCTCTTCTTTGAGGTATCTGCCGGGGCGCCGTCGCCAGCCTGCACGGAAGATAGGTGAGCATGTATTTTCATGTTTATGAAGATAGAATACGCACGGATTGAATTTCTGCGGCGTAGTCGCGGAGAACGGTCTCGACCTCGGCGCTCTCCTGAGGTTCTGTGAAAACCTGGTCCATGAAATCAGCACCATCCCTTCAACTCCATGGAAGCCGCTCACCTTCTTTTTGGAGCGCAGCCTCTCCAGCAAGCCACTCTTCTCCCATACGCCCATGACGGTATGCAAGAAGCCATATGATGGCACGAAGACGACCATACCACCAGGTACGAGGCTTGCAAAATTGAACAACACCTGGCCGAGCTCCGCTAGCTGGTGATAAGATTAGCCTTTCCTGTCCGACGGTCTGATGTGGAAAACATACCAGGGCGTGGTCGTTCCGACTCTCAAATTTAAACTGCATCTGGCTTCCTTTCGGACCTTTCTTCACAACGAGCGTCTGCAGGCTGTTCGGCGGCACGATGTGACCGCAGGAGAATGTCGTGAGCCGCTCCTGCGGAACGAACGGGAAGAGTTGGGCTGTAATGTCAGATATCTATGCTGAGCATGTGAGTCCGAGATTCGGGCCGTGCATGTGGGGCAAACGGTGAACTCACCGGGGACATCGTGCCGCCGGCAAGGACAACCGCGCGGGCCACCTCGACGACCTCTTGAAAGTATGTGGCAGGATTGAGGTGTTGGTATTTAATCTCCACCTGATCGCCCGCAAGAGACACGGTGACACGGCCACCTATAATGGGAAGGTGAAATTTCGACAGTTAGCTTACATGGCAGCTACTGACCGTCGCTGGCGGCTGTCAGCGCCACGATAAAGTTTTCTACCACATGCAAAGGCGGTGTCGTTGCGCTCAGCTTGGCCAGTTTCACGAGCTTCTTGGGATCTACGGGCAATTTGCCATGTTAGTGGTGTCCAACTCTGCAGTCCAAAACACATCTCGCCTTGTCCCGCAGCCTTTTCCATAGCCTGCGTGCAATATCCCGAGATTTTCCTCGCAACCTTGCTGCTTCGCAGGTATTTCTCGATCTCGAGCAAGTTTACGCCCTCGACCTTTCTTCCCAGCTTCGCCATGAGCTCTCCGGACGTGAGGACCTCCGCATTTGCTTGGGCCGTCCCGCTCTTTGTTACGATACTCGTTGATGCGGTACGCTTCGCCTTCCAGTCCTCAGCGAAGTTGGAGAGCGCTTCGAGTAGCCCGACAAGCCGCCGAAGATGAAGGCTGTGCTCTGTCGAGAGGCGGTTGCGGAATTTACTCAGATATATTGAGAGTTGATTGAGAGAGGTTGAAAGTGTGCGCAGAGGGAGCTGAACGGTGGATAAAGAGAGCAGCGTGGATATAAGGTCTGCGCACTTCCCGTCAGAGAGTTGTGTGTTGAGATGATAAGGGTGACTCACTGTGCGCCTCATCGACGATAATAACCTGATCAGTCAGGTCTATCCCAAGCGATTCTCGAGCAGTTCTCTGCAATAGCAGATTATAGGGTAAGAGCACAAGCTAGACAAAAGTGAGCAAGGCTGTCGGGCTACTTTCTTGGGACGTACTTGAGCCTGCAATATGGCCTTTCTCGAGCCAAAGTAAGGACACGTGCGCGACTCTTGACCCGTCTGCACGAGAGATTCAATGTCTTTCGGTGTGGCCTGAGCAACATAAGTCATTGATGATACTACCAGATTCTGCTGCATACCAGGATCTGATCTCGCATATCCAACATCCTCGTCTCGTCATCTGCAGGAGGCAGATATGAACATCGTTTGTCGCCTTTCTCTGAGAAAAGCAAGGTTCTGAGATATGAAGACCAAATGGATCCGGTGCGTAGCTCACCACTTAAGAGCTGCCTGCAGGCTTCATCCAGGTCGCCGCCCTTCCCCTTCAGCTTTTCGTTCACACATAGCTGTTTCCGCGAAGCAAGAGAGACGGTCCTAATATCGACCACGGAAGCATCGTTCTGTTCGTCATCCTCTAGAGGACGTTTTCCCACGGGACCGTCTTGGCTGCTATGTCGGGTCTCGGTTGTGCCAGCCGCAGAGTGAAGTGAGATGACAGATGACGGGGACAAAGAGATGCTCAGCTTCCGTAGCTCCTGGAGTACTTGGGAGAGTTGAGAGTGAGTACGCGAAGTGTAGTAGATTTTTGTGCACGTCGGCTCGGCTTCGGTTGTATTCGACGAGTAGCCCGATTTCGACTTTTCAAGCCTGTAATTTTAAGCCAGGAAACGATACAGCAAGGTTCAACGACGTACTTCTGCATGAGCGCGCGAACGGCGGGAGAAATATTATCATCTTCTTCTCGTATAGATGAACCGTCGACATTCTCCGGCAAGAAGACTAAGTCGTCAAAATCTATACTTCTGTCACCCTCTTTGTCCGGTTCAACTCTCTGAAACCTATCATGTCAACATTTTGAACCGACAGAGCAACGATAAAAACGCACCAGCTTCTTACGCACTCTGGCTTTGGCAGCACGTCTCATGATCGCCTCACGTTTACGAGCTGCGGCAAGGCGTTCAGCGTATTCCAATTCCTCTGCTTCTAGCTGTTGTCGTTTACGGTCCAGAGTCTGCGCAAGCACCCAATCCATTACTACCATGAGTCCGTCAGCTAACTAACCACGCAGCAATTTCACAAAAACGCTACCTTCTTGCTCATCATCGGTAGATATTTTTCCCTTGCGTGCCCTGTCTTGCTCATCGCGAAGCCAGGTTAGAGAAGCACACAAGAGACTGAGCGTCTTTCCCTAGAGCACGCGGTACAAATGTTAGCGAAGAGGCGCATCAAAAGCGCGTGAAACGCGCAGCATACCGTCCCTGTGGGGCTTTCTACGACGGTAACGCGTCGATTCTCGATATTCTCGTACAAATGCCGCATGAGACCGAGCTGAATGTCGTACGGCGCGAATGGGAAGGCCGGGAAAGAGGTCGGAGTGTTGAGGTTGAGAGACATCTTAAAAAATTATTTTATCCCAATATTCCAACCTCAATACATCAGATGTTATGAGGTGAATAAAGCGGGAGGAAGTTGAGATTTGAGGTGGTGGACGCTCAACACGGGAACGCCACGAAGGGGCATCACGTGATATTCACGTGACACGTTAACAGGCGCCGCTATATCAAACGCGCGTCAAACTTCGTCCACAACCTCTTTGCTATAGGCTTTCTCTGAGCGAAATACTTGAGCCTGATCTCCAGCATACATATATTCAACTTCTTGATTTGGAAAATAACAATGCTACACTGAGCCAAGATGCGTTTACAGCTTCGCTTTCGACCTCTGCAATGATTTGCCGTCCTTCGAAGCCTCCGCTCGTGCAAGATCGCGCAGTGTTCGACGCAGTATCTTACCAGAAGGGCTTCATATCGTGCAGTGAGCGATTATGTCTGTTCAGGCTAACATTGTATCAGACTTACCTCTTCGGAATAGCGTCGACCACAACAATCCCTGCAAAATGAGACAAGATGAGCTGCTCTTCTGACATATGCTAGGCAAGACATTGTCAAACCTCCTCTTAGTCGCTTGTGACTCGCTACGCGGTCTCTAATCCACTCCCCAACTGACAGAGCGAATGCTTCACGATCTTCCGAAGCCAGTTTGGCTGTGTGGACGACATATGCCCTATACGCAAGCCACATCAGGAGAGCCACACTAAAAGAGGAGCTGTGTACCTCGGGAGTTCCGTTGCCTCTGCTTCAGACATTATGCCAACTACTCCTGCATCAACGATATTAGGATGCTCTAGCAGCACGCCCTCGAGCTCGGCAGGTGCAACTGTAGCACGTCAGCAATGGCCCGAGGACATGGAGCTCCAGTCAGCTTACCTTGGAAGCCCTAAAACGAAATTTCAGGTATGTTCCATAGCTAAACTCGTGTAACATACTTTGTACTTTATGAGCTCCTTCTTGCGATCCACAACAGTATAATACCCTTCAGGGTCTCGAGACAACACGTCTCCGGTCTTGAACCACCCATCTGGTGTCAATGATGCGTTGGTCGCCTCGACATTTCTCAGGTAGCCCTTGAATATGCACGGCCCACGGAGCCACAGCTCACCGGGCTCACCCTCTTGGACATCGTTCCCGTTGTCAGCAACGAGCCGCGCTTCCAGGTGTGGCACCAGCAGGCCAACTGCTCCGGCTTTCCTGACCCAGTCCTTGAGAGGCAGGTAAAACCCCACAGATTCCGTGAGTCCGTAACCTGTTTGATTCAACTGATGATGCTCTTGCAGCCGGGACGAATGGGAAGTGCGGACCTTGAACGACCTGGATTTCGGCGCCAAGACTTTGCATCCGTTTGGTGAGCATATTCAAGAGTGTGATACTCAGTGGCGCCGCGCCGCTAACCATGTACTCAAGGGACGTCAAGTTATACTGTGATAGGGCTCCTCGGCCTCGGTAAGCCTGCAACATATCTGAAATGTGGAGGATATTTCTCACATGGGTGATGCAGCAGAACGAGTAATATCGGTGGAACGATGCAGATATGTGTGATCCCGTACCGCTCAACGTATTGGCAAAATCGCGTAGGCTCGAAACCGGGCATGACAACGACTGGTATGCCCCGGAAGAACTCCATAAACTGTATCTGTATAATGCCTGTATCGCCCCCGTTTTAGCTAAAGGTATCCAGTGTCATGAAAAGACTTGCCGAAGATGTGGCAGAATGGCAGCATCCCGAGTGCTTTGGGATTAGAGGCTCGAAGGGTCGAACAGCTTGCGCCGCTTGAGACCAGACTCGAGACCGTCCCTCGATGAGTGATCTGTGCGTAGTGACACGGCCAGCTCAGCATCTGCTGCGACTAGTCTACACTTTTAATAGTCACCTCGACGCCCTTCGGTTTACCGGTTGTCCCAGAGGAATAGCACAGGATCATCGTGTCGAGCGCCCGCTCGCCAGTAAACTTCTCTTCTTCGAAGCTGCCTTTCCCAATCAAGTCGGACATGCAGATAAAGCCGTCCAAGCCTTTCTGCGCCTCGCCCGGGGACCAGTCCAAGGGTATAATCCTCCGCCTGGCTTCCGTGAGGTCGACGTCGAGCAGCTCAAACATCCTCAACACGCTCGGGACCAACGAAGGATGGACGAGCGCCGCCTTTGCGCGCGAGTCGGTCCATTGGTGCAGCAGCTCGCGGGGCGTGTACGCCGGACTGGCCGGAGACAGGCAGAGGCCCGCCGCGATGCCGGCCATCATCGCCACCGGAAACGCGACGCAGTTTGTCGAGACGAGCATGACCACGTCGCCCTTGGCGAGAGGAGTTCCGCCCATGCGCGCGAACTCCGTGCGCAGACCATACGCCAAGGATAGCGTGAGGTCTCTGAGCTCTCCGCGAGTTAAGACGCTGCCCGTCGGGCCGTCGATGAACGCTGCTCTTGTCGGAGGATAGTCGTCGAACCTGGTCCGGAACAAGAATGTGTACAGCGACTCTTCGGGGAACGGCGGCGCAGGAAAGGGAGAAGTGTAGATCTTCATGTCTGCTGCGTACCTGCAGGTTTTCCGGCGAGCCAGGGAAGCCTAAATGTACAGACTTTGAGTTATATACTCACCCCAAGGTATCGTGTGAACCCTGGGCGAGGCGCGTAGCAAAATTAGATGCACGTGGAGATAGCTACATCCCGTTCGGTGGCTGTTTTTCTCACCCTCCAGAAACTTGAGACTGAAGCGATGTCGCCGGAGTCAGTATGAAGACGACCACAATTGAAAGGTATTCAGCGTGGGGACTTGGAGTGTACGATGTGGCTCGCCGCCGGAGTCTTAGTCACAGACAACAGGACCGCACTCCTTGTTTTGCCACCATCAGTTGAACTGCAGGAAGTTAACACGCCGAACGCCACTGTTCGCTATCCAGTCCAGTGAACAGGTGCCCACGTACATTTAAGTGCGCTGCATCATTGTCTGAAGCACTAGCGTGCTATCGATGGCGTGTCGCTCAATACATTGTCGGCGAATAAGCACAAACGCATCGTGGCGTCGAGCTAACGTTTCCAAGGCAGCGCAGTGCATCATTCCCTCACCATAAGGTCGCACCGAGCATGCATCATACGAAACAGTTGGACTATCGGATGACCACCACGTTTTTGTTACGCTGTATGGTTAGCTTCAGCTCGCTTCGCTTATAGAAGTCAGCGTCGCACGGAGATTCAGAATGGCGCCCCGCGTAGATAGTAATCGATGTCGCGTGTTCGCGAGGCTGGCGAGCCAGCCATGCAGCCGCACAGCCTGGGGGGCTGACGGCCTGCCCCCAACAGCCATATAACGGCTCTGCGCCTCCGAGAAGAACCCAACACGCGCCACAAGAATGAGCACATTTCAAGCCAGCAACCCAGACGAGACCCGTAGCAAAGACAACGCGATGTCCCAAGACGGCAACCCGCAACGCTTAAGCCATTATTACCGCCCGCGCGCCAGCTGGCCCGCGGCGGGCATATCAAGCGCACTCCAGGACCTTCAGCAGCATCCCCTCACGTTTTCCCAAGGCAAGGAACCACCATGTTTTCCCCTCCTCGTGATCCGCAGGCTGACGGCACCGCAGCCGGCGGGCACCTCGCGTCTAGGCCCGCGTCTTCCGAGTCGTGGTCCGCCAGCGCCGAGTCCACGGACCAGTCGTCCGACAACGAAAGCGTGGCGCACTCACAGTTTGGTGCAGACGGCGAGGACGGCGGGTCGCACACCCTGTCTGCAGACGGCGACGCCCCCGAGTCCCCGCCGCTCTCCCGGCGCCACGGCGGCGGCCGACGCACGCCGCCCGAGCTCACGCTGCCCGACTCCTCGGACTCGCCTCTGCGTTCCTTCAGGGCGCGCCCGCCTGGCCATCGCAAACGACCTAGCCACGTACACGTCCTGACGCGCATGATGGTGAGCCAGTGTCCCGCCTTTGCATCTCGCGGTTTTGCGCAGAGCTGATCTCAGGCATGTGATTCCCTGCACCGGCAGCCGACGAAAGACGGTCGAGCTGCTACACCCGCCTCTCCCGCTGCGTTGAGGCTTCAAGCGGACGAGGCCAGTTCTCCCGTCTCGCCCGGCACCGACTGGAAGAACTTCGTCCAGCAGTTCAGGAGTGCACGGACCTCGCTGGGGCCCACGGACGCCATTTTTGCCGCGCTCAGCTCTCCGCCGAAAAGACCGGCTAGGACGGCTCACTCGCGTACGAGCTCCGATACGACGACCTACGACGACCAAGAAGACTCTGACTCCTCCGTGGACGAAGACCGGGAAAGAGAGGAGACGCTTCGAAAGGCTGAAGAGTACTTCTTTGCCGGTCGTCTATCCCATGAAGGACATCAGTCAGATATAATGTAGTCAGTGTGCACGAGAATCATGTTGATGTAGGCAATAGAGAAGCTATGACAGGAATGACGCAATCGATTCGGTTTTGTCCATTACTCCGAATATATGGCAAGGGATTCGAACCTTGATGAAGATGTAAGTAGTAGCATTTAACGGCAATGCAGAGTATGTAAAGAAACTCGGCTTAAATCGAATAACGCGTTTAATACAAGAGAGTAAAAGCATGATCATTAGATAAAGAAGTAGTACTAAAGGGTACACTTGGTGATGCTTAAGAACAATGGCCCGCCGCTACAAGTTTCAGCGTAGCAAAGCTGGTAAGAGCAGGAGCCAAGGAGAGGCGGGGTAGTCTACAGGCTAAGGGGAGTTAGCAGCTGGACGATGGTCGAGATAATGAGGTCAGCACTTACAAGGGAGGAAAGGGGAGGGGAGGAGGCTTGTGAGCTGGTGTCACGGCCGAGTTCTGCGAGGGTGCGAGTAGGCAAAGCCGTCTAAAAATCGTTGTGTTAGCCGTGTGCTGTAAGCTAGAAGCCGGCGACTTACCGAGTAGTAAGATCGCGACCACGGGGTCCGGTGCCATCGGCAGGCCTGTACGGGAACCCCGCCAACGACTACGACTGGGATCGACTCGACAGTACTTGCCGAGGTTCACCAGAAGCGTTGTTGTCGGAAGGGCTAGCGGTTCCTGCCAGCCGCGTACAGCTCCTGCTGCCGGTGCCCGGCCCGAACGGGCGCACCGAAGCGTGATGCGCCGCGCGTGTTTGCTTGCTTGAGAGTTGAGCTTGGATCTCGGTGCGACGTTAGGTTGATGCTGTAAGCAAGGTAATTAGTAAACGCGTCCTCTACGCCCAGATGACGATGAAGGCTCACCGGAGACATTGCGCTCCGTCTCTGGTCCGGTGCCACCGACAGGCCTGTACGGGAACCCCGCCGACGACAACGACCGGGATCGACTCAGCAACGCCAAGGATCACCAGAAGTTGGATGTCATCGACGAGGCTAGCGTAACCTGCCAGCCACGTACAGCTCCTGCTGTCGGTGCCCGGCCCTGGTGGATATCATGAACAGCGGGTGCGTGGTGCTGGCTTGATTGTTCTTGACCAAGGAGCGCGAGCTCGGCACTCGGCGCAACTCCACGTCACTGCCGCGGCTAGTATGTCCAGTCAGCACCTTGTTGTCCTGCAGAAGGATGACGAAGACCTACCGGTGACACTGCCTTCCGCCTCTGGTCCAGTGCCACCGACAGGCCTGTACGGGAACCGCGTCGACGACTGCGAATGGAATCGACCCGGCAATGCCGAGGTTCACCAGACGCTGAGTGCCATCAACGAGGCTAGCGGTGCCTGCCAGCCACGTACAGCTCCTGCTGTCGGCGCCCAGCCCTGGTTATTGGTAGTAGAGAGACTTGAAGACCACCTTGCTCCATGTAGAGGGAAGGGGAAGCAGTAGAGAGGAGAAGATATTGTTGTGGTCGAGGCGAGAGGTTGTTGAGCTGGAAGGGCGAGCGGAAGGGTGTATTTATACTTTCCTGGAGGGAGGCTGGCAAAGGTGTCACGTTACCTGCTTGTTTACAAGAATCCAAACGGTGGTCGGACAGAAATGTGGGTTAGCAGCTCCTCGGGTTGCTGGGCGATGGCTGACGGAGTGTGACATGCCGCAAAGACTCTGGCTTCTCCCCGGCACTCGCACTTGTCCTAAACCGCATGCATGATGTTCAGCTTGTTACGGAGTATCTCCAGGCAATATGTGTAGACATAGAATACAGATAAATACCACGGTGTCTCTTACGTGCTAGGCCGGCGCCTGTCTGCACCGAAGAGGTGGCGAAGTCTCGTCCCAAACCAGAATGCCTTCCTGATTCGGATGGGCTGCACTTTAGGCGCCCTTAGTTGGCCATGAACGTGAACCACGGCGACCTCACACCGCCATCGAGAATCGAGTTTTCTGCACCTCATCGCACTTCAAAACCTGCCCCTACACCCGTGGTGATTGAATGCCAAATTATTTTGCATTTATTCCACTGCACTTTTCTTTTGGAGGAGCTCTGGAACTCGCCCCTACCCGTGCAACTGTGAAAGTGCGGAACGACCTGGTCATAAGTCACTCACGATGCGGTCAGCACAGACAGATGGGAAAAGCTGTGAGTAAATGCACTGTATACACTCATTGTGTACCTCTGAGTATATTCTGCCACTGATCGGCACAGATCCCGTGTGCGCGAGCCTACATTGCGTCAGGCGCGGCAAGCCTGATCCTTACGCAAATGTCGGGTAGGTGATTTTTGCGAAGGGTTCGCCATGCCAACGATATACATGTTACGTCTGTACACACGCGGTGTTTTGCCGTAAGATAAATACAGAGAAGTCTCCTCTTTGTTACTGCTCCCCGCAGCGCGCAGCCCGAGAAGCCTAGGATCGATTTATAAAGCAGTGCCGCCGATGTCCCGCCGCGCTCAAACTACATATGCTGAGCTTCAGGCTTGCCTTGCTTTTGAATAATCTAACCGCGCTCCACGTGCTTATAGCCAGGTGCTTGTAGAGACTAGGAACGATTGCGATGCTCGACCGGACGCTATGTTACTAATCTGCCACGATGTTTTACTTTCTAACGGTCAGGTATGTACAAGTCGAATCGCCTTCACAAAATATCTGCGCTTTTGTAGCGCCTTCTTTTTCTCACACACACATACATCGGGACTCTGAGCAGGTACCTGCGCACAGCCTCCGGCGGCCGCGCCACAATCACCTGGGTCGATTGCCGCTCAGACACGCTCTACTGCAGCTGCGCACCTGCTACATTGTATGGCGGTCGCAATACATGGTGTATATATAATGGAAGTGCGGGCGTTGCGACCCCGCCATCCCGCCTTTCGCTAGCAAGCACTACCACACCCCCATGTCGACAATCAACTACGCACGCCTCGAGGGCATCCAGAAGAGCGAGCTCCCTGGGGCCATTATCTTGGCTGCCATATACCTTCCACTCTTCATCTTCAACGTCGTTCGAAGCATACGCCATCCCACATATGTGCTCTTCGTTCTGTCATTCTTCTGCATCGGTACGCCTCGCGCCCTTGTTCTGCTAACGGGTATTTAGCTGATTATTTGATACCTAGTACGCGTCACAGCGTTCACGCTCAGGGCTATCCTGGCTGGTAGCGATACTGCAGGCGAGAATGTCAGCCTCGTTATCGCAGAGTCGATCATCTACTCCGTTGGGTTCTTCGGGCTATTGTACTCCGCATATACGCTCGTACTCGACCGGTAAGCTGTAGCCGCATCCCTCTCGAGACCATCCCCGCTGACAACCAGCTGCGCCTGCAGTGAACGCATGATCGGCCGCGGCCAGCCTCAGCCCGGCCCCATCGGCTTTCTGCTCACCATCATCAGCAACCGGAAGATCATCCGAATGGCACTTACCGCTGCCATCGCCCTAGGGGTGACCGCAGGCGTGAGTCCTGTCCGTTCTACCGTCTATATCCTATACTGACTCAGCCTGCAGTCGATGATGGGCTCGAGCCAGCAGTCGACGCTCAACACGGCGAACAGCCTCCGCGAGGCGAGCGTCTACATCTTCCTTGCGGTCTCCGCATGCTTGGTACTCGTCGCATCCCACCTCGCGTTTGAGGAAGTACAAGGTGTGTCGCGTCGCCTCTGCCGCGTTAACATTTGCTCATATGCGCTCAGCTGGGTCAAACAACTACGACGCGCCCGTCGGCCGCAAGTACCGCATATTCGTGCTCCTCGCCATCGCATTTCTCTGTCTCGCACGCGAGGCGTTCTATGCCGCGACAGAAAACAACGTTGCCAAGGTGCGTTTGCTCTATTCCCTTCCTCATCATGTTCAAGCGCTCAACAACGACATACTTTGCAGCAAGACAGTGCACGGCTCTGGTACCCGCTCTCTGCGCTCACTGAGCTCCTCGCAGTTCTGCTGTTTGCAGTCCCCGGGCTCGTCCCGTCGAGACGCGAGATCGCCGAGGCTGGCGAGCAGCTCAAGACGACGGATTCAAGCTCGAATCTGGAGCTGCATGGCTATAGTGCTTGATTTTTTTCCCTGCCGTCCGGTATATCCCTGTTTAGGTGTGTTGCGTATATCCAAAGAAAGGCCAATACGCGCGTCTCGGACAATAGTGGTATGTCTCGTCACTTGTACCGCTTCGTATCCGTGAAAGAGGGCCGCCCTACTCCACGGATGAGGCAAATGGGTGACCAACAGCGTCGAAGAGGTTGCAAAGCCTCGTACCAAAATAGAACGCCCTCCTGATTGGAGGCGTCCTCGCACACATGCTCGCTTCCAGCCTCTTAAGTTTCGGAAGAGGCGGTACCGTCGTTCCTCCATATGGACTCGCACCGCCATTTAGAACCAAGTCTTGTGCAATAATAGAGCGTTGTGACCGCCCCAAGAGCTTGCATAAAGTGGGATAGCACATAAGTTACCAGAGAGGGAAAACACTTCAACCGCAGCAAGGACCACGGTAAGGTTATATGCGGTGAGCTCGTTGATGTGCAGCTCGATTGCCCGGTGACCAAGAGTGGTACCGCTGGGATAACGGTCTCTTTAAGCTCTTCACCTGCAGTGTATTCATTTTCGTCTTCCAGCTGCTGCCAGAGGAGGGTTGAGTTACGGTCTAGTTGCGCTTTCAAACTCCGCTTACAAAAGTAAGCATTCTATTCCTTGCCCTTAGTAGTTGCTGTGATTCTAAGTACGCCGGTACCATTAGATTCTAGACTGCCGATTACCCTTCCGCACTATACTCTGGAAAAATTCTCTGTGGAGAATGAAGTGCGCCTAACTTGAGTCAAGAGCGAATTCCAGCATATACAACCTAAAGGCATGGTGAGCCGGGAAGAGGTTGCCTAGTGTTGGTTCAGAGGAAACCTAGCGTCAGTACGCACCTCAGCGAGCTCATCAATCTCCCTCCCTCGCGTGCATGTCTCATTAAAGCAAATTTATACGAGTACGAGCCTCTAGGAACCTCACAGCCACTTGCCACCCATGAGCTTCCACAGCCGTTCCCGGACTGTGCTCTTTATCTGTTCCTCATCCGCGGACTTCTGCTCTTTCTCCAACTTCTTTCGCTCTCGCTGCTCCAGGCTAAGCGGCTTGAGGGTTTCCGGTAGAGGTGTGCGAGCGTTTTGACGGGCAAGCGTCAGTAGTCGCTCACGCTTCTTCCCTATGCGCGGCTGCACTGGCTTCGCTGGCTCCGGCTCCAACTCCGGCTCCAGCTCAGGTTCTGGTTCTGGTTCAGGAGCCGCCTCGACCACATGCGTTGAAGCGTCCTCAGGAACATCGGTCTCAGCTGGCTCTTGCGCCGCAATGAAAGCTTCAAGCTCAGCCTGGCTAGTCACTTCTTTTCTGAGAGCCTCGAGCTCCCTCCGTTCGGCTTCAATTTTGGGAAGCCACTCTGAGAGGACGGCGTCCATGTACTTGCGCTTGACTTCAGGCTTCGGAGGAGGCGGTGGCGGGCTGAACAGACGGTCCTCTTCAGACTGAGGTTGCGGTGGCAAGGGCGGTTCATAGAAGCCGCCCCATTCTGCGAAAGCCTTGCAGACCATATTCCGTTTGTATTTGGTGAGGCTGAATGTCGTGAACACGGCAGGTTTTTTCCGATCTAGTGAAACGTGAAATCCACAAACGAGGAGCAACACGGGGCCACGTACCACTTCGCTCGATCCAGACGTCAACGACACGCGTCGTTGGCTTCTCCTCAACCGCGTCGGACTTGCTCGCGGTTTCCGCCGCCATTCGAGTGATGACACTAGCTTCCGGCACTAACTCCCCTTCGAGTCTGTTCTCCGGGCGAAGCAAGCCTCGAAGGTCTTGGAGACCAATACCTCCCGAAGGCGTCCGATCATAGATGGGAATTTCGAGTTGTATGGTCTGGCGACCCAGCGGGAGCATCTCCAGCGACTCACCGCTTTCGAACTCGGCGAAGAAGTACGGCTGGTACATGTCACTGGCTTCATGGTCCTAATACATATTCAACACTTCATTACGCATTCATGCAGCGAGATCCACACACCCTCCGGAATGTGTAATGCTTTAGCCTCCCATATCTCCGTTCGATAGCTCGCAGAATAGCATATGCCTGCGGAGTGGACGTGATACCGTCCCAGGGGCGGATGTACAAAACCGGTTGCTTCGTGGAGTCGATCCTGTGTGCGCCCACATCGGTGTTCGATAGTACTGGATTCGACGACGAAGACTCTTCCATGACGGTGGACATCGCTCTCCGGGTGCCACGGAGGGTAGCGTTTCTGCAGGCCGTTCGCGCGGCGTGGGACAGCATTTTGGAACGAGAGCCTGCGAAAGCAGACTACGTGTTTGAGAGGCCTCTGCACGGCAGGATGCGCGGAGCACCTGCGGTGAACGTCGGGATGAGAGCAAAAGGCGCACCATGCCCAGTCTGGGACGCCCGACATGTTTCTCTGTCACGTGCAACTTCTAACACCCAATCCAGACAGCGCTGTCTCAAATCAGGAAATGATGCGCTAAGAGCGCCTGCTAAAACCTAGCTTTTCATCAGCCCTCTGGCCTTGCACACGCGCCCTCCGCATCTCACTCGTCTGCACCATCCAACTCAATCAAGCTGTCTCCTTCAAAATTAGCGAAGATTGTCTCCAAAGACTCCGCTTCTCGCGCGATGGGGAAGTCGGATATCGAGTCTTGGATCGCGTCGACCTCGACCTCATCGCCCACAGCGGATGGCGAAAACCTGAACGGTCACAGATTATCTGGCTGGCGGAGAGACCTCGTTGTGAATGACTGGCAAGCGGCCCTGTTGGCTGCTCGCAGGCTGCTCCTCACCAGCAGCACGAAAACTCGGACATGGTTCCTGCAAGAAGAGCTGCTGTACATTGCTCGCAATTGTGGTATGTACCAGTGATCGTATGCCTGGAGTTGTCCGTTTGAACACTTAGATGGTCAGATCTCACTTTGAGTCAAACATTGGATATATTCCAGCTGCTGACTCTGACTTACTCGCGATATGTCGATGCACCTTCACGAGAAGCTGTGGAAACGGTTGGCGTAGAGCTCGTGCGCCGGGACGAGCTGCGCGGCACACCAGAGGGGGAACAGGATGCCGAGAGGATGGGAGTTGCTGAACAAATTGTTGGCTGGCTAGCACAAGAGGTCGACCGTATGGCAAAACGTCCAAGGTGCGTTCTACTTTTATGTCTACGCAAAATGGAAACCCATGCAATGTCTGTGACAGTGCTTATCCCCCAGCAGACATGCTTGTCCTTCTCAGCTGGTGTGCCGGGATATACTCGGTGTGTGTCGAGCACAACCCCCACTTCACCTCGTCCGTCCCGTGGAGCCCACTTGTTGGCAGTATGGCCACTCTGCTGGATCTCATCCTCGATAAAGCGAATCGCGCGAAGCCATCTGTTCAGAAGGGCGCCCTTGTCCGCGCGCGTCGCGCTCTCCGGTCGGTTAGTGAAATTGGTTTCTACTTCGTCGCCTGTCACTGAAAAGGAATGGTCCCTTAGAGCCCTCGAGATATCCATAGCGTGATTGAGACATTGATCACGCGAGCGAAAGGCCATAACAGCCCCCTTCATGTTGTTTCACTTCTTGGCGTAGCAGTTGATGTCAAGATGAGGCTCAAGAACGTCAAAGATGACGGTTTGAAAAAAGTCGACGATGAGCTGAAGGTAACTTGTTCAGTGGCACATTGTAGTGAAGACAAGCTGAAGAGTCTTCATACTCTAGTCGAATATTATCGCGTTCTACAATGCATCTGTTCTCATGTCGAGGACAGCCGTTCCGTTACATGCTGGGGTATATACCCAGTTCCTGATCACTGTCCATCAGATACTCATACGTTACACTCAGGCGGCTCTCTGTGGGTTCATAGGAAGCTCCGTAGATGAGAAGGATCTTGAGCAACTGATCCTTCCTCAAATGGAAAAGGCGCTCCTCAGGTCTCCAGAAGTCTCTCTGAATGGTGAGCGAGGCTTATCCATGTACTGTGATACTCTCTGATTGCGCCATTATAGTCATTGCGGATTTCCTTGAGGCATACTCTCAGCCTATAAACAGTGCCACCTTCAAGCGAATCCTTACCGCGACTGTCAACAGCGCCAAGTCTCCGAACGCCCTAATTCGCGCTGGAGCTGTCCAGCTCTTCAAGACCGTTATCTCAAAAACGAGCAAAGGATCTGACCTGAAGCTTGCTCTGGACGAATTGTTGACACTCCCGCGCTCGGGCAAGACTGCCGGAGCCGACCACCGAGTCGCTCTCTATACCATGCTCGGCTACCTACCACCATCTCAAGAAGTTTCACCCACCGCCGTCGAGGCCGGGCCCTCGCTACTGGCCAAGGAAACCAACGATGGCGCCATAACTGTGCTTGCTCTGTCCTTAGCGAGACACATAGTCTTTAGCTTGTGCGAGAACCTCGCATTGCCGGTTGCCACCCAAACTGCAATCACGAAAGAAATGAATGCAGCAAAGCCTCCGGTGCGACGTGCTTTCTCCTCTCTAGTCGGTAATGTTCTCTGGGAACTGGATAACTTGTCTACTCAGGCAGCACTCGACTTCGCCAAGGCCGTGCTGCCCTCTTTGGAGACGTCGCTGAAGACCGTCGCAGCGAGCCCTGCCGCACCCCCGGCTGGACCATTGGAGGGCTACATCGCGGTCGCGCTCCTTCTTGGACCATATCATCGCAGCGGCAAATTTGGTAGATATTTCGTCGTACTCACTGTTACAGAGCGCATCTCTGAATCTAATGTTGTATTTTCTCGGTCATATTGGTGCTGCAGAAGACTTTATCAGTCGGAACACGTCTTCGCAGTCGTTGCTTGCGACAGGCGCAAAGCCGTCGTTTTTGCTGTGGGATAAAGTCTACCAGAAGCTTGTTGAACCGGAAGATCAGGCCTGGCTCCTTCGTGCTGGGGAGGCTGTCTTGTCGTACTACAAGAACGACATCCTCAAGTCAGAACAAACAAGGTGTGTACTTCGAAACTCTATACTTCAGCTCATATTCATTGTGTACAGTGCGATGGTCGGCAACCTGTTCTTGCATCTTGCAGTGGACGGTTCATCTGTCGAAATTCGGCGTCTTGCTGTTTCATCAATGAACGCCCAGGCTCCCAAGCTTCCCGAGGTGGTGAACCGCATCGTGTCAGCCTCGCTGAAGGCATACCTCGTCAAGGAGAGCGCGCCGGCGAGGACGAGTGGCGAAGAAGCAGAGACAAAGGTCGTGAGCAAGGAAGGACGCCTCTGCGCGTTCCTTATTTCGTGTGCTGCCGTTGGCCAGGACGTAGATTGCTCTGTTCGAGAAGACCTCGTTCTGGATCTGCTTGTGGTAAGCTACCACACCGCGATTGGTGCGTACACTCATTCCAGCTTATAGAGATATACTAAACCCGACCCGTAGCTGGGCATGGCCTGCGCACCCCCTGGATTGACCTCTGCCAGACTGCTGGAGTTGACCCTCATGAAATCGCCACTAAGCACTGGGAACGTATCTTGCCCCAACTGATCGCGGCTTCTGAGGTAAGACGCAATTATCTACGGAGCATCAATCCGTGTCTCAACGTGCGATCAGTCACAATCCCCCGGTTTTATTGAAGCTAGCTACCGCGCCGTGACGACACTCTCGTTCGTGGCTCCCGAGATAGCGATCCCTCGTGTTGTGGAGCAGCTACGCCGCGATATTGACGCGCAAGCATTGAGCAGTCTCACAGACGAGGATCTTGCCATCTGGGCGACACCTGAAGGGACTACCTATGTTGATGGTGAATAGTATCGATATGTCATCTCTGGCAACGCTGAAGGAAATGCGTATAGTATTGGCTAATAAGAAGACCGACGAACCAGTGAAGAAGGGCAAGGGCTACAAGGACGCTCAGTGGGAAGCCGAGATCCGGAAGTCGCTCGCAAACAAGAAGCAGAATGCATCTGGTATACTGTCAAAGCAAGACCAAGCCCTTTTGAAGGCGCAGCTTGAGAAGGAAGCGGCCATCCGCAAGAGGGTAGAAGGCCTCAAAACCCGGCTAGAGCGTGGACTTGCGCTTGTGCGCAGTCTCGTGAGGTCGAACGCGGAGGAGCTCAAGAGTCATGTTTCGTCCCTGACTGACATACTGTTAAGCGGAGCATTTGGCAGTGCGGCTATCTCGCTTGTTGGAGAGAACTCTTTCAAGACATATCTTGTATACGTTCACAGCACCTTTGTCGCTGTCTTCGCTCATCCGTTTTGTTTCCAGGATATCTCGGCGTGCTGTTCAGAACGCATCATCGCTTTCAGTAAATGGACCGGCGTTGCTACTTTGCGAAGTTTAGAGGTGCCCGGTATTCCAGAAGAGTTGCAGGAAGAGCCGATTAGCTGTACGTACGGGTTGCTCAAATTCCCACTACAGTATCTGACATCTTCCAATAGCGATGGTTCTCCGCGTGCTGCACAGGCTACGGTTCTTGTCAGAGCAAATTCCCTTCGATACTGCGACATTTTCATATACTTCTCCTCTCCTTAACCAGATCTTCATCAAGGGAGGGGTTGGCTTGACAGAAGAAGAAGACCCTTTGGAACAGGCAACGCTTGCCCTTGACTTGGTTAAATTCCACACTGGTGAATGTAAGTCCTCGGCGAGCGATTCTGCAGTTCCGGGGCCTTATCATGTGACAGTCTCCCAAACTGCCTTCCCTCGCAAGCAAACTATGGAGAACCTCCTCTTTGTTATTCGCCAGCAGCCGAAGCTCGCAAAGGACGCATCATCTGCGCTTATCGATATTGGCCAAGCTGTGCAGTCAAGCGTCAAGCCTGAAGAGCTGCAGGTTTTGCTCCGTGGCACCCTGATCCAGGAAGTCTATGTCCGCAACGCTTGCTTGCAAACTCTTCAAGTACGTATTGAATGCATGCATCGCGAAGTCGTGCTCACACTGGAGTAGCCTTTCGACTTGACGGAGCTTGATTGGTCTTCAGAGCTGTGGATTGCGTGCCGCGACGACGATGAACAGAACGCTAGGCTTGCAGAACACCTCTGGGAAGATAATGGTTTAGACGTCCCCGAGAGCTTTCTGCAGTCTCTACTGTGCTACCTGGGTATAAATTGATTATATCTCTCCTTAATAGCGCTGACCCCCCTGCATAGAACACGAAAACGCCTACGTCCGAGCCAGCACTGCTGCTGCAATTGCGGAGGCTGTGGAGCACTGGCCGCAGTCCACCACTTCAACTTTGAGCGAGATACAAGACTTCTTTCGTGATAAGGTACGACTGCCATTACCCGCGTAGCATCACTACTCATGGTCTCATAGGCTAAGATCCTTGCTCCGGAGTTCGACCAATACGTATGTCATCAGAGCATTAAGGGTTTGCCATAGTTTCTGATATACCGATCTACAGGGAATGATTATCGCCAGCACAATTGACAGGGCAGATCCGTGGCCGACTCGTGTAGCCATTGCAAGGACATCTGAGCTTATGGCACCGAGCTTTACTGCGGACAACTTGGAGCCGTTCTTCAAGTTCCTGATTTATGACGAAGCTCTTGGTGACCGCCATTCTGACGTTCGTCGAGGCATGCTCCAGGCTGGCACCGCTGTCATTGACCTCCACGGTCCTGCACGTTTGGCTGAACTGATCTCGATGTTCGAGGAGTATTTGGGCAAATCTCAGCCTGCGAACGAAACCCATGACTACATCAAGGAGGCTGTGGTCATCTTATTTGGCCGCCTCGCGAAACACCTCGACCCATCTGATCCGAGAGTGTCGAGCATCGTTGAGCGACTCGTGGATGCATTGAAGACGCCAGCGGAGCAAGTGCAGATTGCAGTATCTGACTGTTTGTCACCCTTAGTCAAGCAGATGCGGACGCCAGTGGAGGACCTTGTTAATCGTCTTTTTGACGAACTTCTCAACGGGCAGAAGTACGCAATCCGTCGAGGTGCCGCGTACGGTTTGGCGGGAGTTTTCAAAGGTGCCGGCATCTCTGCCATGAAGGATTTCAACTTCATTGAACGCCTGCGTGCCGCGGCGGAGGACAAGAAGCACTTTGAGCCTCGTCAAGGAGCGATGTTTGCCTTTGAGACATTCTCCAATGTCCTAGGACGCCTCTTCGAGCCCTATGTCATTCATATCTTGCCGATGCTACTGACAGCGTTCGGCGACGCCACGACCGACGTCCGCGAGGCGACCTACGATACCGCAAGGGTCATCATGGCGAATCTTTCTGGATACGGAGTTAAGACTATCCTGCCATCTCTTCTGGAGGGTCTCGATGAGAAGCAGTGGCGTACGAAGAAAGGCTCCATCGAACTGCTGGGTATGATGGCGTATTGTGCACCGAAGCAGCTGTCGCAATCCCTACCTGTTGTTATTCCACGATTGACGGGCGTGCTGACCGACTCGCATGCCCAGGTAAAAGCAGCGGCCAACAAGAGTCTGAAGCAATTCGGCGAGGTCATCAGCAATCCGGAAATTCAGTCTCTGGTTCCTGTCTTCCTTAAGGCTATGGTGGACCCCGCAAAGACATCAAATGCACTCACAGCGCTTCTCAAGACGTCATTCGCTCATTATATCGACCATTCATCTTTGGCCTTGGTGCGTTCTGTGCGTTTCGGCGATGACCATTTCACTGATAATTGATACAGGTCGTTCCTATTATCGAGCGTGGCCTTCGTGAACGTGGTGCGGACACGAAGAAGAAGGCGGCACAAATCGTGGGCAACCTGGCATCTCTCACAGACTCCAAGGACTTCGTCCCTTACCTCAACGAACTCCTACCTCTAGTTCATGTCGTGCTCGTCGATCCTGTTCCTGAGGCTCGTGCTACGGCCGCGAAAGCCCTAGGCACCCTCGTGGAACGACTCGGCGAGGTTCACTTCCCAGATTTGGTACCTGGCCTTCTTCGTACTCTCAAAGCCGATAGCTCCGGTGTGGACCATCAAGGTGCTGCACAAGGTTTGTCCGAGGTCCTTGCTGGCCTTGGTATGGAGCGCATGGAGGGTCTACTTCCAGACATCATCGTCAATGCACAGTCCCCTCGCAGCACCGTCAGGGAAGGTTTCATGTCATTACTGGTCTTCTTACCTGCAACATTCGGAACTCGTTTCTCACCACATCTTCCGAAAATCATTGGCCCCATTCTCAGCGGCCTTGCCGATTCCGAGGATTACGTGCGCGAAGCCGCCATGCGTGCTGGTCGCATGATCGTCACTAACTATTCGAACAAAGCTATCGATCTGCTGTTACCTGAGCTCGAGCACGGCATGTTCGACCCTGGCTGGCGTATTCGCGTACGTATCGCTCCCTCCCCTATGAGTCTCGTTGTTCACTGGCATATAGCAATCTTCCATCACGCTCGTCGGAGAGCTCCTGTTCAAGGTCTCCGGTATCAGTGGCAAGACTGAGATTGAAGAAGAGGAAGAGGCGGCGGACACCACTCTTGCTGAGACATCTCGCAAGGCACTCATTGATGTCCTTGGCCAAGAGCGCAGAGACAGGATTTTGTCTGCTCTCTACATGGCTCGCCAGGATGCGGTTAATGTTGTCCGTCAATCTGCTGGTCATATCTGGAAGGCTCTGGTCCATAATAGCCCGCGTACTGGTAAGCACCACGTACGTGGCTATATACTTGGGCCTGTGCTCACTATCTTGGTAGTACGCGAGATTCTGCCTCAGCTCATCACTCAAATCATACGTCTCTCCAGCGATGAAGCTGACCAACAAGAGGTACGATTACCATCAGGGCTCATGAGTTCTTGTTTAAACGCCCTTTTAGACTGCTTCGAGGACGACTACTGAGCTATGCCGCAAGTCCGGTGAGAAGATTCTTGGAGAGATCATCACCATTCTCCGTGGCAAGGCGAGCTCTACTGACTCCCGTGTTCGTGAGGGTGTCGCTCTGACCCTCTCCGAGCTCATGTGAGTTTCTTTATCTGTCCCAGTCGAGCACAATCTGCATACTCACTGGCTATGTAGGGAGAGCACCACCGATGCTCAACGCGAGGGACACGAAGACGAGATTATCACCATGGTCCGGGTCTCACTTGTTGATGACGAGTCGAACGTTCGTGCCGCTGCGGCCAAGGCCTTCGATATCCTGCAAGAGCACATCGGCGTCAAGGCCATTGATCAGACAATCCCAACCCTCCTGGAGGCTTTGCGCCAGCCTGGCCGGAGCTCTGGCACAGCCCTTCAGGCCCTAAGAGAAGTCATGAGCGTCCGGGCATCGACCGTGTTCCCTGTTCTCATCCCTACACTGACTGCCACGCCCATGACCGTCTTCAATGCCCGCGCGCTGGCTTCGCTGGTGTCTGTGGCAGGCTCCGCTCTCAGTAAGCGTCTGACAGTCATTCTCAGTGCATTCGTTCGTGTTTTGGAAGGACCGGAGGGCAAGGATGAGGAGCTGCACGAGGCTGTCGACGAAGCTCTACATGCACTCTTGGGCTCTATTAGCGACTCGGAGGGCCTCAATACCCTGATGCTTCTACTTCTCGGCTGGGCGAAGCATGAAAGTGTTGAGCGCCGCGTCAGCGCTTGCAACATATTCACAGTGTTCTGCGAGGTTACCGAGCTCGATACGTCACTCTACCACATCGACTGGATCAGGCAGCTCGTCTCCCTATTGGACGACTCGCAAGTGCCAGTGCACACCGCCGCATGGCAGGCCTTGGATGCATTCGTCAAGTCTGTCCCCAAGGACGAGCTCGAGCCGCTTGTTGTACCCCTGAGGAGAACCATCGAGAGCATTGGTGCCCCAGGCCACCACGTCCCAGGCTTTAGTCTGCCAAAAGGCGTTTCGCCGACCGTATCAATCATCATCGCGGGTCTCACGACCGGCAGCAACGAGCAGCGTGAGCAGGCTGCGTACGCGATCGCGGACCTCGTCGAGCGCACAGAGGAGAGCGCGATCAAGCCGTTCGTCGTGCCGTTCACGGGCCCGCTCATCCGTGTGGCGACGCAGGCGACGACGTACCCACCTGGCGTCAAGACCGCGATCTTGCACGCGCTCGCGACGATGCTCGAGCGCATTCCGGCGTTCGTCAAGCCGTTCTTCCCGCAGCTGCAGCGCACTTTCGTCAAGAGCGCGAGTGACCTATCCAGCCTGGCCGTCCGCAACAGGGCCGTGCAGGGCCTAGGCGTGCTCATGAAGAATCAGCCGCGTGTGGACCCAGTTATCACGGAGCTTGTTGGTGGCGTCAGAAACAGCGAGGACGCGGTTGTGGGCAGTTTGGTGCTCGCACTGGCGTACGTTGTGTGGAATGGTGGCAGCAATGTAGGAGAGAAGGCCAGGGAAGCGTGTTTCGAGGTCGTCTCGGACGCATTCAAGGAGAGTCACGACGAGTCGTATGTGCGGGCTACGGCAGCGCTCTTCGCCGCGCTTTCTGCCTTCCCCGATCTGGTGAAACCCATTGTCGAGTGCGTGAATTCCCGCTGTTCCGTGAAGGTCCGAGTGACAAGCTAATCACCGCGTTTGTCACAGTAACCATCTGTTGGCAGGCACACCGCCTTCGGTGCTATCGTCACACTGCATCCTCACCGTCCTCTCGCCTCCCGAAGACTGGGACGTCGACGGCCCACTCGATCTTTTTGAGCAACTGACCGTAACCAAGAGTGTTGCGCAGAAAGCCCAGGAGAGCGTATCGAGCGAGCGTGCATCTATCGCGCGGCCAGCCCGTGAAGCCCGGGAGTTGCTCAAGCAGTACGACGCGTGAAGACAAGAGCTGAAAAATGGCCGCGGTCTGCACAACAAGCTTGTTCACTGGAGCACGTAGTTCTGCAATGTGACGCACTAATCACGCAAGGACCATTTATGATATCAAAATTACTTCTATTATTCTTGTTCATTAATGATCAGTGACTTGGGAGTGTGCTGCCTGCAGCAAGGCGGTGAGTGTCGTAACATATTATGATGATTGGTATGTGTGAGTTCCTTAGGAGTCGACGTGCAACGTTTTCATGATACGCTCAAGGCCGGCGTTACCTCCGAGCCTCGCAATCTCCGTGGATATTTGGTTTTCCAAGCTTGCCATGACCGACAGCGTGTAGTCAAAGGACTTTGTCTGATCCCTCAGATATGAAATTGTGTATCGTTTGAGCGTCGGGGTGCTCGGCCGCTTCTGTAGCACATCTGAGAAATAGAGTAGGTGAACTTTGCGATCACTTCGGTCGAGCGGGGGTCTCGGGAACGCACTCAGGATTTGTCTGTTCGACGTGTCTGCGCGTATGCCGTGCACGACGGGGAACGAGAACTTTCCTTCCGTGAGATCCTCTGCAAAACCTTTGTTGGAGGCGTACTGAGGCCATGTTAGCAATGTTGCCTGTCATCATGCTCAGAGCCGTGCTCACAGTATCGCTCTGCAAATTCATGTAGTCATCGCGGATCTGGAAATAGACTCCTATCAGGTTAACCAAAGGTACGTAGTCCCTGGAAAGTACCGGTGAGTGGAGAACGGGCGGAAGCTCAGGAGTGAACCCTTACATGTCGACATTGCTGGTGGCGCAGGCCATCATGAGTTTGATAGCTACGCGGAGTAACCCGCCAGTCTCTGCCAACGGTAAGCGACATCCTTGCGGCACGTTTGTGCTGCGATGCTCACTATTGTTGACCATAGTTATGTACTCCTCTTCAGTCGGACATTGCAGCGAGTCGCGCCATAGCAACTCAAGACCCTGTCCGCGGTGCAACGAGAGCAACTCCTCTAAATAAAACTCGGATCAACACTGGCATGCTAGTGCAAATACGGATAGAAGCTAGCCTGTGACGACACGGTCCAACTGGGTGTCGTCGATCAAACGCCGGGGACGCTCCACGGGCGACTGGGCTTGGACGTGGTTCCGCAGTGTAAAAAGCTCCTGGTACGCCAGGAAGTAGACATAGTTTGCGGAGTTGATGGTCTGCGGTATGCCGTAGATCTTGTGAGAGGCTGCCGAAGATCAACAAAACCATATGACGGCGGGAGCGAGAGTCATACCAGGTACGCCTCTACGCAGCTGTGCATCATCCTCGATGTCATCTACGCTATACACTTTTAATGAGTGGAAGACGGTCTATACGAATGATCTACTCACAGCAGACTAGCGTTATGGAGCATGTTGATGACTTTGGATATCGTGTGCAGCTTGTCAGCTGGTACATTCAGCCATGTATTGAATGACTCCATCATCTGTCTCCGGAAGTCTTTGCCAGGAACCGAGGCGATGTGTGTGAATGGTTCCAATAAAGCCTATACAGGTATCATCAATCAGTATACTGTAAGCCATGTCAACAGCTATCTTTTTACATTCTCATTCCGTTCAGACCAAGTCGAGGACTCGGCGAGTACTTTCAGCACGTCATATTTCATCTCCGGTCTGTCCTGGTGAGATAACACAACTGCCGTCGTGCATAGCCTGATTTATGCACTTACTGTTCGATTACAAGTGAAGTGAATATAATGAACAGTTGTGGTAAGGAGCAAGTCGTGGACGTCGGTACCTACTACACCGTTGTCGCAGCAGCGGTACCGGAGCGCAGTCCGGCAAACACGGATCAGATAGCTCTTGATCCGGTGCTGCTGCCGGATCGGGTTAGCTTTACCGGTGAACGATGGCCGCACGACAGTTGGATAGCCAATAGCCAATATACAGGTGCATTAGCAACAAAGAACTGTCGAGTGCACTAAATAGAAAGCCGATGGTCCCTCTTGACTCGCAGGGCACGGCATAGATGAAGACAACCAAGGGAGGTGTGAGGTAAGTGAAGTGGAGAAAACAGGGGAGCGAATGGCATATAGTTGATCATATCAGGTCATTAGATGGGAGTGTCCGCAAAGGCACTGCACTATTCCATGGGTGTCATCGCCTGAAGTGTAATGTGGAAGATAACGCCTTGGTGATCTGTTGGCGTAGCGACCCTTTCGCAGATGATGGGCCGCCTGGAAGAGAAAAAGACTAAAAGGGAGACAACACGTTAGATCTTCTCGTAGACGCTACCATTCGCACATTCACTCACATCTGCGGAATAGATGCTGAAAGCTGAGGACTGCGCGTTGCGTGGCACGTCAGATGGCGGCCTGTGTTGTACTAGGCGCGATTCGGCGCGTGCCTTGCGTCGCGTCCGCCGCCGTTCAGGGAGGGTAGCATCCCATAGCGTCTTCTCGAACACGTCCATTGGCGCCAGCAACAGGTCCTCGTCGAGCTCTGCGTAACATTCCTCGCTAAGTTCTCCGGTCTGGGCACCTGCCGACACTGCACGATGTAGCTCCTGCCCGAACACGTGGAGCGCGATGACATCTTTTGGCGGCGGCGGCGGCGGCGGCGGCGTCTCAACCCCTGGCGACGAGAGGTCCGTGATAGACGAGGCAGCTGTGGACTGCGAGTCATTACGCTCACGGCAATGCCGCTTTGGGGGGCGTGGCGGCGAGTCGAAGAGAGGCGATACAGGCGTGTTCGGCCCGCTCGACGGAGTGTTCCTGTTGTCAAATGTGTCTAATTCATCAGTCACCGTGATGAGATCCCCGGACCAGGACCGCCGGATAGGAGCAGAGGCGGGCGCGGGAGAGATCATCCCTCGCACGCTCGACGGTGTGTAAGGGGCAGGCGTCGACGGCGCAGTGCCTCGCGCAAGGGGGTCTTCCTCGACGTTGACAGGCACCGGGCTGAGCAGGAACCGGGGTCCGTCAGCAGAAGTGGGGTACTCTGACTCGTAGGGTGTGAAGACAAAAGTCTTTTGCGTCAGGTCCCACTCCGCCGTGAACGTCAACGCGGTGCCCGGAGTGGAGGACGGCTGCGACGGGGGAACGAGGGTCGAGGACGCGAGTGGCAGCGGCGATGGTGGTAATACAAGGTGGATGCCGCTCACCAACCCCCGCCGCCGAATCTTCTTGATGTTCAACGGCGCGATATCGGCAACAGGCACAACCTGGAGCTCGTATGAGGATGCACTTGACAAGGTTTCATTCATAAGGTAGGCACCCACCAGCCGGGATCCTAAGGCAGCGGGCTGTCTCTCTTCAGACCGTCGAGAGACGCTCGACATGCGTCCGAGTGTTGGCGAGTCCACAATGCACCAGGCATTGCCAGTACCAGACTGTGCAGCACGTCCGACGTTCCGCATGGCCCGCGCGGCGGCCAAGTCCAGAGAATTCTGAAAGCGATGTTTAGAAAAAGAAGAAGGAGCCATCGCTGAAAGTAGGACGGAGAGGGACCAAGGAAAAAGTGAAGGGATGAAGGGGTATATAGATAAGCGGCGGCGGGGTGGCAAAGAGCACATTGCGAGTTGCTCGCTTCGAGCATAAGAGGCTGGCGAGCAAAGGCACAGCTCATTGCGGATCAATTGACAGGTGATATGTGTCGCTATGACTGTATTATGGACGTATGGGAAACGGCGACACGACCGGTGCCTGCCATTGCAAGACGGTCGGCGGCCGATTCTTCGCGCCACCGTCCAACCCAGTGCTTCAAGTGAGCAATGTCGCTCGTTGCGCCTTTTAGCTTGAGAATGCCTAGTGCGGAGAGCAGGCAACCGAAACAAGAAAGCCGAGCTTCACGTGATTGGTCGACACTGGGAAAACTTTCTATGATGGATGAGAGCAATGGTACATCAATCAAAGAAGTAACCAACATGACAGCTCTGAGCATGGTGAACACATGCAGACTGATAGACCGTGGCGGTATTTTAGCTCGGTGGTGGTATAACCAGCGATCACATCCAGAAAGGCGAAGGGTTCGATAGCAACCAACGGCATGTATTTGGAGAAGCCTATCAGAGCTGTGCATTGACACAAGGCGGCCAATGATAGCCTGTCGCCGCCGCTGTGGAATATGACTTCACCAAAGAAGTAGCCTGTTGCTAGCTGTCAGTTCATGTCACTCGGGTGGAGCACAGAGCAACGGAACACAGCACCTGTCTACTCATCACGCCTCATGGGACATACGCAGTCCGGAAGACTCTACCCAAAGTCAAGTTATTTCGGCCTTCCGCAAGCTTGATGGCTTCGCCCACGGGGTTGTATACATCTTCGTCTATTTGCCTCCACCTCAGCTCTTGCAGCCTTCTGTTGGTTTCCCTTGTCCCTGGGCGGTAGTCAGGTACTAAGTAGTTTGTACCATCCTGGGCCTGATGCGAGTTCCAAGTGCTGCGGCGGTGTAGTGGCAGGAACGGCAGCTTGACGTGTAGGTGCACGAGGGCCAGGTTGCTCAGAAGAGTCGATGGAAGACCATAAGTCTGGCTCGCATTGGCCAGAAGGGCAAGAGTGCCGTCGACTACTGATGGTGAGATTGCTATGCTCCCGAAAAGCAAGACAAGACTCACCTCGTCTATCCCATGTCTGCAGCCAAATACGTAGGTTCGCGTGTTGCGCTTCGCGCTCCGCATCATCCAACTTGATGATATTCCGCGCCGCAGTTCGAAACAGAGGTCTGTAGAGCCTTCTTAGATTAGAAAACGGGCCGTATTGGTTACCGACAGAACGGAGAAGACTCCTCAGGAACAGCCTGTATACGCTCTTGAACTCTGGAGGTACTGGTCCGATGGGGTACATTGGGAGCGCAAAATTCTATAGGTTTGATCCTTCTACCTCTCGGGCGTTCTCCAAGGAGAAGCGAGATGACCAGAGATGTTTAGTAGCAGGGTCCGAGAGCAGATGGTGGTTGTGCGCAGAGTCAGATCAGGCGACAAACGCATTTGGACGCTGAGCGCTCGCAAGCGGGCGTTGTGGCGCTTTCGTCTACAACCTCACCGAATCTTTCTGCCACAGCAGCTTGCAAGTAGCAGCCTGTAAGCTCATTTTCACGATCTTTTCGAACCGTCGGATTATCTCTGTTATTTTTGGCACTGCTTGGAGACTTGTAAAGCACCTCCTGAGTCATCTCCTGAGCCATCAGGACGCAGTCCGAAAAACTACTAGTACGCATGTAGTGGACGCTCATTGTTGACAGCACCGCACATCAGGAGCGAAACTGTGCGGAAAATGCAGAGTAGGACGAGATCTGTGAGATGGCAATGGGGCGTGTTTTTTAATTGATGGAATATAGGATCTGAGAGGTATACTGTCCCGGGGCAGGTGTCAGGCCACGTCGAACAATACATTGCCTTGCGTCTTTCCCTGGGTGCGGCGCTGGAAGGAGAAGTGAGCTAGCTACCGCAAGAATATTTTCCTTTTATCCTCGTGAGCGTTCACCAGTAACTGCTGTGTCTGTTGTTGCCACTGACCAATCATCAGTGATACTATCTAGAATGCTATGTCGAGAACATACAGCGAAAGGGTGGGCATTTCGATGCCACAGCCTCCATATGACACTAGACTGGAATACCCCTTACTTGAACTTGCCACCGGGAGTCATACGTCACGGACCAAGTCCGGTACAAACATGGGCGATATACGTCTCACACTCTTTTGCCGTGTCGCGTACATTGTAACTATCATGAACATAGATCTGCGCTTGTTTTCAATGGCCCCAAAGGTTGATCGAACTTATCATTCTATAGTGTGGGTTCCCAAAACATCCCAGAGCCCCCCCCCCCCCCCCCCGAACCGCAATTTTTGCCAACAATTCCGCTACCACTTGACGGGCCAGCACTTGATAGCGTTTTGTACTACCGCGATCTACCACAATCCAGCGCGCTCTACGAGTCTCGACTCTTCAGATTTGCTGCTCATACCGAGCCTCAAGGTTGAGAGGGAAAGCGATTCGGGAAGAGATCAAACGGGAGAGGTTGCCGTCGGAACGGCAGGCTAGTGCCCTCACGCCCTACCGGTCACCTCAAGCGTGCGCTCATCCTCATCTGCAGACCGTCACTAAGGGCCAGCCAGACATCCACGCATCCGCTCTCGGCAGCGGCGCCACAAGACCAGTCCGTCGGGGCACGTCATTCCTAGCGGCAGATCTCCAGTTTGGTTTGGCTTGGCAGTACGCCCCCTGCGAGACATTCCAGCGCGAAGAACGGGGCTCGCGAACACGCTTTGGCGGCCCATACTCTCTCCGCTCAAGGCGTTCCGCTATGCCCTTTTACAAGACCGAGATGGCGGATCAAGAAGATCGAATGATGCATTGCTTATATGTTCACCAAGGCAATGTCGTCAACTTTTTTTATCATCTTGCTTGAGGGGTTGCCCGTCGGGAGCTACTCATCTTTATCGAAAGATGCCATCATTGAACTGGGCTGCTCTCGTAGATACTTGGATACTTGGTTGTCATTCCCATACCTCCGAGATTGTGTTCTGCCTGGTGACTGGCCATCCCGCCACTGATCTGAGTAATCTTGAATTTCTGTCGTCTAATTTAGAGAGGAACGAACACTTAAAAACGGATCCTGTCAACCGTGCAATGATGGGTACATAATAGAAGAAAAAAGAGCAAGTAAAACAAGATGGTGGAAATCAATGTGTTATGCTATGTGTGTTGCAGCGCAAAAAAGGAGGAGAGCCCATGGGCGGGCTATGCATACGTGGAATGAGGGAGGAAGCAATATGTAAACAAAGGGAAATGACGATGACAACACGTCCTGCATCATATCGCTCAGCCGAACATCACTGAATTGGAGCGAGGGGGAAGATACATACGCATCACGCATGCCGCGCGCCACCCACAGGTGCTGCTTTCCGTGCGTCGAACGGTGCCGTGCCGTACATCGGCGGCAGGACGTACGCAGGGTGTGCAGACACTAGGGGCGCGTGTAATTGCCACGGTGCCTGCATCACCTGCATCGGGGGGCCCTGCGGGGGGATCGGGTACGCAGCAGGATACGGCCCGTACGGCGGCTGAAACGCGTAGAACTGGGGGAGCGGGAACTGCGTGTTCGTCGGCGTGCATGGGTTGCTGAACGTCGAGCCCGTCGGCGACGGCAGTGTGCTGAGCGTACTCGCCGTGCTTGAAGGCGTTGTCGGGGTCGTCGTATGCGCGCTCGCGTTCGTCCCTGCGCTCGTCGAGCGTTTATGCATCTGACGGGGCGGCTGTTGTGCGGGTTTCTCTGGCTGGCGACACTGGAACAGCCCTTGCACCCAGTCCTCACCGCTGTTGCTTGATTTGCTCCGCCTGTGCTCGCTGGCATCTGCTCCCGTGAACCAGCCGTCTGGGTCCTTCTGCGGCTGCACCTTTGCTTCGCCTTTGTGCTTCCTGCTTCTCCTGGACCCTGATCCGCTCGATCGCAGACGATCGACCATCTCTCGCGTCTTCGACGACTGCCGTGGGACGTTGTCCTGGCCCAAAAACGCAGGTACTGCAGCTTCCGCAGCAAGCTTCGGGGTCGCGGACCGACTCTGTGAGGCGCTATGTGTAGATGTGGACGGAACTTCGTTGTAGAAGCCATGCTCGTCCCGCTGGAGTGGCGGAGGGAGCGAACGCGTGCTGGTGCGGGAAGCCAAGTTGCTGTTCAGGGACGGGAAGTGGAACTCATACGTGGGTGACACATAGGGCACATCTGGAGATGAGGGTGAAGGTGATGCATGGTCCAGAACATATGCAGGGATGAAGGCAAGAGCGGAGGCGTTGAGAGGCTTCGAAGGAGAAGGAGAAATGACGGTACCCGTATGTGTTGGCGTACCGCGGTCATCAAACAGCACCTCCGCATACGATTTCTTGTCGCCTTGCGGCGTCGTAGGGGGCGGCTCCGACTCGAAGGAGATATCCGAGTACGTCAGGTCAACGACATCGGGAGAGTGTGAATCGCTGTCGTAGCAGGAATCGTCAATCGCATCGAGGTTCCACATCCTCACGCGCTCGTCGGGCAGGCGCGGAGGCAAGTCTAGGCATGAGGGCTCGAGGATTCCGCCAAGCAATGCATCTACGTGCCGTTCCCACTGCTCTCGTCCTCGGCGAATGATATCTTCGCTTGCATCTTCGGGCAGCAGGAGTTCCGCAGTGAACATGATATCCGAGAGCGAATTGCATATACCGACGCGCCTCTCGTAGTGTTCCAAGGCATACTCCGCCCCTTTCGCCCCTACGAGCGACGGGTCAAGCTCGACGTCCAGTTGTTGCTCTCCCGTCAGCTCATACTTCTCCTTCTCGCTGTACAGAGCACTGTGATAGTGCGGTGGTCTAGGATGAAACGTGAGTTTGACACCTGTTTCCGTCCAGTGGTATCTCCTGACGCAGGCCCAATCCACGTCCACATAGGACTGCTGCCACCAGTCACTACCAATCAATTCCCAATCCTCCAAGTCCTCCTCCTGCTCTTCTTGTTCTCTAAACGAGTTCGCGACGGTCATCGCAGGGCGAGAGGCCGATCAAAGGAACGCGGGATAGTCAAGACCACAATGAAGCGGTCGATCGTGGTTCAAGACGAATCTCGTGCGAGGTGCATGAAACTTGGGTTCCCTATGAGGGCTGTTATTTCGTATGGAGTATAAGGGGACGAAGAGCAGACGGATTATCGACCTGTCTATCACGCTTTATGCGTGGGGCTCATGAACCCAGTACGTTCCAAATGGGTCAGGGTGCTTAGGGGAGGTCGCGGACGGCGCCTGAATGTTCTGGCTGGGCTACAAAGATTCTGAATACGTATGTGGTGACTTCCTCGTCGTCGTCGGTGGTGGTGTCGAGCAAAAGGGGCGTGGGGGAAGCCAAGTATGCGCTACGTTGTTACCATACGATTACAAGACGTTCAATCGAGATCCCAGGGGACAGGCGCCCATAATGGCGTGGCGGCGCAGCGTTGGCACAACGCGTCGCCCAATAAGACTATCACAAACACGATAATCACGGCCTGTTACTCGATAGTGCTGCGGACTTCAAATTGCGCTAATGGGAATAAGTAAGTGCACCGCCGCCTCAGTAAACAGGTAACAAACCCTAACCGACCATGTCTCAGGGTCGTTGGGCAGCTGTCAAGCCTCGCTGACTGCTCGTGAACGTTGAGCACGGTGAGCACGGGTAAGGGACCAGCGTATTCTTACTGCAGCGACTGAGACGGGGATCCAAGCGAAGATGAGGTTTACATAACCATCAGAACGCGGCGATGCACATACAGTACGGGTGCTGGGGTAGTAAACCTTCGGCTACCCACCTTCGACTTGTACGGGGCCACTCCTGCTCCATTTCTGGGGTCCGACAGGCACTGCTGCTGTGCCGAGACCTGTGTCAGAGTGACAGATCTATCAGACTGGTCGTCTCAGACGCGCCTCTTTCCGCATACGCACATTCGGAAACTCTTCTGGCTTGGGACGAGGGGGACAGCCACTTCACGAGGATCTCACTTCACACCCAAGCCGGTGCGGCTACGACGCGGAGGGCTGAGGAGCTCCTTGTGGATGTCGTACGCATCTCTAGCTATCTCTTATGTAAGCCGCCGGTTTGATGTCGACCTCTGGGGGCCCCAGGTCGAGGGAGCAATCGGCTAGAGGAGAGTGCAGCACCACTGAGATAGCCGGGGTGCACCGCCCGGGGAAGGCTATAAGAGCTTTGCCTCTAACGAGTATGGCCATTCGCCATCTAGATTCTTTGAAACAAATTTAAACAGGCAATGTAGCTGCCTCGCCAGCCTCTCAAAAGGGCGTGTACGTAGCGTACTGGCTGTGTTCGCCCCCAACGGATGGCACCAGCATGTCGGATGTTATATCGCGCCTCCTCGTGCCGGGATGCGAAGCAGGCAGATTGTAATGCTGCGTTTGATATAGCCTGAGAGGGGCGCATTCGGGCTAAAATATGATGATCATTCACGCTGCATTGCAGAAGATGGACCCACAAAACTCGAAATCAACCCGGGAGAGGAAGGGCAAGCTTAACAACACCGCAAAGAGAGAAGAACCGGTCTCTTTGGTGCCTCACGCCGCGCTTCGGAAGTGCCTCCGTCTCCTATACGCATATTTATTTAGTGATATTACTAGCTGCAAGAGCATGTATTGATGCTGTGTCATACTATTATCATGCCATATGCTGGAGTCTCCAAAACTTAACGCATGCACAACTTCGTATGCATTCTGCAGCTCAGTTGAAGTAATGGGTCCCTCTGCGCTAGTTCGAGCATGTCACGGTGAGGTTATGTACCTTTAAATATGCTCGCGATATGTTTTTATCCGCCCATGGCGCACATGTCGTGTTCTCCTTTTCCCGGATGCGCTGGCGCACGCCGCACGCCACATAGTGGCGCCATACATGTTGGGCGCGCCGGTACCGTACCACGCGGCAATTATCAGCTTTTATGCTACCAGATAGACATTTGTTCCCTTGCACACTGTACATGTGTCAGTAACTTGTAGCTGTCTGGAATGCACAATCTATTCCGCAAGTGTGCGCTCATCACTATATCAACATAATTTAGGAGTTATACCCTGACTGCCATACTCGAGTGACATTTGCAAGTGGCTATGATGCAAAGTTACTTATCTGAATATTATAATCAATTTTACGAGAATCTTTTGAGAGTGTTGAATACATAGCCCGCACAATTCACCAAGGTTCTCGGACTAAACTTGCGCAGAAAATGTGTACTCGCTCAAAATCACAAATGCGATACAGAGAAACGCGTTGCGTTCGCTGACTACCAGTGCGTAGCATAAGACGTGCGCATACTTAGTTAGTCCTCGCCAGGCAGATCTCCATCTGCATCACACGAGATCAGCTCTACAAACCAACAGGCAAATCCAAAGACCCACATCAATATTCGGCACCCTCTTCTGCACTGTTCCATTGACATTGGAAGTGTGAATGCTACTCACCTCAGCCATAGTAGCTTTCTCTCCTCTCTACCACCCTGTCTCCTCGGCTCTCGACGTGGGGCAAGGCAGCCACCAGCCTCTTCCACTCGCCAACACCGGGGTTGAGCATCGGGAGCAAGCGTTGCATATGGCTGGTGGATAGCGCTAGCGTCGTCGACGATACAAAGCGTCTGGTGAACCTCAGAGTCGCCAAGTCGAGCCAAGTCGAGCCCGGTTGCGGTCGTCGATGGAAATTTTGTGCGGGCCTTTCGATGGTGGCGGCCCTGCGATAAGGCTCAAATTATGTGGTATTGAAGTTACTCTACAGTGTCTAGTGGTGGTGGTGGCCCCCGCCTGAAGCCGGCACACCAACGAGGTCGTCGAAGCCAGACCTCTTAGCGTGCAACGAAAGTTGGAGCTTCTTGGCACTCCAGTAAGTATCTTTGCATCCAGCCCCCCACCAATGCTCACAGGGACATCTGCAGCTATCCACGCTATCCCGCGGCCTACTACTTCCTTACGAATGGCGTCAATGATGCCGGCCCCCAGGCCTCAAGGCCTCATTGTTACAAGCACCGCGTCACGGGAGATATCAAAGCCTTTTGGCTTATGGTGGTAATCGGCCGACGAGTGTCTGACTGCAATATTATGAGCAACGGAGTGGTCCTCGTGTTCACTTGCCCCATGGTCGGGCCGCGAACGTAATGATAAATATAAGTCCACGCCGATAGAGCCCAAATAGCAAAACGACTGACATATTCGCTGTACCGTTCAACGTTAGCTTCAGGCATTTACTTGCGCTAGTAGTGGATACGGTGGCCTTACTGTCGGTCTTTGGCACATGTTGTCTTTCCGCTTTACCGTTGGCTGAGTGAAAAGTGTTTGATTGGCTGGCGCTTCCCATCGACGGCATCTCGGCATAGATTTTAGCCAACCTGAGCCGTCCCCCTTCGGAGGAGCTCATGGTCGGACGACCATGCGCCCACCTTCGGAATGAACTTGTTTTTGCCCACGACTCTCCTAAGGCGCGACAAGATCCATGGCGCACTCATCAGTATCGGCCTCTGCCAACAATGAGGTTGCGGTCGACGCGCTGGACGAGCTTCGGCACAGTCACGATGTCACCAGAATAAACAGCCAAGTCGCCGATGCACATGAAAAGGGCGGCCGCGGAGACGTAGGGAACGGGGATGCACGTAAACAGAGCCGCGGCGGCCGCAGAACCGAGATCGAGCTCACGGACCAGACGAACCTGCTCCCGTTCAAGAAGATCCTGGCTGTCTTCAGCGGGCTCGCACTCTGTGCACTTGTATCGTGCCTCGACAGCACTATCGTTGCGACTGCCCTACCGACCATCTCTGCCGCGTTCAATGCGGGATCGGTCGTGTCCTGGGTGCCGTCGGCGTACCTGCTGACGTCCACGGCCTTCCAGCCGCTTTGTACGTGCTCCGATTTGCCCCTGTGCGCTCACGACTAATCCCCAGACACCAGACGGCCGTTTTAGCGACATATTTGGCCGCAAGGCCGCAATGTGCATGGCGATGGGCGCGTATATGTTTGGTTGTTTGCTCGCCGGCTTCTCGAAGTCGATCATTCAGCTGATCATATTCAGAGGCATCGCCGGTGCAGGTGGAGGTGGTATTGTTAGTGTGCTGCAGATCATCATCTCTGACGTGGTCAGCTTGAGAGACAGGTAAGTATATGTGCTTGTATTCCTTGATTTGGACGCGACGTACCCAACTTCTTTGCAGGGGAAAATATCAGGGCATCATTGGAGGCGTCATCTCTCTGGGATACGCTCTAGGGCCGGTTATTGGAGGTTTGCTAGCCCAGAAGGCTTCTTGGAGGGTACGTATGGAAGCTCAAGCGCTCAGGGTCCTACGTCGCTCACTCTTTGCGCGTATAGTGGTGTTTCTGGGTGACTTTGCCGGTATCCGCCTTCGCAGTCGCGATGGTCCTACTCGTTCTGCCTCTCAAACGCGTCGAGGGAAATTTCCGCAGGTGTGCACGGTCCGCTGTATGCTCTTTGATTGTGTCTGTCGCTTACACGACTCTTATAGGAAGCTAATGGTCATCGACTACTTCGGCTGTGCTTTGACTCTGGTAGCATGTGCACTCTTGCTGCTTCCGCTCATTTGGGTATATTGAGCACGCGTATTCCCTGCTACACTTTATCTAATAGATTTATGCCATGCAGGGTGGTGTAACATTCCCTTGGACCTCGGCGGTGGTCTTGGCTCCACTTTGTAGTAGTGCAGTTGTCGTAGGAATCTTCTGCCTCTGGGAATGGAAAGGTGCGAAGCTGCCGATCGTTCCAAGTAAGTGGGTCGTGCATCTACTCTGCCTTAATCCTCACACCATGGTGCAGTGTACATTTTCAAACACGTCACCGTGACTGGTGTTTATATCACGATGTTTATCAAGTGTGTATTAATAAGACTCGGCTTGAAATGTGCTAACGGGGAACATGGTGCAGCGGGATGATTTTTTTCTCTGCGCTTTATTACCTTCCGCAGTTCTTTCAGGTCGCGCTTGCTTACTCGCCCATCCGATCGGGTGTCTTCCTTTTGCCCGTCTTAGTCAGTCAGACAGTGGCAAGTTTTTGCGCTGTAAGCAAGTACAACCGTGTTATTACAGCGCCAGCCGCTGAAAGATGATCTCATGTAGGGTCAAATTATCAGCAAGACAGGCCGTTATAGGGTATGTAAAAGCTACCCAGGTACACGATGGATGAGCTTACGGGCGCATTTGTCAGACTGTTATACATATCGGGTTCTCTGTGTGGGCAATTGGATGTGGATGTGTCTCGACCATCAAGCCTTCTACACCCAAGGGCCTTACTGTGTTCTTCATGCTTATGACCGGCACAGGAGGCGGCCAGGTATTTCTTACTAGCTTTGACTGGCTGCATTGAATTGTGAACTCATACTCGCTGCCTTTTTAGACCTTGCAGACGACTACTGTTGCTGCCCAAGCCAGCGTGTCTCGCCGCGACATGTCTGTTGTCACTGCTGTCCGTAACGTGCGTACCACCGGGTTCAAGTATAGCTCTCAGTATTTAGCACATTTCCGCAGTTCGTAAGATTGCTAGGTGGAACGCTGGCTCTTGCTATCGGCTCGACTATCATGTGAGTAGTTTCGACTCACCATTGCGTCCCATATTGACGCTTTGCAGCAACAACTCCCTCCAGCATTCGATGACGGAACTCAATCTGCCCTCCTCGACAATCAAGAAGATCGTCGACGACCCAACGCTTCTCGGCGCACGGTTGACGGGTGCGATGAACAGCACGTCGAACCCGCTGAGCGCGATCGGTATCTCGCCCGACGCGGCAGATCACATCCTCAACGGCTACAACAACGGCTTCCGGGTGGTGTTCATCATGAATGCGGTGCTCGCGGCAATTGCTACGATCGTGAGCATCCTCATGATCCGTCACAAGGAGCTGACGCGCGGAGACGAGGTGCAGCTGAGGGCGCGTGCGAAAATGGAAGATAAGGCGCAGGGGAGCAATGAGAAGGATGATGCGCAGAACGATATCGAAATGGGTACGCCTTACGCGCGAGAGGAAAGTGACCACAAGCAGGGTTCTCCGTCGAGCCCTGTAGATGAAAAGTCATGATATGCATGACCACTCATGACCGGCATGATCTGAGTCCATACTTCTCCATTCTCTAGATCCGTAGATTCGATACTAGATAGATGCATGGTCGATCCGGTTGCGACTCGGAGGGAATGCGTATCGAATCGGCTTGAGTGCAGCTAGCTTCGTCACAGTCATCAGTCGCCAACTAGACGCAAGCTCTCGGCTCAGGCATGTCCGTTCACACGCACGATATATCGTTCAAATTTCGAGTCTGCAATACAGTGCTGCAACTTGACAGGAGCCATGTCGACGCCGCCGCCAGCAAGTCCACCACCCCCCTCCAGTTCACGCTTCGCAGTGTACAGACAAGCTCTGCAAGCAATCTCGGCGCGCACGGGCACAGCGCTTCCCTCGCTCGTCGTCTCCTTCGGCATCGTGCACGAATTCACCGCGCTAGTGCCCACCGTCGGTTTCTTCTTCGGCGCACGCGCCCTCGGGGTAGGTGAGCGCGTCGTACAGGCGGTCGCGGCGGAAACGGAAGGCGAGCCCGGCTGGGCAAAGCAGAAGGCACGCGTGTGGCTAGACGAGGGCGGGCAGTGGGCGCAGCGCGTCGGGCGGCGGTACGGCGTATTTGGTTACGAGAAGCGCGAACGAGGCAAGGATGGGGACGCTGCTGCGGGTGTGCAAGAGCCCAAGGAGACTGAGGTCGCGACAAGGCTTGCCGGGGACGCTGCGAATGCGATTCTCGCGTATGGGTTGACCAAGGTGCGTTCGTGACCACGTCAAGATCAGGGTGGTGCTAAACATGGGTGCACAGGCATTGCTGCCGGTTCGAATCGGGCTCTCGCTGTACCTGGCTCCGGCCTTTGCGAGGAGAGTTGTGGATCCCATACGCTTGAGTATCATGCGTCCATTCCGGAGGTCGTAGTGGTTGTTTCAGAGCTGTGTAGCTCAATGACGGATCTAAAATAATGATAAAAAGGCGAGACGGATGACATTCGTGACAGTATAAGTGCGAATGGCCTAGTTCACCCAGGGAGGATGGAGGAGTTCAACTCTATTCAAGCAACAATAATTCCCCGGCGCTGCTGCCAGCACGTGATACGTACTCATAGCCTGCCCTAAGGTGTTCTGTTCTATACCCGCGCTTCCCACGCCAGCGATTCTCCGGCTCTGTTTGCGACGACCACCGTCTGTACAGGTGCTGCTCAGCACGCCCTGTGTAGTGGAGGGCAGCTTACATCCCATGGGTTTCGAAGGTATATGCATCTACCCAACAGACACCTACAGATTGACTCATACCCTTCTCAGGCGCGATATCTTCGTAGGACCAAAATGGTCCGCCCGTTGCCTTGTGCGCAATATATGCAGCACGGGTCTTTTGAGTCACTGAATTTTTTCTTTGGCTGCGACATGGTAAGCTGCTGCTGGTCTATTTGTCATCTTGCAAACTAACCAAGCGTGTATGCTTAGGTCATGGTGTATTACATCATAGAAGGCCGTTGTCATGCAAATCAAATACCCAGGTCATCATTCATCCACGTTGAAGCTAGCAATCTCCGACTTGCGCTTGCACAATGTCTCATCACATTCCTCTGTGCACCACGCTCTACGCTGCATAGTGTCTCACCACGTTCAATTGCGCGTCCCGCCACTAGTGGTTTAGTTCGGCTCAGCGAACGCGCCGCTAGAAGCCTGTCTACCACAATTTACCACGATGGACCAGTCCTGGTTCGTACGACGGATCTCCAGTATATGTGGCGGCCGTCGGCTATGGCGGATAGAGGGTTTTTACGTTTAACCCCAAAGAGTAGGAGTGGGTGTGCCTTGGAAGGTTGTAGCAAGGTTGTAGCTAGGTCACTGTTTGTTATACTTCTTTGGCAGAGTCAATGCATGCCAACATGGATCTACTTCCCAGAATGATAGGTGTGAATATCGAGGCAGATGAGCAAGAGTGGCCATGAGATATCCGGGAATATGCACTGACTTCAAGCATTTACGCACGGGACAGTACTTTTAAGCTCAGTTACGTATGGTCACTGCCACTGGAACCATTCGAGATGTACGTTCATGACGATAGGTCCTGTACTCTGCGTGCTAATTCATCGTGTAGATTTCTGTCTAATGCGAGAAAGACGGGCCGCTCTGTTTCCGTTAGGTTCGACTAACGCTATCTGCGAAAGGCACATCTCTGTTTCGCTCGATGACTGCAGCTCAATTCTGCAAACGATTCGTACGAGTGTTTCGGGGCTCTGCATCTTCAGCTCGAGCTCGTCGCTGGGCCCGTAAAGTCGGATTGCAAGCAAGTCGGCAATCGCTGTGGGTGAATCAGATTCATTTGGGTGCCAAGCCGATGGTGAACCTAGATGACACCGCTATAAAGGTCGTGAGGTGGACTATCGAGGCGCAAGACGGGGCAAATGCGGTAGTGGCGGCATCCGGGGTAAGAGATTAAATTCTTCCTTTCCGGCCACCCGTCGACTGACAAGGGCAAACACTCTGCCAGACAAGCCGGGTCGACTGCTGACCCTCGGTTTACCGTTGCGATGCTATATCACTACTCATCGGCCCTGGGGAAGCCTATGAAGGAAGGGCAAATGACCGCTATGCAGGCACCAACACAGATACGCGGATGGAACACAGCAAGCATTCCAGGACCCATTCATATGTCTAACCTAATGGTGCCACCATCGCCACGCGTTTGCTGGTCGTACAGACCAATGAGCTCGGGGTTCAGGGATCACCGGAAGCCAGGGGGGGCGAGGTTGTCCATTTGCACGCGTACTTGCTGACCGTTGCGAAATAGGCGATCTACGTCCTCCTTACAGTAAAGGTTGCACTGCACATCGCTCTCTCAGCAGTGGTTGCCGACATGGGCGCCCGCTAGTCGGAAGTTCGACATTCAAGGCGTGTAAGCGACTTAACCTTAATTCTGCTGGCGGTCCTAACCTTAGGGTCATACACCGTGTTGGATATATAGGACGTGATGCTGGCGGCGTATCCTCACCACCCTCTCCTGCTGTCCGCGCTCCAGGATGTCTGATATCAACTATGCCCGATATGAAGGCATCGAGAAGCTCCCTGGCGCCATCATTATGGCCGCAGTATACCTGCCGCTGTTCATCTTGAACATCGTCCGAAGCATTCATCACCCCACTTATGTGCTTATCGTGTTGTCACTGTTCTACGTCAGTGAGTGTCCAGTCTGTTATGCTGCACGGTCGACTCTTGGGCTCACCACGCGACAGTCCGTACCACAGCGTTTACTCTGAGGGCGATCCTGGCTGGTAGCAACACAGCGGGCAACAACATCAACGTCTATATCGCGGAATCGGTCATATACTCTGTAGGCTTCTTTGGTCTGCTGTACTCCGCGTACACGCTCGTCCTCAATCGGTCAGTAAATGTCATATCAACGAAGCTTCGCGCACTGACCAGTCTACACAGTATGAACATGCTTCGTGTCCGCCCTAGCTACGATGGTCCGCTAGCAATTCTCATCCGCATCATCAGCAACAGACGCATTATCCGAATTGCATTGTTGGTGGCCGTTGCACTGGGGATAGCTGCGGGAGTGAGCTCATCTGCTTTTTCCTTTGACACAGAACCCGATTAACTATCCAGTCCACGACCGGCTCCGACAAGCAGTCAACGCCCAATACCTCTGTCTCTCTCCGCAAAGCAAGTGTCTACATTTTCCTTGTGATAACTGCTTGTTTTGTGCTCGTCGCCGGTTTTCTCGCACTTGACGAGATAATGGGTACGTGCACATCAGCACGATCATTTCGCCCTGCTGATCAGTCTCCAGATGGGTCGACAAACTATGACGCGCCCGTTGGTCGCAAGTATCGCATCTTCGTGCTTCTCGCTATCGCATTCCTGTGTCTCACACGCGAGGCGTTTTATGCTGCTACGGTCAACACCCCGTCAAAGGTACGTGCGCACAGGCTGCTCTCCAGACTCACCGCGTATTATAACTGTAACAAGACAACACACACTTGTGATACCCACTTTCTACACTCATGGAGCTACTTGCAGTACTGTCGTTCGCTGTCTCGAGACTCGTCCCTTCCAGAAAGGAGATCGCAGAGGCGACGAAGGAGAAGACGCTTGCAACGCCGAGCTCGCAGAACGAGATGCGTCGCTTCAACGTTTAGTCGTTCGGGTGCGTCTCCACACTGCCATATACTTCCTTCTATAGTAAAGCCAGCAGGATGGTGGTGTTGAGTTCGCAATATATGAGCACTACGATGCCATGAATATTCACTTTATTTGCAGTGTTCTTGGATATTCCGTCATTTATGCCACTCAGATTTGCAGACCCAACGGCGTCCCTATGCGGAGGTCGGGAGCTGTGTACACGGGCCAGTATCTTGCTGTGCTAGATTTGCCGTCTGTGCATGTTCACCGGAAAGTCTTCGGACTGCACTATAACGATAACGGCCGCTTAAGCGCTCTGATGCATCTTCGCTACGGCGGCCGATGTGAAGGCATGATGACCGCGCCCCATAGACTTGCGGGGCCCTGCCGTCGAGTAACTCACAGCCACTGTGTACGTTTATAGGTGTATTTTCTTCGGAAACTGCGGACGAGCCTTCCTCCACCTGCCTCGCCACCGCCTCGCAAGTGCGATCCAAATTTTCGAGGATAATCGGGAAGAATAAAAGGGCCCCGACTGGAGAGACGGTGAAGTTCAACAGATTTTGCACTCTTTTTCATCCATTCTTTTCCCTCATGTCCAGCTCGACCGTCAACTACGCCCGCCTGGAGGGCATTCAGCATGGCGAACTTCCGGCCGACATCGTCTTCACCGTCCTCTATGCTCCCTGCCTTGTCATTTTCATTGTCCTCAGCTTTATTCGTCCGACATTTGTATGGAGATTTCTTGCGATATTCAGCGTCAGTGAGTACATGCTGTCTGCAGCTGAGGAAGGGGGCAATATGGGGCTAACACAAAACAATCTGCCAGTCCGACTCGCGGCCTTTACCATCCGCTCCATTCTCGCAGGCAGTTCAACTGCAGGGACAAACAGAGGTCTTTACATCGCTGAACAGGTGATCTACAGCATCGGTTTCTTCGGCTTGCTATATTCTTCCTACATCCTCGTCCTGGACCGGTACGCCGCCCTGCCCAAAGCTCCAGCGCTACGAGTCCTGATAGATACACCTATCTAGCGACATCATGGTTAACGGTTCGAACGCGAAGCAGACCGCTCTGCCCGGTCCTCTAGGCTTTATAACCAGGCTAGCGAGGAACCGCACGCTCGTGCGGCTTGCGCTGCTCGCCGCAGTCGGTCTGGGCGTCGTCGCTGGCGTATGTAGCAGTTTTCATGGGCTTGAAATTTCCCCCTCACACTGGTATCGCGCCGCAGATAAAGCAAGGCAGTGATTCCAGCTCGAGCCAGTCGACCGGCAACGACCTGCGCAAAGTTAGCATCATCATCTTCGTCGTCGTCGCTTGCGTACTCCTGCTAGTCACTCTGATCCTCACCTACAATGAGCACAAAGGTGCGCACAGCGTCTCTTCGTCTTCACCATGACTCACAGTTCTCGCACAGCCGGCATGCTGTACGAGGTAGCCCCAACTATCGGCAAGCGCTATGGCACCGTTATCCTCCTTGTCATAGCCACGTTCTGCATGGTGCGTGAGGCATTCCTGTGTGCGACGTTGGGCAACACGGAGAAGGTAAGCTTCAGCTTAGCGCGTCTACAAAGGCGAACGTTCATCGCGTCCTATAGCAAAACCAGCCCTCGCTGTTTTATCCGCTCGCAGCTTCCCCCGAGCTCGTTGCCGCCTTGCTCTTCCTGATTCAGGGCCTCGTACCATCGAAGTACGAACTCGAGGCGCGCCGCGAAGAGGCCCAACGGCCACGAGGGGATGGGTATGCGATGAGCAATGTTTCGCCACAGACGTACGGCAGTGACCCACGCTTCGCTTCGCGTGTTTGAGAGGGTAGGTATGGGGTGGCTTGCCGTTCATATACCCAGGCTTGAACTGTCGCCTTATCTATCGCATCCATTTAATCTTACACCTGGTCTTTAGGCGATAGAACCTTTCAATGGACTACTCATCGATAGTTAACTTAGACGTCCGTGCCTATTCCTCATTATTGGATCTTTCAATATAGCCAAGACTATCCGACGGGCGGTGAGAAGCTGGCAGTACAGCCCACAGTGCGTAGAGTGAGCAAAAACTCAAAGCTAAACTACTAAACTCAAACATCTGCATTCCTCCATACTGGGTCTACCCACTCGAGCCCAAAGAGATCGAAGACCTCCTTCTCCGTCTTTGGATAGAATGGCTTGGAGTCGTATCTTCGTGTACTGGAACCGTGATATCAGCGACGGTCCATCGGCAACTATCGGCGAAACTCACATTCCAGAGCTGTCAAACTTCATGCCCCTACAGGAATACCACAATCAGCGTACGGGCCAACGAATCGAAAGTCAGGGCTCCCACTTCTTGTCTTTCGCCCATTGCCTGATATCTCGCTGGAACATAATCGAGCCGCTCCTACACGGACATTAGCTGAAAAGTGACTTGGTCAGGATGCATACACCTACCATCCAATGACCGCACACCAGTACACCTCTGGCTGCGCAAAGATAAGGTCCATCCGCCGTCGCGTACCTTTGTAGAATGGTGAAGATGGAGGCAGGATGAACACGGTGAGCGCTTTCTCGAGCGAGTCCCAATGCGTTGTTCGGAGCGGATTATGTCCGTGGAAACCTGAGAGGTGCATAACATGCGTGACCATACCTGAAATCTCCTCATATCAGAAAATGCTCCAAGGGCATCGGATATGCGTACCCTTTTTGTGTAGATGGTGGACGAAGCGCTTACAGAGCCCTTTGGATTTGGTTGGATCAGGGTGCGTGAAGACAATGTCGACGTCGTTGCTTTGTGGCTTGCCTCGTCGATAGCTGTAATATCCACTATCAGACGGCTATATACCGCATGCAAGCCAAAGCACTCGCCCTCCGACAATGGTCGAAACGCATCCGTGTTCGACGATATTCAGCTCATCCATGACGACCCGACCCATCTCCTCAACTTCCGCTCTCGGGATCCTGAACAAGAACGTCAGTAACTGAGTGGGTGCTTGGGACAAGAGACACATACATCAGCTCGAAATCATTCCTGAGACCCAGCGCAATCTTGATCCATGTCTCCCCTAGGCCCGATTCACTCGCTCTACCGAACCTCTCATGGTGTTCGAGCTCGACGAGCTGACTCTCCTCTTCTTCTGGTTCTACGCCAAAGTACACTTCCAGGTCGTCTACCGTGCGGAGTCCCAGCGCATATAGCCGGCGTGCGGTTGAGGGGCCGATTCCATAGATCGATGAGAACAGGCTCAAAGCTTTGAAGCGTTCAGAGTTTGCGATTGTGCCTAAGAGACCGTATGAGGATATGCGAGACGGCTGAAGTAGATAATAACTGACGGGCTTCCGAGATTTGGCCTCTATCTAGAAACTCTTGTATCTAAATCCTTAGTCAGAATAGTCTTGCGGCAAGGTAAACAATACTGACTAGACCTGTGAGCTTCGTACCAACGTGTGAAAGCTCTTCAACTTGGCGGATGGAGGTTATTCGCCGTGGGTAGGCTTCGAAAAAACGTCAGGTTCGTCAATAGCTTACGGAGGCGCATATAACTACCTTTGATGGCGCTGATAGCTCGTGAGTAGCTCAGGGCACTGCGTTCCTCGCCCTCCAGAGCCCGGCTCCGTTTTATTATATCCAACTCGACAGCCAATGCCTGGTTAAGACAGATCAAAGGCGAGGCTCGCTGACAAGCATATTTCGAAGCGTAGCGAAGTTTCGACAACTCGGTAGGTATCGGGGGTGCAAGCGGAAGCAAATGGGAAGGAATGGGACGCGCAAGAGTGGATGGACCAGCCACTGCGAGTTTCGACTTGGGCGCTGGGCTGCTTGGCGGAGAGTTCAACTTCGCTTTTGGGCGTAGCTCGCTATCTGCGCTTGATAGGAGGGGAGTCTTTGGGGGCGAATCAGAAGACGTGGGAGGCGAAGGGTAGCTCGTTTCGGGGCCTGGCGCCTGTTCATCGACATCAGTGTCCTCGCATTCGCAAGGCCGCACATTGCAAACGGGACAGTTATTGATAGTCTCTTCTCGCAAGTCTTGCAAAGCAACGTATGGTGTGCATTCAAGAGCCTCCCCTTCGGCGACCGAGTCGCGTAACCACGCAGGTGTCACCACGGCTTTGCTTCTCTGAGGTGGCGTCAACAATACTTGTCTGAACTGGAGGGGAAGAACGTACGGCTACATCCCACTAGATGTGTCTCTCCAGCCTTCTACGCATTGTAATGGAGGTAATGATCACGTCCGCGTCTTCCGCGTAGTCGCATAGACGTTCGCAGTGTCGCTCGGCAAGCATGAACAGCTCTGCAATAGTTGGTCCATCCATCTTTGCTTGCACAATGTAGGCCTTGACACTCGGAAAGATTTTTGCCGAGCGACGGACTTTTGACCTCTTCGAAGGGACATTCACGTCTGGTGATGTCTCAGGGGGTTTTGACCTCCCAGACGAGTAACCAGACGACTCATGGTATGCCGCGGCTGGCCTCTTGAACGGCATACTCTATTCACGACTGAAGGTAAAAGTATGGTTGTTAACGAGATCCTGAAGCTGCTTCAAGGATTTCAGTTTGCGGCCCATGATGGCGGACGACAGACGTCATATGCAGGTAAGCGCCCTTTCCTCAAAATAGCAGTAGTACCGCCGTCGCTGGTCGGGTCGGTGCAATATTCAAAGTTACAGCAACCCGACTCACGATATCTGTTCTAACGAAAGGCATTCCGGAATGAATAGTTTCTGAATCTCGTACCAATTAAATGTTCATTTGACGCCACATCGCTGTACCGTCTAAGTTGACTAGAAGGGCAGAGCCTTCATGCGCATTGACAATGATGTCCTATTCTTCCAGTGACTAACGACTAATTGACTCAAATATCAAGACATAGTAAGTTTTTTAAGCAGGCTTAATGAGACGAGCCCAGGCAATTTAGCTTGCAATAATTTCCATATGTGGATAGCTACGGATCTATTGATGCGCCGGTACTTGTGCGTCTCCGACTGCATTACTCACCCGCTCTCCCTCACTGGTTCACATTTCCCACACCTCCCGCAGTCTTTACTACCACCATGAACGCGCGATTATCCGCTCCAGCTCTCCTACGACGCTTCTACTACACGTTAAATGGCGCTCGAGCCTCGACATCGTCTATAGCACGACGTGTAGCACGCCCTTCCGGCTCGCATCGGGTTCAGAGGCCATCAATGCAGACGCATCGTAGTTTCTCGTCTAGCCATTCCCGGTTTGCTTCATTGTCATCGCATCCGCCTGGGCAAGAGACCGAGCTCGTACATGCACCTACTCTGGAATCTCTGCAGTCGCTGGAGCCAGAAGACTCGGATGGCCCGGACATTGACCTGATACCATCGGAGGAGGCGAAGCTTGAGTTGACTGAGAGGGCAGCACAAGTGCGTGCATTGCACACGTATTATCTGCTTTTCTGCTAACTTGTCGCCTCGGGGGTACAGCAACTACGCACACTCGCCCAGCGGCGGAACAACCCGAACGCCGGCTTGCGAATAGCAGTAGAGAGCGGAGGATGCCACGGCTACCAGTACAAGCTTGAGCTTGCGACAGAGCGGAAGCCAGATGATTAGTGAGTTATCTTGTGAACGAACTCGGGTTCTGTACCGACTTCCCCTCGTCCACCACCAGTCACTTCTCGCATCCGACCATAAAGCCTTCGAGTGTCATCGTGGACGCCGTGTCGATGTCTCTTCTGAAGGGCTCTGTAATCGACTTTGCTACAGAGCTAATCGGCAGCAGTTTCAAGGTAGCGGAGAACCCGCAGGTGAGTCCATCCCAATACTCGAAGCAAACATGCGATAGACTGTTTTCCCTCAGGCTAAGGGTAGTGGATGCGGCTGTGGCGTCAGCTGGGAACTGAAGATATGACAGGCCATCCCGCACCTCGTCCGTCGGGAAAGTACCGAGTTGATGTACATTATAATCCATATACCATCACCACTCGTCTGCCATGCTCATCGACTCTAGAAATCTATTCGACTTTTTGAAGCACAGGTGCGGCATACCGGATCTAGAGCTCCGTTCAGTAGTATGTTCCTGTTGATCTTGGCTATCTGTGCTCCTTATTCGCTTTCGGCGGTGCCTGGTGGGCAAGGTTTGGATGGCTTGTACTTCTAATCCCGACTGCGAGCCCCTCTTCGGCTGCCCAGCCTTGCGGCTTGCTCCCGTCGAGATCGCCATGACTTCATGTGGCTGACCACTATTACAGGCGGCGGCGTAGCTCATCGGTTTCACACAACCCCCCACTGTTGACTTGTCTACCATGGATAGACGCGTGCCGAATGCACCGCCGCTGTTTCTCTTCGTCGTCTACCAGATCCTAGGACATCTCATATTCGCGCTTGCAATCTTGCCAACCTTGCTCTTCCGCCTCGTGCTCCACGTCTCGCCCCGGACAAGACCCTATCCAACATGGTCCTTGCGCCGGGATCTCGTCATTGCAACCGGCCGACTATATCTGCTGTGCACCACATACACATCCCTGCCTCGGCTCCCAGGAAATAAGGCATGGCAGTCCGATCCGATAGCACACAAGGCGACCGGGCACGGGACAAAGGTCAAGCTCGTCGAAGTGCCGCCCGCGACGAAGGAGTGGATCGTCGGTATCGCCAGCGACAGTGAGGAGGTGGTCAACCCGGTGCCTGTGCCTTGCTTCTGGACGTTCTGTCCTCGGGAAGACCTGAAGGTAGGTGACGAAAGTGCACTAGATGGCGAACGCGTCATCTTGTATATTGCGGGCGGGTAAGCACTCAACAGCTATGATTTTTGTACCCTGCTCACGAAAACTTATGATAAGCTCCTGGGTAATGGGCCACCCTCAGAGCACGATGTTCCCCTATAAGTTTGCAAAGGAATCGGGGCGGCGCGTCTTTGGTGCGTCGATTACATGTCAGAACGATACTTTCCCTTATGACGACTTAGCTGTCAATCATCGGAAGGCCTTGTCACCCGAAACCGCCTTCCCTGCGCAGCTGCAAGATCTTACGGCAGCGTATGCATACCTTCGCTCGCGTGGGTTCGTGCCCGAGAACATCATTATGATTGGAGACAGCTCCGGCGGACATCTCGTCCTCGCGCTTTCACGTTATTTATCGGAGCTGAGCACCGAACGTCCAACGCTGGATGTCGGCATGCCAGGGGCGCTGCTCCTGGTCTCGGTGCGTTACCAACTCGGACCCGTGCGGGCTCGTACCCAATTACCAACATAAATTGCTAACCGGTTTGCTCAGCCCAGCTGCGACCTGGGGCACGCGCCACACCCGCTGTCGTCGACGGATTATCTCGTTCCGTATCTGAACAACCGCGCGTACCCGTCGCTGTCCCGACACTACCCGCCGGGCGCGCGCGGTGCGAACCCCTACTTCAGTCCGGCCGTGTGCGGGACGTTCCGGTACCTGGCCGCAGCACAGGCGGCACAGCGGCTCGTGGTCTGGATCCAGTATGGCTCCGTCGAAAACCTGGAGAAGGACATTGCAAGGCTGGTGCAGCGGATGCGCGAAGACGGCGTGGTGGCGGACGTGGATCTGATCGAGGGAGGGGTGCATCTGGACGCAGGGATCGCATATGCGCTGCGCGAGCGCGGCGAGAACAGCAGCTGGGTGCGCCTGATTGAGGCTGTGAAGCGGTATGCATGAGATAACGAGCTTCGCGGGTGCTCTCGGCCTCTGGCCTTGCGAGGATCCCTGCATTCGTCCTCTGGTTTTACTTTGGGCTACAGTACAGTAATACACGTTTTCTGTCACTCGTGGGTAAGCATTCAGACGGCCCAGAGCGAAGGTGATATTGGACGAGCGGGTCGAGTCGAACAACCTGGCGGCGGTACTCCGGTCAGCTCACCTGGGTCTCTCGCGGCGGCTGACTTCCATTGCAAAGAAGCATGCCGCGCACCCTACTGCCTAATCTGGTTGTCTCTACAAAGGCCTTGGTTGCTCGCGCTCTCGACTGATGACGATGATGCAATATTTCATAGCCGAGCTGAAGGTATTTTGGACAATTTTGCCAGCTTGTCCAGTTCCAAAGATTGGACTTGACAACGGTCCGCCACAGCAGTTCCAGAGGTCCGCATCCCCTAAATGAGCTGTGCGTCTTCCTCGGGTGCTTCGAGGCGGCCCTGAGGATCCGCCATCGAGATGTGTACTGCAGTGCAGACTTGGAAAGCACGCACACCGTGCCCTCGGCTCGTACCCTCGCACAAGCCCTGCCGAACCTTGCTCGACGGAGAGCCGGAGTACCACTGCTGCGGATCAGATGAGAGCACCGGCTGGGGTGTTTGCTCCGAATGGGCAGCTGCTTGGCAATAGATATCGATCTGGCTCGTGCTCTCAGCGAATGTGCGAGAAGGGCAGGCGTACGCAGGGCCATGCCAGAGATCCCGCACGAACGTTGGGCCTTGCGGCAATCAACGGTCGGCACGTCAGAGCATATCACCGTGTATGCAATATGCATGGCATTAGAAGTGACGGGAACGTGGGGAACCAGAACCCGAAGTACAGCAAAACCAACGAAACCCAGACTTCACCATGGCAAAGGCCGAGTGCTCAAGTGGCGCCGTTGTGATATTCGATGGTCCGTCCGTGCACTTTCATGCACTTGCTCTAGGCCCTCTAAGTGCTTACACACAAGCTTTGAGGCGTGTGAGCCGATAAATCCCTGACGGAAACTGGCAGCAACCATGGATGTCAAGGTCGTCATTTCGTCATTTCATTTAGAGAACAGTGGGACATGTCTCCGTACCTCTGGGCCAATTGCACAAGGCGTCTCGGGATTGCAACGCAGGACGGTTTTTAATTGCCCCACGCCGCGGAGCGGGCCATAGCATACACGGTCTAAGCGAAATCCATTAACTTTCCTGCAAGAAGCTTGCGGGGCCCGCAAGTCGGGCGCCTGCGCGCCTTGAAGGTAGCGATATGGCGCGCGCCATCGAGCACAAACGCGCACCTTGGTCCTACTTTCATGCATGTCGATGAGCCAGGACAGCTCGTATCGCGCTTGGTCTTGCCGGATCTGGGAGGTGACGCGGGGTACCCGCTTGTTCCTAAGCGGGAAGGTAGAGGCACCGGCTTAGTGGCCGCATTGCAAGGATTACAAGTACCGTACCATTGAGACCCTGGCTGAAGGGAGAACAGGCACGCGTGATATTTGCATTGATTAAAAGCAGCGGAAGGGGGCGGGACGGTGCCGAGACTAGCAGCCCCTACATGGTTTGGGGCAATCAGCGCAAACGCGGGGCCCTGAGGGTGGTTCGGCTTCTCCTTGCTTCTGTCGAGACCCTTCCGTAGGGGCCAATAGCCGCGGCAGAGCGCGATCGTGCTCGGTGTGGGCACCGATATCTGGGGTTCGACGTTGATCAACTGCGGCGGTGGACGATCGTGAATTTGACGGCCTGTGCAGGTTGTTTGGTCGACTCGAGTTTGTTTATTTGCTTGGAAATTCGTGCAGCCAAGAGAGAGGGTAAGGCCAAAGAGTACCAAATACTCCGTGGGGACGCAGGTGGCCAATAAGTTTTTATCCGCAGGCGTCCTCGGGCAGTCATCGGTGCGTCGCGCTATGTACGGCTCGCTGTGCTCAGGCTCGGGGGTCATGGGCACGCTGCGCGGCAGACTCAACCGACTTCGACGCATCTAAGCGGCGGCTCGTGTTCGACTAGATAACGGTAGGGTGTGATTGTTGGCGGAAAAAATATAGGTCGATGTGCGACATGGGCCAGGGACGGGCGATACCTGCTATAATTGCGTTAGCGCCGATGATACCTCTCCCTGCTGCTGAGACGAGTGGTTGTGGATTGTTGACCTTTGAGCTGTAAATAACAAGCTCTGGGAGACTGAGGTGAACAGCTTCTCAATGTCAGATGTACGAGGCCTGGGAGCTGTGCTCCCTGTGCAGCGCAGAAAATCAAGATGCGGATGATGGAACAGCGTCCATCAAAAGTATCGGGATCTCAACCAAATCTCACCCTCACCCCTCATCCTCGTTTAAAAAGTCCGCTTAACCTTGAACTCTTCCTTCGAACAACCCACCCTCCGAGTCTCCGTTCCTACCCGCCCGCCCCCCTCGACGACTTCAAGACGCTGTATCCGACACGACTTCCTCACTAATACTTACCCAACTCGACCATAATCATGAACGTTATAACACCACTCAATATGTCGCACCTCATTCATAGCGACGCACCCTTGTCGCCCTTCTCGGACTGGGACCACGCGCACCAATACTCGCCCACCAGTCTCGAGTTCCCGCCCTCGCTGCACTTCAACTACGCTTCCCTCCCGTCGCCTTCTCGCTCCGTCGGCTCGACCAGCTCTGGCTCGCCTCTCTCCGTATCACGGGTCCTCCGCGGCCGCATGAGCCCTGACGACCTCGACAATGAGCAGCTCTGCCTGCCCACATCTCAGGTCTTTGACATGAGCTATGCGCCGTCTCCAGACGCCTACTCCTCGTCGCCAGCAAGCGTACAAGAAGCGTTGCCGCCAGTGCAGGCGCCCGCCGCGTCGAGTATGGTCCCATGCAAACGGTCTTCGAGCGTTGCCTCTTCGGTATCCAAGAAGCCTCGTTCGACGATGAGCACCAAGGACTTTGTTCCTCCAGACGTTACGGGCTTGAGCAAGCGCGAGGCGCGTCTGGTCAAGAACCGCGCTGCGGCATTCTTGAGCCGGCAACGGAAGCGGGAGGAGTTCGAGAGCATGGAGCAGTGAGTGTCTCTTTATTATTCGTGCACGATTCCCTCGAAAGCACGGCAACATGCTCGTTGTGCCCGACGCTGCGCTCGCTGCCTCGCGGTAAGCGCTTGGCGCTCAGACCTGTCGGTGTTTCCCGGGATGGGCATCATGGCCCGCGGGCGAGACGACGAGCAGAAACGGCGTGTGCGGAACTCTTTGATGGACGCGTGCATGTTTCATTGCCACACGCCGTCACGCGTGTGCTCCCTTACATCTCCCCGTCATTTTATGCCTTGATGATTCTGATCGACTGTTCTTTAGTCGCGTCACGGAGCTCGAGCAGGAGAACGCTCGGTTACTTGCGCTCGCGCAGAACAACGTAAAGCAAGAATCACCGCAAGAGCTGGTGTCGGAGGTGGAGCAACTGCGGGCACAACTTGCCGCGGCACAGAAGCGCGAGCAGGAGCTCAGTGAGGCTCTCTCGCAAAATGGCGAGTTGCCGGCAAAGATCAAAGCGGAAGCTATCGAATCTCAACTATCACTCTCGTCTTTACGGGGTCCGTCGCAGATGCTCAACAAGAGCAGTGCTAGCCTCGGTCTCATGGTTAGTTCCGCTGCCTCGTGCTTCTCAGATGCTAGCCGGTCGCTAATTATTATCCGCAGGTTTTACTCTGCGCGCTTCCATCTCTGCTTTCCCTTCCAACACATTCTGCCATTCCCGCAACGTTCTCGCTTCCGCTTTCGAATGCGAACTCTATCCAAGCCGCCTCGTCCGCGTTCGATATGAACTCTCTCGTCACCGGAGACTTTGACTGGCTCGGGTCGGCCAGCGTGATGGATCTCGACATCGATAGCCACGGCCGCATTACCCCCGGCAGCTTCAGCGCGCCGGGCAGCAGCAGTGGGCTGAAGAAGCTCGAGTTTGTCGACGTCGACACCGAAGCCCTCGGCCTCAGCGGCCTCGACATCTCCTTCGACGCGACGCCCTCGCACGACGGCAAGATCCGGGTGCGCATCCACCCACCCTCAGCCGACCTGCAACAGCAACACATCGAGGATGACCAGTCGATGTGGGGCGGAAGCGAGAAGAGCGACGACCCGTTCCTGGGCGTCGGCAGCGAGTTCGGTGTCCCCATGGATGCCGTTAACGTGCCCCAGAGCGCATCTACCTTCGACTTCGACTACGGCGTGCCTCAGCAGCAGCAGCAACAGCAGCTCCGCCGTGTGCGCATTGCACTCAGGACTGTGCCAGGCGAGGGTCGCGAGGGCGGCGAGTGGGAGGTCCAGCTGTGCTGATCGCCCTTTCTTCTCTTCTTGGATTGAAATGGAACCACTGGGTGTTTCAAAGGATTTCTTTTTCGCCTTTTCCTGCCATTTGCTATCTCTCCTCGTTCTCCATTACAGCCCTATTGCGCGTCGCATGCCACGGCCATTGCCCCTGGCGGCGCTCGCGTCGGTCCTTACACCATCGAATCAACACCACCAATAAACGACCTGTCATCATTAAACTGGAGTACACCCGTATACTTGTATTTTCGCATCTTTGCTAATTATCTCGGATGTCCCATACCTCTTGCACATCCTGCCGGTTATGCATTTCCGTTATCTCCCATGCCTTCTCGCATACATCTCCTTTGGGCTTTGGTTTGGTTTGGCAAAAGTAATGTAGACGCCATGTCGTCGGATGACTTGTTTGTAACTGATACAGCAGGTCCTCAGCATATGAACTAGGTACTAGATATAGCCAATAGGAGATATATATCTTCTCTTGTAACTCTTACACCTGGATGAGTGAGGCTGGCAATTGTCCCTCCAACAAGCGGAGCACATATTCCATGGGAACAGAAGGGAGCGGGAGCCTAGGTGCCCGTGGTAGAATAAGGAGCTTCTCCTTGTCACACCGGCATGTACCAGAGGTAGCATAGGATAGCGGCCGTAAGTACAGGTCCAGGCGCACCATGTTCCCGGCATACTAGATGTCCTCGATGGATTTTCGCAGCGCTTCAAAGCTTTCAGCCTCAGGCTGATAGACTCCCATGGACCCAATAATCTTCCGCTCCGAGGACTGGTATGTCTCTGGCGAACTCAGCGGGCCGCCGAGTCCCATTCAAGCAGTAGTCACCGCGCGGCGGGCGGCGCACGTATGACATCCCGCGCACTGATGCGCCTTGCGTACTCAAGATGTTTTGGCTGGACGGCCGCCCTGCAGTTGGGCGCATCTGGTCGGTATAGCCAAGTGTGTGGGACAAAGAACGTCCGAGGGTCTTTTCTTCGGCCATCGTGCTTTGCGGCCCAACGACTGAGCGCAGCTCTACTTACAGCTGCAGCCTCGGCGTTACTACTAGACAGAATATACCGGACTGCCGGGTGCAAGAGCAATCCGAGTGCAGGATGGCCGCTTCCAGACGCAACATCATGCGCATCAGCCCTCGGGGATACTTCCACGAGCAGATGCCGGATTTGATAAGCTTTGGGTGTACTTATCGTACAAGCAATTCGTAACAATGTCTGTGCTCGGTATTGTGTTTGCGAGGCCATATGAAACAACATAAGCGATATGCCTACAGATTTATTTACTGAGGAGCAAGAGGAGGAAGAGGTTGCGACAAAAGCCAGGGCAGAATGACGAGCTTCTCTTTGTCCCACTGTTGCATGCGACGTAAGCATGGCGGACGGCACCACTCCACAGTGTGGCACTCACGACGTTGGACTTGTAGTAGATGTCCTCTTCGACAACCTTCCTGACCGCCTCGAGGCTCTCAGCCTCGAAGACCATCAACGAACCGATGAGCTTCTTCTCTCCCGACTGGTAGGTCGTGGGATCGACGAGCCCGCCGCCGATTCCTGTGAAGACCATACGTGAGCCGAACGCGACAGGAGATCGCTCGCACGCACTCATGACGCCCTGCTCTTTCAGCGCGTTCGCGTTCGCGAGGTGCGTCGGCCTGACTGCCATGCGCCTGTCGAACGCCTCAGGGTCCATGTAGTCGAGTGCATAGAGGATAAACGGCTGCTTTGCGGCAGCCATGTTAGCGAGCGAGCGAGTGCAGGGTAGGGCGTGCGCGCGAGACACAAGGTACGCTGGGCGGGCGTGCAAGCGGAGGCCTCGAAGCATGCAGATTAAGTAGCTTTCTGGGAGCGTGTGCGACGACGCGCGAGAGTGGTGCAAGCACCTGTCTCGGGGACATACCGGGAGCGTGAGAAGGGATCCCGACGCGAGACAGAAGGGGGAGGGCGCATCAAAGCGTCTTTAGCCCCAAATTTTCGCTTTGATATACGTTGTTTCAATATAGGACTGAATCATACACTTGGGAAGTCTGCCAGCAGCATGTCGTAGCTCATGCAGAGCCGCAAAAGGCATCATTACAGATATGTCACTTCACTACGATATTGTAGAACGCCAGCGAGGATAGCTGCGAAGCTTTCTACGTGAGAGGTCATGCAAATATAATTGAAATACCTTCGCAGCAATATTCAGGGACAATACAAAAACATAAGTACTGTGCGTCATCGTCCACGTTCATGAGCCTGGACTACGAAAGTAGTTTGCGTTGTGACTCACACAGCTCCAGAGCGCCACAAAGCAAGCGGCTAGACCAAGCACAGCGGAATAACTTGAAAGGCAGCGAGCTCCCCGGGGAACGGCAGGCTATCGTGAACGGCTTGCCGCATATGAACTCCGGTCCCCTGCCGCACGGCTTGTTCAGCGAAGACGAGTGGCTGTACTCCATTCCTAACGCGAGAAGGCGGGACTAATCTTGCATTCAGCAGCGAAATATAGGGAGAATGCAGGCAGCAGCCAAACCGCGAGCAAGGATCCAGAGTAATTTGAGGGAGTCATTAGATGTACATAGCTTCATCGAACGTCCGTAACTTCCCTGAATCGAGCAGCCACCACGTAGTCACAGTCTAAAACGGTATCCGGGGGAAGACTGGTACATTTGCGCATCATCACTTATATGCGCTCTGGAATGGAGTGTGAGTCACATCGCGGGTGACCCTGGTGAGCGCGTGGGAGCTCGTTATGACTGCAGCTTGGGCGTGCTCGGCCCCTCCTCCTTCCCCTTGCCCTTGGCACGTTCTTTTTCTGCCGCGACGGCGCCGCTAGCTGCCGACGCGTCGGGGCCATCACCGACATACAGCCCGTTTTGTTCGATATAGTCGACGACTTGGGATGGAAGGAGATAGCGCACGGACAGACCGCGTCGCAGGAAGAGGCGGACCTTGGTCGAGGAAACGTCGTTTTGAATGAGCTGGTGGACGAGGTGGATGTTGTGCCGCCATCGGGCAAGGCTGTCGATTGCCTGGTCGAGGTCGGATCCCGCTCGCTCGACGATAAATGTGCCATAGCGCCCAAGAATGTGGTCGAGCTGCCGTGCGGGAATGCATGCGGAAAAGCATAGAAGGAAGCGAATTAGGTGAGACACAAGACACACGACATAGTCATGAGATCGAATGAAACAGACGCGCATCTCGAGGGATGGTACGCACATCCGCTTCTGACCAGACCCCGGGCTGGCTCATCGTCGCGATGAGGTCCGAGCCCGCGAGCAGCAGTATCCGCACGTTCCTCTGTTCGCCGTCCTGGGTGTAGACACCGCCGAGTTTGGTATTGATCTCGTGGTCAAAGTGGTCGAGCACGACCGCCGTACGTTGGTACGACTGGAAGGCTTCCCACGGGTCTACCATCAGCCACGACGAGGTCTGTTCAGCAGCCAAGTTGCACATATGGACTCTGCCATGGCTGTGAGGAACGTGAGTCACGTCGGGTAGCGCGGCGCTTACCGGTGGTGCGCGGCGAGAAGGCCGGGCTTGTTATACTGGTCGCTGACCGGACTGAGGTAACCCCCAATGATCTCAAAATCGGTGTTCTGGCGAACGTAGTCCTTGGCCATCTCGAACATACGGAGATGCAAGTACGTAATTGGGCTGAAGGAGCCGCACGCGACGAGGACTATAGGCTGCTTCTCGGAGTTACGGAGCGTCCGTTGGAGACGATGAGTAGGAAGTGAGTAGCTTGGCGGGTCAGTAAAAGACGACCGTGGCTGATAAGAGCCCATGGCGAGTAACCAGTATAGAGATGGGACGAGAACGATGAGAGGACTTGGAGCAGGGAAGATGAAGGAGGTGTGCAGGATTAGAACTTACAATTCCGGGCCCGGTCAGCTGAGGATATTTTTTCCCACGCTTATTGCTGACTAGGCATGCGAGAATGGCGAAATCGGGTATAATACGTACGGAATATCTCCTGCAAATAACTTTACATGTCGAGCTGCTGCTGTGCGCGTCGATACGATGTGTGGAAGAAGAGGGGAGATATAGCGAGCGCGACGGATGGGTCGTGTCACTGGAAGCAGCGTCACCGCGTGATATTTCTTGCCCGGAGAAACTGTCTTGCATCCCCATCGCTCTAAAAACAATATAACAGCTACTCGTTGGTGTGCGTTGCGACCGCCCCTCCCTCCATTGACGATGTCGAATAGACGTAATATATTCTCTCCGACCGGGATTTACTGTGGGTGTAGTATTTTCGGCAACCAATATTAATGCAGTGAACAATTTATTAAGCAGCATCTTATATCATCTTATCGGTCCCAAGACGGACAGATAAGATAACTTGAGCCATGATCTAATCGCGGAAATTTTGGCCAATAACCAACCAGCACGGAGCGCGCGGCCCTGGAGCATGTGCAGGACCATGTGCAAGGGCCTCAGCGACGAGCCGTATCGTGTGGCGGACGGGCTCAGAGAAAACCACGGGGGACACAGCCTGGCGGCCTCGTTGCTCGTTCCGCTCTGGTTCGAGGCATGACGAATGCTGTGGCTCGTGTGATTCGCAGGGCCAGAGCACGTTCGAGGAGAGTTCAAGGAGCTGCAAAGGCCATGTCTGGTATCGCGGCCAAGACGTTCCGGATTATTCCTCCGAACTCTCCGGTCGTATTTTGAAAGGGCAGCGCGGCATATATAGGTCCATATGGCACTCAGCACTGCTGCAACACCCCTCCCCGACATCTCCCTGCCCACCCACCACTAGCCATCCATCCTCAATGGAGTCGGAGAACGGTCTCATCTGCTTTACGAATTGCTTGCTGCCGTTGGAGGATGGCAGTTTGGTAGAGCAGGACCTCTGGATTGACGAGCGCAGGGGTGTTATTCTGGATGCACAAGTACGTGTACTAGGCGTTATTCACGATATTTTATGCTCAACATTTGTATAGCGCACCTTCTTCTTGCGGCGGGATCGTCCTGCTCGCGTCATCGACCTTGGAGGCAACATTTTGAGGTACGTCATAGGAGACTTGTTGCCCTGTACAGATGCTGAATGGCCCGCTTAGCCCGGGGTACCTCGACATTCAGATCAACGGTGCCTACGGTTTCGATTTCTCGGTCTTTGACGGTGACCATGAAGCCTACCGCAATGGCCTCAGGACTGTCGCAGAAAAAATTGTCGAGACTGGTGTTACCTCGTACGTCCAGACATCTCCCCGTACACGAATGGTACTGACTTTCTATGAAGGCTGGTTCCAACTATCATCGTATGTTGTGGCTTGATTCTTTCTCGGGACAGGAACTGAACACACCATCTGCAGACGCAAGAAAAGTCGCTATACCCAGCGCTCCTGCACCTTCTTCGCCCCTACTCTTCACCAAACTCTGCCACAATGCTCGGCTGGCACGCCGAAGGCCCCTTCATCCAGATGGCCAAGCGCGGTGCCCACGCATCAGAGTTCCTCTTGAAGGCGGACGAGGGTCTTGCTACCTTCGAGAAGATCTACGGTGCTGAGAATCTCGTGCACCAAGAGGACTGGCTCATGGCCTGCGAGGGTCAACACGACAGCCTCGGGGTCCGTATCATTACTGCTGCTCCTGAGATCGCTGGTGTCAGACCTGCCATGGAAGAAGCAACCAAGCGTGGTGTTGTCTTCTCGATTGGTCACAGGTGGGTGGTTGTTTGCACGCTGTCTCTGGGATGTACTGAACTCTTGATGTAGTATCGCGTCGACAGACATTGCCACCGCCGCGGTGATGGGCGGCGCACGGCTCATCACGCATCTCTTCAACGCCATGCCCCAGCTTCACCACCGCGACCCGTGCATCATCGGCCTCCTCGGCGCCTCCCCGCACCTCTCCTTCCTGCCGCCCACGTCGCCTACGTCGCCCGTTGGCCCGACCTTCCAGAGCACAGGCGCCGCACTGTCGCGCAGCGACTCTAGCACGTCCCTGGCCAAGCGTGCCCTGCAGGCCCATGGCGACGGTGGCGCAAAGGCAACCTCGGAGGCGTTCGACGAGCTCGTCACGCCCCCGCAGACCCCGATCCTCGCGCCGATTGATACGGACCTGCACCTCAAGAAGGGCGAGACGACGCGCCTGTCGTTCGAGCGGCCGTTCTACGAACTGATCGTCGACGGCATCCACTCGCATCCGAACTCGGTCCGGGTACGTCACGGTCGCACATGTTACTTGCTGTTCGTTCTCACCAAATCTTTGCGCAGCTTGCGTACTCTGCGTACCCCGAGGGCTGCATTCTTATTACAGATGGTGAGCCATCCTTGTGATGTCAATGTAAGGGTGTAATGCTGAATGTATCCCAGCTATGAAGATCCTCGACCCACACCTCAAGGACGGCGTGCATGAATGGCGTGACGGCAAGCGCTTCGTCAAAGAGGGCGATAAGCTCTACCTTGAGGGCACTGATACGCTCGCTGGCAGGTGTGTTATCTCCCCACCTCCTCTTTACTTCTGACTTATGCTTTTCTCCAGCGCCGTGACGCTCGACAAGTGCGTCCGCAACTTCTCGCGCTTCACGGGCTGCTCGCTCGGCGAGGCGATCAAGTGCGCGACGTACAACCCTGCGAAATGCCTTGGCATCGAGCACCGCAAGGGCACACTTCGTCCCGGTGCGGACGCCGACCTCATCGTCCTTGATCGCAAGGGCTACGTCCAAAGCACGTGGGTCGGGGGCAAAAAGGTCTGGAAGAGGCAGGCATTGAGGATTTGAGCGGGGCAGTTTGCATGGCGAAACTCGGAGTGTATGAATTGGATAGAAGACTGCAGTGCCTGTGCTGTACTTATAGATGGTCAATCGGGTTTGAAGCAATTTGCACGCTTAGTTAGAGGCTTATGTGTAAGAATGGTCCTACTAAGTAAGAGTGGCTTCTTTGCAATAACCGCTGAAGGGAAGCCGCAATACGCGCATCCTGGGAGTAAGGCGGCCCTCCGTCGTGAACATAACGGTCAAGCGACATTCGTGACGGTGCATAATACTGTTGTACATGCTATCCGAGACGCACATCCTAGGTTTTTATATGGGTATCTGCAGCACATCCAAACGGGGGTATACAGGACGACAAGAAAAATCAGGCGCTACGACCACCACGATGCAGCTCCAAATCCGAGTCTAAATCCGTCGCCTTGAGCTGCTCGTCAGCTTCAGTAATCTCGCGTCTCGACGGGACGAGCCCGGGAACCGCAAACAGCAGAACTGCGAGGAGCTCAGTGAGCGCAGAGAGCGGGTACCAGAGGCGTGGATTGTCTTGCTGCAGAGCATGTTATTGCTAAGCGTGTGAACATCGTGAAGGGCATGGAGCAAACGCACCCTGACAACATCATTCGCCGTCGCAGCATAGAACGCCTCGCGTGCGAGACAGAGGAACGCAATGGCGAGGAGCACAAAGATGCGGTACCTGCGGCCGACGGGCGCATCGTGATTGGTCGGCCCAGCTGAGCGCATGTAAGCAAACATCAACCGGCAGAAGCGGCGTGGCACACCATGTATTTCCTCGTACGCAAGGTGGGACGCGACGAGTACCAAGCATGCGGAGACCGCAAGAAAGATGTAGATGCTTGCCTTGCGGAGGCTGTTGGCAGTGTTGAGCGTCGACTGCTGGCTCGAGTCCAGCATCGACTGCGGGCCGAGTCAATATCGGATATGAACGGCAGAACAGACAGGACTCACGCCTGCGGCTACTCCTAGGGCGACAGCCGCGGTAAGTGCCACTCGAATGATCGTTCTGTTGCTGATGATAGTGATCAGGAAGCTAATGGGGCCAGGCAGTGGTTTGCCGCGGCCGACCATGCGTTCACTACAGGCGCGACTAATAGTTAGCGGGGATGATATTAAAAGGAACGCGGCCACAGCCTACCGGTCCAGTACGAGGGTGTATGCAGAGTACAATAGCCCGAAGAACCCAACGGAGTAGATGACCAACTCTGCAATAACGAGGCTGACGTTCTCGCCTGCATTATCGCTACCAGCCAGGATAGCCCTGAGCGTGAACGCTGTGACGCGTACTAGGTGTCGAAGAATTAGCTAAATACCCGACGGCAGAACAAAAACACGAGGCGTACCAATGCAGAAGAATGACAGAACAACGAGCACATATGTGGGATGGCGTATGCTTCGGATGACGTTGAAGATGAAGAGTGGGAGGTATACCGCGGCCATGATAATGGCCCCAGGGAGCTCGCTCTTCTGGATGCCCTCGAGGCGTGCGTAGTTGATTGTCGACATGGAGGTGTAGTAGTGCGTGCTAGGGAAAGGCGGGATGGCGAACTTGCAAGGCCCACATTTCCACCATATACACCCTGTACTGCGGCCAATGCCGTACAATGTAGCAGACGCACAGCTATAGTAGATCTAGCGTGCCTTGACAGCAATCGATCCGTGTGATTGTGGCTCGGCCGCCGAAGGCGGTGTGCAAGCACCTAGGTCTGCGATGTATGGGTGTATGAGGAGAGAGGCGATCCAAAGGCGCAGATCTTCTATGAATACAAGGGGCATGGCGAACCCTTCGCCAAAATCATTTACCCGACGCTTGCGCAGGTATATGCTTGCTGCGCCTGTCGCTATGTAGGCTCATGCACATGAATTCCACGCCAATCACTGACAGACTATACTCAGAAGCGCAGAATGAGTGCATACAGTGTCTGAACTTACCACTTTGCCTCTGTCTGCACCGATCGCGCTATGAATGACTTATGACCACATATTTTGATTTGGGTCTACCGCACACCACAGCGTAAGAGACGAGACATGCTATAACTTGCATGCAAAAGGCGTGTTACCATAGCTCGAGGTGAGCGGCCTCGTCTTGAACGTATAAGTTTGTGTCCAAGAGAACTCGTCACTTTCGAGCGAGGCCGGTGGCTCAAAAGCATACTATAAGAGAGCTTGATCTAGTGCAGTCGTGCAAGCTTATAACTGTTCGTACCATGATATTCCGTGAGTTCCCCCAACCGTTTATGCAGACGACGGCTGACATTTCAAAATTCCTAGCCGAATCGCCGCTCTGAAAACCAGCCAGGCTGTTAGCGACCTTCGATGTACTCCGATTCCAAATTATCCTTACTCTTTGTGCGTCCAAATAATGATCAAGTTATACCTGTAACATCCTGCAGGATATTTGATGCGTTCTTGGACGATGCAATGGAGCAATGAGGAGGACGGACGGCTAGTCATGGTGCTAGTTAGTAGACCTTCGATGCTTGTCGATGCCACGAAGCCTTTCCTCGAGGCTAGTCACATTGTTTAGGCAAGCGACGAGTGCAGATGGATGATAAAATGCTGGCGTTCATGAGACAGCCGAGTATGCGACAAAGAGCAGAGGAGGAGACGTTTGGAGTGTGGGACTGAGGATCAGGTTAGGGTTTGTGGCTGTGCCAATAAGCGCCGTATCGCTGCCGAGCTGGAGCTGTGGATATGGCTCGCAGGCCTGCACATAACCACCACCTACCTCGACCATACATCTCTTCGTTCCACCATGGGGAAGTTGCGCCTCAAAAGGACACCTGAAGACCAGCGCCGGCATGACCTCCGTAAGGCCCAGAAAGCGGCGCGCAAGGCCGCTAAGCGGGCCAGGGACGCGGGGGACTCTGACGTCAAAAGCGAAGAGGGGCCGTCCAGCAAGCGACGACGGACGTCCAGCGACGAGAGTTACCTCTTCGAATTCAATGGCTGCGATCCCTCCAGTCCGCGCCGCACGCGCACGAAGGACGACGTCTACGCACAGATGGAGGAGGAACGGTTCCGCGAGAAGATGTGGGGCGCGTTCACGGACGACGAGCGGCTCGACTCCGTCGAGGCGGCATTCAGCTCGTACGCACATATCCCGCGCCGCTGGCGCAGCGGCGGGATGGACAGGATGGACGACGAAAACGACATCGACCCGCACATGATGGAGGACGAGGACTACGCCGAGTGGTTCAGGCTCAACATGTGGAGGTATGACTGCTCTGGCTATGTCAACTACTGCAATGCTTACAGGGCTGAGTGCAGGAGGAAGCATGCCGCTGAGGCCGCCGCGTACGACCGCAGTAAGCAGGAGAAAGCCGCCCGCAAGGAGCGCGAGAGGAAAATCCGCGAGGAGACTAGGAGGATGGAGAAGGCCGAAGAAGAACGCCGCAGGCAGAGGCGCCGCGAGAAGGAGAACAAGCAGTGGGACGATGCCAGGACGTACTACGAGGCGACCTGGAAGCAACTTCTGGACGGCAAGATCAGCCGCGAGTTGCGCTTTGAGGAGGTCCCTTGGCCGGTGCTTTTCACAAAAGATGTTCATGTTGAGGCCATTACCGTCGACGCGATCTCCACATTCCTTCTTTCCAATGGGCAGCCTATGAACAGCATCGCGACTGATAGGGACGCCATCAAGAAGGAGCGCAAGGACAAACTAAAGGAGACCATGCTGCGTTTCCACCCTGACAAATTCGAGGGTCGCATTCTACGACATGTCCGCGAGGCTGACCAGCGCCGCGTACTCGAAGGCGTCGGGATGGTTGCTCGCGGCCTCAATACCTTGCTCTCGCAGTAAATGCTCCGTGCAGCCGGATCGCATTCGTATACCACCTTCGTCTCCCAGCAATCAGTTGAGTTCCTCGCCCCCTATTTATTCGTCTCGAAAATAACCATAAATAAATCAATTCGAATCAGTTGCGAACAGATGCTCTCGGCAGCCAAAAGCTTGTCCATGCGTGGAAGACGTCATGAAGGAGCATATATACCCGCTGCCTTGATCGGCTCCTGGTTAGTACCCTTTTGCCGTGACTTGCATACACGAGAAGAAGCGGCATCAATAACAATGCACACAGTACACGGGCGCGTCCATATTCATGTCAGCCGGTTTATGGCCTCTATCATACCTGGCGTTGTCGCTTTCATTGGCCGGCTGCCCGATGCGGTGACAATCTGCGAGGCCTTTCAACACGCGCGAAATGCATACCAAGATCTGCGGGCTTACCAGCTGGTAGTTTACGCCGCAGAACTGCATGAACGTATTCAAGTTTCTCTCCCGGGATTTCGTCGAATCCCACATCCCATAATCCTCCAACAACTGTCGTGCCGTTTCCGCTATGCCAGCCAGATGTCAGCGGAAACGCTTCTACCCCGGCCATCGACCACCTACTGTCCATGGAGAAGAGCGCGTTGAGATTCTTGGGGAAGAGCAGGCTGATGGTGCCGTCGGCCTTGTAGATCGTATGCAACTCTTCCGTCAAGTTCGACTTCGACGTGCGAAGCAGCGAGTTCGCTCTCCGGCTTTCCCTACGGTGCCGCCCAGCCATGGTCAATACTCGCGATCTTCAATCGGACTTGGCGACGCACGAATTATGCAACGCGCGTTGCACTTCCTGCAGTTGCTTGCGGTACCCCGCAATCTCATTTTGCATGCTCCTCGGAAGCACGCGCGGGAGCTCGGCGGCGATACGCTCCTTTACGACTTCGTCGATCACGTCAAGAACGCCCGCTTCGACTGTTTTCGCAATGCAGTCGCCATCGTCATTGCGCTTCACACGTTCGCGCAGAAGAGTACGTACTCAACGTCCGGAGATGGTCAACAATTTCGTGCTGCAAGGCGTTCTCGAGGAGCGCTGCATGCCACCCATTAGCTCCCCTCTACACAATGGTGATCAAGGCACGCACCTTTGACCTCCTCGATTTGCGCTTCCTGCTTTCGGTCAGACTCCTCCATCTCCTTGCGGACCCTTGTAGTTGAGGTAATATGATGTGTAGGTGTAGGTTAATGCGGAGCACGGAGACGTACTTGTTCAGATGCTGTGTTGTCTCGAGTTCGCCACCCATTTGTATCATCTGCGAGTTCTGTTGGCCTAGCGAATCGAATACTTTCTGGGATGTTACTCTTGTTAGCGTTATTGCCCTACATTCGCCGCCTAGCACGAACGACGGCGCACGCACCTCGAAGTTCGCGAGGGAGACCCCCATATCCCGTAGAGTCTCGTTCACCATCAGCACGTCCGGGCTGTTATTGAGCGTGCCGAAGACGCTCCCGGGCGTGGCGCCATACGCCAAAGGCGACAGCGCGGACTGAGACTCGGACCTGCCGTGGCTCTGGCTACTGACGGAGGACATCGTGTGCGTGGGATGATAGCGATTGGAAGGCGGAGAGATATCTCGGGAAGGCTTCCTCCGCAATTATGCGGCAGCCGTCTTATATAGGCACACGCATCGTCAGACATGCGGCACGCGCGTGCAACGTGTTGTTAACGCGTGTGTCGCTGCCATCTTTAAGGAGACGACGCACAGCCGCAAATGTACGTGGACACGGTTGTGGCTATTTTGCAGGAGTAAGTGCTGCGGCACTAGGACTCTCGGCGTGGATTTCTAGATGTATTTGCCAGCAATCCTCCCAAAATTCGGATTCACTAAGCCATCGAGTACATTCAAAGCCTGGTAATTGTACACATATTTGAACGCAAGCGCACTGATCCCCCGTCAAAACGGTCGACGGAGCGTGGGGCATATGAGCCTAATCTGATGCATTGAATAACTGCTTCAGCTTGTAGCGGGGAGTCATGAAATGAAAAGCCACATATCCCGTCACGAAGCTCTCCCATGATTTCTTCTCATCCTCGCCCTGCAGGATCTCTTGAACTGCGTTGACGGCATTCACAGCGTCTTCGAGTGTATCCGTCAGTGCATGCTCGGCGCCCGTGCCAGCGACGCGGGCACGATCATGGATAAAGTTGTTCTTCTCGCCGATGAGCTCTTCCTTATAGAAGGAGAGCAGATCGCTAACCCATTTAGCGTCAGATGTCGCTCAAGTTGAGGCTGAGAACGGAGTCTTACTTGACATAGCAAACGCATTTGCTTGCATCCCTATCGGTGAAGATCAGCGTCATGCATGTTCAAGAGGTCGGCTGCACCCACGGTATCATTTGAATATGAGTGGACACCTCCGGAAAATGGGCCTTGTCCCAGATGCAGAACGCACTCGCCTCGCCAACCCCAGTGCGAAAGCGCTTGTACACTGGATACTCGCGGGCTGCTGGATGTACTTCCATGGTCTCTGTCTTCTTTTCCATCACCGTACAGATGACGAACTGCACGGTACCGGCGACGACGGCGGCGGCACCGTAGGAGTGAAAGAACTCAGGCATCTGGCGGAGTTTCTCCACCAGCAAGCCAAGCAGCGGGTGAAGTTGCTCGTGGCCAGCGTGGAAACGTTCGGCGAATCCAGCCATGGCATCTGCTTCCAACGCAAAGTCATCCAAGCAGGTGCACAAGGCCATCCATAGGGCGAGGTGGACCTGTGTGTTGATAGGAGTGTGTCGGAACGCCGTCTTCGCAAGATCGATGCCGGTGACGAGGCAGTGTTCGAAGCGGCGAGGAGACACATCACCAATATTCCAGGTCTGGACTTCGGCACGTGCGAGCCTGTCGACCTCGTCGTCGAAAGCTGAAGGGTCATAATCGGGCAGGGGGATGTTTGTTCGGTACAAGAACTCCGTGATTGTTTTGCGACAAAGATCCGGCTTGTGGGAACTACACGTTTGATGCCGTCGTAAGAGAGGAGATTATAGACCATTTACACACCAGATAATTCGCTTCGAATGCCTTATCTGGCGGTGGGAGGACATTCGGAGACATAATGCACCTTCTACAAGAGCGAGCCAATAAGACTACTAGCGAGTTGAATTATGGACGCAGGAGCGCAATCGACACAAACCGAGATGATGAACGACTGTGGGGACGAATACTGGAATGAATGAGCTTTCACTCGACTGAGAGAATAGAGTATCAATGAAAGTGCCTGTTGCAGCCATGCTTATACTCGCGGACATTATATACTGTTTGGCAAGCATTCTGCATCCCAAGATGAACAGCCATCTGCCGCATGCAACGGGGTCCTGTGTAGAATCAGCGTTGATGTAAGGATTTCTCGCCGAGGCAGACCCAGCTTATTCGTCCGAAGTGCCTCTTCTGGATGAAACACCTAGTGCAGGTATCGAGAACGGACCAGACTCTCGTAGTCCAACAGCTAAGCACGGAGTCAGCGACTGTGCCAAAAAGACGATGTAACGTACAGGAGGGACCATGCATGCGCTGGCTGACATACATCTGTGCTCACGCCAGGTGAAGAATGTGTAATCCCTTCACCAATATTGCCTTTCGTACGTTGAAACAGGATTTTCTGCGACGCCGTGAGACGGAAACAGTAATTTGTCTGCTAATCGAAACAGCGTGCGTTGACGACTACAGAATGTGGGCAGACGGCACACCCTCTATGTCAGGAGCTTAAGTACAAGGTACTGCTGCCACCTGGCCGTTTTCAGCCGCTGACTCACTGGTTGAACTCTGCTATAGCTTAAATCAGTCTCCAGATTGTTTGTGTGAAATGTCAGACCCACGAAGAGTATTTGGGTATCCGCATAGTTGAGCTCACATGGTCCGTTTTAGTCCCGTCCCCACTGCAAGCTCGTGACCTGAGAGCTCTGCGAATGGCTGGCATGCGAGTCTAGGTCCATCGCTGCCACGGACGTGCTTCGAAGCGGTGCTATCGGAGGGGCTCGTCGTATTTTGGATTTCCGACAAGGCATAGTAAGGGAGCTCCGCCGCCGCAGAGGGGAGAGATAACAGCATCTGTAAGGGGTAAAATAGTTGCTAGTAGATGACGCCGCTTATCTGACACTGACGGGCTGCAAATAGCGTCCGCAAGGAAGATGATTGGGACATATTCAGTGTTTAACGGAAAAGGTGCGAGGAAATCGCCTGTGCATTGTTGTGCAGTCGATCGCTTGGGACCACAGCTCAGCGGGCAGCTATTCGCAAGGCGTACGGTACACTTAACGCTGAAAAATCGCAGACCTTGTGAGCAGCTGACAGTAGAGTAGTGTATGAAGGTCACAAATTGATTTTTACACCTTCAGATGCATCGCTAGTATGCTGGTTTTGGGGATGGACCAAGGCTAGACAGAAGATTTCCGAGACGTACCATGTAAGCGAATAGCAAGCTTAACTTAAAAACTCCGCGCGCTAGCGTATTTCCATCAAGCACCCCAGAAGCGGTTACCAGAAATCTAGCACCAGAGAGAGGGACTTCAGCGAGCTATATTGCCAAAGTACACATTGTAGATACCATAAATTCGCTGGTCTTGTGTATTCGAACCCCCACCTCTCCGGGGCGCACTACTCCGGCACAGTGACCCTGCAAAATTGGAAAATGGTGATGTGGTCCACGGAAGGGATGAAATGCAAGACGCAAAATTAAGGCAGGGCGTGAGCTTAGTCTGATGCGCCGAATAGCTCCCCCAGCTTGTAGCGAGGAGAAATGAAGTGAAATGTCACATATCCCACCACAAAGCTCTCCCATGCTTGCCTCTCCTGCTCGCCTTGTAAGATTTCTCTGCCCCTATTGACGGCGTCCACGGCATCTTCAAGTGTATCCATCAGAGCTGCTTCGGGGTCTTTGTTGGTGACACGGGCACGGTCATGAATGAAGTTGTTCTTCTCGCCGACAAGCTCTTCTTTGTAGAAAGAGCACAGGTCACTGAAAGAAGTGTCAGTATATGTTGCTCTAGCAGACACTGAGAACTGAACGTCACTTGACAAGGATAAAAATCGCACTCGCCTCACTAAGCGGGCGGAACTTAGCATGTTACTTCTCAAGAGGTTAAGTGTACATACGGCATCGCCTGAATATAACTAGACACGTCGGGAAAGTGTATCTTGTCCCAGATGCAGTGGGAGTATCCCTCACCGAGCCCGTTGCGGAAGCGCTTGTACAGCGGATATCCTCGAGCTGAAGGGTGCAGATTCATGGCCTTTGTCTCCCTGTCGACCAATGTACAGGCGACAAACTGCACCGTACCGGTGACGATAACAGTGGTGCCGTAGGGGTGGAAGAATTCATGCATCCGACGGATATTATCCGCGAGCAAGTCAAGCAACGGATGAAGCTGCTCGCGACCGGCGTAAAATCCTTCAGCGAATTCAGCGATGGCGTCTACGCTAGTGTCGAAATCGTCCACGCAGACGCATAGTGCAGTCCACAGAGCGATATGAACCTGTGTCTCGACAGGAGTGTGTTTGTATGTCGTCTTCGCGATATCAATCCCGGTGATGAGGCAGTGTTCGAGGCGGGCGGGGGACACGCCGCCGAGATTCCATGTCTGAGCTTCAGCACGTGCGAGCTTGTCGACCTCATCGCCGAAAGCGGAAGAGTCAAAGCCGGGTACCGAGGTGCCTGTTCTTCGTAAGAGTTCGGTGACTGTATAGCGACATAGATCCATCTCAGGAAACCATGAGTCAGATGATGTCGTGCAGGACAGGACGAGTCATTCACATACCAGAAGGTTGGCTGCAAGTGGTCCGTTCCGTGACACATCATTGGTTGACATGTTAGGCGAGCTATAGAACAGCAGTGAGGAATAATGAGTGTAGGAGAGTCAACAAGACGAACCGAGGGTGCCAGACGGTTCGGCGATAGTATGCGCAAGTTCTGGACTAGCTGTAGACTGGACTCACGAGGTACGCGTTGCCAGCATACTTATATTTGCAGAAGTGCATACCCTTTTGCCATCTTTCAGAAATGCTTCATGTGGAGAGCGAAGATTGCCTCGCCACATAACAGCAAGCACAGCGGAGTGTCCAGGGGAAGAAGCCCAGTACAGATACCGAGATGAGAGGTGGTACGGAGAAGAAAATTAGTTCACGATACCACCGCGTATGAACTGGCTTGAAGATGCGTCGATATGTCATGGCAAATATTCCAACTGAATTCGTTGCAGGTGAAGGATTCAAGCTGTCATGGGTACGTACTTTCAAAGCGTATGATATCATAAGATGAGACGATGATTGGTCTGGTGTATTTCGTAAAGTGCACGGCGCGGGCGTGGGCAGAGACCGCCATCGACCCATGCGAGCGGAGGAGCATAGACATGTCATGACTTATCGCGAGGACATTGCTACCCTCCAGCGCTCGTCCGTGATCGTTCGACGATCTAAGGCGGCAGAATTGTCTTCCAGACCGTAGAAAGAGAAGCGGCAAGGTAAAGAAGAGCATGGTGTGAATCTGGAGTTACGTTCAAAGGGATGTTAATATTTGGAACCAAGTCAAAACCCCCGTGGAAGAGATTTTCACGGTGGTAGGGCTTGAAGCGGTCGCTATTTATAGCTCTGTTTGAAATAAGAAAATGTCCTAACTCGCCCGGACTTCGCCGGTCGGAGGTTGCGTCGGATATCAAAGAAGATTTCATTTTTAAAAGGCAAAATTATGCATTCTCAGCTCCAAAGCTCTATCGCATATCCAGATAGCCTCCTGCTCTGGCGTGTATGTGAAACTTGAAACATAGTAGTATAGGTGGCGGAATGCACAAGACGTAAGCTAGGGCGGGCCGCGAACTTAGTCTGATGCGTTAAACAGCCGCTCCAGTTTGTAGCGAGGAGAGATGAAATGGAATGCAACATATCCTGCCAAGAAGCTTTCCCATGCTTGCCTCTCCTTCTCGCCCTCCAGGATCTTTCGACCCCTGTCGACGACATCCACAACGTCTTCGAGCATATCCATCAGAGATGCCTCAAGATCTTTGCCAGTGATGCAGGCACGATCATGGACGTAGTTGCTCTTCTCGCCGACGAGCTCTTCCTTGTAGAAAGAAAACAAATCGCTGTAGCTTTCAACGTCAGATGATTACTCTCCAGCAGAGGCTGAGCGCCGAATCTTACTTGGCATGGCTGATGTACGCAATAGCCTCGCTGTCGGCGGCGGTCAGCAAATAGCAGTGTTCGAGAAGGTCGTCGATACATACGGTGTCACCTGAATATGTGTAGCTACATCGGAGAAATGGACCTTATCACAGATGCAAAACGCATAGGCCTCGCTGACCCCGTTGCGATTACGCTTGTACAGAGGATATCCACGCGCTGAATGATGCAGCTTCATGGTGTCCGTCTCCTTGTCGACCAGCGTGGAAGTAACGAACTGCACGGTACTAGTGACAATCGCAGCAGCGCCGTAGGGGCCGAAGAACTTGGGCATCCAGCGGAGAATATCCGCATACAGGTCAAGCAGTGGGTGCAGCTGCTCGAGACCAGCGTGGAATCGTTCGGCAAATTCGGCGATGGCGCTTGTTCCCGGGTCGAAGTCATCCACGCAGACGCATAGGGCGGTCCACAGAGCGATGTGGACTTGTGTCTCGATGGGAGCGTGCCTGTACGCTGTTTTTGCCATATTGATTCCGGTGACAAGGCAGTGTTCGAGGCGGTCGGGGGGCACACCGCTGACATCCCATTTTTTAGTTTCAGCGTGTATGAGCCTGTCGATCTCGTCTCCAAAGGCTGAGGGATCGAAAGTGGGCATCGCGATAGCTGCTCTCCGCAAGAACTCCGTAATTGTGTAGCGACAAAGAGCCGGCTTGAGGAAATAGCATGTTGGGTCCTGTCACTTAGGACTCGTATAGGACGGGCAGCGATGCACATACCAAAGATTTAGCCGGGAGTGCTGTCTCCTGCAATTCGCTGTTCGGCGACATTGTATTCCAGCAGGGTACACTGAGTGATAAGTAATAAGCCATGATCAGTACAGCAGAGGAAGCGAGGCGGACCAGAGTTGTTCAACGGTTGGGATGGTGGAACTGGCGGTTCATGCATGAACTTAACGACTGAGATACTTATCACAGATGTCCACCGTGAGGACCAAATGAAACGAGGCGTTCGGTAGGGACAGAGTATCCTGATACGGATGCTAAGATAGAAATGTGGCGTATCAGGGAAGACCGGCCCATCAGCACGACCGGGATTAACGCATGATACATACCAGGTATACTGTATCTCCGTCTTCCTATCATGTAGCAGCTGAGCATGGCTGAACTGCTGTCGAGTCCAGCACGGGCGCAAACGTGCAAAGGACTTTGTCCATCAGGACGTCAAGCAGGAGGTGCTGCCGCCACCCGCACGCCTGCAGCCGCTGGAGGACTCGGGACTCTACTGGAGTAGCGGCTTGACCTCTACGCCACCGAAGGAAGCCAAGGAAGAGCGCGATATGAACTCGGCGTTACGTGCGAAGGTTGTCATCGCCACGCTAATGCCTATAAGAATGCGGCATTAGATGCGCTTCGTGGGATGTCGCCGAGTCCCATGGTCCAATGTTCAGAGTCAGCATAGATGAGCTTTGATACGATATGACAGTAATACTGCCAGACTTGACAGATCCCTGACGGGGTAGTAGAACTTAAACATGCCTGCCAGAAACCTATTTTCCACCTTCAGAAAGGCTATCGCTATCGTTCCTTTGAGTACCAGACGATAAATTCCACGGGATAGATACGCTTGCAATTGGCAAGCGATCTTCAGAACTCTGAAACTGGATTGGAAATAGATAGGAACCACAGTTTGAGTCCGCTGGCAGCAAAGCAGTCATTTCAGCAAGCTGTATATGACCGGGTTGTCAATCAACTTACCGTAGGATATTCAGAACAACCCGGGAGGAGCACGTAGCTGCCGCAGCCAAACAATCTTGCGGTGTTTCGCCGGCGCGCCTGAGTCGCCGACAGCTTTCGGCACCCATCGAGTATAATCACCACGACAAGGTCCTCACTCTCGTAGTACCGGGGGGGGGGTTTCAAAGTAGAGTAGCGTGTAATCTATGTTCTAAGCTTGTTGGCACATTATGGAAGACAGTATATCGATACAGTACCCGTATGTTGGAATGTATTACTTAACATGAAACTCGTCGGGTCCTGCAGTACCAGCGGGGTCCGTTCGATAGTCCAGGTGAGTCACGAAGTAGTTTGACGCGTCAACAAATCGGCCCCGAAGGTGACAGCTTACATCAACACCTCCTGAGCCTTGCGCGGCTGCGGTTCGGCTGGCGGTTCGACCGGCGGCTCCGGCTTTACCTCCGACTCGCCTTCGGGCCCGTCTCCTGCATCTTGGAGAGGTGTCGGGGCGTCACCTGCCGCAGCACTAAGTTGTGCTGACATGAGGGCACGGAACCTTGAATCCGTGCGGTTGACGAGCTGCCGGTATGTTCCACTCTCCGTTATCCGACCGTCTATCGAAACAGATCAGAATACAGTCACGCTGTGTATGGAACACGTACCTTCCAAGACCACTATGCGTTCTGCACGTGCGATTGTCGACAGCCTGTGTGCGACGATAAGACACGTCGTTTGCCTTGATCGAAGAATCCTCTCGATAGCATCGTTAACCTGGAGCAGCACACTTCAGCGACGTGTGTATTTGGAGAGCCCGAAGCACGCACCCGATGTTCCGATGTCGCGTCCAATGCACTCGTCGCTTCATCTAGCGCCAGGATTGCCGGTTTCTTCAGTAACGCTCGCGCGATGGCCAACCGTTGTCGCTGCCCGCCGCTCAAACTCATCCGACCAACTATCCCGCTCATATCAGCGCATGCATCAGGCACGAGTATCGTACGCCTACTTTCAGTATCGAATCCCTTGGGCATACCCCAAACATATTCGCAGTTAGCTTGACGGGCCGCTGCCTCAATCTGCTCTCGAGTGGCACTCTCACTGCCATACGCGATGTTGGACGCGATAGTCCCGGTGAAGAGAATAGGATCTTGTGGGACCACACCGATGATGCTGCGCCACGAGGCAGGGTTGAACTGGCGAATGTCTGCAGAGTAACCGAAATCAGGGCTGAATAAGACTTATTCGGCATTCACGTTGACCTTGGCCGTCATAAGTAACTCTGCCCTTTATTGGGTCGTAATACCGGAGCAGCAGCGCGTTGATTGAGGACTTGCCACTACCACTTCCACCCCTACGGTGGCCAGATCCATCAGACATAGCAATTACATCCGGGAGGAGGCGGACGTACACGAGCGCGACGCTTTCGCCAGGGCGAATCTCAAGGTTGAGATCTTGCAGGACAGTCACTTCCTTGCGACTCGGGTACCGGAAACAGACATCCTCGAAGCGGATCGGGCCGCGCCTCGCTGGGTCGACAGGCACGCCCACCTCCGGGTCGATGACAGGCTTGCGCTCCAAAAGATCGAAGATGCGGACACCTGCACCTATGCCACGCATAATGGAGGACTGGACACGTAATGCTACGGTCAGTGCGCCGAGCTGCGGGAAGAATCATTCCTTACGAAGAACGAGCTAGCGGACCCAACATTAGCGCAATGACAGGAGTCCGTACATAATGACTCACGTTAGAGTTTGCAAACCACCCCCAACATAGACCGTGTATAACAGCAAACTTGTCAAGTCACCGACTGAGATTGCGCCTTGACTAACAAGTGTCCCTCCTGCAACGTATGTTGGACTCAACACATCCACTCCGCATAGTTGTCACTTACCATACCCAAGGAGAGCCAATAAAGTCACGTTTCCACTCCAGCCAGTGCTTCCGAAGAAGATACCACTCGCAATTGCTTCCTTCCTCGCAAGGTTGAAGACACTTTGGGCCTTGTTGCGGAACTTCGCCTGCTCGGGCTCCATAGCATTGTATGCTTGCACCGTGCGGAGAGCTGAGAGTGATTCTTGAGCGACCTGCGTAGTCGCCGACTGTTAAGGGATAATGACCGAGTAGGAGGATGAATATTAGAACCTTTGTCATATCACCGAGAGCCTCCTGTGTCTTGTTCGAGAGCCTCTTCAGATATCTGCCATAGAACACCTGGAGAAAGAAACAAGATAAGCAGAGTGAGCTGTGTATGCTAACCCAAGCATACTAACTGCACCCAACGAGACAGGCGGTACGACCGTAAGCATGAGCAAAGTAAGCTGTGGGGAGATGTAAAACATAGCGCCGACTGTACGATCGCTAGTTTAATTGTTGCACGAACAAATCAATGTAGAGAAAAACTTACGTCCGGCAGACGCCATAATAATTGACCGCAAGCCATCCGAGAGATTGTTTGTTACACTTTAAACGAGATTTCAGTGACAGTTCCAGGGAAAGTTGGAAGGGAAATGCTCACCTCTCACCAACGATGCTGGAGTCAACGCTGAGCCTGCTAATGATGTCTCCCTCTCCGCGCTCAACGAATTCGACCTCTTGCTTTGTGGCGGCGGCATAGGTTCGTTCTCGTAGCCGAGCAACTATCCGCTGACCTACGGACAGGAAATGTGTCAGGAGGGGCTAATCAAGTGGCAGAAAGACATTCAAGTTGCTGATAGAAGCAGAACAATTTGGTGAATATTTTTGCAGGACTTATTGGGCCTTGTGATCCTCTTCGGCAATACTGTGTATACCCCGCCACAGCTCCTCACATATCTCCGTCGAGAAACGACGAAATGTACGAGCATAGGCGTGGTGCGTATGCAGCGTTCTAGGAGCCACTTGCAAGTATTCCGGGAAATCGAACACATACCAGATATCCGCATGAGCATAGCACGACCAGCATTGGCAAATGCTCCGACCGTGAACAAAAATAACAGGATAGCAGATGACTGTCCCAACGATAAACCCATAGGTATTTGCTGACAAGTCTCGTATTGAGCATACTACGGCGTAGGATATGCCATGCCAACACACTCACGGGATTGCTCGACGTGAAGTAATCAATCAATTTCCCGATTGTAAACGGAATACTCATGGATACGGAGGACGAGACTAGGAGAAGGCCGACGGCAAGAATCAGGGGCTTTTTTTCTGGTTTGGCTAGAGAGACTATGGCGCGAAAGGACGACGTGGTTTTGCCTGGATCTTCGCCGGACGAGGGAATGAGTCTGGATAATATTGAACGCTTCGGCTTCAGTGCCGGCGATGTCTGGGCAACCTCTTCCTTGCGAATAGGCCGCGGTGACGGCGGGCCTTGCGAAGAACTCGGAGTCGACGAAAAGCATCTCCATTGGAATGGTATAACGCGTGGCTGTGTGAGCTGACGACCGTGCAGAATGTTGAGTGCTCGTGAATGGGCCCTGAAGAATATCAGGGAAGACGATCGAGGTGGGCATACGTGCAGAAACTGTAGGGTATGCAGTCTCGCCACCGCCGTTGTCGGCGGTGAGAGGAAAGACATGATGGTCGTTGACAGAGGCGTGGGCGGCGACGCGGACGGCGGTGGGCTCGGATCGGCATTGCGCTTGTAGCGTCATACTATTTCCAAAAGAGGGGGTTTCATCAAAAATTTAAATGTGATACTTATGCGCCTAAGTGACCTAACTGCCACAAAGAAAAGAGAAAAGGAACTTCAACAGAATGTTGCCCATTGGCTGGATTGAACAACCGACCTCACCATTACGAGTGGCGCGCTCTACCACTGAGCTAAACGGGCAGCGCTTTTTGGAAGCCTGTAATTTATATCATATTATGGCTGAGAGCTAGAGACACTACGTGAGGACGCGCTCCAGGTCCAGGAGGCCAGTGCAACTTTCTTGTCGCACGTTCCCTCAAATGGCAATGAATGTGCTTCGTGCGCAGCGTTGAATGGGTAGTCGCGTTACCAGATGAAGCGTAACCGGTCCGCAACATGGACAGCTTCGCAGTTTGTCCACGTAAGACTCATCCCGGGGATGTCGCTCTCCCCATAGTTAACCTATCTACAGCCCTATATTATATAAGGTCTGTCTATAAAGACTGTTACAGAGCCTCAGCCACGTCTGTGCCTGTGGACTAGGAACGTCACACGCCTGTAGCTGGCTCTTCTTTTGGCAAACAGTGACGACAATTCGTGAAGCTATGTGGAGCAGAGGTGAACACGTCTCTATATGCCTGAGAACAGCGTGTCTTTCATCTACCGACCCCGGTTCATATTTGACTTGAAGTGCTTAGCCAGCCAATCGTATTCTGCGCCCACTGCACCCGTCGGCACTCATATTTGTCATGCATGCGGTATCGTCTCATTGAGCATATTCTGTGGTGTCGGTGCTGACCATACCCTCGTCTCCACATTCCACCATCCGCCCTAACACTAAGATATGTTTATCTATAGAAGATATCCGAAGTCCAATGGCTGCACCCCACTGCTGTCCTCTCGTACTTATCACCGTTGTTCAGGACAAAGGGGACTATCACCATATTCTCCCCTCGTGCAAGTCACCCAGTTGCGCACATTTCCCTTTCCGCCGCCGCCGCGTCCCCGTATGATGTCCTTCAATTTCGTAGGCTGGTACACTCGACGTAACCACACCATGTCAGCAGTCATTATCACTCTCCCATTCGTGGCACATTCCATTCGTTTATTGCACCCAGCGGCATTAGTTTGTTGCTTCTTCACTATTACCTCCGTTGTATGTACTGCGTGCTGACTCTCTTTTTGACATCCTAACCATTTCATCTTCCTGGCATCCAGTACGAGTATGACATGTATATACCTGCCTTGCCCCGCATGGCCACTATAGGCCCTACAATGGCGGCAGCTGACAATGAGGCTGGCATGGGCTCCCACAACGGGCCCAGACAGTAAAACGCCACAGTAGCTAGCGCGGAGCACAGATCTTGATACACAGCCGCGCACCGGCCACAGCACCAGCAACAGAGGGTGGCTTGGACTTTTGACATATGCCCCTATTCAATTAACCGAGTAAGCATCATAACTCTGGCGACAATCAGGCCGCTGAGCTTCTCTTGTCCGTTTGTTCTCGGTAGCCACCCGAGCCACATCTTAATCTCTTACAACTCTACCCCCACCCCCACACAAGCCGCTCTCTCTGAACATGTCCACTACCTGCTACAATACATACTCGAGCTACAGAACATACTGCGACGCGCCTGGCGCACGGCCGTTGGCCGGCGATCCCACAGTCAGCCGTGCAGTTACGTTCAGTTCTGGAGACCGCAGCTAACCATACTCCCTATCAGGATATTCCTGGAGTTTACGATCTCGTATGGGCAGACAGAGACGGGCTAGTTTCTACCATGAGCGAGAATCTGAACGAGCGGGATGCTCTGCGAGAACATTTCGAGCGGAAGGAAGTTCTTCAAACTGTCGCCGACGTCGGCCACTTCTGCCGGTACCTCAGCCTCATATGCAACGTGGCCCAGCCATTAAACGAGTCTCTTTCGCCAACCAGACTCCCCGCCCACGGGGATCATTTCTCCAGAGAGCCCACCACTGCATCGTTGCGCTACCACAAAGGCCGCTTTTCCAGCCGGCGCTACAACGCCACTTCTGGCCCACCGAGCCCCATTGGCAGTGGCCGCCCAAGCCCACCGACCAGCGCGTCGTCGAGCCCTGCCGCTACATTCGCCTCACTCCGCACGCCGGGCCAGACGCCCCCGCCGGATACGAAGCCTGCGCCACAGCGCCAGGAGAGCGCTTACTACACCACGATCTACGGGGGCCCGCCGATCCTGAAGAAGCTCAAGAACGCGTCCTTGATGAGCGAGGAAGAAATATACGAGCTACCAGAATACCAGCGTGTCTTCGCAATCCAGAAGCGGCAGGCCCGCTTGCGATGCTCTGCGCCTGCTGTGGCGCATCCAGTGCCGTTGTTCGAATTTCACCGCCCCCCTCTCACTACGGCGCGCAAATCGCTGCTGCTTGCGGCGCTGATGGGAAAATTAGGGAAGAGCGAGAAAAGCGCTAGTGCGAGGGAGCAGGAGTGCTTCGACGACGATAAGCTCGGACGGCGGGATGCGTTCACGGCCGGTTTATGGAATCCATAGTTCGGATGACGACTCCTCTTTGGTGGCAGTTCACAGACGTTCTGTGGTCATATATCGTGGACAGTTACCACGTCTATTTCTTGCCATTTCTTCCCTATAGTTTCGATTATAATGTAGAGGATTGATCGTGAGGCAGGAGCAATCCCACCTTTTAGACGCCTAACCCCACCCCGTGGATATTGCCGTGAACCCCAGGACTATGCAGAAATGGTTTTGAAATAAACTCACAGTTTCTCCCTTAACAGGTCTGAGCAGCCTAAATTTACCACGTAACATAGTCCGGCTGGGCTATTCCAGCCATGCGCCTTGCACAGCGTCTTCGCTGAATGTCGTTCCATATGTGAAGCCGCCAACTGCATCATATGCGTAGACTCCCTAGAGAGATAAGCAGACCAATTCGCCCCTGCTTCTCGGGCTGTGGCACATCGCACGTGAGGATGCCCCAGATGGATAGAGATATCTCATTTGCACCTCCTTATTCCGACAAAAGTTAAAAAGAAGATGATAACACTCAGCGAGATGGTCTGTTCCAAGCGAAGCGATCCTCTCTCGAGCTGATCCACCACGGCGATCTACGAGGCTCTGTGAATTAGCCACTAGATCCGCCATCCCGTTCCATGCGATAGATGGAAGGATCCTTTGGCCAACTACCATGAAACAACGTCAGTTAACCTCTGCTCTGGAAACACCTGGACACTACTCACACGCATGCTAAACTCTAGAATAGCCGGCTTTGCGGTGGAATTCCACGAAGATTGGCATGTGTGTAGTTTAACCCGGTGAGAGTTAGTATGGAGAGAGTCCATGAGAGCAGACTCACTAAGCGCCTAGCTGAGCAGACAGCTCGGTCGGAGCATGAGCTTCTCAGTAACTGGTACTTGCTAATCGGAACGCTGCGCACGATGGTCAGTTCCGTCAAAAATAGTTCAATGTAAGACATACTCTCGACTGCGCTAGTAATCATGCCTGCAAACGTCGCCAAAGGTGAAACCTTGGGGATGTCTGCAGGGACAACATCGAATTGCGAGATATGACTGCATCTGGATAGCGCTGCATTCTTCAGTAAATGAGAGAAAACAGTTATGTATACGCTGAAATGCATACCGGTAGTGCCCTCTCTGTCGATACGACAAGCCTCAACATGTCTCAGAGGGTAAAATTCTCGGTCAGTGTCGTACGATACAGGTAAGACGACACCACTGCGAACTGAAATCTCCCCGGGCTGCCAGTGGGCCGGAGATCCCGTATGGGACATACCCTGAGATCTGCGTAACCCAATGAATACTCGATTCGCGTTGCTCACACACTATCGCCGCTCACAATATACCTGCACCGCCCAAGTAGAGCTTGAACTGTTGCTGCCGGTGACTGCAAGCGCGGGTGAGCGTTGGGGATCACTGAGGGGAACCAGACTCACAGGAAGCACGAAAAACAGAGTTGAAATCGATGTTAGATTCGTACAGATTAAGGCAAGTAGTACAATATAGACCACGTCCCCCCGCAGCTGCCCCACAGAGTCATCCACTCGATACCTCGCGCATCCTCGGTCCGGGCTGCACCATGCTCGTGAACTTCTGCCACTCTTCCGACGGCATGTCGTAGCTTTCCTTGTCCCGGGCGGGGAACGTCCGCGAGCGGACAGCCTGGACATAGCCGGTGACGCCGCGCTCGATCTCCGCCCTGACGTCGCCGAAGCGGCGTACGAACTTGGCCTTGTGGCCGTTCCACGTGCCGAGCATATCGTCCCACACGAGTACCTGCCCGTCCGTGCCGGGGCCTGCGCCGATGCCGATCGTGGGCGTGTACCGGAGCCGCTGTGTGATGTACCGCCCGAGGTCCTGCGGGACGGCCTCGAGGACCATCGCGAATGCGCCCGCCTGCTCGAGCGCGAGGGCACTCTCGAGTATGTGCATCGCTGAGCGCGCGTCCTTGCCCTGGACGCGGTAGCCCGAGCTCTGAATATGCCGCTGCGGGAGCAGGCCGACGTGGGCCATGACAGGCACGCCGACGACCGTAAGCCGGTGCACGACGTCGACGACCTCCATGCCACCCTCTATTTTGACGCCTTCGGCACCGCCCTCCTGCATGAGCCGAATCGCGTTCCGGATGGCATCATCCGTGCTGGTGTGGAACGAGCCGAAGGGCATGTCAGCGACGAGGAATGGGGTCTTGCTCCCCCGTGCTACCGCCCGACAATGGTGTATCATTTCGTCCATCGTCAGGCGCATCGTTGAGTCGTATCCGAGACAGACCTGGGCGAGCGAGTCTCCCACGAGCGTGATATCGATCTCGTGCGCCTCGCAGGCTCGGCCGCTGGGGAAGTCGTAGGCAGTGAGCATAGCGATGGGGAGATTCTCATTGCGCAGGTGGTGGAGATGTTGGATCGTAACCTTTTTGCGATCTATAGCGATGATCAACAAGCTTTTAAAGAAGAGAGGATTATGACATACGAGGACGAGCCGAGTTCTCTTCCTTTGCTTCTGGCCGAACGCTCATCCACCTTCGCGCTCGCACAAAGTTCTTCCCCATCCCCCTCCTGAAAGCGCTTGAAGCAAACATCGTCGTAGACATAGTCGAGAGAGCGAGAGAGCGAGAGAAACAGAAAGTCGGCTGTGGAGGGCTATGGCATGACCGGGACAGAGCATTGAGGGAGGCCGAAACAGTTATGGCGCGATGTGAGTGTGATTACTGTGCAGCACAGGAGCTCCGATCGGCAGGTGTATACGCCGGTGCTGGGGACAGCGACGATCCTACCAAGACGGAGATGAGACACATCGCATCCAGGACATACGGGGGAGATGTTGGGGACGAGGGCGGGTGTGAAGTTGAGGGAACGGTGAGAGCCAGGCAGGACTGGGAGATGCCGAGCGAAGCCAGCTCAGGGCTCAGCCCTTCGCTTCCAACTCCCATGGCTCACCGCCTCCGCCAATAGTGCAGAAAATTGCCTCTACCTCAGGATGTATCGGGGAGATTATCTGAAGATCCTTTGGCTTGGTTTACCTTCATTTACTCCTCTGTAGGCGCATATGGGTCCGTTCCAACAGCCGCCGCCGTGCTGGCACTTTACGTACTTTCAACGCGCTGTGCCTCGTGACATTGAGAAAAAGTACCGGGAGACCATGGCGAATATTTCTGTCGACGATGTTACGGACTGAGAAGACCTTCTGGTAAGCCGTGTTTGTGACTCGGACCATTCAAGGGCTCATCGTCTGGCTGTAGGACGATCGCCTGTGCTCGCTACTCATGCGTTGCCGACCTTTGCTTCAAATGGGCCCGGCAGCCCTTTTGGGGCACGGGTCGGGCAGCATTCCCTTCGAGGAAGAGCAGTTTGAAGATGATCTTGGATTCCAACATGACACTTGATGTGTCGGTTACGAATGACCTCAGTCGCATTCCGATGACAGCAGTACGGGTACAATACAAGTCGAATAAGGTTCCCCAACTCTCTTACTAGCGATACCAACGAGCACAACCGACAGCAACGGTCGCTGGTCACCGACTCCCGCTCGGGATGAGGGCAGCTCCGTGTGGCGTACGTCCGTGACAGGCATGGTTCATTCTCTAAACAGTCGCATTTCCTGATCTCACCGAGCCGTCTGCTTGCGAATAGACTCTAGTCCATCGTCTCGCCTACCCCCCAGCGCACTGAAATTGCTGCCCTCTCGAATGGTCTTTCCGCATCCGGGAATTTTGGCGTAATGGGGCGAATTGTGTCGACATGGAGCCATGGCTGGCTATCGGCGAGGTTGAAATCTTCCGTAGTGGGCACGTATACTTGCTCCATTGCAGCCGGCGACTGTCCATCGGACGGGGTATCGACAGAGCATCCCGACGACACAGTCGATGCCGATCCGGGGGTAAGGTGGCCAGGCCTCGCGGGCGAGTGGACGGCAGGGTGGTTCCAGCAGTTCTGGCTCATCTCGAAGTGGTACGCAGGCTCGTCGCCCGCGAGCCCGAGCGCAGCGCGGCCATGGCAGCGCCACCGCGCGAGCGTGTGGTCCGACGAGAGCTCAAGGTAGAGCCGCACAGCGAGCAGCGCCGCTGCGTCGTTGTCCATTACGTGCGCGAGCCGCACCGTATACCGCGTACGCTCGAGGTCGAGGTCGTGCGCCTGCGTGCGGCTGGTCGCAAGCGGGATTTCGGCGAGGATGTCGTCGTCATCCGAGAAGAGGTCGGTGGGGCTCTTAGTTGTGTGTGTGGCCACGCTGTTGTCTGAGGAGGTTCGTTGCTCGACGTCGGCGACTCCAAGGACGTCATGCCAGTCCTCCCAGATCGCGCCAGCTCTGCCAAGGGCGAGCTGCGAAGGAGTACCCACGGTCAGTTCAACCTTTCCTGCACGCGTCCCAAATACTCACCACATGGCCACAGGCCTCTTTGGACTTCATATACGCGTGGGGCGCGGCGGGGACGTTCCAGAGATACGCTACGGCTTCAATCGACATGGTTTGTGGGTTCTTGTCGCGTTGAGGTTGAAGGGAGTGAGAGTTAAGAAACAAACAGTGGGGTGGGCGGCTAGTCTTATGAGGTTCGAGGTTCGAGATGTTTGTTTGTCTCAGTTCGCAGGGCAAACAAGACAGATGTCGCATCCCCGTGCGTACATTCTTTTCGCACGGGAGATTTCGCTGTTGATACATTGACGGTCTTAGGTGGCGCAGTTCAGTGTAAACATGCACTTAGGGTACCCTTTCAACGCAGGTGAAGAAGTGACACAGGGGCGAGAGAACAACTAATCCCAGGGGATAGCTAGATGATTACTACATGTACAGCGAGTGAGCCGACGATAAAGAAAATGCATGTGATTGCTCGGAACGATAGTGTGCGGGTGCGGTGGTCTATAGAATGGCAAAAGACGTCTGAATTCGTGAAGGAGCTGAAGGTACGGATTTCGGACGCCTCTGTCACCACAAACTGAGACCCTCCAGACCCGGCAGAGGACTAAGTTCGCTACCACAAGCAGCGCTATCTTCGACAATCTCCAGCCGCGCGAGCTTCCCGTCGACCACGTCGACCTCCAAGGACCAGTCTCGGGCCTCGGCGTCGTTGATATCCCCAAAAAGGAGGGACGCAGGAAGTTCAGGGCTTCCGGGTGCCGTTGAGATCGGCGACTCATCTTCTTCGGGAAGACGCAAGACCTTCATGAGCCTCACGGACGGTGGGCCGGAGGGTGGTATGGTCTGAGCATCAGCCACACCATTGGCAGGGACGCTGGCAAGTTGAATTTTGGCCACCTGTGGCCATGCGTAAGCGGACTGCGCACATTTGGACTAACGCATTCACTGACCTCAATTTGAGTGTAGATTGTGTTGGAAACCGCAGGGGAGGAAGGCCCGTAGTTAGACATCGTTGAAATTACGCTCTTCACCTATTTCGAGTAGGCGACACTTTACTCTATATCACGGACAATCTGTGCTTACCTGCGGGGATGGGAAGTGAGCAGGTGTCTTTTTGCACGTATTCGGCGCGTCTGAAATGATTTTGAGTAGTGCAGATAGCACTCGCAGGAGGATAGTGGGGCTGCCAAGATGTTCAAACGAGGGAGCTCCGAGTCGGATCGCGTCTAGGGCGCTTATATACCCCTTGTCTTGATCGCGCCCCAGCAACAAACACCTGACCGGAGTTATCCCTTGCGTATAACTGTTTAACAGAATTCTACGCGAAGGGTCCACGCTAGGATAGCGTCGTATAGGCAAGCTATCTGATAGGAAGCCCTGCCTTCATGTTCCCATAGCCTTCGGCGCTTGGGACGACTTCCTACTACTAGTGCCCGCCACAGCCGCGCATCCCTTGAAGGCAGGAGGAGTACCTTGGGATGTTCTCATACCTGGCAACCCCTTGTGGCTACTGGGCACGGTAGCATGTACTGTCTGTAGGTAGAAATTAACTGAGACTGCTTCCTATTCAGAAATATCTCGTAACGACAGTATTGGGCCCGTACGCACAGAGGTAGACGATCTTAAAGAGCCTCAAAAGCGCCTGTTACCACGAACGGCGGCCACTGTGTCGTACTTGTTGGAAATCACCCTTATGAAGCGACGTGTCGCCAAACTTAAGTATCTGCCGAGGAAGGGGTGCGTCTGGTTTAGCCTCGGATGGATGACTATAGGTAAATCGCTGATGACAAAGAGTCTGGTGCTCTTCAAGTTGGGTTCTGCAGGAGATGCTCGCCTGATATGTAACTGACGGCAAAGAGTCGGGAAAGTCCACTCGAGCGAGGAAAGGAGTCAGGGTGCGCCGACTCTGTAAGACCGTGGCTGTCCGCCCTACCACCTTGCTCGTGAATGTGGGTTGCGCGTGTACGTGCATGATAATGCCGGCGGGGCAGGCCTGAGAACGTGCTGTGAGCTTCAATGTGCAAGGTCGATGCTGACAATGAGAATGCGGCGTCTTCTGCGCGAGTAATTGAACTGGTACTTTCCCGTAGTTCAGGCTTTGAGTGTATGTCTATCTCCTCATTAACTTTGCATACGTCCACTTATGCAACTGAATCTGCCTATGTAAAGCTACCAGAAGGTATCACGAATGATATTCTCGATGCTTTGAGCGTGCTGTACATCATTCCGAGTCAGAAGTTCCACCGGGGTATACTGGAACTAGCACGGACTATGTAAAGTGTGCGACGGGATTAGACAGCGATTCGTGTTTAATCGTAAAGCGAGTTGGAATACTACGTGTGGGGGTATGGAGATGGGGTATTGAAGGCACGACTACTGAGCATGGTGCGATCAGGAAGAGGGTACGGAAGAATGTCATGGTGGGAATATGAAGCGAATACAGGAGTAGCGGAATGGTGGATTGATGTCCATTGGTAGCTTCACGACTTGAGCATTCCCCAACCTTTGACGCATATTGCCACGCGAGCCCTTAAAGTTCAGATGGCGTTGACGAGGTTCGTCCAGGGACGCTGGCCGGGGCGGGTGGCAGAGGACTTGGCCTCGTGTCAGTAAGCGCCCCGCGTCCGTGGGACAGCAGCCCGAAGGCGCTGACGACTGCTGGAGTCGGATTGTAATTGTGTTGACGGCATAAGTGGTGGTTTCGGCGACCCGATACACGTCCAATCCAGGGTCAATCAGCCGCAGCGACATCGTCGACCGAGGGTAGGTCGCGGCAGAACGTGAGGTAGGGCGCGCGGAGAAGGGTGCGGTCCTCGTCCGTCGGGTTGAAGCGCATGATGTCGTCCACGATCGTCTTCGCGTCGTAGTGCTCGACGCTTGTAAACTCGATATCGATGTCCATGCCGATGTCAGCATCGGCATCACAGTTTGGCACGCGACCAGGGACGGTCGCGGTGGGCTCAACACGTAAGCGAGCCATGTCGCTCGTGATTTTGGCGACGCCACGTTCCTCGGGCAGCGCGCCTGCGGCAAAGGCTGAGTAGCGCTCGTCGAAACTGCCCGACGAGCTGACAGAGTCAAGGCTGAACGTGAGGCCGGGAGGCTGGGACGGGGGAGGGGGCGTGCCCAGCCTGCCAACTAGGAAAGAATCCTGGACCTGCGCGGGAAACTCGGGCTCCATGTGCGTGAGCTGGAGCGCGTTCTCCCAGCTATTGACCTGGGGAATGCAGAGCTTCGAATCATCGCGACTCATCGTGTCCAAGGTCATTGGCTGTCGAATAGTTAGCATTGAAAATGTTAATGAGAAGGAAAACCACAAGACTCACGAAGCACTCGTCTTCCTCGAGCGTGAAGACGGCTTGCGAGTTTGTCGATGGAGGGACAAAGACGACGCTCTCGTCCAGCGATGCAGATCGTGTGGGGTACATCTTGTCGTTGGAATAGCAGTATTTGAGATAGATGCGAGGTGCAGCCAGACAGATGACTCGGTTGCGAGGGGGGCTGCGCGACAAGCTGGGGGCGGGTGAAGAGAGATGAGGGCAAAGAGTCAGAACTGCGGGTTGAATGCAATTACAGGATGGGCGGCAATTCCCTCCGGCCCCGACGCAATTAGCAACCACAGATTATCGCTCAGCGCTCAGCTTCTATAACGGACACATGTCCTCGACTTTCCACGCCGTACTTGTGATTAGAGACCCTTTAGGTCCGCATTCCAGAGCAAGCGCGCGGTAGTGTGGGAATAACTGGGACGAAAACGGGGTCGAATGGCGAACTGCGGGCCCTGTGGTGTATTTTACGAAATATAGGAAGAGTTCCGCCCCGACAACAACGGAAACGTGAGGGATTTCTATTTATGCACATTTGCATCGTCGTAAAGAGCTCGACTATTGGTGGCAATCGCCAAGATCTTTCACTACGTCAAGTCGCATTTGGTGGGGTGTAGTGGGCGGCGTGCAGGTAGAGGGCAGCAACATGCACCGATGAGATGTTTGCTTCAAGTTTCAGACACATGTTCACACGCGCGTGTTTGATAATCGCTACCTCGAACAGCCGGGCTGTCGTCGTTGAACGCAGGCATTACCTGAGGAAATATTCACGAGGTCAGAGATCACAGCGGAGAGGATCCAGGAGTTAACTTCTGGGACGAGGTGACATGCCCTTATCTAGAGAATCTTGCTGAAGGTATGTTACGCTTTAAGAAAGCGTAAATTGAAAGATGTCGATGAAAGCTAGCTAGCTTAGGCAGCGGTGATTTCCCCCGAGATTGTCAGTGTGCACTGCGACGTGGGTACCAAAGATCAATGAAAAGTGTACTATGCTTTTCACTGTATGAGTGCACAACCAGATGTGCTTACCCGCTGTACATCGTCGTGAATATTAATATTAATGAAAGGCTCGCCGCAGGCGTATATTAGGCGCCTGCGCCACGGTGACATGGCCTGCCTATTCGGGCTTCCCGAACCTGCACCCGGCAGCTATGAATGTCGACTAACTCGCGCCCTTCATGTAAGGATATTTTCTGTGCAAAAGCGGAGCCCTCGGCACGCTAGACGAAATGTATGGGATGATTATTGAGATATATGCAGCCAAGCAGTAAGGACTGATCTGATCTCAAGCATCTCGTGACTCCTGAACCGTCTTCTTATGCCGTCGTCGTCGCTTTCGTTTCGACAATGACTCGTCCGTTGTCCCTGTCGTCTCGTCATATGCAAGTTTTTCATCGGCCGCTTTCCGCTTGTTCCCGCCCTCCTGCTTCTCCTGCCTCTGCTCCTCAGCGCCCTCCTCCAGGTTCACGTTAAGCACTGCTGTCGCCTTCTCGCGCATACGCTCTTTCTTGCCCTTGCGTTTCTTTGCAGGCATCTCGGGGAGGATTTTCGCGAAGTCCCCGCTCGCAGCAAGCGCGGCATCTCGCTGGAGGATCGTCTCTTTGAGCTCCTTGAGTCGCGCGGCCCGGTTCTTGTCCCACGCGCCGCCATCCTTGCGGTACGGCGCAAGTTTCTTTAGGCCCATGTACTGATTGAGCTCCGCGTCCGTCGCGAGCAGGATCTCGACAGGCGATAGGGCGAAGGCCTGCGACTGGACTTTAGCGTACTTGAAGCGTGTAGGCATGCCCGCCACCTGCGCGAGAAATTGTGAGCCGGACTGACGTTACGCAATAAAGGAAGAGCGCATACCACGTCGTTGAATTCAAGCTCGTACAGCTCGTCCATGTACTCGTCGAGCTTGCGCTTCCGCATCTCTTCGGTTCCATCCCACTCCTCGTCATCCCTGACAACATCTGCGTCCATCTCACCAATGTCAACGCCGTCTTCGACCTCTGGCTCGTCTTTCTTCTTTTTCTTCTTTTTCTTTTTCTTGCTGGACGAGTCCTCGGGAACGATGTCCGTGATGTCGATATCGTTGTCCCATGCTGGCTTTTCCCCGTCAATGTCACCATCATCGTCGAGACCGTAGAGTTTGGACATTTGCTTGTAGTGCTTGTCAGGGTCCCAGTCGCTGTCGAGGTCGAGCTTTTGTAGCCCTGCCACGAACAATTAGCATCGGCTGCCGGGAGGCGCACATGCGCAAGACTTACCTTCCGTCTCATCCAGCTTCTTCCCACCCTCCTCTCCTATCCTCTCCAATTTCGACCTAATCTCCTTCATCTTCAGGGCTTTCAATCGCTTCACCTCTTCTCGCTTCTTCAAGAGTTCCTCTTCCTTACGTGTCTTCCGTCGTTCTCGCTCCGCCTTACGACTACTCTCTTCTCTCCGGACAGTCGACGCCAGGGTACGAGGATATCTTGGGATCTGATCCGCACCGCTGGAAGAAGGTACGTGATTAGTATATAACGACGTAAATTGAAGATTGCGCGGCGTACGGCTCCTCGAAGCGGAAGTTATATGAGCTTTCGAAGCGATCTGCGACTTCATCGAACTCGTCGTCATCAAGATCTTTGTTCATGCCTTCGCCGTCAGCTTCGGACTCGAATTGTTGTTGATCAGACGTCTCTTCGTCTACATTCTTGGGAGTATCTGCACGAGCCTTGCCCTTGTCCACCTTGCTCTTAGACTCTGTAATCTCCTTGTAGGTGGGGAGACGTTTCGTGGAGCGGTCAATCCAGCCGCGTCCTAAGATGTAGCTGCACAAGAGGGTCTAGTCAGATTTCGAGAGTCAAGGCATATGGGTCATACTTCATCAGGAACTCCTGGTCCTCTTCCCTTTTTACACTCTTCTCCTTCTTGACCTTCTTCTCTTTCTTCGCCTTCTTGCTCTCCTTGCTCTCCTCCATCTCAACATCAGCAATGAATGCGCTCATTTCCTCATCTAGAGTGATGAGTTCCTTCAAGTCCGTGCCAACCTCGCGCTTGAGGTACTCCTGGTATTCTTCCTCTTCGCGCTCGAGCTCGTCCTTGGTCTTCTCGCGAGGTACGAGCAGGTCGTCTTCAGAGTCTGCGTCCTTAACAGCAGTATGGAAAGCTGCAATTGTCTCGCTGCGCAGGGCTTTTTGTTCCTTGACGTGAGTCATGGGCTCGGGCGACGGAGAGCGTGAGTCGGGTCGTAGAGCAGCTTCGAGGTTCTGCTGCTTGATGGTTAAAGGCTTCGACTATAAGACGCAAGAGGTTCATTTTGCATATGCAATGCTAACAGCAAGTCAGAAGACATACCTTGTCCTTGAGACCTCGGGAGATGATTTTCGCTTTGCCTGTCTTCTTGACCTCCTCTGGACGAATGCTTCGTCGTTGCATCACTCTATAGCAGGCGTATGGACATACCTTCAAATACGTCATTGTCAGCCTGGTAGATAGAGGGGTCCTTGCGTTTTATCCTAGCGAGCGTGCGCAAGATGGCCGCGTCGACAGCAGGAGTCAACTCCTCGCCATCTTCATCTTCGGACTCTGCTTCCTCCGAGTCTTCCTCTTCATCCTCATCCTCGTCTACATCGGACCCATACTTATCCTTAACTTTAAAGATGTAAATACCGTGTAGATTGCTACGAGAAGATGTGCGCACGCCTTTGAAGCTCCTCTCTCTCTTTTCTGTACTCGAACGCTTTCGCGTAGTGCTCATTAATGGTGAGCTTGTGGACTTCCTCGGTCTCGGAGTCGTCAGAAGCGAGAATATCTGGCTCCATGTTCCTTTATCTCGAGTTATTCTGGTGCTATGAGGGCTGTTGTGGGTGGGTATGTCCGGAGAGCCGAGTAATAGACTTCGAGCCTGTTCCAATGAAATGGGCGCTTCGCGAAATTCTGAGAGCGCTAAGCGGCGATCTCAATTTACTCACGTGATATGTCACGCTTGACAGTCGTCACGTTGAATGGCATTACGTCACAGGTTACGTGACAATTCGCAGGTGAAGTGGTCGCGATTTCATCGCCTGTCTCCAACGCTCGCCTCCGTTGCCTACATACGCCACACTCAGATTTCAACCTGCTGCAACTATACAGATGCGGACACGAAACCGTAAAGTTTTGAAGGACGTCACACCTGGGAATACCCCGCAGTCGAAGAGGTCCGTGAGGAGCACGGGCAAGTTCAAGGACAAGTGGCTCGGCACTGCCGGGCGCGTCCCCGCACTAGACTTGAAAGCCGTCGACGAGGACGATGAGCTGCCGCAGCTCTCTGTTTTGCCCACACCCGAATCCCCTGTTTTCGCTCGTACGGGGCCGGCGAAACAAACTAGGTCCCCGGAACATGGCACACGAGTCACTCGTACTGCGAGGCAACCTGCGGCACCGATCCGAAAGGAGGTGTTCTCTCCTCTTCCACCATCATCTCCGCCATCCATGTCTTCCTTCGATGAAGAGGCGGAGAACCGTCCACCACCCAAGCCAGAACATGAGGACGGCAATGCGGACGGGGAGAATGATTTTGTCGAAGACGAGAACGTTGCTAGGCTGGACGGGAGTGCCCGCGAGGACGAGCTTCTCGAAGTCCAATACGCGAAGTCTCCTTCGTCGGACGACCCATTTGGCTTCTCTGCGCTTGAGCGACGGTTCAAGATACAGAGGGAGCTAGAAAGAGAGCATCGGCGTCGGAGTGCGGGGTTTGCGGTTCCAGCACCCTCGTCAGCAAGCAAAATGAAGGAGAACACTCACTCTCGCGTGCCGTTCAGCGTACTCGCCACCGCAGGGTCTCCGTCGGAACCAGCGCATTCCCGCCCACCCACACCATACCATCCGAACGACGACCTCGAGGACATGTATCTTAACCCCAACCCAGATCTTTACCTACCCGAAGAGCCAGAAACATTGGACACTGCGCCCGCTCTCGACCCAGTCTTACCATCTGAGAGCGAAGAGGCGTACGACCCACTCAGTACCCCACATCCTCGCCATGTCGCAAATATCCTTCCGCTGGCGTCGCCGTTTTCCTCGCGGGAAGCTACTCCCTGCGATCGCAGTCTTGTGGACTCGCCACTCTCTAGCCCGTCGCCTGTCAAGCCACTCACTGTCACCCGTACGCTACCTGTGGCCGGCTCAACAACAAAGAAGAAGGAGATGGGGAGACTTATCGCTGCTCGTGCCTTCGCTAGCTCGACACCGGCGTCCACACCACTTCCAAGTGCGAGGAAGGTTCCGGTGCAACCCTCGTCGGTGAAGCCGATGCGCCCTATGCCCCCGCCTGAAGTGCCGAAAGAGAAAAGGGTGAAGGAAGCGACGAAGAAGAGCGCGCAGCTGGGGAAAATGAAAGGAAAGGTGAAGGCACAGGAGGAAGAGGAAGAAGAGGTGCAAGACCCGATGATGATCTCGCAGAAACTCGAGAAGCTGCTTCCCAAACGCACAGTTCGTCGGCGAGCCAACGGCACGGCGGCCATAACCGAGACATCTCAGCCGCGCAGCAGAGGACGCCCACGCAAAAAGGCGAGCTCGCCGCAGGAGAGCGAAGCAGGGAGTGGTAGCGAGAGTGGCGGCGGTGGCGGCGAGAGCTCGTCCCCGCTTGCGACGCGCAAGCGCAAGGCTCCAGCACGCGCAACTCATCAGTCGCACCCTGTAAAACGGATGCGCGTCGAGGTCGTAATCTCGCGTCCGCCACCACACCTGCGCAAGTCCGGTGATCCGAGTCCTGTGAGATCGCGCGCGAAGCCGGCCTCGTCCAAGCCCGCGTCAACGCGCAGGTCTGCGAAGGCGAAAGGCAAAGGGAGGGAGCACGCCGGCCTGCGGAAGGTCGGCGAGGAGGACTCGGTACGTGTCCCCCGTCCGCACGCCTGAGGCTCCTCGGCGTGTATCCGTTGCTGCTGTTGTCCGTCTGACCCGCCGTCGCAGGACGAAGCGCGGGTGCGGCTCGCACGCATTGAATATTATCGTAATCTAGACGCGAACTATAAGATGGCGAGGGAAAATGTGTATGTTGTATGAGTATTATACCGTATGTGGGGTCGTATATACGCGCGAGTGGGATCTCGGAAAGGTGTGAATGTGTCATCTTGGTTCTTGATGTGCTGTATAAATCATTAAATTTCGTTCTTGGAGTCGCTGCTATCTGCACTTGCGCTGGTGACACTCCTCGATACCACACCGTGGCCATGAACGGCAGGTTAGATGACTTCCTCGTGTGCCCTAGAGAAGCGTGCTGTACATCAGCAAAAAAATCGGCAACTTACCTAGCCTGAACAGCCCTGGCAAAGCTAATCTCACTTATAAAGGTAATCATTATGAGAATAGGCTGTATGATAACTAAAGCTTACCAGTCTGAGGACCTTTACCATTCGGGTAAGGTTGGTAATGCATTACCAGGGAGCGCCAGGCTGGCGGCGCTTGCCTGAGCGCTCGCAACAATTCGTTGGATATTCAAAAATATTCGGGACTGATTTGCACATCGAAATTAGGAGCGGCGAGAAATATATTCATGGAGGTTTATAGAATACAAAGTATATGTATTGCATAAAATGGCAGTATCGAGACGAGAATGCCCTCTGAGTCGCGTCGCATGCAAACATGATATCAGCCAACAAGCGGCTCCCGGCGCAACGGCTACACAGTTGGCGCACAGCGTGCATAAAGCGAACCCTGAATGAGTCGTGTGCATAAGTTCTCATGTACGAAACTACCTGCAGACTATTGTCGTGATACGACAACTGGGCTGCGCGAGCGCGAACTGGCGAGTGGCACGCGGGCACGATCTAATACACACGGGGGATTAGTCTGAGTGCGAAGGGAAAGAGCACGCTGTATAGATCTAACCTAATACACACGGGGGATTAGCTATACAGGGCGTAAGCATAAGTGCATACTGCGCAAGGGCGACGAAGGGACTTACTCTGAGTGCGAAGGGAAAGAGCACACAGAGTGGGGATGCGAGAGGAGTCCTTATATACTAAAAGGAAGCAAAATTGAAAGTCCGCTGGAATGGGGAAGCCTGCCATAAAGAGGGTCCGTGCGTGGGAGCACTACATATGATTGTCCAATCACTATCTACGTATTAGCAGCGCCTAATCTAAGATGTCCACCTTAAGTCCATGCCGGGCGGAACGCCGAGCCAGAGCCACTAGGCACTTCAACACTCCCCCTTGGCGAGGCGATACGGAACGAGGCCAAGAGACTGGGTGTGACGGTTGTGTACCTCAGCCGGTAAAGGCTTTGTGAGAATATCAGCCGGATTTGTCGTGGGCGTAGCCCCGGCCTCCTATTTTATTCCCATTTTTCTCCGATTTATTCCACGTTTATACGACCCTCCAAACGTCGTCGGCGCATCGGCGCCAGTTTACAAGTCCTAGCCGCGCGCTAACACCTCTAGAACGCATCACCGATGGGCACGCATCAGCGCATCAACCGCGCCTGCATCGCCGCCGCCCCGTCGCCGCATCACGCTTCCTCGGTAACAGCCGCACCCCGATCTCCATCGGACATCCGATCCCCGACGGCCCGACAACGTCATACGATATGACACACCGGCTCCCGCCCATCTCCGAGTCCGATCGGCAACGGACATCCTATCTCCGTCGGCCCGACAACGTCATACGATATGACACGCCGACCCTCGTCCCCTAAACACTAGCAACAGCCGCAGCACCAGTCGCTTATGTAATGCCTGGTCCGTGCGCACCCTGACTAGTATATAAGGACTCCCTTCGTCGCTACCTAGCCCCATCTCAACCTCTTGGTTTATTGGGCTAGGTAAGCCTTCATTTGTATCGTAGTACAGTTGCTAATATAACTTGGTTTATTGGGTTAGCTGAACAAGCTAACGCATTAGTCGCCAGACCTCGTCGGCGCCGCCTTCTGATTAGATCCACGCAGTATCCCTCGTGGTGTGTCGACGCAAGTCCACATCAGGATTGTCGACACCGGGAATCCTAACGAGTTCGATCAGACCTGCTTCGAATTGCTCGTGAACAGCGTGAGCTTTGACGCGGGTGTGTTTTGTGCGATGCTTGACGTTGGGTGACTGGGCAGCATCAACGACAGATTTGTTGTCGCAGTGGAGAGGGACAGGCTTCGTGAGTGGGTGTTTGATATACTCAGCAAAGATTTCGAGCCACTGTAAATGTCGGACTGCTTCGTCGGCTGCGAAGTACTCTGCGTCGAAGGTGTCTCGAGCCACAGAGCGTTGCTTGCGAGAAGACCAACTGGTCGCGCCTCTACCGAGTTTGTAAACCCAGCCGGATGTTGAGACGGAGTTGTCCTTGTCGTTTGCAAAGTCTGCGTCGGTGTAACCGAGCAAACAGCTATCGGTCTCGTCGTTCTGACCTAGACGGAGTCGATAGTTGGAGGTGCCGCGGAGGTACTTGAGAACACGATAGGCGGCAGCTACGTGTTTCGGTGAAGGGTTTGCCTGGTATTGGCAAAGTCGGGCGACGGCGAAGCCGATGTCGGGGCGAGTCCCGAGCATGGTGTACATGAGTGAGCCGAGAAGTGAGCGGTAGAGCTTGATGCGGTCTTGTGGACAGTCCGCGGGGTCTTCCTCGTTCTTCTCGAGTACGATGTCAGTGCCGAGTGGTGTGGATGCGGGGTTGCAGTCTTCGTATCCGAATCATTTGAGAACGGACTCGATGTACGTTTCCTGGTCGAGGTATGTAGCTCGACTCCCCCTATCCCTCGTGACACGAATGCCGAGGTAGTACTTGAGTTCGCCAAGGTCCTTGAGTTGGAACCTTTCCTTCAATGCCTCTTTCGTTTGTTGGATGAGATCGAGGCTGTTTCCCATCATAGTTAGGTCGTCAACGTAAACCACTAAAATTTGAGTGGATCCCCCTTGTTGACGGCGAATGAAGATGGATACGTTGCCGGCGTCGTGGCATGCGAATCCAATGTCCTCGAGGCAGGCTTTGAGCGTGAGGAACCATGTTCGTCCTGCTTGCTTTAACCCGTATATTGCTTTCCGCAGGCGGCATACTTTGCCTGCATCCGTTACGAAACCTTCAGATTGCTCCATGTAGAGCTCCTCGTCGAGTTCTCCATTCAGATATGCTCTATCGAAGTCGATCTGATGGATTTCCCAGTCCTGGATAGTCGCTAGGGCGATGAGGTATCGCCAGGATTCCAGATGGGCGACGGGAGCGAAGGTGTCTTTGTAGTCGATGCCTTGAACTTGCGTGAACCCCTTAGCTACGAGCCTTGCCTTGTAGCGATCCACTTCTCCGTTCTCGTTGCGTTTGACAACGTATACCCATTTGCACTTGATCGCCTTGCGACCCTTTGGTAGGTCGACAAGTTCCCAGGTGCCTTGTTCCAGAAGGCCAGTGACTTCGGCCTGCATGGCAGTCATCCACTCCGCTGAGTCCGGTGCATCAGCTGCTTGTTTGTAGGTTCGCGGCTCTCCAGCGATGGAGGAGTCGCCTACGATCGCAGCGATGTCGCCCGGTTCCTTGCCTGTGTTCAGTGCTTCCTCGATGTCTGCTTCGGTCGCTCCGAGCCAAATACTCGTCCATTTCTGAGTTGCTTTACGCTCGCGGGTACCGCGGCGGACGTCTGACGACGTCGTGACATGCTCAGGGTTAGTAAAGGGATTGTAATCCCACGAGGTAGTGTTGGGATTTGGCTGGAGTGGCGGAGGGGCGACGACGCGAGATGGTGAGGCTTTGGCCTTGCCTTTGAATTCAGGCTTGACCGGTGCACTTGGCGGGATTGGCGGAGCTGGATACAACTCTGTTCGAGGTGTAAGGCGTGGTATTTGGAATGCTGTAGGCGGTTTTGGTGTGATGGGTTGAGTAGGAGGTGGTACAGGCTGTGGCGGCTGCGTAGGAGCCGGTGGCGTGTTAAGGGGTGGTAGTTCGAGTTCGACAGATGACGGCAGCGTGGATGTAGATCCGGTCGGTTGTGTCGAGGACGGTGAGGGTAGGAGTTTATTGGGGAAGATCGACTCGTCGAATATCACATCAGTACTCGTGGTGATCTTTCTGCTACGTTTATCCCATAGACGATAACCTTTAGAATTCGTCTCGTAGCCGATAAACACTAGGCTCTCAGCGTTAGCGTCGAGTTTCTTGCGTTTATCCCCGGGTATATGGCGATAGGCCTGGCAACCGAAGACTCGGAAGTGGGACACGTCCGGTGTGGTGCCAGTGAGTCGTTCCAGGGGCGTACGCCATGCAATGGCTTTCTTAGGGCCTCTGTTGCGTACGTGCACAGCTGTGCGAACAGCTTCTTCCCAGAATCCGTGTGATAACCCGGCGGTTTGTAGCATTGACTTGGCGGCTTCTACGAGCGTGCGGTTCATGCGCTCAGCTTTGCCGTTTTGCTGTGGGGTACCGGGTATCGTGCGCTCGTGGATGATCCCAGATTTCTTCAACAAGTTGATGAACTCGTTGGACTGGTATTCACCCCCTCGATCTGACCGAAAAACCTTGATGACCGTATCGAACTGTCGCGCGACGAGGGCTACGAAGTCTTTGAACGCGGAGAGGAACTCATCCTTTGTTCGTAGATAGTAGACCCATGTGACGTCGGAGCAGTCGTCGATGAAGGTGGCGAAGTATCGGTGGCCTGTGAGGGACACCACCGACATAGGTCCGTCGAGGTCAGAGTGTATGAGGTCGAAGGGTTTGTTGGCGCGTGAGGTGGACGACGTGGGGAATGTACGCCTGTGTGCTTTGCCCAAGACGCAGCCTTCGCAGGGATGCGAAGGTTTGTCCATATCGGCGGCGATGAGGCCTTTGACCGGAGAGGAATCAGCAGCGGCGAGCTTGCGTACTGCCTCCCAATTCAGGTGACCAAACCGGTGATGGATAACGTCGAGCGAAGTGGCATTGTGCGTGGAGACCGCGACAGATGGTGGAGGTGGAGTAAGGTCCAACCAATACTGACCACGGGACTTAGTGCCTATGCCAAACGTGGTGTTACCACGCTTGATTTGGGCTCGTCCTTTCCCAAAGACGAGATCGAAGCCTTTGTCTTCGATGCATGAGACGGATATTAGCCGTCCGGACATTGCAGGGCTGTAGAGAACGTTCTCTAGCCTGATGTTTACTGGTTTGTTATCGACGAGCGTAGTGCCCTCGACAACTCCTGAACCGAGCGTGCTTACTTGCGTTTTCGCTTTGTCTGCTAGTGTTGCGTATGTAGGCGACGCGAATGCGGTGTACTCAGCGAAGTCGTTCAGGTCGTTTGTAATGTGTCGTGTGCAACCGGAGTCTAACATCCAGCGTTTCACACCGTGGAGATACCAGGAAGCGGAGTGAATTTCGGCCTCAGGAGCAGCGGCTCCTTCGGCGATGACTACATGTACAGATGCGTGACCAGTACTACTACCGGATGGATTACTTTTACCGTCCTGGGCTTTGCCATTGCTGCCCTTTCGCGCCTCTTCGGCGGCGGCCTTTTTCTTTCTGCAGTCCTGCTCGTAGTGGCCTTTGTAGTGGCAGAAGTTGCACTTGCCCTTCTTGCCGTCAGGTTTGCCTGCTTTGGCTTTGCCTGAGGTAGACGCCTTCGGTGCGTGGAAGGCGGCAACATTGGTGGAGGAGCTGCGACGTTTCGCTTCGTCGAGAAGACGGTTGCGAATGTCGTCGAGCTTCAAGTCGGCGGGCTTGATGACTGCGAGGATGGGCTCCACGACGTTGTTGAACGAGTCGGGGAGGGCCGTGAGCAGGCCAAATATCTGCAGGAGCTCCGGGGTTTGGAGGATCCCGGAGGCACTGACCTCTTGCCAGAGTCAGGCGCGTTCGTCGAGTTGGGCAGCGAGGTCATCGCTGTCCGTGATCGCGTGCGAGAAGTACGCGCGGAACTTGACGAATGCCGACATGGTGGTGGAGGCGGCGTAGTTGTCCTTCAGCTTCTTCCACAGCGCAGCGGCTGTGATGTCTACTGGGTTCGCGAGGTGCAGGAGCTCGTCGCCGAGCGTGCTGAGGATGTAGAACCTCGCGTATGCGTTTGTCGTTTCCCATGCTTCGATGTCCGCAGCGGAGACGGAGCTGCTTGGAACAGGGGCTCTCTCGGTGCCGTCGACGACCTTCCATGCGCGTGCAGCAATGAAGTACTGCTGCATCATCAGGGACCAGCGTGGGTAGTCGCTGGAACCTTTGAGCTTCCCGATCGCGTCGAGCTTCATCGACGGCGGACTGGTGGCTGATGCGAATGCGGAGGCGGAGGACATGGTTGTCGTGCGGCGAGGTGCGGTGGACGCGGATTGAGAGGGTGTAGTGGGAGCAGCGGGAGTGCGACGTGTAGGACGGGGTGCCGGTGCAGGTGCAGGTGCAGGTGTCGGTGCAGTTGGTGAAGATGGGCGTGATGCAGATGGACTAGACATGCACTAGAGGAACTCTAGTGTCCGTGTTGCGATGTGGAGTAACACTTGGGGTAAAGACCCTGAGGTGTTATGGAGCTAATGTGCGGCTGGTGCCGGATCTCTCCGAGTGAAGACTCGTGAGGGACGGAGGGTAGATGGGGGCCAGTTACAAGCCGGGGCTCATAACCTATTGTCGTGATACGACGACTGGGCTGCGCGAGCGCGAACTGGCGAGTGGCACGCGGGCACGATCTAATACACACGGGGGATTAGTCTGAGTGCGAAGGGAAAGAGCACGCTGTATAGATCTAACCTAATACACACGGGGGATTAGCTATACAGGGCGTAAGCATAAGTGCATACTGCACAAGGGCGACGAAGGGACTTACTCTGAGTGCGAAGGGAAAGAGCACACAGAGTGGGGATGCGAGAGGAGTCCTTATATACTAAAAGGAAGCAAAATTGAAAGTCCGCTGGAATGGGGAAGCCTGCCATAAAGAGGGTCCGTGCGTGGGAGCACTACATATGATTGTCCAATCACTATCTACGTATTAGCAGCGCCTAATCTAAGATGTCCACCTTAAGTCCATGCCGGGCGGAACGCTGAGCCAGAGCCACTAGGCGCTTCAACACAGACTGCTATGCTTACTGCGAGGGCTTTGTGTGGGTCCCGGAGCACGAGAGAGTGGGCCATATACAGCTACTAAGAATGGCGTTAGTATGCGAGTGAAACCATAGGGTAGAAGTACAATACAAATAGATTTAGCTTGCTGAGTGAGCGAGGATGTCTTACAAAGGCCTATGCATGTCAGTTATAAGCAATCGAGCGCATATATGCATGTCACGTACCATATGCGAAGGTCTGCGAGTGACGAAAAGAGCCTGAGTCTGAGGCATGCTTTAGGTAGGACAGTATCAACGGACCTTGTGTATTCGCGCTGTTCTCCCGTATTACAGGACTCTTGCATAGCCGTGCAGACAGGTGGAAGTTGGTGCTGTGGCTGCCGTGCATATGAGTAGTCAACTGCAGTGCTAACGCGAGAGAAATTACTGCTCACGCACCTTGGGACGTACTGCGCTGAGTGAGCATGGAGCGGAGTCACTGTTGAGCGAGGGGAAAGTAGAAGTGGGGATAAGGATCTCAGAGGATCATGGCGTCCGGGGGTGGCTGTCTATTGAGCGGGGGCATGGTGGTGGGCAGAAGGAAGGAGCATGGAAAGCGGATGGCCTTCGACGGCCTTATATGGACAAAGACATAAAAGGAAACTCACCAGAGCAACTTTAGGGGAGGTCGAAGGAGACTTTGTTGTTCGTTTGGCCAGTCAACATAGATGTGATGGTCAGCAGCACCTCTCGAAAGGCGGCACGCATGACGTCACGTCACAGCGGAGATCTGGGTGGGCTGGCCGCGTCATGTCTAGTTAAAACAGGATGGGAAATGACTTACAATGACATATCGGTCCGTGTTGAAACTGCAGTGCGATATCAGCCTGGTATCCCCTGTTCTTGCATTGCCAGCGCCCACCATGCTGTTAGGCGCTTGCCTGGTAACCCATCTCTGACCTGCCACCGATTATTTTGCTGATGTAGCACTGACGCTGGCCATGTATTTTAGTACAGCGGGTCACTCTTCCAGCAGCTAGAGCAAGCATATCCCGCGTTCTGTATGTACAACCTCTTGAGAGCCACTTACAGCTCAGTTGTGTGAATCTGGCAC